TTCACCTCTCTCCACTCTTCTGTCAATATTGTGATTTCTAAATAGTGTCAGTTGAAACAGCTAGCCAACAAGAGATGGCGCTAGTGTGAAATAAATAATTTCTTATTTTCCGTAAACGTCGTAGTTATACTTGAATAAACTCACCTCGAAATTTATTCACTGTTTACTACTTAAAGAACTCAACTTCCTACGTCGATGTGAAAAAGTAAAAACCAAACTTTGAATCGATTATATTATCATAAGCTATATTCGCGACCAAAAAGTTTCAAAAACCTTTTAGACCTAAAATTTTTCTATATATCTTTGGATGGTGGGCTTAAAATTTGCTATTTTACATAAATTTACCAATCGATTCGAACCCAACTCGGCGGAGATTTCGGTTTAGCCGGAAGCAGTGTGTGAGAACGACTCGATTTACGAGTCGATACGAAATCAGCTTTCAAAGCATTTTTATCATTTTGCATTTCCAACTGCACCAACCAACGTTTACGTTTATTTTTTGCAACAGAAATCCAGTCGAAACCGAAACGAAATTTTAAATTTAAAATTGTCAAAACAAAATAACTTGTGAAATGATTAAGTTGATTTTGATTTTAAAAAGTTAATTTTGTTGGGAATAATTTATGTTGCGTTTTAACACTTTAAACCTTGACCTCGTTTCTTGGGATTTATTTACCGTACATACTCCGTAATAGTGACAGATAAGCGTGGTACAGTACAAGATTGCCAATTTAAAAGTTTTATCGTCAACCGAGAAAATCCTAGCGGTAAATCGACCACGTTTATTTCAACTACTAGATAAGCATAAAAATAACGTATTAAATCTACATTACATAAACCTCTTTACAGTTGAGCTCTTATTAATTACTAAAAATTAATTAATTACCGTGTTAAGTCTCATAATAACGTTGAAACAATTTTGATATTTTAACGAGTTAAAATGAAAATTTAATTGAATTACCCGCGCCTCCACCAAAAGTGGTCAGGCGAACCGTTTCTAAAAGCGAATCAAATTGAACGACATGGAAACAAACAAATTGAATTCCATGGAAAACTCATTATCGCGAAAAGGAACCCTTTCTCTAATTACGCCCGTATTGTCTTCAAGTAAAAAGAGATCGATTCAAAGATAAGGTATAAATCTGTCTTCATCAGAATTGTTTCGTTAATTGATAACAAACAAAAAAGTTTATACCGAATACAACAATGTTTACTTTAAGGTCCCCCAAGGAATTCTAATTACGTAAATTCCAAGAAGAGGTAAATTAATAATCTCGACATTTAATATTTCGAAAGCATAACTGCCAGTTTCAGCTTTAGCTTCTCGTAATGATCTCATATTATCTGTTTAAATCTTTACCCAAAGGAGCAATTTAATTTAATTAGACATCATCTCAAACTAATAAATGTCTCGTTGTTAATAATTTCCTAGATGAGTCGACTAAATCATTAATAAGATGGAAATCGAGGGTTTAAAACGAAACGGGAAAGAAAAGATTCTCGTTTCCTTTAAAACTTTTAAAAGGGATCTTTCAATTTTCCAACTAAGTTCGCCTCGATTTAAACGAACCGTGAATTCTTTTTGGAAAAATCAATTTTATTAAGAGTATGGATAGGATATACAAGTTTGACCTAAATCCAAAACGGGTTTATTTGAAACCAGAAAGGCTTATTGCGTGTCCTGAAGCAGTATGGCACTCGGAGAACCGAAGGAAACCAAGCTAATATTTAGTTTACATCAGCAGTTCGGTCGGATATTCGCTATGCATACACGTGACCGACTGATTCTGACGTTTATCTAGTGTTATACGACCTGTGAGAGTACGTGTATTAACTCGATGAAAACTCACTTAGTGTCCAAGACACACAAAATTTGGGGTTAAAAACAAATTTACTCAAAAAATTACGCAAAAAAATACGCTCACGTACCTAAATGTAAAGGCAAGCATCCTGTATGGTATTCAACTGATCTAAAGAGAATGCTTAGATTAAAAAAGCACCACCATAAATTGTTTAGCAAAACTCATTATACATTACTCTATCATGTATATGATAGTCATCTAGGATCGTCGAGTATATGTCAAATACGTTTAATTAATACTATCTCACCGTCCTCAACACAAAAAATTATAATCCGAAAAGATAACATTTTAAGAACCTTAACAAAATCGTTTCTACATAAAATAAGTTAATTTACTTTTGAAGGAAATTAACGGATTTGTTGAGTTTAAAATCACATCATCCAGATTATCTCGAGCTTTTGTAGATTCTATGTGGTTGTTAGGATAGATGCGCCATGAATAAACATCCTACGACACTAGCAGAGGGTTTCTAGGGGCGACTTCAAAGTTCTTGATTACACTTACCCCATCGTAAATGTGTTTAGTTTAAGTTTGCGGTGCATTTGCAAATTCGCTCGTTAGATCTAGGCAAAGCAGCTGCTTCTTTAACAAATTTCATGTTTTAAATTTCATTTTAATACTATTTTAAACTAACGATTTTTCCAATTTGTGATCTGTCAGATTTGTTTTTCGTACATATGTTCGTCGGTTTAATCTGTTTTATTTATTTAATTTAATTTTTTTTTGTTCGTTCTGGAATTTTAAATACAAAAGAGGATTTTCGCTTTCGAGCTTTTAAATAAAATATCCCGGCAACTTTCCGGGGGTCTAAACGGGCAAAACATTGTTGGTGGAGACAAAGGGGTGGGTAAAGGTTTTGATTAAATCCTGAAGATGGAAGAACGTGAAAACGGTCAACGGATAGGAATATTTGTGAATATTACGTATTTAAACAATAGGATAGTATGTTGTATGTGGAGTAAAGATCGTTTCGACCCAAATCGACGTTTAAATGTTTAAACCCGGGGCGCATCTGAACGTAATTTACATCGCGGGCGGGACACAAACCGCGACCTAATTTATATCCTATCTCATAGGAGTCATAAACTCGCCCCAGTTTGGATCTAATCCAACCCTGTAAACACTTACACTCGATAACGATAATCAAATAATCATAATTGAGTTATCATGTCAAATTAACTAAGTTTTCACATTCTTGTGATATGTCATCGGGAGTAACAAAGAGTATTCAATTACTTAGCATATTTCGATGACAAAATGTTAATACGGCCTCGTCCTAGAGTACTTAAGGTTGGTTATATAACCCCTGAAAAGAGGACCATATCGATTTTCCTCTTCGTCGTTTATAAAATATGCACGCCTCGAGTGCATTTTGGGCCTGATAAAAACTTCAGGCGCGTCCATGACCGTGTATATCCGATAAAAATTAAAGCGTAACTAACCAAATAAAAGCAACCGACACGAAATCCAACGAGAATAGATAAGATGCGTTCTCCTCTTTCGATGTTAACATCAACGTTAAAACTTGTAAAATACGAGCGGATGTCGCCGTCGCATAGAAGTACTTTTACCGTTGCTTTTTCACGTCGTCAAAGTTTGCACTTAAAATTCAGCCAGCAAAGTTGGCGAAGGTACGATAACTGGAAGAACTCTCAGAAAAGAAGTCAAAGAACAAATAGAATCTCACTTTTATATAGTAATATGATACTTCCTTTCCATAGTTATAATCCAGATGAGGCTGACGAAGAGAGAAGAAGAAAAAATTAAATCAACTTTCGTATACGATACCCTTTTAGGTATACACAAAAGCTCGGCATATCGAAATCATACAGTTTATAAAGATAGCAACCGTCCGTATAAAATAATGCGTCGAAACGAGTTTCAACACGTCGAGAACCGGGTCGATACCAGACCGAAACCACACCACCACGCAGTGCCTCCCCAACAGCGAAAATCCGAGTCCGCTTCACGAATCCAACAAATAATTCTACCGTCCGTTGAATTCCAATGCGAACGAACAGATCCAATCCGTGCGCATAAAGTCTCCTTTAAAATGTCTAAAACACAAGGATAGGTCGTTTAAAAACAAACGCTTTCACGGAGTCTTTCGAACCAGTTGCGCGCGTCTTTTAAGATGAACTGGTGAAAACAAGTGGTGTGGAGGCGGGTTTCTTTTTATGCAGTCGATTTTGGTCAAAGCAAAGTTGAAAGTGCTTTGTATAACCCACTTCGAGGTTGACGAACTTTGCACCCGGCACAATACTCGGACCACTTGGAATTACACCAGCTGTAACCCAACAATTTTTAAATTCAAAGAGATAAAACCCCCGGGTGATGTTTTTTAACTTAATAAATGTTGAATACAAAAATAGTAACAAAATTACATGAATTGTGAGAGGTAAAAAATAATTAATAAATTTTGGCGGAGGAGCCTCAGTCTATTTAATATCTATATCTAAACAACCAATAACTATAAAATGCTGTCAAATAATATAAATAACACCAATATAAACCATGCTGAATAAAAAATATGAAAGAAATGTCACGGGGTTGCCCATTAAAGCACATTGAATTAGAACATACTGATTCTTTAGAACAAACTTTTTGATTCTTCATTGATTACACCCAATAAATTTTTCCTTTTAGTAAGAAATTCATTTTGTCGATTCAATTCACACCTCAAAAGCTGTTATCAACCCGAACCAGACGGCCAAAGTAAAGATATTTCCCCTGGGATACGATTCAAGGGTCACATAGGAGGGATTGAGGCTTATTTGATAACCTGCTCTTCAAGAAACTAGTTCACCCCAATTAATTGATTAACTTAGGCGCTCGGGTAGACGCATGCAAATTGGACCTTTTAAATTCGAGCGGCCAATTGACGGTATAAATCGTTTAAGCTCGAAGCTTGAGGGGAAAACGGAAAATTTGTATGCAGTATGTCTCGATCCTGTCGTGGGAAATTAACTGTACTTCGTCATGCAGAAATCAATAGCGAAGCTTGGGTTTTATTAAATGACGTTTCGATTTCCTAAGCCTTTCACCAGAATCCCATTTACCATCAATTCGTTTACGGAAAATTTAACATGATGAAATAAACTTAATCTTAAAGGTTTTTTGAATTTCTTTTTCTTTTAGGTCAGAATAATGACTGAAGATCCAGAACCGGATAAACCTGCTATAAGGGCAGGTTTTCACTGACATATCTTGATTCTCGGCTTTCGGGTGTAAGAAAATGAGTAGAGACGAGGTCCACGTGCGAGATCGATTGCTGATGTTGGCCGAATCAACGGGATCGCATAAACCGTTCAACGTGAAAAGGAAACCGGCAACGTTGAAGGTCGCTTCGAAGAACGGCCCGAAGCTGAGCGTGCAAGATTTCGTGCGTATGGATCCGGGTTATACACCGGATATCGAACATTTGGTGTTTCCTGCGAGAAAACGGAATCCCCAGCAGGTGGCACCACTAAATCCACCAACCGGAACCAGCAGTCAACAAGGAAAAACTAGATCTAGATTGGCGGAAATGTTCGCTTTAAGTAGACACCTTCAGCAAAGATCAGTTGATAGAGATTCGAAACCAAGAAGTAACGTTGTAAATGTAAGTTTTTTTTTCATTTTAATTTAACAAACACATTTACAAAATTAACATGTCAATAGCAAAATTGGGTAAAATTGAATTTGCTGCCTGACCGAAATTGTTTTTATTATTTTAGGACAGAGTGCGTTTTCAAATAATAATTGTCATTATGTTCAACCCGGTGGCTACAAATTTAATCGATTAACCTGCGATATTTCATTGAAGCGAAACGCGTTGTAAATTTTCCGATTTTATTACGACTTAAACGAGGTCCGAATACGTCGTAACTTCCGTTCGAACGCGGTTAAGTTCGAGGCGGAATTCCGACGAAAAATATGCAAATTTAATTACGAGTTGCCGATCTCATGCATACCTAATCGCGTGGTGATGGCACGGATTTCGAGCTTTCCACATAACGTTATTTATTTCTTTCTAAAAGAAGTTAATATTTAGAAAGAAAATCATTCCATTTAATTTAATGGACACAGTCCAAAGACACGCTTTGATGCTATTAATGCAATTAAAACCTTACCTGGAGCTACAATCGCTTCCGTTTGAACGTTTGTAAAGTAAATAATCGGATGTTTCAGGTGGAGAAAGCCCTCAATCTAATCGATGGTAGGTAATTAACTTCTCCGCTTCGATACTCGTAGTGATCTTAAAAGATATTTCTTTATTATTGTACGATTAATGTATATTTTGAGTCTTTTTGTACCCTTTTAGGATTTTAGGATAAGTAAACATTGAGTTAACAACCCCTAGCGAGCTTCCTCCCCCAATTTACTTACTTCCTAACTTAAACACACGTAAAATCCGATTTTCTACCCATTCTTTTCTTCATTCCATCCAATTTAAAGGGAATTTCAACGAAGTGTAAAATTTACTGTAGACAAATCAAATTCAAAATTGTACAAACTACTTCATGACAGATTTTGACAGAAATAACATATTTTACCAATTCAACAATGGTGGATGCGCATACAAATAGCCTGTAAAGTGCACCATACAGTGAAAATCTGAAGATCTTGCAATCATTTTTACAGTTGCAGACAATGAGCTTTATAATATCTTCATAATACATTATAAAGTATACTTTATATTTCCAAAAAATTTTTTTTTCCATATTTAATCCATATAAATTACAATGACAAATATCGACTTAAACTTTACGAGAGAATTCTCTTATCCTATTTAAAAAATCGCGCTCAGCTTAAAGGCTCCTGGTTCACTCTAATGAAGACGTATAAGACGTAGACGACGTTGCGCCGCTGGCATCGTCCGAGTAAAAAGCAACCGGAAGTGAGGGGCAAAATCGTCGTCGTCGTAAGCTTAAACAAGTCATCCGTCGTAATATATCCGGACAGTTTTATTTGTGGTGTTCTTTAAGCGTCCTTTCTATAATTCTACACCAAGAATACCGATTGTGGTATTCTTTGATTCTTTGACACAAGTTTACTTTTCTGAAAACAATTCCAATCAACTTGACGATTTCCTCTAATTAACTAGATTGCTTACGAAGAGGAATGAAGTTGAGATAGAAATGGTTGTGCTTGTTATATCAAAAGATGACTTATATCTTATATTCTGTAATAAAGGTAAAAATAAATATGAAATACGACGAAGACACCGCTTGGATATCGCTAGGTAATATTCGCTAGACAATAAGCGAGGAAATGTAAAAGCCGACGGTGTCAAACTCTCATAAATATTTTACGAGAGAATCGTGATGTGAGTAAGAAGTTTCTTTAATGTAGTAGGCAGATAAATTCTAAATTATATCGTTCTTAGCGCATCTCGCTACTTAATTACGTAACAAACACCAAACTATTTCCTTGCGTTCTTCGCATAATTGCGGACGAAATTATTCAACTACGGTCTACATCAAAGAGTAACATTAAAATTAATCATGTGCGGGAACACAACACGCTGAGTTTTAGAATGTAATTGCCCGAAACGTTCATTTCTGCGATCCCACGGTCATCTAATGCACTTCCTAGTATACAGGGTGAAGTGAAGTTCTGAACGTTCGAGTATATTGCAAAGTCTTGTTATGATTTTTTTTTCAGCGGAGCGTGGACAGTGTTCTGGAACCACCGAGGTTGCAGGCGCCAAGAACCAATCCGGACTCCTCCCAGAGGTGGATTGTGGAGGAACCGGTTCGACAAAACTCTTCAACTAGCAGAGTCAGTCCGGCGAAAGACGTGGACATGGCTGCAACCAGGTGAGTGGTTTTATTTTTAAACAGCCTTTTAAATGTCTATGTTTAGATTTACTTTTACTTTGGTAAGCATTCGCCGTTTGACCTTAAACATTTTTTTTTGTAATTAATTGTGCAGGAAACTATCTTGGGTTCAATTTCTAATGCGTAATTGAAGAAATTTACTTTCATTTTCTAAAACCATATATTCAAGCCTGATTCTTGCTTGAATTTATTAACAATTAAATCAAATCTTGTTTTTTGAAATATAATTTCGAGTTAATCAATTTAACATTTATATTAACAAATTTTACTGCGTAGAAAACTCAGGAGAGATAATTCAAACCCACACGAGTTCAATGTCCAGCTTATGCAGAGTTGGATCAAAGCCTCAAATTTTTATTTAAATTTAAATTTTATTTAAATTTCATAAATAGTGGGACGAAAAAAATTGCGAATAATTAAATCGATGTGGGCAACAAGTGTTTTATAACACATTTAAGATAACTGTTGGTATTTCCTTCACGTACGCACAACAAACGCAAGGTTCTTGTACTCGGGTCCTCCGAGGTCGAGATCCAAATATGGCAACCAGACGCTCGTAACCACTCCTTTTTTATTATTTCAGGGGCCCCAATGTGTCGGTGCTGCACCTACGCGGTCCCTCTGAATGGGATACCAGCCCCACAACGGTTTTTGCCGCAACCACCACAACGGGAAATTCAAGAAGTTATAATAGGAACAGTACCAGCTGTGCCCCTTTAACGAAACATCAATCTTTAGGGGGTTATAACCAATATAAATATGGCCAACAAAGTTTTCATTCATCCGGAAATGATAGTAGCTCTGAAATTTATCTAGGAAGTAGTTGTCATAGAGAATTATCGCCTGTGAGATGGTGTGATAAAGAAGTCGATGGGGTTTATTTGGGAAGATCAGGTTGGGTACAGGTTCAGCAAAGATCTTTAGACGATAGAAGGACATCTTATGCCACATCAGATTCCTTGCAATCGTCAAGAAGAATCGGGATTAAGTTAGCTGATTATCACTGCAAAAGTGAGCCGGGGAAATGCCCAGAAAAACCAAATAGTAAAGTCGAAGCGCAAAGACCGGCTTATCTTCCGTTGCGAACAAGGGATTACGAGATTATTCAACCATCAAAAACCCCTTCTCCGAGAAGCGTCCCAGAAAGCTTTTCTCCTCCTTCAATAACACCCATTATATCACCTCCCCCTGCTTTCCAAGATCGAAACCAAAAAGGGAAGTCGAGAACGTTTTTCGGAAAACCCCCATTTCTTCCAAGATCTAACGCAATCGTCGACAGCGATGTTAGCCCCCCACCATCACCGCAATTAACATCAACTTGGAACCCCCCTCAACGAAAATCAAAGAACGCCGATTTAAGATCTTATCCAAGAATCCCTCAAACGAAATCCCTTGAAGATACCACCGCAAATAGACGAACCCAATTCGTTCAAAAATACGGAGAATCCTCATCTTCGAGCTCATCATCAATGGGATTTAGAAGCTTAGACAGCTACGTTCCTAGAGTAGCAATGCCAAGATTGTCCGAAAACACGGACTCTTCAATCGATGTTTACGAAGACGCCGATGATGAAGACAATAACTCCTCTTCAGTTATGAGTGTGGTGAATGTCGAAGTTCATCGTCCGAAAGAAAAAGCATCACCTTCAAGTCGCCCACAAAGAAGCACTTATAGAAGTCAAACCAGAAAATCACCAGCTGGATCTGATTCAAATAGACATAGTGGGTGTCCATCTCCAACATCTTCAACCAGTTCTAGCGGCGAATTTCCATCGGGGACGATGCAACAATTAAGAAGATCAGCTCCAGCAAGGCAATATCAAATTCAAGAAGATCCATCTTTAAGGGTGAGAAGATCGAGAAGTTTACAACTTCCAGATAAAAAAAATAATTATAGAAATCCTGTTAAAATTTCACCACAACAATTACAACAACAACAAATTCAACAACAACAAATACAACAACAACAAATTCAACAACAACAAATACAACAACAACAGATTCAACATACAGAAAGTCATCGTGTTGTGGTTAAAATTCCTGAAAGAAATAAAAGAAGTAAAGAAGAAGTAAGTGAAGAGATGATAAGAGAAGCTGAGGTGGTAACTGGATTTATTTATGGAAGTAGAAGTCGCGCAGCTGCTCAAGCTTTATTAATGCAAAGATACAATAATGCGAGAGATGAGAAAACCAAAGAACCAATTAAACCCAACAACGGATATAACATTTATATCGTTGGTAATAAAGATAAAAAAGTTTTGCAAAGAGGTTCAACAACCCCTAATCTAACCAAAGTTAAATCAACAACAACAGAAGTAAAAAAACCTTGTACTTCAGATACATGTGATTTTTGGCCCCATTGCGCACATAGAGATTCATTAACTAACCAATCAATGATGAGAATATCTCATAGTTATCCGACTCATCAACGATCCCTTGAAAAAAGTAGCCCGGAATCAACGAAACCGCAACCGAAAAGGTTATCTAGGGCGGATACGGACGTCCGTTATCAAAGAAGACCAACCCAGCAATTTGAGACGAAAAGATTGAGTCCCATTAAATCTAGTGTTGTTCAAAACGACAGGAAGTGTTCGCCCGTGAATGTAAATGTACGCGGGGTGTCGCCAGTGTCGCGTAATCCGAGTAGTTCTTCAACAAGTAGTGATTTATATTTAACCACTTCTGATAGGGCTTCATCTAGGAGTCCAAAAAATGCTAAAAGTTCCGGTGCGTCAACTCCTTTAGAGGATGTGCCGAAAAAAGATGAACCTATCCGCGAAATGGTCCTCACCAGACCTGGAAGTGCGCCAAATGAGGAAAAGAAAAGCGTTGGTTTTGAAGATGCTCAACAAAGATCGTTGTCACTCCCTAAATCTTTCTTATCAGGAACTTACCAACAACAAGAGTAAGTAATTTTAATTTGTTACCATTATTAATTATTATAAATACATAATCCAATTTATTCAGCATGAAGGATTTGCTTGATTTACTTCAGATTTAAAATTAATTTTAATTAATTTAAACTATGCCCGTTATCATAATTTCACACCAACGTTATACTAAAAGCATTAAAATTTAAGCCCACCATCCCTTAATAACATCTCTAAGGATGCTCCCGACCTGTCTCATCCGGAACGTTGTGACATCCAAAACTCGTAATTAATAATGATGAATCGTAGTTTGTTCTCCAGGGAAATTGTGTTCTCTCAAAATGTTATTAACGCTATTATTGGAAGTTCGCTTAAATTCTACGACTTATCGACCGAGAAGAAGGTCGTAAAACCCCCCGTGAAGAGGAGAGGAGAGTCATAACAGACGTCGCGCGTCCCTACTTTGCCCAACAGGTATGTTCCATCCTAAAATGGAACATCTGCCGTTTGCAGCATCCTCCAGGAAACAGCTGCCCTTCACTTCTAATTAGAAGTGTCTGGTTTGCCTTCCTTTTTCTACGAAATCCGGAGGGGAAAGGATAGAGGAAATGGGTTTTGTCAAGAAAAGAGCACGTGTTACATAAAAACCGTCCAAATTTTGATACAGTTTTAAATTACATAAATCTAGTAAAAGTATTTAATACCCTTTTATGTAATCTTCATTTCGTGATGTGAAAGTGTACAACTTCCTTCCAGGTTATTCTGACAATGAGTGAGCCATTTACGCGTTTTGTAAACTTATCTTAAAAATAACTGAGAAACGGATAAAAAGAGATTCATGGTGTAGCGTTGGAACGACTTGGTGCGACGACGCCGGCAAGGTTACCGACCATATGGTGCCATATGATGCCATAAACGGATTCTACCTTTCGAAAGAATTAAAAAAAGTTTTACGCGGTCAACGCGCATATTTTACATTCCCAATAAATTATTTCGCAATCGAGTGAAAATAAATCTTAATCCTTACCTAGTTTTATAAAACAACTTTCAATTTCTTTGATAATATTACACTAGAAAAGTAGAAGTGCGACCTTGAATCTACGAGATCAGGAATGGCACGATTTTCACATTCCTTCGTCGCCCATCTCGTCAGGTAAACATTCTGGATTACCGGGTACAAGATATTCGACCTTCACATTTCAATATTAACACGGATTTTTTTTATTTTCATTTTCTATACGGTGAATTGGAAATCGTAATTCATATTGATTCTCTAATGAAGTAGTAAGTCGTGTACTTGATAAGGAAACATGGTCGGGACTTGGATAAGATCTTCGGCGATGTACCCTAGCAGGAAACTAATTTATCGTCCAACCAGAAGAGGCGGAACTCCTTTTACCTAGTGATTAATGATGGTTTTAACTTGGACGTCGCGGTGACGCCATTTCATTAGTTAAAGTTACAAGAAATGTATTGTCAGCGGTTTTATATGCATACAAAAAGGTGTGAATGCACCAGCTTTCATGTTTTTAGTGGTGCTGCTTTACCAGTAGGTACTATTTACGATATCATTTGACAGTTCTATAAGATATCAGAATATTTTGATTTTCGGCTACTAAAACTGTTTATGATGTACTATCATCTGCAGCTAATGAAAGAAATATTAAAAGGGGTGAAATTTACTAACAACAAAATCGTATAAATACCATTTTAAATTATTTGAAATCCTAATATATTGATTCAAAACGAAGAATAACTTAACCTCACTTATAAACGTCAATTTGACTTCTAGAAAGTAATGAAATTACTCTGTCACGGTTACCAACAGCTAATATAAAACATTCCTACGTCCTAACCATTTTTGAGAAAATTATTTTTTATAACTCAAATTTTAAGATAACTTTTGTTCCACCGTATATATACATTTTCAATCTCAGAAAATTACACGTACAAAGAATGTAATTCAAAAAATTAATAATGTATTGAGTTCACACTAAACCAATGTCGTTTTTGTGGTTAACAAAACGTTTAAATGTTTGATGTTATTCGAAAATGTCCCAGCACGCAATTTCCTCTCTAAAATTGCACGAAAATTAATCGACGTTCAATAAATTAACGAGAAACCACACTACAAAGCGGTTTTCACCGAAAATTTATCCACTCTCATATATAAACAAAAACGACCAATCAACTATATAGTTACATGGTTAGTAATAAACTTGATAGTTAAACGAACTTAAACATCAAGTTTAAGCATCAATTTACTTACGCCCACTCCTGTACACACCTCGTGGTATTTCGCCCCCCTTCTATTGACGTCGAAATAACCCGAATGGATCCGATTCAAACGACAACGTACGCGTCATGTTGCACGAGACCAGCTCTTATATACTCAGACAATAAGGTCGATTTCCACGTTTCAATCGGTTTTTCTTTAGTATGTGGTGAGACTGTAGTGGTCTGTAGGTGCAGTTTTCTGGTAGCAGCCAGACGGTTTTAATCGAGAACGTTATCGGAATTTAAAAAAAATGTGTTCGTTAAAACGCACCACGCGACACAGTTGGCATTTTTCAAGCGTTGATTGTCTCATAACTGGATTTTGTACACCCAATAAATCATGGGATACTTCACTGACTGACGACGATGCAAGAAAACCCATACGAAGAGCTACTTTGTAAGTTCTTTTTGATCAATTTTAAAGTTTGAATTTGTTACCTTCTTCTAAAATTGAAATCCATCCAGGAGGTCCATTTGAGTTGTTGAAGCTTTAAAATGTTTAGTAGCGGAACGTGACCTTTACGAGGTCGACTGTATATTATCGATTTTGTGTTATTTGCGCAATGTGAAACAGCTGTATACATTTTTTTTTTTGGAAATTAGATGTAGTAATAAAGAAGGAATGTTCTCAATCTCTTAAGTTGTGGCCTTTTCCTGTTAGCGACCATCGAACCGTTGCACTCAGAGTTCCACTTCACCTGTCAGAAGGTCTTTGAACTTTTTTCGAATCTTCCCAGACGAAGAAGAACGCCAATGACGATCTTGAAATAATTTTCATTTACCCTTTTTTTATTATTTAATGAGGTTTTAGAACAGACGGAATTCATCTTTTTTTCTACTTTTGCGGTTGCATTCTTTCTTTGCAATATCGTTATTCATCCGACAAATGAGAACTGACGGGTAATTTGTCCTCATTCTTTTGAATAACGACCCTAATTGGATGCACCGTGCTACAATAACACAATTAAGTCAAGTTCAGTCGGACGTAAATTTAAAATTGGGTTTCAGTTGGGTTAATTGTTCTTGGGGGCCCTAGCTAATTGGATAGAATTTAATAACGAAAGAAATAAAATAATAAATCAACCAGGGTAGAGGATTTTTGTTATTGTTTTTGTTTTGTATTGGGTTTCACCTAAAAACAGGGTTTAGTTGTTGTCGTTTCATCACAGTTTTGTTGTTTTAGATAACAAGAATGTGTTTGAGTAAAATTGTAAACAAGATCACGTTAAAAAGTAACCTCTATGGAAATTAAAAAAGAACATAAAAAACGTTTCCTAAAAAAGTTTATAAAACCTTCAAAAGCTCATATTTATCAAACGGAAACTTCCGGTAGACGGGAAACTGTTAATTATTGCGTTCGCGAGGCGAAACTTGTCCTGAAAACTTTTAATTGACTTAAACTGTCTACTGAATTTTGCAAAATACCTTCCTCAAAAACTACGGGATCCTTAAATATTCATCCCCACATCCACGACATTTTTTTGTATAACCAACGAAATCAATAAAGCCCAAAGAGACAAGAGGATGAAGAGATAAGTCCAGGGTCTTATAATTTGAGGTCCACGAGGGCTTTAAAAGGGGATTTCTGTGGGGACCCAAATCTCCATCACGTGATGCAAAGTCGTCAGGAACATGCCTTCGGGTTTATCGGTGCTTTTAACTAAGAAAAAAAAATCGGATAAAAAATATACAATTTAGAGATGTTTCAACAAATTGTAGTTTCAAGGATTTTTAAGACTTTCAAGTCACGGAGTTACCAATGGTTGGACAATTGCCGAGGACTGCAGATAAACTCCACCCCCCTAAAAGAAACCCGAAAGTAATTCCAGGGGATTTTCACGGAAATGGAACAAAGCATTAACGCTTAACGAACCGTTGAAATGACACGTTTACTCTATTGTCTATCTAAAATCAATAACCCACACTTCTTGTAATTGTTATAAACTTAAACCCGTCAAAAATTTATTAAAACGAAATTTCATTGTAAATTGTTTTAAATCACATTTTTACCAACTCAACCTCGAAAGTATGTATATAAGATGAAATTTGCTATAAAATGGTTTTTATTTCATATTGATATCTCGATTATCAATATTTTTTCTTTTAGTTTTCTTGTGCAGAAATCCTTCTAATACTGGATACTGCATTTTCATCAATTCTTCTCAAAACTGTTTTTAAAGTCGTAAATATAAAATTGTCGATTTTTAGACGATTCTGCTATTCTTGAATAATATCACTGCTTCTTTTAATTCCACCAACCTTGTGTAATGTTTCTCCGTGGAATGGCTGTGGATTACGCTTCCTGTTTCTTTTAATCTGAAAAATAGTCTGCTAAAGGTGTGACTATTAGGCAATCGTCTGTTCAGAAATCTTTGCCTTGAAATCCTTTATAACAAAAATATTCAATAATGAGATATTTATTTCTCTTTCTCTCAAACAATTTTTTTTTCTTCAAATATTCCTTCCCTTTTAATAAGGACACGTCTCGAATTAAATCCCCAAGTACCAAGTTTATAAAAACTTTGATAAAAAGAAATAAAATATAAAGAAAGAAAACAAACTCTCAGGCCCCCTCAAAAAGCATATTTGACTAATTCCAAAGAGATTTACGTCGCAATAAATAATCCTCGAGAGGGAAAACGAGCCCCGTCTGGGCACAAGTTCTACTATTTCTACAATACTCTACTCATATACACACTCACACACACTAAACCGTTTGTGTGTATAGTTTTTTGATATTTCCGTAAGAGATAAGCTTCGTTGGCGCAGATGCAGCTTCCGCCGACATTCGCCGTAGCGGCGGCAGCTGCGATAAGGTTCTTGTTGGGAGCCGGGTCTTTGTGCCACCAGATTGCGCCCATTGATCTCTTTGACTACGTTTTGCCGCACCAGGTGCTTTTTTTTTTTGGTAAACGTCCGAGAATGGATGACGAATCACCTGCTTAGACTATAACAAAATATAATTTTTTTAAATTTTATTTTTCAAATGTTTATTTAAAAAATATTTTGAAAGGTTAGAAGTTCCCAATCTAAACGACAATCTACCCTCAGCTCTTCAAGGCCTTTTATGCGAAGAGGGAAATATCAATAACCGCGACGCTATGATTGACAGGATAATCGAAGTCCAGGTCCAAAAGGAAATTCTAATCCCATTCTCCTCACTTCCCACCATCTCCTGTTTCTTTTTAGGACCATTTTAGCTTCCGAGTTTCTCTCCCTCCATCGGATTCCTTTGTTCGATACAGAGTGAAGAATCATTCTCAATAAAGAATTCTCCGAAAAAGGTCGGGACGTCCAAGAAGATTTTTGATATCTCGCCCAAAGTTTAATGGTCCCAGACGATAAAATACGAGGGACCTTAAAACTCGGAAACGATACACCTTAACGACCTTTTATTGTCGGTTGTTTAATCTAAAGCTTCTTAGGTACGACATCAATTTAAAGACTCTCTACATTAAAGTTATTTCGTATCGAAAATGACGGTAATAAATTTTCGTTTTGAGTTGAACTTTCGCATCCAGAATATTTCGTCCTCCAGGGAAAACGTTTAAATTAGAATCGAGGAAAATTGTATGTACGAACGAAGATTCTGCTATCTTCTCATACGAAAATCTCATCGGAGTTAATATTAAGTAGGATGAAACTTAAGCTTTTATTTTCAATAGTGAAAACGTCTCTCGTTACGTTAAATTGCAATCTCGACTTGGAAATATCGTGGCATTTCACGACTTCGCGAAGAATCTTTAGAGAAAGGATATCATTTTGATTAAAAATTGTTGGATTCACACTTTTTATTATCGCCTTAAAAATATGATTGTGCGTATTTCAAAAAATATGTGGGGGAAAACCTTTAGACCGAGTTTCTTTTCATTTCCACGACGAAAAGCACGACCAACTTGACAAATAGCTAAGAGGTGGGTGAAATAAAAATCCATTTAGAAAAGCTACACTTAAAGTTGTACTTAGTAAAGCGCATTCTGGCGTGAATGTAATCCGTTGATTAGTGATGTGAAGATTTCATTGACCCATTAGTTAACCTTTGCCCTAAACTGCAACACCGAGAGCGCTAACTATACTTTGAGCTAGTTTACGTCCTAATTGAATAATTTCTCTGCCTCTATTGTTCTTAATTTGATTCTCATTTTCAATCTTCGCCCAGTTAACAAGATTTAAACTAAAACTTAAAATTAAAGGATTAAACAAATCGTTTCAGTGTAATCATTTAAAATTATGAATCATAAAATAACCTAAATAGTTCCAAAGAAAAAGTAATTTAATAATAATTTATACTTAAATCGTTTGTAATTTCTCTAACTTATTTTTATAGATGTCAAATTCCTTGGAGAAAGAAAGGGGCTGAAAGTTTGACAACATCGCCAGGATTAAATCGCAGAACCCAACCGCCGACGAATAAAGCCCAAACAGCTCCTGTAACGGTAAGTGAAATCCTAATTAATCCTGTTATTTACTGATTACTATTACTCAATTATCTTGAATTATCGATCCGAATAGCGCAACTCGAGTTAATTCGAGAAACTCGGCATAGATGTGAAAACGAGACGGGCTGGGATCATCTGCCAATCGTCAGTTGCGTATACAGTATGCACAATAGACTGGAGTTGTGTATTTTTGTTTATCCGATCGTTATACAACAATCCGAGCGCGAATTGGATATTTTAAATATAGATGAATTAAATATAGGATGGTGATAAATTTAGATTTTCTACCTTCATGTGTTCGTTGACCTTTGAAAATCGATTTGTACATGTAGTTTTTTCTCTCAAACGTTATATTTCATGTTAATGAATACATTCTGCAAGGATATTGGGTTTCTAAAAGCCAAAGGGGGTTCCCATCGTTGAATAGTAGTAATGTTAACAACATGGTACATCAATTACAGTTAGACGAGACACGTTAGATGATCAACCGGTTGTCGTCATAGGTAGTCGTCGTCATTGGTAGTCGTTGTCATTGGTAGTCGTCACCGGCAGATGTCCTGAGACCATACCAGTAGCAATTTCTGTCGAGATTTACGATCGTTGCAACCGACAACGGGAGCAACGTTTACAGTAATTATCCGGTTACGCGAACCCTACTAGTAAGCACGCAGTAAAACGATCGATCGGAGTCTCTCAAAGCCGGAAACGAGCGGGGCATTTTATTTGGAAGTGAAGAGAAATCAGGGCTAGAAAAATGATTGTTTTCGATTAACATGAAGTGCTCTTTGCTTTGCTTGTCACGTACAACACTCATCCACTTACCCAGTTGTACAAAGTAAGAATTTAGCTTCGACTCAGTTCGTCTTTAAATCCTGTTGAGAACACACCAATAACTAAGTTATTTTGAAATGGTCTTATATTTTAGTGTAAGTATCCATATTTCATAATTATGGGATTCTCATAATAATTAAATACCGTGATTGTGGAACGCATTTCTTGTTTTCAACCTTCTCTCTCTTCCTCGTTAGTTCTCTTGAGTTTCCCCGGCTTTGTGCGAATCCGGACGAAATTCCGGGTAACTAACCGGACGGATATTTAATATTCTCCCATCACATTCACGTCGTAATATTCAAGCAGGATGTAGACAATGGGTTTTTTATGCTAAATTTGTACTTCGGTAAGCTTTTGTATTGTTAAATTTGTGATGTGAAAGTCCTATTTCGAATTAAAATATTTATTTTTGGATGATTTTTACTTGCATTTGCTGTAGTTTTAGTTTTAGATCAGTATCGTCTTCCTGAGATCTCTTGGAGTCTTTGGTATTATTCATCTTGTAACTGCCTATCTCTCTGTATGCAAAGATATCATAAAAACTTTTTCATTCATTGTCAAATCCAAATAAATGATCCTGTTATGATCGTGATATAACCTAATCCTCAATCGTTTTTTTTTCTTATAGCCTTTACATGATGGTAACAGACGTCGTTCACCGATAGGAGGTGCCAGCAGGAAAGCGAAAGCCACATCTACTCCGCAGCTGTTAGATCCTGCGGATGTTGAGAATAGGTAAGAAATGTTTATAGTCTTCGATAATAATTAAAAAGATCCTTATTTTTCTATTAATTTGTTTTTAAAGGAAGTGGGATGAGAAACAAGATGTTTTAATTGAAAATAGATTAAATCCAAAGGAGTATTCAACAAGAAGACACACAGCCACCGGTGAGTTTCTCCTTTTGTTATAGCAAGGTGTAATTTCTTTAATTGATTATTGTTCCCAAAGGTCAAACTACAGAAAGTGTATTACAAAAATTTCGAAAAACCTTTTCGCTACGTTTTCAAAAGAAAGGTAGCAAAGAAAGTTGCAGCACGGATTTTGGGGAGAATCTTCAAGAAGTTCAAGATCAAGAAGAGGAAACCATCCAACAGCGGTCTCATTCGGTATCACCGTCGGGGAGCCAATTAGTCGAAGTAAAGGATGAACACCCCGAACAGAAATACAAGTAATTATCTTTTTGAAAGCAATTTAAAATTTATTTTTACTATTTATTTTGGTTGTGTCAGGTTCGGTCCTTTGGTTTGGCGGACGAGTAAAGAAAGAAAAAAGCTAAACAAAGCCGCACGAAACGCGAAGTGCAACAGTGGCGACAGCGGCATCCAAATTGAGGTAATTTTATTTTTAATCTCGTTGTTTCACCCCGTTTTTAATTTTTATTTATTTTTTTTTTGTTGAGGAAATTTGTTTCATCGCGATTTTTTTTTAATTATAAATTCAAAAACATAACTCAACATGTCTTAATAACAGTGCCACTAATTATCTATGAAATTTTTAATAGGCTGCGAATAGACTAGTTTGGTAAGATATTTGTTTTAATAATTCTTGAGTAAACCCTTTTTTCTTGTTGCTACTTAACCACACTCTTCTTCTATTATTAATTTATTAAATGCTCATTTGTGAACAGTCCACAACCATTTATAAATTGAGATAATTCCAATTCCGTTCCCATTCGGAATCGGAAATTATTTAAATTAATAATAATTTCCGAGATCTAAATAGGTACGAAATTTGAAATAATCTTTTGTAAGTAGAAAACGCTTATCCATTTTTTTTTTAATTTGTTTGAAACGAATTTTGTTGTGTATATAAAAACGTAAACTACCTGTAGAATTAATTTGATTTGAACCAACTTCATCTGGATGATAACAAAACCCATTTGGGAGGTGAACCACAAAAAATAAAACACAAAACCAGGTTACCTGGAGCTGTATAATATAATTTATAGCAACCCTCCCGTTTTCAACGAGCGGTTTCGAATACCACCAATCCCAAAAGTAAATTTATCGTCCATTTCGTGTCGTGTACAAACGGTTATTGCGTTTTGAACCCCGTAATGGATCTCTCCAATACTCCACACTTTTCCACGCGTGATTTCGTCGCAATGATTTATTATTGTTGGTAAGATCCCCCATTTCGATTACATCTTTACATTTATTTTTTTTTTATACTATTTTCAGGAGAATTTTTGATTTGATTTCAGATGGTGCCTGCGTGCGGAGGCACAGGAGGCGATAGTTCCGAGTCCCATGATACCGATCAGCCCTGCGACGACCTCGACAGCCCACCAACGGTGCGTCGCAGGGCTCCAAATCGAGCAGGAAACGGTAGAAGCGCCAGACCACACTCTGACCTCATCAACCAAATTCTTATTGATAGGTTCAAGGTAATTAATACGTATTTAAAACCAATTTAAGCAATGGCATAATAACGCATTCCAACCACGTATATTTTAATAAACTCACGAAGGAGTTTTTTAAATACAAAGAAAGAGTTGGTTTAAATTTGGATATCAACAATTTTTTATCAAAAAAAGAAATCGATTTTAGCTCAAACAAATTTCTCAAAGGGGGTTATTTAGTTACAGACAACGCCTTCAAATCCTATTGTTTATTATGAAAAGGGGAGGTGTTTCCGGTCATTTTCGAAATAGCACCTGTGTTCCAGTCGTCTTTGTGGTTTCAAAACGAACAGGTGCGTTGTATCGAAAAAAAATCGTGTTCCAGGAAATTCTTTTTTTGATAAGCGCGACCCGTTTAATCGGCGCTTGCGCGAAATTCTTCTAGTCGCACAGCATCGACTATTCCACCCAGTAAAGATTCAACCGAAACCCAGACTACTTCCTTGTTTTCAGTTTCTTTCATAATTTCGTGTTATTAAATCGTTTTTAATCGACGAAATGACGTCAATTCGTTAAAAAAATTTTTCGTTGCATTCCAAACAGTGTTGTTTATTGATTTAACTTGAAGTGTTATAAAGTATGAATCACGAAAACGTAATCTACAACGTAGAGAAGGGTGTTGAAGTAAAAAAGGGGTGGATCGCTGGGTCCTTCTTTTTAGTGACGTGTTGAATTTTTCTTGTTTATGTTTCGTAATCATTGCATCTTCCTGTTTTAACTCTTTTTGCGAGTGCTTGCTATTTCCTGTGTTGTAATTCTGTGATAATTATGTGGTTTAAGAACGTCAATCGTATTATTGAATAAAATAATATTTAAATGAAAATTTAGCAATTATTAAAATATTAATAAGCGGTGAGTAATAATATATTAATTAAAATAATTGAAACCATTCAAAATCAATAACATATTTGTATGGTTATTATCAATGCTTTTTCTTGCTCATTATAAATTTTAAAGTTTATCGACACCAAAAACACAAACCTGCATAAAACACAGACGACTTAAGATGAAGAAAAAAACAGGAAGAGTACCAAAGTTAATGGATAACCTAATTACATTGGAATAACAAGGGAATAGACAAGATTGGAACATATACCTGAAATGGTAAAAGGTAAAATAAACTAAAACTGTTATCAGAAACTAACAAGATGGTAGAACGACGCAGTAAAAGACAAGGTACAGGAGAAGAAATGAGCATGGATTAGATACAACCAATGTAGAACGCAACAAACTAAAGAGGAATATCACCGAAAACGAAATGAGACAAAAGAAATTATAAAGCAAGCAAGATTCCTGGGAAAGATTTGCTAAAAAGTTCGAAGATGATTACAAAGGTAATCAGAAATAATTCTGGAATATGATCAAGATTGCAATAAACTTTATTCTTAACAATGTTGCTCTTTAACACTTTTTCTGTCAGATGCATAAATATCAATAAATATACCTAATGGAGAAAATTAGATGAAATCGTGGTTTTACATCATTTTGTTGGCAGAGGATAAATTTCAAAACGTTTTAGAAAAAAAGTTGCAGAAAACTTTATTTCTAACAATATTGCTCCTTAACACTTTTTCTCTTCTTCATTGTTTGTAAAGAATACAAACGCTACATGGAAGCGAAGCGGGAGAAGAAGATGAGGGAGCTAAAGACAATCAGAAATGGAAAGGCGGGGGGAATGGAAAAATAATATGATCCTAATACATAAGAAGCCACATATATACAATGAGAACATTAATAGATAAAACAATGGAAATGGCTAAGGACATATACCTAGCATTTGTGAACCTAACTGCAGTCTTTGATACAGTACCAAAAGAAGATATATGGAAAGCCTTACGAGCGTTATATATAAACAAAAACGTACAAAGAACAATTGAAAGTGTATATAGTAAGGTAAAAGAGTGCGTCAGGCTAAATTGAGAAATGTTCGAAAACTTTAATATGGAGAAGCCCACTACTATTTGTGATTTTTATGGATCAAATAATTAAGAAGTGTAAAACAAGAACAAGACCTTTCACAATAGGTTGTTACAAATTAACACCAATGGAGAGCTTTGATCTAGTGTATGCAGACTATATAATGCTGATAGCAAGTACTAAAACAGAACTACAAAGAAAAATTGCCACCTAGAAAACTTGTTTGGAAGAAAAGGGAATGCAAATAAATGTAGGAAAAACTAAGATTATGCATATAACTAAAGAGGAAAAGGATAAAAACATAATGATAAATGGGGAGGGACTGGAAATTGTGGATAAATTTGAATATTTGGGCACCATTATTACTAAAAATGGAACAATAGACAGAAAAATACAAAATAGAATACAAAAAACAAGTAATGTATATCAACAAGTATGTTAGAACAAATACAAAATACTGTTGGTAATTGAAATAGAAAACAAAACAGCTGAGCTGGTATGGACACCTAGTCAGAATGCCAGAAGAGAGAATTCCTAGAAGAGTAATGGAAATGGGAATAGTTGGAAAACAAAGGAGATAGTACGCAAAAGAAGTCTGCAGTTTTAGAAGATTGATAGAAGATCCCAACACTGCGATCCAGGGAAAATGATAAAAAAATTTATTGTATGATTTAACTTATTTTGAATGACAACCTAAATAAGCGGTTTTCGCAAACGATTAAAAATAACAAACGAATTGTTTAAACAGTGTATCGAGATCAATAATTTTTATTTTATTTATAGGCTGAATTAAAATCAAGATCACATCGACGACCGTACGTAAGAAGAACTCATTCCGATCTTGGTGGTCAACGTATTCTTCACTGGGAGACGAGATCTTCGCATCGTCGCCTCATGACTTCGCCGATAACCGTCAAGGGACGACCTCAAAGTCCCAGAAAACGACCACCAGATCTACCGGGGGCCGTACAACTTCGCGGCGGTCCGCAATATAGGCGCGGACAACTTCGTCGATCTCTAAGCCAACCTTTAGACATCGACAAACTATCACCTTTAATGAGACTGAAAACAACAAGTAATAAAAAATTAATTTAAGAAATTAATTTATTAATTAGAAACAAATTTTGTTGTAGGTTTCCGTAATGGTGGTGGTAGTAGTGTTGTTAGTGAAGACGAACACGATCGTGGAACATCTGATGATGATATGATGTCGGATTCGGAATCTTCGGTGGCTTCGTTATCAGAAAACCGAAAAAAATCCTTAGATTTAGCGATGGATTTGGAAGAGATGGTCGTTTTAGCTGAGGCTGTTTTCGATCATGTAGCAATCGAAGCTGAGGAATTAGCATTTCGAGCCGGGGATGTTATCGAAGTGCAAACGACGTCAAATAAAGATTGGTGGTGGGGTGCTTGTGATGGAAAAACCGGGTGGTTTCCGGCCGCGTTCGTGCGTTTAAGGGTTAGCCAAGAGGATACCGTTGAAGATTGTCTTGCTGCGATGGCAAATGGAAGATCGGTTAGTGGCCAAATTAGGCGCAGAACTAGTATTTCTTTGTTATCGAATGATCAGGTTCGGACTAGTGTAGTGCGGGAATTGGTGCATACCGAAAGGGATTTTGTTAAAGTTTTACATGACGTTGCCGAAGGATATGTTGCCGAGTGTCGAAAACGAACTGAAATGTTTACAGAAGAACAAATTGCGAGTATTTTTATTAATTTGGAGGATATTTTAAGGTTTCAAAGTGGATTTCTTAAAGATTTAGGTATAATAAATAATATTTTTTTAAATATTAATTAATTTTTTGCATTTTTTAGAATCTTCAATCGACTGGGAGGCACCCCATAAAAGTTGTGTGGGTACCTGTTTTATAAAACACAAAGAAGGTTTTACCATGTACTCGGATTATTGCAATAGTCATCCAATTGCGACAGCAACACTTCAAGAACTTTACCAGTTTAATAGTTATAGTAAGTTTTTTGAAGCGTGTCGATTAATGCGGGGATTGATTGAGATTCCTCTTGATGGTTATTTGCTCACACCAGTCCAAAGAATATGTAAATATCCATTACAATTGGCTGAATTGCTCAAATATACAAAAACGGACCATGAGGATTACGAACATATTAAAGAAGCTCTCGCTGCGATGAGAGGTGTCGCTATGTTGATTAACGAGCGAAAACGAAGAATGGAAAGTTTAGAAAAATTGGCCGCTTGGCAGCAAAGAGTTGAAGGATGGGAGGGCGAAGATTTAATTGAAAAAAGTACCCAATTAATTCACCAAGGCGAAATTATTAGAGTTACAACGGGTGTTTGGACGTCAAGTTTAACGTTATTTTTGTTTGATCATCAATTAATTTATTGCAAGAAAGATATTTTAAAAAGAAATACCTACGTTTATAAAGGAAGGATACATTTAGATACTACGGAAGTTATTGATGTTCCTGATGGTAAAGATACGCATATTGGAGTTTCCGTTCGACATGCGATTCGTTTATATAGCGTAATCAGAGATAAATGGCTTTTATTTTGCTGTCGATCAGCGTCTGATAAACAACACTGGTTAGAAGCTTTCTTGGAAGAACGTCGACTTGTCGCGAAAGATAAATTAGATGGAACCGAATTCCCTAACGCCGCTAAACAACTTGCTCGAATGGCTGCGAAATGTCAAAGAAGACCACCAAGAAAACCAGGTAATACAAATTAATATACAAGCTGTCTCAGCAAGACCAGTCATTAGACGTTTCTGGAGATCTGGCCAAAATAAAAATTTGAGAATTCAGATTTAAGTATTATATCTAATGACCGTTCTCGCTGAGACACCTGTATAACAATAAAAACTACTAATTTTTTTAATTTTAGGTGGTAAACACTACAAAAATGACTCAATTTATGTAGGCTCAATGCTTCAATTAAACTCGCAAAATTCAAATTCTTTGGGTCGCAAAGTGGGCACTTGGTTTACATTTGGTGGTAATAAAAAGGCTCGACATCATAATAGGGACGTTTCCTGAGATAAAACGACGTTACTGTAGCAGTAACGTGATGTGACTAAACTAATTTGGTATCTCACCAAATTTAAGAATGAAAATGAACACGCGGTCTAAATCTTGTCAATTCAACGCGCTTTTTAAAAACATTCGGATGCTCTTTGCACAGGGTCAAATATTTTCGATGAAAGAAAGAGGTTGTTGTCGACGCGCGATTATTCATCCTATTATTTTTGTTTTGTGATAGAACCAGTTTTATTTTATGTGTTTTTAGATCAAAATAAAAATGGATTGAGGAAATTTTATTTGTTGTAAAAAAATGTTAAAAAAATAAATAAGAATCGATAAATTAATGGTGTATTTAACCATTCCGCTTTGATCTCGATGTAGCTCTCTAAAAATCACTAATTAAAAATGAATAATTAAAAAATGATAACTAAAAAGAAAGAAACATATCTTTTTTTAGTTCTTAAGCTTGTTTGTTTTCTAATTTTTTTGAATTTTTAAATGGTGAAAAACATCGAATAATGTCACTAAAGTAGTTCCGAAAACAATTTTGTATATCGACTTTTATATAACCATTTTTTATCTATACACATAAAGAAAAGTAAAATAGTAAAGGAAATCAAGTATTAAAAATAAACTTAGAAATGTTCCCTAATTACACAAACTAAAGAAAATAGTTTTAGAAGAAAAAAACCAACAGTGATAATATTTATTAATTTTTTTAATATGGACCAATGCGCACACTTCTTACACAACTACTTAATTATTAATATTCCTCTTTTTTAATTAAATTATTGAAATCGTTTTAACTAATTTATAAACAATTATTATTTTTGTACCTTCTTCAAGTAGAAACGTGAATATAAATAAAATTATTATAGGACAGATTGTTTTATTGTAAGTTCGGATTTACTATATCTTACATCGTTACCTTTCTTTTTAATTGTTTCAAACAGTATTTTTGTATGTATATCTCTCTTATGTACGCGCCCCTCCTTGCTTATCGTTTTGTATAGTAAATTCGATAGAGAAAACCCCCCAATCTTGTATATAGCACTACTCTTGATTAGTGCATTTGTTAAATATGTTGTAGCCCGTTTTAAAACTAACGGAGTGTTAACAATTGTTAATTATTAAAAAAAAAATGATATCGTGTATGTTCTAATTGATGTATTAATAAATATTTTGTAAAAGTTAAATCTTTTAATTTATTTAAATATATCGCTAAAATAACTATCTTAATTATATTTTTATTTAACTATAGATAGCATTTTTTATGCTATTAACGTACTTTCGACCCATTAGTCTTTCAGCTTTTCTTTTAAAGACACTTGAAAGACTATGTGATCATTACATTAGAAAAAATGTACTTAAAGCGTTTCCTTTGCATCAGCATGCTTACATCAAAGGTAAATCTGTGGATACGGTCCTACACATTCCAAGGAGTCTATATTGGAAGCTCTCCTTGACATAGAGGGAGAGCGTTTGACAAAACCACCTTTAGAAGTATTAATCTGGCACTGGAATCTCAAAGACATCGCGGGCTAGATAAAAACAATGCTGGCAAGCAGAGTTGTTCAGGCTAAGGCGAAAGGTCACAGTGCAGAGAGCTGTGGTTAGAGGCTACCCCTACAAAGTGGAGTGTTCTCACCGCCTCTCTGGTACTTAACAGTTGATGATCTCTTTTGTGAGTTAAATAATAAATATCTCTTCATAGTGAAGAAAAAAAGTATCAAAAAAAAATAAATTAATAAGAAGTTATGGAGGGAACTACTATGAGCAACATCTCAGAATTATCTTTCGTATTGAAGGTAAGTGAATTGTTAACTAAATTAACAGGAATAGATTAAAGAAAATAATAACACTTAGCTTAGTCTGTTGGTTGCAGGATAAATAAGTCCATGGTACAGGTTCTGGGATTATCAGGAACAGGAACCAAATTGATGTTTCTTCACCAGGGTTGTAGCCTAAAGAAGTCCACGGTACGGGATTCTGGGATTATCAGGATATTATTTCTTTTCTTTGAATCGGAGAAAATCTGCAATTTTTTTTTTTCTTTGATGCTATGTCAAATTTATCTCTTTACATAACCTGCAACATTGCTTATAATGTTCGACGAGACAAGATTTGCGTGTACTCTCTCTCAAGTTCAAAATCACACTACTCAAATTTTTAATTTTCCTTTGTTTTATGTTGAAATTCAAAAATAGTGTCTCCTGATTGGTCAATTCCATTAACTTGAAATTCGTTTTTTAAAATTTCCTGATATTACCAACTTTAACATTTGAAATGTCACTAATTTAATTTGATTAAATATTATTTCAATTTTTATAATAACTATATTTATGTACGAAATCTTGTAGTTTTAATGCTTCTTTAAATTGCTTTTCAGATATCTGATCATTTTCTTCTATATTCAACGGCACAATTACCAGAATGCTCAAATCTTGAGATTATGAATTTTCATCTAATATTTCATTAATTCCCGCAACGGACGGCTGTTTTCCATTCTTACTATGCTAAGATTATCATTTTCAATAGTTTCAACCGGATAAAGAAGAATTTGAATAAGAAATTGAGAAAAAATAAAATTGAGGTTATCTATCTGTCAGGGGGTCTTAAAAATTACTTCGTATCGACTTTACATGGATTATATCGGAGTTATATACAATAGAAAATCATCAACGGCCTATAACACATAACGGAATTCATCAGTAAGTAATACTTTATATTACAAAAATAAATATTCTCTTACGTTCAATAAAATAAATCTTAAAATCCTCAAAATTACATTATTACATAATATTGTTTGTGACTGTTCTAACATCGCGTACATTAAAACCTTGGGTTGGTTTTCTGACGCCTGAGTGAACTGTAAATTCTGGGGATGTACAAAGGATTCACTGGGGCCAAGTGTGGTGAAGGAATTCACCCCCACATGAAACTACAAGATACATTACCTTAAAGATGGACATTTTATGCTTTAATTTACCTTGTTTATTAACTCCCAGAAATAAACCTGAAAAAATTTCGTTAAAAATGATTAATCAAATTGGTTCTGACTTTTTACAACCTTCTTATTAAACATTTTTCTCATTGATAGACATTTAGAAATGTTGCTGGACTGATAATAGAAGCAGTTTGATGTATATAAAGCAGTTTAAATAAATATATATTATTGAAATTGAATTTTAAAAAAAATACTTATGAAGTAGAGTTCTATTAACCCCTTCCACTTTTGAATAATAGATGTCGCTTAGAAATATTTCAAATTTATTTTTAAAAGAATGATAATTTTGTGTTTACTTTGATAAATCCGTTAAATTATCTTAAAGAAATAATCACTAATAAAATAATTTATTAAAAATGAAGAAACCTTGGGGAAATAGATTATTTAAGAAACGCCAAATGGTGTAAGAACGGAATTTTCCGTTGTCCGTTCAAGGTCGACAAGGTTGTGTTATATTTTACATGTACAAGATAAGAATAGCAATGCTGATTATCGTATCTCTTTATAAATAAAAAAGTACAACACCCAAATGGAATTTTATAATCAGATTACTCAATATGACTCAACAAGAAAGCAAAACAATCATTTTTAAAAGGATCCAAAATGTGATCAATCTTAATCTAAAACGTATCAAAATAACTAATTAGGTGTTTTATAGAGGGTTAAATAAATAAAAAGAATATTGAATTTGTCGCTCATGATTTATTAATTTTTCTTTTTAAACCCAACCTGTTATACACGACCAGTTTATAAACATCACAACTGTTATTTAAAGGATTCTTACGTTGCTTATTTTTAATTTTTTTTGTCGACACTATATACCTAGATAAATGTTTTACAAGTAAATGGCAGGAGAAAAACGCCAAAGAACGCTGCTGATCATCACAAATCTACTAAGAGAACGTTGTTTCATTTTCCAAATTTATCTTAAAATACAAAACTGGGAATGAAATAAAAATCAAATGCATTCTTAGAATTCTATTACAATAATTATTTATTAAACGTATCAAAAAGAAAAAGAAAACGAGATAAATGAATCAAAAAAAAATCTAAATATTTTTGTAGCCTTTTAAATCTTGAAAGAAAGACTAAATAAGTGCAGAAATTCTTTTGTTTAAAAAACGTTACATCTTTTACATTTAAAACTCATTTATTTTATTAAAGGAGTGGAACGAACTCTTTGTAATGTAAATTTTTGTTTTCATAATCGGTTTTACAATTGGCCACAATCGGCAACGACAATTTTTTTGGTTGTTTTTCCTGATTGAGAACCCATAGACTCAATATTTTTCACAACATCCATTCCTTCGACGACTTGTCCGAAGACAACATGTCTATTATCCAGCCACGATGTCTTAACGGTGGTAATAAAAAATTGGGATCCATTTGTATTAGGACCAGCATTCGCCATCGACATAATACCAGGTCCGGTATGTTTCAATGTAAAGTTTTCATCCTCGAATTTCGTTCCGTAAATTGATTTTCCACCAGTGCCATTGTGATTGGTAAAATCACCACCTTGGCACATGAAGTTTGGAATCACTCGATGGAAGGTGGAACCTTTATAACCGAAGCCCTTCTCCCCGGTACATAAAGAGCGGAAGTTTTCACTCGTTTTTGGGGTTACATCCGAACGGAGCTATTAAAAAAAATAATTCATCACATTAAAATTGTATACAGAGAGAAGCGCCATCTATTACGAACCGAGTAAATTACGATTAATTTTAAACATTATTGATTTATCGTCTAAATGAAAATTGAATACATATTTCATTAAAATCGACTTTTCCTTTAATTAAACACCAATTAACTTCAAAAACCACAAAATAATTTAACTTTTCATTAATAAATAAAAAAATAATACCAACTCAAAAAAAGAAATTCACTATTAAAATGATTAGAGACGCCATTACACACGCCTTAAAACCTACAATTTTTTAGCAGCAAAATCGATACTCAAACCCACACAAAGCAACCTAAAAACGTTTAATCGAACCTTTATTCATAATAAAACGGGTTAAACGCCCATAAATCTAATTAAATAAGGTCAAAAAATGTAAATGCCGGTAGCCGGCATTTTGACTCCCAATGTTCCGGGTTAAAAAAAGAAGAAAAGAACACGTGTAAAAACGACTTACCTCCATAACGATCCTGCCGAGGGGCTGGCCGTCCGAAGCCATATCAAAGTAAACACGTGGGAGACCCATTTTCTTGGCAAAAGAGCGAATGGAACCAAAGGACCACAGTGAACACGACGAAAGTCGATTCGAGAATGCGCACTGGCGGTAAATCGCGAAGATAGCCATGACGAAAAAAGTAGTCAAATCAGTTTTGCAAATACGTAAATTCTTATTAAATTGACCTAAATTCTGATGGAATTAGTTTTAAAGTTTATTTTAATTTCGTTAGACAATTTTAGTACGAAGGGATTTAGAGAAAATAGAGCGATTGATGCGGGAGAGGATTATTATGTAATGATTTTAACTGACAACCGCAGTACTTCGGGTGCGTTCTAGAACATTCCGATTTATTTCTTTTTTGAAATAACCTTTTAATAAATCAAATAAATCAACAAATTTTTATAAAATCATTACATAAATCGTTTGTAATTAAATCCAAAATGTTAATTAAAAATTTATTTAAAAAAAATACTTTGAGTGCCATCTATATTTGACGTTTCAAAATCAAAAATCCCGCGAATAATATAAATATATAAAAACCATTTTTAAGAAACATACAGTTTTATTCACTTATATTTACAAAACGTATATACGACTATAAAATATATGTATATACGAACTAATTCGTTTGTAAGTCTTGTATAATTATCTGAAAATCGATAGTCGCAAAATCGATACTTTGCCGTGTATCAGATACAACGTTTCTAACCATAGTGGTGAAAAATTGGGTGTGTTTAGGCTTTTCAGAGTATCTCTCGTATTGATCTAATGAATCCTGTAATTTTAAAGTTAAACTATCGTAATTTTTCCTAACAACCTCCAAGATTTGATCTTCTGAGGGTGTAGATAAATTCTGTGCCGTCAACCATTGTTCGATTTTCGGTGAAAAATGTTTTATGATCGCACGAATATTGATTAGGCAATTATTTAATTTTTGAGCATTATCCTTGAACTCGGAATCACCGCTTGCGTATCTTAATCCCATTGTATAAACATTATCAAAAACTTGATGCATTCTAATCAATTCATAATATAATTCATCGTAACTTCCGGGCGTTGGCAAAAAAGTATCTCCATAAGTAATAAAAAGATTTAAAATATTAACGACTTGTATTAACAGATCGAAAATATTCATTTTTTTCGTTAATTGCGACTCATTTTGAACGAGGAATCTCAATAATGTTATTAAAGCCGTCCAAAGTTCCTTCCATTGATAATTAATCCTCACTCTACAGCGTTTTTGATAACAAAGAATTCTATGAATCACCCCAATACATAACGTGTAGAGTTCCATAGGAAATTTTTTCATCATATGACTCATTATGAACTCAACCAGTAAATCTATTTTTAAAAATTACATCAATTACTCATTTTTATATTTTTTCGACGTAACTTACCTAATAAAGTTGAAGCCAGCGGTTGTGATGCCGCGATTTTATCAATCGACACTTTTCTATGTCTCATTGGCATCCTATGTAAATGAACTTTAAAAGTTAAGCTAATATCATGCATTAAAGAATTTGCATATTGATCTTCCGCAATACAACTTAAAATCAAAAAACATAATTTTACTGTATTCCCACCGCTTTCCGATTTCGTGTCTTGCATTATAATTGAACTAAAAAAATTCTTTTTTAACTTTTTATTAGTTTTATTTCTCATTGTATTATTAATCAACATATTTTTAACATAATCTATTTTTTTTTGCTCATAAATACTCACCAATACTGAAAGAAAGTTACTAATAAATTTGATGGTTGTGCAATGATATCAACAACCGGAAGATTAGTTAAATTAGGAGCCGATTGTCCAGCATTTAAAGTATTACTTGGTGAAGGGGGTAAACTTGTATCGGTTTGCGTTTGTGATAAAGTAGTAATAAAGTTTCGATTTAAATGAATCGCCTCGTACAAAGCAACTAAAAGCGCATTATTTGCTCTGATTTGTTGTGTACGAATAGCTCCTTCCTCAGAAATAAACATATTCCCTACCATATTTGTTAAAGATGATAACCAGGATGCGTTTTGCATTTCTGATTGTTGTAATGTAAATTGTCTACAAAATTCCGTTAAAGACGAAGTAATCACTTGTCCATATCCATTTAATGCTAACTCATCATCAAGAATTGACAATTTAACAACGTAAGGATTTGCAGTTTCATGTTTTCGATAATTAACTAATAGTGTTAATAAGAGTACAACATCATGACCATGCAGCTGTCTTTTTGGGGCGTCGCATAATAATTGCATTAAACATTCAAACATTGATGTTATCATTATGTACTCAACTAAAGTGTTCTGGCTCACATTTTCTGTTCCTGTTACAAATACCAATAATAATTTTAAACACAAACCTTTTAACGAGTCGGGGTATTCGCCCGTTAGAAAATTATGACAATGATCTAAGATCTTTTGCATCTTTTTCTCTGCATCTTCAAATCCAATCAATAAGTTTATTATATCTAATCCACTTTCGGCGGTAATTCTCTTATAAACGGCATGTACAAGAGCACATAATGTTTGCATAGCACAAATAATACGAATATACTGCTCCTTGCTTGCTTGGGGACCATTTTCGTGCGTTAATGTCTCAATACATTGACTAAATAGCTCGTTTATGTTATCTTTAACTGTTGTTGAAAGCTGTTCCTGAGTGATCTTTTGTATCTCATTTTCTAAGTGAGTTACTTTAGGTTTTAATAGGAAAAATTCATCCCAAAACGTTGCATTCGTTTTGTAGGTTTCATCCCCTTTGAAAAACGACTCGTAAATCTGAACAACCTTCTCTTTTAGCTGCCTTTTTGATCCCGAACCGCTCCTCTTTCGTGTTGTCATTTTTTGACAATCAAAAGATAGGTTAGAATTGTTTAACACCGGTATAAATTACTATTTTGAGTTAAAACCTTCCAGCAAATCGATATATTTATGTATGAAACGTTTATGATGAATTGGTTACCATATTCTTTTAGTTTTACTTGTAAAAACTTGTAAAAGTACGATTTATTTATCACTTTTAGATTAGATGTTACAGGAAGCTGAGTTACCGACTTTTCTTATTGACGTGACAAAGATAGGTTAGTTTTTAATAATAATTATTTAATTTAATTCGAAGCTTTATTATCTTTTATGTAAATATATGAATCTTTAAATTAATTTGATTTTAATTTTTATTAAATTGTTTCAAAAATCTTTGACGTTTCAAAATAATCCCTTGTTTATCGACCTTAAATCACTATATGCTTGTTTATAATCATCAAAATAACATTTAATGTGTTAAAGTCTTACGAAAATCTTCTATAAAACCTATAATGAACAAGAAGAAGCAGCGGAAACGGGATGAAAGCTCCTCCTCAGAAGACAGCTCATCTTCTAGCTCCAGTTCTAGTTCCTCCTCAAACTCATCGGAAGACGAAAAAAGGCAATCAAAGAAAAAGTCGAACACCAAAAACGTTAAAATAGTAAAAGAAGCTTCTAATGAAATCATAAAGAAGCAAATAAAACGTTCGAGGAGCTCATCACAAAGTGGGGTTAGATCAAAAGCCGAACACTCAAAGTGGGACAGTCCTGATGAAAAATCAAGAAAGGAGACGTAAGATTTCAACAATTTTATTAAAAATTAATAATTAATTTGTTTTTTGATGTAGTAACAAGATTGAAAGACCGCCATTAAAACATTCCAAGCACTCGGAATCAAATTACGAACAACAAAATTATGATAATAACCGAGATAGATATAAATCAGAAAATAGGTATCCAAAACGACCATCAAGGGAACGACAATATGGGGAACCATCTAATCCATGGAATTCAAAACGTAGAGATGGCGAAGAAAGGGAATTTAGACATCAAGGGAATCGACATGAAGCGCCAAGAAATCGCAGAAATGATTATAGAGATCAAAAGGAAAGAGATTATAGGAGGAATGATTATGAATCCAGGAGAAATGATTATGATACAAGAAGAAATGAGTATGATTCAAAAAGAAATGAGTATGATTCAAGAAGAAATGATTATGACTCAAAAAGAAATGATTATGACTCAAAACGAAATGATTATGATTCAAAAAGGAATGATTATGGCTCAAAAAGAAATGATTATGATCAAAAAAGAAATGATTATGATCAAAAAAGGATTGATTATGATTTAAAAAGAAATGATTATGATTCAAGACGAAATGATTATGAATCAAGAAGAAATCATTATGATTCGAGGAAAAATGATTTTAACAGGCGAAGACGTCGAAGTAGAAGTGATGATTTTAATCACAAAGATGCAAAATGGGGAAAAGACGGCGACGATGAAAAACCCTCAACAAAACCGGATCAAAAAGAAAAAGAAAAACCGAATTTTGCACTCTCTGGAAAGTTAACAGAGGAAACAAATACTTATAGAGGGGTGGTAATTAAGTATAGTGAACCCCCGGAAGCTCGAAAACCAAAAAGGCGTTGGAGATTGTATCCGTTTAAAGGGGATAAAGCACTTCAAACTCTTTATATTCATAGGGAAAGTGCTTATTTAATTGGGCGTGAGCGTAAAGTGGTCGATTTAGCTATTGATCATCCATCATGTTCAAAACAACACGCTGTATTACAATATCGTTTGGTTCCATTTACCAGGGATGATGGTTCAACAGGGAAAAAAGTCAGGCCGTATTTAATTGATTTGGAGTCCGCAAATGGGACTTTGATTAATAATAAAAAAATTGAGCCTAAGAGATATGTGGAGTTGCTTGAGAAGGATGTAATTAAATTTGGATTTAGTTCAAGGGAATACGTTTTATTACATGAAAATAGTAAGGATGAAGGCGATGACGACGATGTTAAAGACGAGGAGGTTGTCGAAAATGTTAAAAAGGAAAAAGAGTAATTTTTTTAGGTTGTAAATTAAATCTAAGAATAAAATAAGTTTTACTTAATTAAAAAGATATTGTAATTTGAGTGAATTAATAAAAAGTAATTAATTAAACAAATAATTCATGTTTTAACCCTAAGTACTAGCCTTATATCTTTTAATATAGTTCATTTTTTTTCTATAATACCTGTCAAATTGTTGTAAAGTTGGCAAAATTAACAGGGAGTTTTGTTTTATCATGTTTTGAAGTAAATATGTCACATTGACGTTTGAGCTTTCGTTATTCAAAAAGAAAAGGTGCATAAAAAGTGTTGTGGGGTGTTTATTTGCCATTCACTTACCTAGAAAAGGTATTTTATTCTATTTAATTACTTTGTAGCACGTTTTTATAACAAATATGTAGTTCGTCAAAATCGTATTTATCTAAAAATTTATTAGTATTTTAACCTCAACTAATTAGTTACTGACAATGTTACTAAAAATCATGAAAACAACATAAATTTTATAAGGGTCCTAGATAATACCAACAGAAACCCTAAATAATTTACATTGACAAGTATTATAGAAAAAAAACGATATAGTATATTATTATACGAGCGTGGCGAGTGACATAATTAACGTTTTAAACGTCAATGTGACACAAATTCAATGTTACCAACCGTAACCAACTTCACAACAATTTGTCAAAATTAAATGTCAATTTTTTGAAACGTCATGTTTTTTTTACGAAAATTAATTAATTTATGCTTACATACGAAAAAAGGAATTTGTTTACGTTTTTTAATGTTAAACCTATAGAAAGTCCTAAAAAAATTAAATTAAATTGACACTTTTTGAAATTTTGATGTTTCAAATAATTATTAGTCTGTCAAGTTGATTAATGATTATCTGTGAAAAATGACTATGCTTTTGTTAGAAAACTATATATTATAGAAAACTCATTTATACATTAGTTATACATAGTGATCACAAAACGTCTTCAGAGTTTGAAGTTGAATCATACAAAGTATCACATAAAATAGCCAGATGTAAAAAGGACTTATTCTGCTAGCTACGATGAAAATTGTAGAAACTATGTTTGAAAATAACTTTGCCAAACAATTGTAATCCATATCTCTTTCAAATGATACTGTTGCCCGCCGAATTGGTGATATAGCCGAAGATGTACAGCATCAACTTCTTGAAAAGTTGCGTGAAAAATTGTTTTCGATTTAGCTTGACGAGGCAACAGCTAGCAATAAAGATGCTCATTTAAATTAAGAAAATTGTTTATTGTATGTAAAATCGCAAAATCAAACACCCCACCATAGTATAAGTGTAACTTGAAAACACGATAGTACTTGAGGGTTAACTTTATTAAAATTAAATTTTAATTACATTTTCTGATACAGATACAAAACAACCTTTTCATGTTTTATTATAAACTACATAAATTATAAAACAACATTATTATGACTTAATAACTTAAAAACATTATAATAAAATTTAAAAATTAACAGCTACCGATAAATTTTTTCTTCAGACGGATAAGCTATAAAATAAGGTTGAACCGTTTGATGATATGGAACTCCTCGTCCCATTGTTGAATAGGTCGTCCGAATAGGTGACCCAGAAAGTTGTACTTTATGGGGTAAAGTAGCTGAATAGCCAGCTGTATAATTTGGAGGAACCGCATAAATCGGAGCTCCTTTAACACTGCAAGCGCAACTACTTCCCGGAATTGGAGGTAAAACCGGCGAATTATTATAGGAATTCGTCATTTTTAATCGAACAATACAAATAATAATTACTAAAATAGCAATGAACGCTACAACGCCCCCAACAATTCCAATTATTAAAGTATCATCATTATTTACAGTTGAAGGCGAGGTTTGTATTTTATTATTATTATTATTATTAACATTTTTATTTGTTGTTTTTGCTTTTTCAGTAGCCACTGACCAAATTATATCAGGTTCCGTTGTTTTTTGAACACTTTTCGTGACACTTTTTAGATTAACCGAAGAAGTTGAAATGGTTGTTAATTTTTTAGAATCACAAATTAACTCGTTTTCATCGACATCAATCAAAAACATATCTCTCAACCTCTCTGGATTACCACATTTCACATCAAACCCACTCGGAAGCCAACGTTTTAAAGCCTTCGAATTACAATCACAAAGAATAGGATTCGTATCTAACCCAAAAATCATCAAAGCTCGATCATCTAAAGTATTCAAAAGATTTAAATTTAACGTTGTTAATTGACTTCCCGTTAAATCCAAAGAAATATGCGATGATCTTGGAACAGGAAAGAATAAAGTTTGAGGTAAAGTACTTATTGAAGTATTTTTTAATCGAATCGTAATCTCTGAAGCTTTCAAACCGGAGAAAGTTCCCGAACTTAACGTTTTTAATCGAGGACCGAACAGACCTAATTCGTTTAAACGTGAGTTTAAGATATTTTGAAGTTGTTCTCCGGTTATTCCCGAATCTTTCGTTTCAATATTAACTTTTTCTAATGAAGGTAGGTTTAAAAGGAGTCCTTGAAGATCAAGATAACCTAACTTTGGGTAATTAAATGCGTCTAAATGAATTAGATTTGGCGTCGATTTGAATGAATTTTTTTCTAAACGTGTTAATTCGGGTAAATTTGATATTTTTAATGTTTTTAAGTTTTCCAATCCTTGAAAATCTTGATGGGAAATTGTTTCAATTGGGTTATCAGAGATGTTTAAGGATTGCAAATTTAACAAATTTTCCCAAAGTTTAGGGAAATGAGAGGTTTCTTTGATTTGGTTGTTGGATAAATCTAGTTTTTCGAGTAAAGTTGCTCTCTCAAAAACTTTTATTGGGATTTCTGAGATGTTATTAAACGACAAATTAAGCGAGGTTAGGAACGGTGTTTCTAATTGTGATAATTTTTTTATGTTAGTTCCGGCTAAATTTAAGTGACGAATTGTTTTCGGTTCACTTAAAACATTGCTTATTGCGTCTTCTGATAACGGGTTAAAACTTAAGTCTAAATTTTTTATGTTAACCATGATCGAGTTATCTCCGGGGATATCAACAATTTTATTCCTGGATAAATCCACTTTAGTTAAGAAAAAGAATTGTTTTTGCAACGATCGTAATGGGGCTATTTCAAATAAGTTTTTTGCTAAATTTATATTTTCGAGCATTTGTAATCTAGCCCGTTCGAAAGCAAATTCGGGCAAATCGTTCAAAAAATTACCTTCTAAGTTTAACGATTCTAAACGAATTAATCCTTCGAAAGTGCGCTCGCCGAATCTTTCTAATTTGTTATAACTTAAATCTACGACTTGTAATTGAGATGAATTGTGAAAAGACATCTCGTTGATGTTTTCGATTTGATTGTTGTTTAAAATTAAACTTCGAAGTCTTGGGAGACGCGCAAAATCTAATTCATCGATGGCTTTTAAATAATTTTTTGATAAATCAATAAATTCTAAAAATTGGAGTTCCATAATTAATTCAGCCGGGAAAAAATTAAATTTATTATTATTCGCTTTTAATGTTTTTAATCTGGGGTGGATCCGAAAACTTGACGGATATAGATAGCTTAATTGATTATTTGAGATATCGATTAGTTCCAAACTTGTTCCGGTATTGAAAAATTCACCTTTAAAGCTACTTAATTGATTATGTTTTAATATTAATTCCTTTATATTCATTAAATTAACAAACGCGGACTGACGGATGTTCTGAATTTTATTTATCGATAAATCCAAAATCGTTAAATTAATCATATTTTCAAAGCTTCGTTCTGATATCTCAATCAATTCATTATCCTTTAAATAAATTTCTTTTAATTTTAGGTTTTTATTAAAAAAATCAGATGATAAACTTTTCATTTTAACCCGGCTCAAATCGATAATCTCCAAATTTAATAACGGGTGTAAAATTGTTATTGGGAAACTTCTTAAATTTACATTCCCGCTTAAATCTAACCTCCTTAAATTCGCCAATTCTTTAAAATAATCACTGGAAATATTTGTAATTAGATTTTCACTTAAATCCAATTTCTCCAGTTGATTCAAACTTAAATTTTCATTTAAATTCGTTATTTTATTTTGAGAAAGGACTAAATTTACAAGAGTTGTTTCTAGCCCGTTGAACGTCTCCGAGTTTAGAGATGTTAATAAGTTTCGGGTTAAATCTAAATTTTCTAATTGCTCGAAATATTGAAATGTGGATGAAGGAAGTTCTCTAACAACGTTTCTTGATATAATTAAAGTTGTTACTTTTTCTGCTATTGAACGAAGAATTTCCCCCGATAAAGCAGCTATTCGATTATAATCTAATTGCAGAATCGATAAGCGTGGTAATCTTCCTAAAGCGGATGCTGGGATTAATAAAATGTTGTTGTCTTTTAAGTTTAGGTATTCTAAATTATCCAATCCTTCAAAAGAATCATCTTCAATCTAAAAAAAAAATAAATACACAAATTCAGGTATTGAAATAATATTAATTTATATGATTTACTTACAGTTCTTAATGAATTCACACTAATATCCAATTTTCTTAATTGTTTTAACCCCAAAAAGGTTCCAGGGACGATATTTCCAATATTATTCCTGCTTAAATCCAGAAAATATAAATTTACAAACGTTGCCAAATCATTATTATCCAAATTTTGAATCGAATTCGATGATAAATTTAAATATAATAAATTAACGAGTGGTTTTAACGCAACCGATGGGAATTCAGCGATGAAATTTTCACTTAAATCTAAGTGTCGTGCATTTTCAGCACCTTGAAATACATCGCTATTAAATTTTGATAACCTATTATGGCCTAAACGGAGTTGTTGAAGCTTTTCTAAACCAAAAAATGCACCACCTTCGATATTTGAGATTAAATTCCGATTAAAATCGATGATTTCTAAGTCCTTTTGCGCTCTGAATGTGTTAGATTTGATGAATGCTAAAAAATTAAGTTAAAATTAAGTAATTAATGATGATTTAGTTTCTTACATATTCGGTTATCTTTTAATGATAAAATTTTTAAGCTTTTTGGTCCGTTTAAAGATCCTCCGGGGGTTAACGAAAAACTATTTCTGTCTAAATAAATTTCTTGCAAATTTTGGCAACCTTCAAAAATTCCTTCTTCGATTGCTTTAATCCCATTTCCACTAAAATCAATTATTTGCAGATGTTTTAAAGTGTGGAATTCGCTTGTTGAAAAAATCGGGTTTAATGTATCTCCCAGAAGATTATCGGCTAATCTCAACTCAACCAAAGAATTTTGCAACTTCAATAATAATTTTTCAGTTACTCTTCTTAAAGAATTCCCGGAGAAATCGATCGAGCGCAACGGAAGTCCAGATAAAGCTAATAACTTGAATGAGGAGATTAAATAATTATTTGTTTAACAAAAAAAATAATTTACATTTGTTGGTAATGATTGATAACCAGCGTATCTTTGTTGAAATGATACAATCGGGGCCCCATAGGGAATCGCATTCGTTGAATCCGTTGAAAAAACAACTCGATCACAATCCATTGAAATAGCTGGGTTCCCTTCTAGGGCTGATTCAATTGGTCCTAAAGAACATCGACACGGAAAACGGAGTTCTCGTGAAATTTCCGAACATGGTCTAAAATTATCTTCAGCCAATGTTGTTACTGATAGAAGTAGAATTGACGCAAATTTAAAAAACATATCTGAAAATAAAGAAAAATTATCTTTCTCTTATAAATTCTAATTGAAATTTATAATAACTAGAAAGTGGTTGTAGCTATTTCCTCGGTGAAATTTATTGCGAAATTGAAATCAACAAAATAATAAACTTAACCTCTTAATTCAAACGCCAAATTTCTAATTTCCATTTAGCGCCATCTTTTGTTGGCTAGCTAAATGACAATATTTAAATGAATACAAACTTTCGATATTAATTATAATAATTCTAATAAATATTAAAAAAATAAAAGATAAATAAAAGCCTGTTTGAATCAGGAAACGAACGACGAAACCCGAATGTTTCTAATTCTCGGTTTAGTTATGATATCAATTCTGAGCCTGTGATGCAAATGGGTTAAGTTGTATTGATTTAATTTAGAAATAGTTTTAAATCGAAATGTGACACGTTCGATTCTGAGTATTTTGCGATTTCCTCGTTCCTTCTAACTGTACAAAAGACGTTCGCGCATGGCGAGATTGGCAGAAAGACATCGAAGAAACACATTCTTGGTATTCCAAGAACCAGTTCGATGCCGTTTTACAGTAAATTATGGGTTCCTATTTGCAATAAGGAAGAAAAAAAGAGTTGTGTTAAAATAAATAATCTCTACAGAGTGATTTCTTCAATAATTACGTCCAAATAAGAGTTGATAAGAAAATACAAAGAAAAGAAATTTAGAAATTGAAGAAATTCATTCGAAGAAGTTTTCTTCGATTTTATTTTCGAAAACTTGTTTATAACTAGTATAAAAGATGTTTTAAAAAACTAAAGTTTGAGTTATATCATCAATAAAAAACCGAGAAACATTATGTTAAAATGTCAAAGATCTATTGAATAATAAATTTAGAAACGAAGGTCAAACCTTTTCAACGTAAACAATAGTAAAATCTCCTAAATGTATGTACATTTTCTCTTCTTTGCTTAACGGTTATCGATAAAAAAACAGTTTGGAGAAAATTAATCTTTACACACACAACGTAATGTTTTAGTCTCTACGCGATTTCAAACAAACCTGTTAGATGGATTAGGATTTAAAAGGATTGTTTGACCTCCTTTTCAAACGAGGAATACAGTCGAAGAGTTTTTTTACCGACTCTTTACACATTACAGATAAATTATATTCAAAAAAAAATAAATTTTTCAGTCTAAAATGTCATTGGAAATTTTAACTCAAAGTTTTTTGAATCAGATTGTACTTTAAACCTTTACAAATAAATGATATCCATAATTTTATTATCAATAAATGCTTCTAATTTTACTTTACTCAATTTGACAGTTAATATTAAAACTGACCAAGATGGCCGATTTTCAAACCCGCCAACCTGAAATAAATTGAAATTACTATTAATAAATAAATAATTTGATTTCAAGATTTTCCTGAAACAAATTAAAATTAATTACGGAACAAATTACAAACAGAAACACAACAAAAAAGTTAAATATTTTCTTTTTAATTACATCGTTTAAAATTATTTATGCCGATAAAGTAGAAAATGTTTCTACTCCGATTTATATTGTCAAATGTCAAAATACCAAAACGTCAATTTATAGGTAATTTTTTTAACTTTCTCTTTCTTTCCGTCCGTAAATTATTTTTGAAATAATAATACCATAATTGAGTTTTTGTGGTCGCTTTCCACTCTTAAAACCGCAATCGGATCGAATAACTACTTAATTTTAAGTTTTATTTTCTTTTTAGATGTTTTTTTTTATGTACCTACGTTTTGAGAACGTTAACATAAATATCTGTATCTAAAATGGACGGGATGTCGTTAAATTTGCATAAAACCACACTACGTTTTGTAACTGTTCATTGGACACATATTTATTTTGCTAACTTTAGTTATTTTGTAACTAGGTTATGTTTAAATTATTTTAAATATTTAAATCAATCGATTTTTCGTTTAAATTGTAAGTTAAATAACGTTTTTTTTCGTGATTTTATCGCGTGTAGAATAAACTGTAGATATAGTTAAGTACAGTTAATTCTCGTTCATCGTACCATTGAAACCAGCCAATTGAAATGATAATTTATTTAAAAAAATAATTCGAACCTAGAAAATAAATAATTTTATTTTTAATTTATCTGATACATTTTGAGGTCGATTTTTTTCTTAATCGTTTAAAAGAGGTTCTTCTCGTGAAGAAACTGAAGGGGGGCCGAGAAGCACGCCCCGGTGCCCCAGTAATTTCGATTAGCGGTTCTTGAACCCCGAGGCGTTGTTTTTTCTTCATCTTAGCGAAGATACGTGAACCTCTTATTCGTTTTATTGACTTTTTTCTTGTTTTTGCCGTCCCGTTTTAATTTATTATGAAGTAATTGGGAATAAAAAAATGATTTATGGATAGTCGTTGAAATTTTCGCAGTTTTGAGGTTATCTTATTGCGTCAAATTGACAATAATTAATAATGTCGATAAAGTAGAAAGAAAATTGTGAAATATCAAAATTTTTACAAACTTTGTAATGATGTAATAATAGTTATTTGTATTTTATATCTCGAATGGAATACCGAGAATACCCTTGGCATTTCTCGCTTCTTCTGTATTGAATAATTTCTGAAAGTTACCGAGAGGTCCACACCCAATGTGGTATTCTCTTTTATAAGGTTACCGATCTTTAGTAAAGATTGTTATAAGATTTATTTAAACTAATTTAAATTTTCACTTTATTGATTTTGTAACGAACAAATGCTTTCGCCTTTAACATCATTTTAAAAGCATCTCCTTATGAAACGAAAGATTCAATTTAGTTTTGTATTTCATTTCCTTCACACTTTCTTCTCATCGGTTCATCTAATCACCTCATCACTTTGCTCATAGACCATAAAGAACACCTGTTTTTAAGTATCTTTGAGTATTATTTCATTTTCGTTGCGTTAAAATAACGAATGAAGATAATTAAATTTGTAATTGACATAAAAAGATTTTTAAATTTAAATTTCCTATATCCTTGTATTTATCCACTTTCTATTCAAATGTAATTACAATATTTAAATTTTTCTTAAGATTCTTATATCACAAAGAACCACTTTTGTATTTACTTAATTAATTTAGTCCTGTATAAAAAATTTAATGAATTTTTTTTCTAATTATATAATCGATTATTTAAAAAATTATTTGAAAATAGTAAAGGTCGCGGTGAAAGGAAAATTCGTTACTAGTCTCTCTCCCCAATGATCTCATTTCTTTTTTAATACCAGTTTTTATTTTTGAAGGTCGAAAGATTACAAAAAAATCAATTTGATCGTTGACATCCTGCATTCTTTAAATTACCTTAAGAAATTTTAAAATATCGTTCCCATTTAAGAACACACCTTCGTAAATTATTAAAAATCATTAAAAATCAAAACTTACTTTTTTTCTTTCCAACAAATAAACAAAAAACAATATCACTTCCTCACCAATTTTAATTTTTATTTAATTAAATAAGTTTCTATTACGTATTTTCATAGATTCGCATTTTAAACTCAATTTTTAAACTCTAAAGTTCTTTTTTGATTTTGAGAACACTTGATAAATTTTTTAGTCGATCACACGCGATGTGGAGGTAGTAACAAGAATGTGTTACCCGTCGTCTACCTCGAGGTGTTCAGTTGTGTACAAGAGAAGTTACCTTTCTCTTGTCCACTGTTGGAATACCTTCTCACCATAGAAATATTTACCGTAACCCAATATTACAGGTGTAGGAATCGTTGGAGAATCAGTGACGACCCAAAACTTGTTTTTTTTCTTAATGAAAAATGTTCTATAACTATTTCATAACTTAATTAGAAAAGATAACACTTTAAGAATAAAAAAATTATAATCATTTAAAAATTTTAAGTTAGCCATACATTTTTTTAAATTAAGTTATGCAACCAATCTAACAGTTTGGTTTTTTTTTTGTCTGAAGACAGGACAAAACCCGAATGTTTCTAGTTCTAGGTCTTAATCTAGAATTATCTTAATCTTCTAGAATTAAGCAACTCCTCTAAATTATAAATAGCATAATTCATCATTTCTGGTTGTTACAAGAAGTTATTATTAGTTTGTTAATTTACAACAAATACAGCCACTCAATTCAAGTTCCTCTACAAAACATGGACCAACAATGAAAATTTTTATCTTTATTTTTTTTTTCTTTATACAATTCAGGATGTAACTTAAATAAAATCATCTAATTTCTTAAATAATTTCAAAATAAATAAAATGATAACTAATTAATTAAAGAGTATTAATTAAGTAAATACTTTGTATGGGATCCTTTAACTAATAAAGTTCCGCTTGGTTTATCTTTAATTTCAACTGATAAAAATGCCAAATTTTTGCCAACCTTTAAAGTTTTTGAATCTATTACGATGGTATCACCAACTTTAGCCCCTTTAAGAAAACTGAAACTCAAAAAATAAGCAACTTTTATTTCATTTTTGAAGCTCTCCAACTTACTCTATGCTTAAATTGACTGAAACATGTCCACATTCGCCTTTTTCGTGCGTTAATAAAGCACAACTTGATAAAACGTCAACTAATGTTGTTGCAAATCCTCCATGCAATCCGTGAAAAATGTTGGTTTGTTCTGGGAGGATTTTAATTTCACTTATACAATTTCCATTCCCAGCAGATATGATCTTAACCTATAAATTAAACAAATTAAAAAAATCTTTAATTATAATTATTATAAAACTTACATTGTGCATGACTTTTTCAAATCCATGACATTTATTTAAAAAGTTTAAAATTTTTGTTACACCTGAAGAAGCCATAACCTCAAATAAAATCGATTTTTTTCTTTTAGAGTATTTTACTTTAATATTAAATATTTATTTAAACCGCGTTCAATTCTATTATGATCGGTATGAGTATATATTAACAATACATTAGTATTTAAAGCCTCCTAAACGCAAAAATTGAGTAAACTAAGACCTTTGTACTTTATAATGTAATACTTGTAGGATGTGATGATGTAATAATAGTAAAAATGCGAGTAATTATAGTAAATCTAAAAAATTAGATTTTTTTTAAATTTTTTGTTAGATAAAATAAACCAGTTTTAAAAATAGCCTCTATTAATTTTACCTGATAAGATTTAACATAACCTCAAATTAATAAAAACTTTTTTGGACATTTACACCTTATTTATTGATTTTAATTAATATTAATTAATATATTAATTAATTGGTAATTTACTATCATTTTTATCAATAAACAATAATATATTTATTTATTTTGACATTTGATAGGTTAGTTTTATGTCAAACTTGACATTTCTAAATGTTTATATCGTTTATATTCAACTAAAGGGTTTTCTTGGAATAATCGGAAAGAATCATCAAAAATGTCTGCTATGTTAACAGCAGATTGGTTTTTATTAGGAAGAGATCTTTATTACAGGTATTTCAATTAAATAAATTATAAATAAAAACATAACCTATTTCCTTGAAGGAAATTTGATGTGTATTCAATGGGATGGCAACAAGAAGTAAGTATGGAAAATGTAGTTTCCGCAGTTGCTCCATACGGTGGTCCCATAGCTTTAATGCGAGATAAAACAAAGCCTGTTAAAGTTCAGGGTTCCGTTCAAAGCATCATCCCAATTTTTTCACCTTCCGGCAAGAAATTAGCAGCAGTAAAGGCAAGTTTTTATGATATAAAAAGTAACATATTCAAATTGTGAATGTTTAGAGTGGTGGAATCCCAATTATAAAAATAGGATGGTCAAATCAAGAAGAACTTATTACTATTCAAGATAACAGCTCTGTTTCTTTATACACAATGTATGGGGATTTTATTAGAACTTTTGATATAAGCCAAGAAGCTAAAGATACTAAAATAATTGATGCACTTATATTTACAAATTCTTCAAATTTAACTGGAATTGCCATTTTAAGCACTACATTTAAAGTGTTTTTTGTCAATAATATTTATGATCCAAAAATGAGGGTTATGAGTGAATTACCAAGTAAGCAAATATTTAATTTTTCAATTTTAAAAATTGATTTGATTTATTTTTAGGATCTCCAATAAGACCTGTTTGGGCTGTTATACCGAAAGAACGAGATATGGAAGTGTTAGCTGCAAGAGGTAGAGAAATTTATAGGTTAACAGAAGATAGAAATGTTACTGCTATGGTTAATATTAATTTTTATTAGTTTTGAGATTACTGATACAGTAATTTTTAGCTAGAAGTCGATATAACTCATCAACATCACCAAATTTTAGCAATTTCTGTGTCATTTAATACAAAACATGTTGCTTTTTTTACTGATGCAGGTTATTTATGGTTAGGTTCTGTTGATTTAACAAAAAAATATTGTGAGGTTAATACTGATATAATAACAACGTTGCATCAATTAGTTTGGTACTTTTTTTTATTTATTAATTGTTATGATTTATAAGATTTCAAATTTCAGGTGTGGAAATGAAGCTGTTGTAGCATTTTGGGGGAGCAATGATAAAACGTTAATGATTGTTGGTAAATATGGGGAAAAAATTACTTATTGTTACGATGGTTCTGTGCATTTAATGCCGGAGATTGATGGAGTTCGTGTTATTTCATCGTGTCAACATGAATTGATTCAGAAAGTGCCCGATGTGGTACAAAAGATTTTTAGAATTAATAGTACTGAGCCAGGGAGTTTTTTATTGGAAGCTTCGAAACAGTTTCAGGTAAAAAAATGTATTTTTAAAGGGTTTTTAAAAGGATACTTTTAATAATCAGAAAAGAAGTCATAGAGCTGATGAATACATTTCTTTGGTACGGAACAATTTATTAGAAGCTGTTGAACAATGCATTGAAGCTGCTGGATATGAATTTGATTCCCAAGTACAGAAGATGTTAATAAGAGTAAAAAACTAATTGAAATAAAAATGTTAATTGATTAAAGATGATTTTAGGCCGCACAATTTGGGAAATGTTTCGTTGCGAATATCGATCCCGATCATTATGTGAAGATGTGTCGAGTTTTAAGGGTTTTAAACGCTGTTAGAGATCGAAAAATCGGAATTCCACTTACATATACTGAGTAAAATTAAATTGTAACAAATTTATATCTAATTTAAAGAATTAATTCATTTAAGATTGTTATATCAAGGTCACAAGTCTTTATTGGATCGTTTAGTTAAAAGACATCATTATTATTTAGCAATTGAAATTGCTAAGTACTTAAAAATGCCAGAAAAAGATGGCAGTAGTCGTATTCTTGTTCATTGGGCAAAATATAAGGTAAAAATTGTTAAAGTTTCATCATGTTGACATCCAAAAAGTCAAAAATTAATTTTTTAGGTTAGAAAACAAGGTATTGATGATGAAATTTTATCAAGGCAAATAGCTGAAAAATTAAATTTAGCTGCTGGAGTATCCTTTAGCGAAATAGCAAATGCTGCAGATTCAGCTGGGAGAAAAAATCTTGCCATTAAAGTACTTCACAAAAACATAACCTCAAAGAGAAAGTTTACCTTCTTCTTTAGCTTTTAGAATATGAAACGAAGTCAAGCGAACAAGTTGGATTATTATTGAAATTAGAGGAGTATAAACAAGCTTTATTAAAAGCTTTGGAAAGTGGTGATACAGATTTAACTTACAAAGTCATTTTAAAATCGCATAATAAGTTATCAAGCTTAGAATTTAAAGGGATTATACAAGAATTTCCGGTTGCTTTATCTTTATATGTTAAGTACTGTAGGGAACACAATTCGATTGGATTAAGAGATATTTTGAAACTATCTGATGATCATAACGCTTTGGGGCAACTATCCGTTATTGAAAGTATTGATGATAAAGTAAATAATGATTTACTTTACAATAAGAAAAATTATTCTAATAAATTGTTTTTAGAAAAAGTTGGATCAAAATTCATTACTTTGGTCGGCAATTGAATCTTATAAAGCTGCAAGGAACGATTTATGCGCAAATTTATGCGAAGATCAATCAAAATTAATTAAAAAACAAAAAAGTTATGAAGAAAAGTATCATAAAGATTTCAATGGAAAGTCAATTCACGATACTTGTAAGCTTTTATTGGATATGAACGAACTAAAAGAAGCCGAAAAGTTTAAAAATGAATATAAAATTCCTGATAAACGATTTTGGTGGTTAAAAATACAGAGTTTAGCCGATAATGAATGTTGGGATGATTTAGATTTATTGGCTAGATCGAAAAAATCACCGATTGGATATGCTCCGTTTGTTGATGTTTCTTTGGAAAAAATGGGCTCTTCTAGGAATACAGACCAAATTAAAAGATTAATTAATGGATTTTTAGCAAAAGTTTCTGATGATATTAAAGTGAAATATTACGTGAAAGCTGGGTAAGATAGATTAAAAATAATTATTTTTTAAATATTTTTGAATTTTTTTAAGGTTATTAGAAGAAGCTGCGAAAATAGCATTTGAACAACGCGACATACAGAGTTTACTTTACGTTCAAAGTAAATATCCGAGTCAATCACCACTTTCTGAACAAATAAATGGATTCATTGCACAACTTGGTACAAGGAAAAGCACTCATAGTTCAATTCCTATTTTTAGTTAGAAATGTAATTATTATTTAATAAAATGTTTTGATAATTCAAAATAATAAAGTCATAAATACGCTTGAATAATTCATAAAACAATTACTACGCCTATTTATCGAATGTTATTGCAAAAATTGTTGCTGTTATTATTATCCAACAACAACCTTGAAATGCTTTTTACTCGACGTTAAGAATTTTACAAAACTGAAGGCATCCCATAAATGAGTCGAGTAGTAATTAAACGTAGATCCTGTAATGTTCCTTTTTAAATGATTAAACTTTTAATACAAAATTTAAAAAATTGAGGTTATGTTTAAAGTTTTTGACAATGACAGTACCACGTTCAAAATAAGCCGATGTTTTTTTGACAAAAAAAATTGAAAAATAATATTTATTTACGATTTTTAAATAAATTTTTACATTTGATCCAAAATTTCCTTTAAATCCAACATTAAATCATCATATGAAACAAAATTAAAAAGAAATCGTTCTAAAATTATCAAAAACCGTTTCCATACCGGCATCGATTTATTTTAGGTATCCTATACATTCATTCTGACTCATTCCTCCTAAACCTTTTTGTGTTTCTGCTACGTGGGTTTAACGGAAATAAAAATCCGAAAAAAGAAGTATTCAATCTAAGAGTCCTCCTCAAATGACAAAGACAGTTAAAAACTAAATTGGAATGGCAGATCCACGTATAAGGACATTAAAAATTAAAACTGGCATTGTGAGAAGATTAGCGAAAGAAAAGGTAACGTACGAACAAGAAGCTGATGGTCAAAGGGAACGTATTGAGCGAATGAGACGTGATGGAAAAGACGAATACGATGTTAAAAAGCAAGAGGAAGTTTTACAAGAGAGTTTAATGATGGTTCCCGACTGTCAACGTCGCCTTGTCAAAGCTTATGATGAATTAAAAAATATTCTGAGTTCTGAGCAAGATTTAAAAGACAAAGAAGAGTATTTAAATGCAATGAGAGTGTTAGAAGAAGCCAGGTTACAGTTACCAAAACCCGGTGAGGTCTTACACATGTGCTAAAAAGTGAGGTTAAAAACATTAAATATAATGTCGAATTATTACGATTTTGTTAACCCAACGGCGAATACATTCCATTCGCTCGATCCGCGTTTAAATTATAATTTAAATAATCAAACTAATAAGGACTCGCTTCTACATTTTGCCGAAAGTCAAAATTTTGATTTAACTTTACCATTAAAAGAAATCGTTGATCAAAAAACCGACGATGAATTATTCATCGAAACTTGGCTATCGAAAATAGGAAAAATCCAAATCAATTTAGATTCAACAATAAACATCACACAAACACAACCAAAAAAAGTATCACAACCTCTTATTAAATCTCCCATTAAAATAAGCTCAGCAAAGCAATCGTTAAAGAAGTGTTTGGAGATCATCGCAAAGCTTGAAGAAACCCAACTTGAATTAAAATCAAATGTTGAAACAATGTCGACAAACGATTGGAAACGAAAAACTGTTGAAATTGGAAACTTAAAGCACGAATTTACCACATTAATGGCACAATTTGAAACTCATTCTTTAAAACAATTAAAACGGATTGTTTCTAAACGCTCTAAAAAACGTTTAGCACAAAAATCACGAAAAGCTAATAAAAAATTGGAAAGAAATTTGAGGTTAGAAAACCACCGGAAAGCTCATAAAGAGATTGACGATTGGTTGGAAAACATGAAAGACACAGTCGAACGTGCTAAAGCTGAAGAAAACATGAAAAAGGATGCAGATTGTGTTTTAGCTGAAGTGACTAAAAAGAAATCGGATGCTCGAAAACAACTCTCATTAATTTCCGCTTTGATTAAATTAAGAATGGTTCGTGAAAATATTTGTACACAACGCGGTGAGAAAACTTCCCTTGAAGATAAATCTGCTTTTAATATTACAACGGAACGCTTAACGAATATGTGGGAGGACATGTCGAAGGTTTACGCAAAAGAAGAACAAGGATTGAAGGTTATGTTAGAAAAAAATGCTTCTGGTGATCAATTAAATGGTCTAAAACGGAGTGATCAGTTAATTCGCGATTGGGAACGATGCATTTTTGGACCTAAATTTGTTCCAAATCAAGCGTATTATGGATTAACTTCAGCCGAAAAGAACATGGAAACGTTTATTGCTATACGAAAAAGTTGGGACACTTTTCTTGATAGAAGTAGTGAGGGTGAGGGTGCAAAAATTCCAATCGGTTGGGTTTTACCAAATGAAAACGCTCTGGATGGATGGACCAAATATTTGTGTGAAGGAATTTAACTTTTTTTGACATTTTTTTATAACTGTTTGCTTTAGTTTTAAATATATGTTACTCATCTATTATTAATGCGCATTCATCAATAAAATATTAAATACAATTTCTAAATTTATTAAAAAAACACAGTTAAGTTGGCAATTAATCTAGTAATCTCTCTAAAATTCCCTAAAGTTATTTAACATAACCTCAAATTTACCATAACCTAAGATTTTAGTAAAAATTAATGATTTATCCCGATATTTAGTCATTATAAAAACGAAATGAATAATTTTACAGAAAAACTAACGTATTTCTTTCGAAAAAAGTCTGTTCGTTACGCAATTCCATTTTTAACGTTAGTTGTCGGTGGGTCTTTTGGTTTAAAGGAATTTTCACGACTCAGGTTAATTATTATTAAGTTGTATTTTATTTATATTATTTAATTATAAACAACTTTTAACTAGGTATGATTTCTCTCGCGTAAATCCAGTGAGAGAAGAAGCCCAGAAAGTAGGTATAGAAATGAAGAAACCTTCTGAAATAACTATAGAAAAGGAATACGAACGATTAAAAGAGCTCGATATAGATAATTGGGAACAAATAAGGGGGCCTAGACCATGGGAGGAAAATTTTGAGGAAGATGAAGAAAATTAAAAATATATAAAACAAAAAATCTGTGATAATTTTGTTTAAAAAAATATTGAAAATTCTTTAGTATTAATAAATAAAGTATGTAGTATTAATAAAAATGAAAAAATTCATTTGACAGTTTTGAGTTAATTGACAGCTACATAACCTTAAAGTCCACATAAACATAACCTAACATTTTTATAAAATAAAGTAAATTATTTAAAATGTTAATCAACGATGAATTAAAATCGAAACAATTATCATCAAAACAATCAGCAACGAGTTCAAATAACGCAAAGAAACGTAAAAAACGTGATTCGGCTTCAAGTGATGAAGAACGATGGTTAACAGCGATAGAATCGGGGAAATTAGAAGACGTAGACGACGAATTGAAAAAGATCAAACCAAAGGATCCCGCTTTGATGACAGCTCGACAAAGGGCGATGTACGATAGAGGATTAGAAACGTCTTCCGGAGGTACTCCCACGTTAATGTCTCTACCAACAGGTTATAAAGAAAAAGTCATGACTGCGGAAGCTATTCAAAAAGCCGCTATAAAATCACAAAAACGGAAACAAATGGCAGATGAAAAGCGAGAAAAAGACAAAAAGAAAACTATGGAACGGCTGTTAAAAAAGCAAGAATCGAAAGTTGCTAAATCCGTTAAAGCGAAAACAAGTAAAACTAGCGCTCCAGTTGTTATTTATAGGCAAAATGTATTTGGGAGAACCTTAACATTTCCAGAAAATATGGATTTTCCTTTAAAAGACTGTAGAATTAAGGAACCACCCAAACCCGTACTTTGCTCAATGAACTGTGGTGGGTTAAAAAGGTATAGTTGTTCAAAAACGGGCGTTCCTCTATGTAGTTTTGAGTGTTATAAATCAAATTTGAAGAAAAGCTCATTTTAATGTGAGTTGAATTAAAGATAAAATTAATAAATTAAGCGCCATCTATAGGGACTAACCTTAACCGTAAAGATTAAACGAATTTATTGATTCCGTATTATTTTTAGTTTTTTATCTTAACTTTTAATTTAATCATTTTTTAAACATTTTTGTCTGGATGATGTAGTTTTATTAATTTTATTGTTAATTAAAGATGTTAATTTAAATTTGGCGGTTATTTTATTGACTCGTAAAGCGCCATCTATTATGAACAACCTTAATTGAAGCTATTATCGAGCGGGAAGCAGCTGCGTCATTACGCCATTTTGTGTAGAGATTATTTTTAATTAGTTTCAATAATTAATTTTTAATTCTTCTTATTACGCCTTCTACGCGCGGTTTAATCGATGTTTATCAATAAAAAACAATAAACAAGAAAAATTTGCGATTAATTTTTTCCATTTTTTTCCGGTATAATTAACCGTATACCACGGAAGCGACACCTACAGTCACAAGGAAACAATATATGTTCAATATGTTTATGCGTCCTCGGTCTGTAGAGATGGAGCTATAATTTTAATCCCGGCAAAAAGGTGAGTAGATTTGAAACTAAAAACAAATATTCACCGTTCTAAAGTTATGTTCTTCGTAAACGTGGGTCCCCAAACGGTCGATTTGCAGACCACGCACGGATGTAGACTCTTAACCCCGACAAAAAACCCGCCCCCACGTCTCCTCACACGTTGTTTACCTTTTCGTTTTACTTCACCAACGTTCTCTGTAACTGTGAATAAATTCGATAACAATCAACAATAACAAGAATAACAGTTATGATACATAACCTCTAATTTATAAACTTTCTTTTGTTGAATAAGATAATAAATAAACCAACAATGGGTGATTCTAATAAACAAGTAAGGGTGGACAATTGGGGAGTATTTTTCCTTCAACGGTTGCAAGTTTTCTTTAATAAAACGGATTATTGTGATCTAACACTACAGTTTGAAGGAAATGTTCAATTGAAAGTTCATCGTTTAGTGATGAGTGCTTGTACGGAGTATTTTAACATCTTAGAACATACTTGTGAGATGATTGATGGTAACACAATCGTTATGCCTGATGATTTACAAGCTGATGTAATCCTTCCGATTGTGAACTTCATGTATACGGGAATGTTGGAGTTTCCAATGCCAATTTTTGATAAACTTTATAGAACAGCCGAATTAATGAACATCCCAATTTTAATAAAATTATTAGATGCTCAACGAAAACCAATAAAAAACAGTTTAAGACGACAGCAACAAACGGCGTGGCAAAATTTAAAGAAAATTAAACCAGACCCAGAAACTCCAGCAAGAAAACTACCCGTTTGGAAACGAAAACACAATAAACCACCTTCACGGACGTCTTCTCCTCAATTATTTTCAACAGAAACAACAACATCTTCAACATTATCACAAAAACGGAATTCCGCAGCAGATCCTTTAGCACTGTACGATAATGCCCCAAAACCAACACGTTTCGAATGGCCTGAAGATGATTTAAACAACACTTTTAACCTCATCGACAGCTCGTTCGATGACATATCTTATACAAGCAAGCCGTTATTAACCCAAGACGATGAATTAAGAGCTAGCACTTCATTCGATGCGGTTAAATTCTCAGCGAATGTGAATCCACCGAAGAAAAACAAAGATTATCCCTCAAATATCGATTTAAATGATGTTCGGGAATACGTTAAGGAGCAAAAAATTAGAACCGAAATGGAATTTGAAGAGGAGGATGAAGACGATCCAGATAATTATTTAGTTGAGAGCCATAATAAACGTAAATTAGGTAAAGAAGGTTCTCCAATGCACTCTAAAAAGGTTCGATTTACTGTTAGTGAAAAGGAGAATAAGGAAACAACGATTAGTGTTACTCCAAAAACCGCTGGGGAAATGGATCATACTAAAATAATATCTGAGGTGAGCTTTTTTTTTGCTATAATTCAAGAATCATCATGTCGCTTAAAAATCGACAATTTTTTTTTTATCGGCGAGAAATTACTCAAGTAAGCCGTTACAAATAAAAAAAATGTGGAAAAGTGTAAAACTTACCGAAAAATCACTTTAAAGTTTCGACTTGACGTGCTAACCATATATTTTCGCAGCACATTTGGTTGAAACGCATATTTTCGGGTAAAATACGGTTGTTTCTTAGGTTTGCGACGCACAACGACTAAAATGTCGTTATTTGCCATCTATAAACTAAAGATAGCCTAAAATCTATACTAATCTATCAGTATGTTGCATTTTTTTATTGCAGTAAAACTGGAACTAGAAACATTCAGGTTTAGCCGTCTTAAGAGACGCATGGCTAAACCCGATACTTTCTAGTTCTAGATCTAGTGTTAGTTCTAGTTAGACACTAGCACTATCACTAGAACTAACACAGAACCTAGAACTAGAATCATTCGGGTTTAGCCGTCTTGCGAGACGTGGGGCTAAATCCAAATGTTTCTAGTTCTAGTATTAGTTCTAGTGACAGTGGTAGGTACCGCTAGTTAACAGAAGATATTACTATGTTGCATATTTTTATTGCACTAAAACTACCCGACCTAAAACTAAAAAGTATCAGGTCTAGTGTTAGTTCTAGTTTTACACTATCACTAGAACTAACACAAGACCTATAACTGAAATCATTCGGGTTTAGCCGTCTTAAAAGACGTGCGATTAAATCCGAATGTTTCTAGTTTTCAGTCTACTGTTAGTTCTAGTATTAACACAGAGTCTATTGACACACAGCCTATCTAACGACAGGTAGTCAGTCGTTATGCATCGAAAGCCTAAGAAAAACAAAGGTGTTTCATCCATAAATATACATTGTAATCTAGGTGAGATTACAATTTAGGGAAATAACTTCACGTTTAAGTTTCTAAAATTGATTTTGTGCATGCACTGTTAACATTGCTTGTGACGTCATAAAACACACAACATGATGATTCTTGAATTTTTCCGCTTTTTTTTTTTTTGTTTTACCTAATCTATAAATACTTTTTTTTTAATTTGAAAGGTTTTAAAACGTTACCCGCACCTTGTAAAGAAGAATAAAAACATTAAATTAAAAATAATGGCAAAATCCCCAACAAAAGAAACTACAAAAACGCCATCAATAATCAAAGCACCAACTACAACAACCACAAAAATAAAACTTGTCGAAGCAAAAGCCCAAATAAAAGCGGTAACAACAAAAATTGTAAAACCTCAACCTGATGAAGGACCGTGGGTTTGCAAAAAATGTTCGTTTAATTCCACCGAACCAGTTGAATTTGTGCTTTATTATTTGTACCGGAAACATATGACGGATGTCCATCACGAAAAATTCGATGCAAAGATGTGTAAACATTGCGGTCATCAAAGCTCTAAACATAACCTATTAATGTATCATCAATACACAAAGCATGGTGTTAAACCACCACCGGCTTATAACTTCCCAAAGTGTCCTCGGTGTCCTTTCATTGCTTTAACCGAAAATTTATTACAAAAACATTTAGAAAGTGCTCACTCAAAATATGATTCGCAATGTGTTGAGTGCAAAGTCGCCTTTAATAGTCAATCGTCGTTATTGGCACATATCCAGATAACGGGGCACTCTAATCCAAATCGATGCAATTTCGATTGTCAATATTGCACGAAAAGATTTAATTCAGTCACCGATTTATTTAGTCACATTCGGTCGGCTCATCGCGATGAAGCTCGAAGAGATGGAATGGTTAGTATCGATGAAACCGATATGGACGAGGAAGAGGAGGAGGAGGAAGAAGTTGAAGATGAGGAATATGTCCCAGAAGTGCCCCGAAAGAAAAAGAAAGTCGAGTTGGTTGGAAATGTGAAGGAAAATAAGCACAATGAAATTATTAATGAAATTGAAAATAGCCAGGGAATTGTTGATATCGTTGTTTTGGATGATAATCAACAGTATATTCTTCATAATGAGCAACAGTTAACTGAGGAAAGTTTGGTAAATCATCCTGAATATATTATTCCGGAATTAACTAATGAATATAATGATCAACCAGCAACTCAAGGTACAATTTATTGTGTGTAGGCAACCAACTTTGCGCCAAAACAATGTTGGTTGCCTATATCATAATTTTGTTTTAAATATAAATTTTTTTTAGAATTTAATGATCCTCGTACAACTCAAGCTAACGTAATTACCCAAAGCATGTTAAACATCGCAAATAACTCAGAAATCGCATCAACGGATGAATTAGTGATGGTTCTAACTGACCATGATTACAACGATGCAAATAACGGAATTTTAACGAATGAAAATTCGAATATTGTTGTTTTATACAGTCATCCAGTCGACGGCCAACAAAGCGAATTTATCACATCCGAAGGGAAATTAATTTTAAACCCGCAAACCGGTCTTTTAGAATTAAGAAACGATAACGTGGATAATAATTCACAAGATGCTCAAATTGAATCGATAGAGTTAATACAACGTGAAATTAATAATGGGTTGATTCAACAAGCCGATGTTGAGGATGACAAATCCGGTGTTTTAGACCAAAAAGAAACGATCGAAATGGTTCAAAATAATATTAAATGTGAAAATGAAACGGTTATTAATGAAGGGAATGTTCCAGTTGAGATTGAAAATAATCGAGAAGAAGAAATAGTATCGGAAATCCAAGAAGAGTCTGAAAATATTGAGACTAACATTCAAAGAAATGAAGAAGAAGAAAATTTAGGTTTTACGAATCAATTTGAACTTTCAGAAAATCAAAGAATTGACCCAGATGTTAATTTTGTTTTAACCGATGAAAGTCAAGAAATTATTCCAGAAGAAACAAACCAAGAAATTGTAGAAAATGAAAATGTTATCGAAAAGAACGTTTCCGAAGAAAGCCCACCAATAATCAATTTCGATTTAAACATGGAAGAACAACCAACCCAAGAAAAAGAAGCTGAAAACATTGAAAATCAAGAAATATTTCAAGTCGAAAAAATCCAAAATCAAGAAGAATATCTTGAACCTCCAAACGAAACTCCCAATGATAACACTCAAATAAATTCAAATGAAAATAACGTAAAAACTGAAATAGAAACTCCTCAATTGGACATCGAAAATGTTGCAGACGAAATTCAACCGGATCAAGAAATTAATGAATTAGAGAAAGATCATGTGGAAACCCCCAACAATGAACCCGAAATAAACAACACACAAGAAGAAGAAATTATTACCAATCTTCCAGAAGTTATCAATGAGGAAGAAAAAATTAATAAAGAAAATGTTGAAAATGAACCAATAATAACACCAGAACCTAACCTTAACGAAAATGAGTCAATTGAAAAGAATTCCGAAATAGAAAATAATGAAATAATCTCTTCACCCCCTACAGAAAACAAAGAAAACACAGAAATAATTCCCGATTCCCAACCTAAAGAACCCACAATTAATGAATCAGAAGAACTCATTAATAAAGATCCAATTGATACTGAACCAACAGATATTCTTGAAGAAACCACCCCGGTTTTAGAAGAATCAGCGATTCCACTTCCAAACATGGAAGAAGTTGAATCAGTTGAAGAAATAACTGAAATGGTACAAGTAGAAAATTTACCGGAAGACACTCAAGCTTACGATGATGTAAACGTTTTGTTACAAGAAACAATGGATATGGAAACGGTGGATGAAAATTCGCAACAAAGTCAAGATTCTCAAAATTCAACATCGCAATCTTCGAAAGAAATTGTTGTAGCTGGATCTGGTAATGTTGGTGCTGGCGGTGTTCCCAATGAAGCGACCAAAATTTCTATATTAAACGATTGGGAGGATACTGAGGATTCGCAACAAAGTGATTATCCGGGGAAAACAGGAATGGAGAATGCTGTTAATAAAATTATTAATGATTGGGATGATGATGACGATGAGGGTAGGTAGAAAGAATTTATTTTAATTTGTTATTATTATATTTATTTTTTAGCACAAGTTATGAACACATGAAGATCTACTTTTTATTTGTAATGACTAAATATAGTTTTTTAAGTTTGTGGTATCACAATTTTGATACCAATGTTGTAAATAAGTTCTTTCTTTTTTCTTTTCATTTAAAGTCATATCTTTTTAAATAGATTTACAATTAAGTATATTACATAGAATTAAGTATAGATTATATAATTATAACATAGCGTACTATGTAAATATTTCTAACCAATTAAAAAATTATTGTATGTATTACATTTTTTTATTACAAAATCATAACCTCAATTGTTTGATTTGGAAAAAGCAATTTTAAACAAACTCTTTCTCAAATTAAATTTATTTCAATTTTTTTATATACAAAGATAACCTTAAACAGTTTATTTTTCAATAAAATTCAAAAACATCTCCGCTCTTTCATTAACATCTTTAATATCATCTAATTTTAATCCTTCAAAATCTATTTCTGGCTTCTCTTTTTTAACCTTTGAAATTCTTTTGCTTTTACCTAAATATGGCTCATCATCTTCTTCGACAATTTCAAAGAAATTTCCTCTTTTAAATGCCATTCCTTTATCGCTTAAAATACTTTCTGGCATCTCTGAGACATCGGGAACATCATCAGATTCACAAAAATCGTAACCAAGCCTACGTTCTAATTGATCCTTCTCCGCTATAAACATGTTTAAATTACCCCGTTCACCTGTTAATTGTTCTTCTAGGTATTCAATAGTTTGATCTTTTGTTAACGTAGCTTGATAATCAGGGCTGTAAGTTACGTTGTATTCTCCAGTATGATTTACGAATGCTTCGATGTAAGCTAAAGAACATATTTTTATATAACTTTTATGTCGGGGGTGTTTTGCGAGTTCCTTTATGTTATTTATTGTTGTTTCGTAAGTAGAACATTTTTCTTGAATTGCTTTTATCGATGATTCAACAGTTTCTATATTCTAAAAATTAACACAATTATTATGTAAAGTAAGCAAGGAGGTTTTACTATACTTTTTGAGTTAATTCGCGAAATTTTTCAAATTCTTCATTTTTACCTTTATATGAATTTAAAATTTTATCGTTTAAGGTTATGTTTATATCCTCCATTTTCTTTTTTTAATAACGCGAACTGCGCTAAGGTAATAAATAAATAATTAATATTTTAAGCTATATTAATGATTTTTTTTAGGTTTCTAATAAAAATGTGGATCAATTGGGTGTTTTTGTGTGTCCCCAGTGAATAGTGGTGAATAGTTATAGGGGTCTCAGCAAATTTGGTAAGATTTTTTTTTACTTTTTTCTTTTTGTGAGGATTTAACACAATTAAGTGATGTAAAATTTGATATGATGAGGTATGATCGCTTTTTAACTAATTATTTAATAATTCGTGTAAAAAGTTTGAAAATATAATTCGTATGAATTTCGGGTTTGTATCAGTAGATGGCGGTAAATAATTGACATTTTCTACTGAAAAGTTTTATTAAGTTCAATAAACATTTTTTTTTATAAAATATTTAACAGTTATTAAAGCTTTTTAATTAAAACACGTTAATTAATTTAGTTGTTGATAAATCTAAGCTATAAATTAATGGTAACTTCCGATATTGACTTCTTTTTAGTGTTTAAATCTTCTATTCATCCATAAATATTTTACTATCGCCACTGAAAACTTCTCTCTCGTCGTTTCCAACAATAGTCTCAACAACTGTATTAATTGAATTTTTAATCAAAGATTCTCGATCTTCATTATCAACATTTTTAACCAAAACTTCCCGATCATCATTCATATCATTGGTGTCGTCGTCTTCATCGTCTGAATTGCATTCTTTATCCTCAGTTTCAACGCGATCAGTTTCCGAATACTCTTCCGACTCCTCCTCTGAGTCATCTGAACTCTCATTGCTTCGCTTCTCTTTAATTTTTCGTTTAATTGCAACCATACATTTTAATGTTTGCAGCAACATGCTTCTACTTTTTGGTTTTCTTAACGCTATTAATCTAGCTTCGCGTTCCTTAATTGCTCGCCGAATTAATTGCATATTATAAGCCTCATCATCCCGAGTTTGAAATAATGCGCATTCTAAAGCTGTCCCAGGACAAATATTATCTTTATTGGTTACAGATGAATTATGATCCAACCAATGACGAATTAATTTATAAAGAGGCTAAAACATTAAATTAATACAAAAAAATTTAGTCATTTAAAAATGTTAATTTATAATTATTACATTGTTTATGATTTCACAAAATAACCAAAGCCATAAAATTACGTTGAAGGTTATAATCGAACTGCTTTGTGATTCCCATAAAAAACTGTACATCAATGGGAATAAAAAAAATAATGGTATTATAAAGAGATGGGTTAATATGCTAAAATTTAAGAGGTTATGTAAGTTAGGTTAAGTAAAAATATATCTTACAATAATAAAATAGCTAATCCCAAGGTTGTTTTTAAAATAAAACTCGATATAACTCCATTCGATTTTAATAAAGTATGGCAACATCGCGCCATTTCAACCCCAAATTGAGTAAAACTTACAATCGTTAACAAAGACAATGACAACTCAACTTTTCTTGAAAAATAAGTTGTTAAAATAAAAACAACGAGGAGGCTATAACTAACTAAAGACATGCTAAATCCTTTTTTTAAACCTTCCCAAATGATCGAATGCGCATAAAAGGTGCATAATAAAACGAATCCCAGGATTAAATAGCCTGGAACCATTTCATTGTCGATTGTAAGTAATTTGCGATGGCTAAAAATATCGATGTTGTTACTGTATAAAGTGCCCAAACAGTAAGCAAAGCAGACCGTGTAGAATCCAAGGTACCAAATTGAATGTTTTAATCGAACTCGAACATATTCTTTAATTTTCATTTGCTTTAAAAGTAACTGTAATATTATTGGAAATAAGGTTACAGTTTTGTTTGTCTAAATAACTTACGTTAATTGATTCCTCAAACAAAAAATGGATAATGTGCCACATAAAAAACACCCAAGTAGCCCCATTACTAATTTTTGTGGAATAATATTTACCCATGTATTTATCTAAAAATTGAGGTAAACACGAAAATTCAGCCGCTAAGAAAGCTTCAATTATATGAACCATTTTTAAATCAGCTTATTTAGACTAGAATTTTTTGAAAATTTAGATCTTTTCGATCGAGTTACGTCTAGTTAATGCTAAATGGTTCCAAAAATAGCCTAAAAATGACCTTTATGTTTATTGAGGTTATGTTATATTATTATGTCACGAAAGCATAGTTCGATTAATCAAAGTTTTTACCAAAATCCAAACATGGTAACAATTGAATAATAGGATTAATAAAATGTATTAAAAAATATTAATTTATAATTACTTAATTACTAATAAATTATAAAAATAAACTAAATCAACAAAAATAAAAAAAGCGTCAATCGAAACCTTCTATTATAACTTTTTACTTAACTGTCAAACGTCAGAATAAAAATTGATAACGATTTTAACCTCAACGATTTCATTTAATAAAATGAGTCAAATCGAACAAAACGGTGAAGAATCTCAATTAACAATGGGGCAACCGCTCAGCGATTTCCTATTACAACTGGAAGATTATAATCCGACGATTCCGGACGGTGTAACGGCCCATTATTTGCGTTCGTCCGGATTGGAACCGAAAGATCCGCGTTTGCTACGCCTAATTTCAATCGCAGCTCAAAAATTCATTTCGGATATTGCAAATGATGCTTTGCAACATTGTAAAATGCGCACCAGTAATTCATCGTCCAGTAGCAGTTCGGGGAATAATTCGAAAAATGCGAAAGGTACTAAAGATAGAAGGTATTGCTTGACGATGGAAGATTTAACACCAGCGTTATCCGAGTTTGGCATTAGTGTTAAAAAACCACATTATTACGTTTAAAGTTTATTAATTTAGAAGGAAATTTGATATTTAAGTTTCAATACTTGATTTGTATTAATAATTTTTGATTTAATAAAAAAAATAATACATTAAAACTTAAATTTAATTCTTCCGATGTGGACCAATACTACTTCGATTTAAAAAAACGTATTCTTGTGTTGGGGAGGTATACATTTCGATGTGTTGAGGAACATGACGAGGGGTTTCATATGCAAGAAAATAACTGGCTTCTCGAGCATGCCTTGGTATTTCATCTTCGCGGGCAAGGTTTTGATAATTAGCTAAAAAATAGATTTAATTAAATTATCATAAAAAAATAGTTTACCTTACATGGTACTGTATCAGGAATAGTTTCATAATCGGGTTCCTCCCTTTCATAGGTATTGCTATTTGCCGATAGATAATTATCTGGACTTGGTAGAGTTGGTAGGGACATCTTTGGCGCTGTTAGATTTACCATACCATAAGATCTATCTTTATTTTTATATTTAAGGCAAATTATAATCGTAAAAATCATTATTAGTGCCAATATAGAAGTACTTCCAATAGCACAATACAAAATAATTGAATGATATGAATCTTCTTCATACAGGTTTATACATTGATTTGTTGTATTGTTGTAAAGGCTTACTGGACAATCTAAAATGAATCTTAATAAAATACATCTCATAATACATTTTTTATCATCTTATTTCATTACAATCTGAGCATGTTTTTCCTTTAAAACCATCCTGGCATTTGCAATAACCATCGGTGGCTCTACAATTAATACATCCGCATATATTTTCACAATTTTTACCATAATTTGTTATCGAGCAACGCTCCTGGCACCATTTCCCGTAATACCCAACATCGCAATCACATTTATCTGAAAATTATTAATAATAATTAATTTTAAATGTTTTTAAAAACAACCTAAAAATATAATGATTGATATTTAATTCAAATTTTTTTTCTAAAGGTTGTCAACCTTACTGTCTATGCCTTACTGTTGCTAGGAGACACAACAAAACATAAAAACTAACCTAAAAAATAATTCTTACAAATATGTTACAAATAACATACCTTTTAAACATGAACCATTAATACATTTACAAGTACCGCAATTTGTTCCGTTGTAAAGTGAACTACAAATATCTCCTTGAACTGGATCACATACATAATTATCTAAAATCAAATTGGGATTAATTTAAATATTTTTCAGCGTTCAAAATTCACCTAATCCAGTATAAAAGCAAATCTTGGTACAATTACTTCCATAATAACCAGGTTCACATTTAGAATCGCAATGTTCTCCTGAAAAACCATCTTTACATCTACATAACCCATTAATGCATTGAAGCGTATTATTCCAATTGCAAGTACACTCTTTTTCACAGTTATAACCATAAAAACCAGCCTGGCAAGGTTCGTTACATGTGGGTCCAATCCAACCTGGTTTACATTCGCATTTTCCCGAAATTTGGTTACATCTATAAAGTGTGATTATAATTTGCATAAACTGATAAAAAGATGGTTACTTTTCTGTGTTGTCTTTATTGCAATTACAACTTTCAGAACAGCTTGTTCCATGCATCATCGGAGGGCAATCGCATGTACAATTTTGAGGTGAACATATTCCGTTTGAGCAGGAACATATTTGGGAACATTCAAACCCGCAAAAACCTGGTTCACAAGGTTTTGTACACTAAAAAAATTAAATTTATAATTTATAAATAATTTTTAAGTTTACCTGTTGTCCGGTAAATCCATTTTCACAAAAACAATTCCCACTTTTTGTATCGCAAATATCCATTTCACTGCATAAACAAATTTCGCTACAATTAGGGCCCCAAAAACCTTTAGAGCAAGGTTTTTCACAAAATTCACCTTGAAACCCCGGTTTACATTCGCATGATCCATTTATTCCGTTACAAATCGCATCGTTTTCGCATTTACAAGTTTCTGTGCAGTTTGAACCGTATTTATCTTGGGGGCATTCCATTGAACAACTTTTAAAAAACAATTTAAATTAACTTTAAATATAAAAAACAAGGATTTCTTACTTTTTTCCTATAAATCCAGGATAACAACTACAACTTCCGGTAACTCCATCGCAAATTCCGTTTACACAATCGCACAATTCACTGCAATTAAGTCCATAATGTGTTTTAACGCAAGGGATGTTACAATGTTCTCCGGTAAACCCAGCTTGACAAGTACATATTCCTTCTGATGCAGTACAATTAGAACCGTTACATTCGCATTTTTTGTCGCAATCACTGCCCCAATATTCGTCAGCGCAAAACATTTCGAATACTTCACAATATTCTCCTTTGTAACCTGACAAACATTCACATTGATTGGGTTTAATACAAGTTCCAAAAATGCATTCGGGGTCACAAATGGGGCTGCATTTGAGAGGGTTGTCGGAAATGTTTGCGTAACCATCGCAGCAAGACTCTTTTGGAATATTTCGAGGTCGTGTAATTATTTGATTAGGCGCAATAGGTATATACTGTAATTCTCTAATCAAAGAAAATGTGTTACAATTTGTTAAATAAGAACACAATTTATTATTTTTTTTTACCTAGTTTCATTGACACAAATCCCATCATTGGAAGTACCCAATGCTGATAACGGAGCTATAAAAACAAATATAATTAAAGCAATCATTGGTTATAAATATTTTAAATCATTTTCTCATATTTTATAGGATTATAGTTAATTTAAAATAATATTTCGAAAAACTATACTTTCAAAGATTGTTTATATAAGAAAAGTACAAAATTACCTTTCAGTCTAGTTTTATCAGTTATCTTATCAGATTGATAACATGTATTTATTATATGATATCATCTATTTATACATTAGTTATTGTATATTTGTGACATTACTTTTAAAGATGATTAAAAAGTATTTTTGTCAAATCAAATTAAAAAAAAATTTGAAAAGTAGTGATTTAAGTTGCACAGCTTGATGGCCCGTTCATGACGTCACTCATGGGTAGGCAACTACTATTTCACATTTTGAATTAGCAAAAGTTTAATTTATTCTATTCGAGTTTAGCCGTGCGCCTCTTAAGCGTCTGTGGGTAATGATTAATACTTGTTTTATAATACGCCACATGAATAATTAAAAAACAACAAAAGCTTTATTAACTCCAACTTTAACTGTATTTGGCATTGATCGGAACAGTACATGGTATCTCATATCCCCGATAATATTTAGGATCCGAAATGTGCTTAGCTAAAATCAAGATTATTATTTTTAATAAATAAAGAAATCATAATTATAACTAATTTACTGACGTAATGGTGCGTATTGAATCGATTCGTAATCGTGATCACTAATATTTTCAAAACTACCAGGATTAGGTGCTGGTAAAGCCATTTTCGCTGCATATAAATTTACCATTCCATAAGATTTTCTTTTCAAACATTGGAAATAAATTACAATTATAATTGCGGTTAACAAAACTATTCCGAGGATGCAATATGAAATAATTGGATTAATAAATATATTGTTATTTTCATCTGGACTTGAAGTATATCTAAATGGAAATTGATTTAAAAAAAAATACGGCAAAAATATTAGATGTACTTACATTTTTATGGTTGTTGTGCTTTCGGGAATTTTTATCGAACAACTTAAAAAGAAACAAATTAAAATGATTTTAAATTAAAATAAGTTTATTAGGTTAGGTATAATTTGACAGCTAATTCATAGCGCCATCTATTAACGAATTAATAAGTTTTACTTACTTTTTCCCCATATATCCGAAATAGCAAGTACAACTTCCGGTGATTTTATTGCAAACACCATTAACACAATCACAAATGCTGGTGCAATTAAATCCAAAGGTATTTTTACCACAATCACTTTCGCAGTGTTTTCCCATAAATCCATCTCCACACATACATTTTCCATTCATTTGACGACAGTTAAATCCGTTGCAATCACATTCTTTGGTGCAATTAGCGCCCCAAAAGCCGTCATTGCAATCTGTGCTTTCCTTTTCGCAGAGTTTTCCGTGATATTCCGGGAAACATTGACATTCGTTCGGTGATACGCAAGTTCCAAATCGACAATTTGGTTCACAAATCGGTTCACATTTGTTGGATACGTTGTTGTAACGGTTGTAACCTTTACAGCATTCTTCTACTAGGATCCAAACTTCTTTTTCAATGGTTTTTCCGGAAGATAAAGTAATAATTTCTTTTTCTCTAGAAATAGAAGGAAAAGTACGCTTATTTTTGAAATTATTGAAAAATTTAATTGATGTGGTTTTTTTCACCTCTTTGTTGTTACACAGATTCCGTCGTTTGAAAGGACGGAATATATAGGAGATATAAGAAAACATACAAGAATATATAGATGAAACAACGTAATCATTGTTATATAGTTTCATAGAGAACTTTAAATAATCAAAGATTTATCAACCATTATCTTGCCTATAATTTTTAATTTAAATACATCACAACTGATAAGTTGGTTAAAAAATTAAAATTGAAGGTTATTATAATTATTTATAATTAATTATTTTTTAAATCAAATGTTTGAATTAAAATATGTTATTATATATTTATATATGTTATTAAAAACATCGTAATATTTATTTAAACAATTTAGTAACTTTTGATTTTATAACTATACAACTGTCATTCCAATCAGTTGTCAGTTCAAAATTATACCGGTTAAATTCCTTTGAGGTTATGTTGGTATGACAATCGCAAAAATCCTTAAAAAATTAGTTTAATCACTTTTTCAACACTTTTTAGTGAGAAATAACTTTCATTATTATGGATCCTAACCTACAAATCAAATCCAATGTGGGATGTAAAGATCTTTTATTAAAAAAGCTTTCTTACGCAGTCATTAGCACCGTTTGTACACAAATCTTGTTGTTAATCACCGTTATTGTGTTCTCAAATTGGAGTTTGTTGAATCCGACGCAATGGCCGATGGAATTGTTTACAACATTACGCTCATTTTGGACATGGTTTTACCTTTTACCATACCTCGGTTTGATTTTTATCCAAAGTTTGATTTGCGCGAAAGATTATGTTATGAAAAAAAATTGTTCATCAACGAGAATCGGAGATTTTTTGAGTATGTTTACGATACACAAGGGGATATTGCTAACACTTAATGTGCTTGGAGGAGGATTTTTCTTTTGGGTTTATTTACAATTAATAAAATCAAACTTATCAGAGGATGATCAAAAAGGAAGTGAAGTGGATGAGAATTATTTTTTTATGGTGATGTTTGGAGTTTGGATTGGAATTTGGAATTTTTTTCTATTTTATGGGAATAAAAATCAAATTATTTTTCCGGTTGTTCAACAAAGAAAATGGATTATTTTCCTGAGTAAACTCACTTTTAATTTAAAAGCAAGCTTAAAGGATGTATTTGTGCCAATTTTTCTTTATGGGATAATTTACTTGTTTTATGGAAAAGAAGTTCAAGAATATTTTTTAATGAATCCAGATACAACATCATCATTTAATAAAAAAACGATAATTCACACAATATTTCTTGGAGCCTTATACATTTTAAACACAAGGTTGATGCGATTCTTTTTCGAAATCTTTTTAACAGAACACTACCAGTTTTTGATTCACTCCGGAAGCGAATTTTCTCTCAATAATTACAAAGATTTTACATTAAAAGATGGGATTTTAACCGACTCTATACCAATTGTGCAACATTTAGCTTGTTTGGATTTATTTTTGCTTTCTAATTCGCCATTGAAATATCGAAGAGAATCATTATATACTCTTTCTCAACCGGGTAATCACCCCCACACTTGGAATTCTTTAATTGAAGCTATTTTAAACCTTCTAAATGAGTACACGAAGAATTTAAATGTTGCAATTGCAAACTTACTTGGAAATGAACGTAAGAAGTTAGATGAGGAAGTTTTTAATCGAAACGAAAAACATTTTAATTATGGAAATATAAGGAATATGACTTTAAAATGTTATGAAGATCCGATTGAATTTGTTACAATTAATAAAAGAAAAGTTGAATTTGATGAAAATACTAAAAATTTATATGGAAATATCCGAGAAAAAATTAATGTTTTTATTGGAACTGTGAAAAAAAGGAGTGGATTTGAATATTTATTTGAAAAATTACCTGAAAGTTCAGTTCAATACCTTTTATTTAACGGCCAAGTTATAATTTGGACTGTTCAAGGATTAGCTTCATTGATTGTTGCTTCATTAACCGAAGACAAATTTGGAGTCATGCAAAAAGATTTACCGATCATCTTGGCAACATTGGTCGAGTTAAAAACGATTTTGGAGAAATTAAATCGAATTTCTATCAAGAAGTATGATAAACTGGATGATTTTAGTAACAAAATGAGAGTTAATATTAATTCGGCTATTAAACGGAGTTTGTATCAAATTTCTAATACTTTTTCGCCATATATTAATGATTTAGGGTTAAATAATGATGTTTTACATGTTCTTAATGTTTATAATCATAATTGAAGTAGAGTTTAATAAGATTTTTCTAAAAATATATTTTTTTAAATAAACTTTCTCATTAATTTAAAATACCGATAAAAAAGAAATTTTCAAAATGACCTACTTCGAATAGTTAAATAATTTGTCACTAGATGTCGCGATAATCGCTTTTCTTCCACCTTATTGATACGCTTTCAGCGTTTCAGTTTTCAGTCGGCGAAAAACCTTTCGCAGGTAGTGAAATTGTAATTTCTAATAATTCGAGTGTTTTATTGAAATTTTGATTTGGGGTAAGTTAAGTTTTAATTTTCATTTTATAACCCCAATTTAATAATAAATTAATTCTTATTTTTTCGGGGTAAAATTGATTTTGTTATTTATTTTATTGTTTTCCATATGGTTATGATTACGCAGTTAAGAAAAAAATCGATTTTTGTAATATAAAAGTTTATTTTTTTTTAAGTTAACCAACCTTAAATTTTGAATCGTTGCTATGGAGATACGGTTTGTAATAAATAAATACAAATATTAAACTGACAGTTTTATTAACCTCGAAAAATAATTATTTAACGAAAATTTAAAACCATATTAATAATAACGAGAATCAAAATTTAATGGAATAAGAAATAAATTTAGGTATGTAAATTAGACGATTATATAAATATTAAATGGGGAACTCTCGAGTTTTACCCCCTGATGAATATTTGACACGCAATACCTCACGAGGAGATGTTATCGTCAACGTGGGGATACCGAAAGGTCAACCACACAAACCTTACTTACTAACCCCCATTTTTTTACAGAAATGTTGAGATTAATCGCGATTTTAGGATTACTATTCGCGTTGCTGAATGGAAATTACAGGAGTTTTGTAGCTAAGGCAGCTTCCGTTCCGAAAGATCAAGGTAAAAACGTTTTTGCAAACTTTTCGAATTTCATATATTTGCTAATAAATAGCCGCTTTATTCCGATTGTAAAAGTTTTAAACTTGTTTGAAAGCGTCACAACTTCACAATAAATCTTTCAACATTTTTTTCTCTTTTTTTTTAATATAGGATCATCGGAAAATTCCGCGCAGGATATTCCTCGTTATATGGTAAGATTTTTTTATCTCCTCTTTTTTGATACAACTCGATTGAAAGGGGATTTTATAACGATCAATTAAGCGTTTTTCACTTTAGTCACGTTCCACAGAGGGACATTTGAAAAATATCCCAGCTAAAATCAATTAAATAAAAATGTACAGTATGCAAAATCCGTATTCGAATACCCTCTGAAATATTAGAAAATCTTTTTGAACCCGAAGTTGCATAGTTTTGTTAAAACAGGTTGTTGAAGTTGTTCTTTAGTTATTAAACTGTTTTTCAACTAAAACTTGCTGTTTAAATTAAAATTGAAAGTAAAACCTAACAACAGATAAATCTATTTGTTGCCAACATAACAAGAGGATGGTTGTAAAAGTGGTCCTAAATTCATTTTCTTTTTCAGGATGACGCTGTTAAAGAATTAGAAAATTTAAAAAACACTGTTGGTATGTTTCCATTTAGAAAGAAAATTTCTTTTTAAATTATTCATTTTCTTTTATAGGATCGACATTAGAAATGATGAAATCTCACTCAGAAATGTATTCTAATTATAACGGACAAGAAAAGGGACATTCAGTAACCAAAGAACAATGTATGTACAATCATGATAATTAGTGGTGGAACGGACATCCCGACATCCTATCATTAATGATAATCAAAGCTAATTTTGTGAATATATAAATATTTTTATTTTTAGTAAATGAAGATGGAAAAATGATAGCAAGTATTGATCAAGATGTAGATCAAGCTTCACCTGGTGAAGGAAAAGAACCTCAAGGAAAAGTAAGGACGAAAATTGATATTCCCTCGAAAGGTATTCACAAAACATTGATTCAACATTTAAATAAAAACAATGAGGTTCATGAACATAAAAACACTAAGGAGAAAGATAAAGACGACGACGAAGACGAACGCCCAATTGGTGTAGTTAAAGGCATTGGCGATGATACTAACGAAATGACAAGAAGATCGTCTCAAAACGATAACATTGAAATTGATAATAACAATAATAACGTAAGTTTTAATTGTAATTTATTTTCTAATTTTATTTTTGTTGAGTTTTAGATTCCTTTAGTATCCGGTTTCCTTTTTCCTAAATCACAATACATCGATCCAATACAAGATGAACCCCAAAATGAAATAATTTTTAATAAATAAATTTGAATAAATTTTTTATTTACATTTATAACTAAAACTAGTTATTTTTATTATAAATTAATTAATTAATTTAAAAAAATGTTTTATATGATAGGAAAAACCAATTACTCAATACGGTATAAACCAATACTCGCCAGTTGATATGGCGGAATATGTTTTTTGGACTGGAGATGAAAAGAGAGTCACATTAGCCATTGAAGAATATTTACAAGAAGGACTGGTAAATACTTTATTTAACTCGATTATAAAATAATTTTAATATTATTTTAAGATGACCAGAGAAGAAGCAATCACATTTTTAGAAGACATCAAATTTAATCTCGATTATTTACAAAATTATTACAACCGATTGGGGTTGAAATCCAAAGAAATCTTAGAAAAACCCTTAACTCATCCTAACCCTTATTTAAAACAGCTTCAAACTAAACCAAATATAATTGATAAGAAAAAAAATTTTGAACCAGTCATTGTAAAGAGTCAAATTTTGGTTCCGTCATCAGAAGAAGATGAATACAGTCAGCTTTTAGAACGTCTTCGAGTAGCTGATTTTTTATACACAGAATATTCCCTTGAAGAAGTTATCTATCAATTAGCTAAAGTGATGTTTACACAGTCTTTGACACGGGGAAGTTCCGAAGCTCAACGAGCCTTAGAAAAATTTACGCTGTTTTTAGAAACTGAGGCAAATCAAGGACGAATTAGTCGAGGGTTAGAGAAAAAAGTTTTGGATGTTTTAATCGCATCATTAACGGATACTTTAAATGAACACCCGGAATTACAAATGGGGGAAGATCTTGAGGATGAACAAAAAAGAAATCAAAACGTTATGAATGAATTATTAAAGTATAATGCAAAACGGGGGGTTAACAATAAAATTTAGGTTAATAAAGGAGATTATAAAAAAAATTAAAGAGATAGATTACGTTTCATGTTAAATCGTTGATTAAGAATTGTCTTGATTAAATTATTAAAATGGCAACTTAAGATTGGTAAACTGTACAACATTAAAAATAACTAATTTTTTTCTGACAATCAATTTTCTTTTAATTAAGATAATTGAATTCCATTTTAATTATACAAAAAGCCACTTTCCCGTTTTTTTTATTTCTCACCATATTTTCTTCGGATTCTTTGGGGGAAAGTTGCTTAAAAAAATCACGGAAGAGACTGAACGAGGATGATAAAAAGTAAAATAAATGGTTTTAAATCGATGTTTAAAAAGATACATACGTAAGCACTTCTTAATAGGTGATATAATTATTAATAAAATTATAAAAAATATATTATTACAACAAAATATCCTTCGCAAATTTTTGCGATCAAGGAATTTGCTCGTGTTGAATTTTTAAATCAAATAAATCGACCTATATGTTCGTTCCAACCATATCTGTTATTGTTATGTTTACTATCAAACCGTAAACAGTATAAGCTCGCTAATCCGGCGTTTGAATAAATATGTAAAAATATGCATATCTTTATTTCATTTATCTATTACCCTTGTTTAACATTTATATATCTATAAACAAGGTTATTACGTTTTGTTAGATTTCTAATTAGAGCTACTTTAGTTCATTATTGTACAAAAATTTAGTAAATGGCAGGGTTGGTTATAAACCGTGCCTACAAATTTCAATCCGTTCCAACAGCGTTGACGAATGCGCAAAAGAACATCCGGTTGGAACAAACCTATAAGATTAATAATGAACCTAAAGATCCAAATATAACAGCTCTTAAGAAAAATGAGGTACAAAATACTCATTGTAAATAAACCAAAATACTAATAAAGCTTATAAAATTAATTTTAAATTTGTTTAATTCAGTAACTTTAAACTTTTTAAAGTTTTCGTTTCTTATTTTTAATTTTGTAACCCATCTTTGCCCAGACCATTTTTGTAGGTTAATTATCAACATTTTTGGATTAATATTTTTTGAAATTTTAGAAAAGCACCCACTAATTTACACATCAAATTTACTTCATCGATTAGAAGGGATACTACTGAAACTACTTTTTATCATACAACAAGTAAATTATTTCCTCCAACACTTTTTGATGACTATGGTAAATTATTTTTTAACATTTTCTTTAATTATTATAATATTCATTCTTTTTAGAACCTTTTGAAGCACCACATTACTATGTCACTAAAATGGTGAAATATGATAACAAACTAATTTAAGTTAATTTGAAATATTTTAGTTAAATAAGCGTTAAGTTTTTGTTTAAAATCATTTTGTTACGATTAATTTTTAAGTTTATAAATGGAATAAAACTTTATTTGATAAAATTATCTCCAAAGTAAAAATAACCTTTAAACTAGAAGATATCTTTAAACACCACAAAGATACAGATTTTCTATCCTTGCAAGAGTTTGGTTTGGGGGAAAAACATCGATAGCTTATGACCTGCGCGCACTATTCAAGTCACGTTCGACCCCACCAAAACACCTCCAGGACTCCAATACATTCTCCCAGAAGTGGTTTTCGTGTAGATGCACGTTTCTACTCGATCATACCTTTAAATACATTAAAGCACGTGGTTAAAAAAAGCATAAAAACTAATTTTTGGTGAGTTGTTTGTTCCTAAATTCCTATCTTTTAATCTATTAGCAATAATAAAACACGTAATTCAAACGTATTTATCTCGGTTTACAAAAAAAAATTATTTGTTTACATTTCGCGCGGATTGTTGCTTAATATTTGTTATAAATGACGAATTTTGTATTATAGTGTAAAAGGGGGTAAATAAAACTTAATTTAAATGATGAAAATCGATGAAACAATACCAAAAATTGACGTTTTAATCGAAGAAAATAACATTTTTGACGGCGCAAAGGAAATTTTGGAAAAAATCCGACCAAACTGGCCCGTAGAAAAAATTAAATACAAGGCGAGTTATTTAGAATGTTTTCTTTGGAAATTAATCGTGCGTATGTAGCTGTAACGAATTAACCGTTGAAAGAAAATTACTACGACTCATGTATTGCATGTGCATTTAATTCTCGAACAAACAAGTTTCAGAATCGTTTTAAGCCGATTTTAAAACGTTTCAACCTTGAATTTTTTTAATAATTTATGGTTTATAACAAATTACTTACATTTTTCTCTAAAAATATATTGTTTTGGTTAAAACTCGATAAATGTTTTCTATTGTGACACTTAAATTTTTAAAACGTCAATTTTGACAGTTGCCGGACAATTAAGTAACTAAAATAAATAAAAAAACGCGGGAAATTCAACATAAAATCAATTTTGTAATCAAATCTCTTTTAATTTGAATATTTAACTAAAGTTGTTGACAGATGGAATTACAAATAAACTTATTGGATGTAACGTAGAAGGTGACAATGAAGAGGAAACGGTTTTGGTGAGGATTTACGGCAATAAAACCGATTTGTTGATTGATCGAAAAGCGGAAACTAGGTATTTAAATTATTTTTTAACTTTAAACCAACTTTTTTTAATGTATTTATTTTTAATTTTTAGAAATATTTTATTGTTAAACAAACTATCTTTAGCACCACAATTATACGCAACATTCCATAACGGTTTAGCGTACCAATTCGTACCAGGAATCACGTTATCCTCAAAAACGGTTATCAAACCGGAAATTTATAAATTAGTAGCAAGGAGAATGGCAAGAATGCATAAAGTAAAAAATGATATTAATCAAAAAAACTGTACGCCGAGTCTATGGAATAAAATGCAAAGGTTTTTGGATTTGGTTCCGCATGATTTTACAGATCCACGAAAACAGAAACGCTTTCTAGAACTTAATCTCCCCAAAAAAGGTGATTTGCAGAAAGAAAAGGAGTTTTTAAAACACCATTTGAGTCAGAATGAATCATTAGTTGTTTTTGCACATAACGATTTGCTTCTGGGTAATGTTATTTACACGGAAAAATCGAATAACGTCACCTTTATCGACTTTGAATACGCTGGATTTAATTATCAAGCTTACGATATCGGAAATCATTTTGCTGAATTTGCTGGTGAGTTATTTAACTCTAACACTTTTAATAAGCAAAAAATTAATAAATATTTTCTTTTAATAGGCGTTGACGACGTTGATTATTCTTATTATCCAAATAAACAACTTCAATGTGATTGGTTAAAAACATACCTAGAAGAATTTAGTGATAAAATAGTTACAGAATGTGATATTGAAGAGTTATATGTAATGGTTAATAAATACGCTTTGGCCGCTCATTTATTTTGGGGAATTTGGTGTTTAATACAAGCCGAACACTCCTACATTGATTTCGACTTTTTAAAGTAATTATCTTGATTTATTTACATTAATAAACTATTTTTATTGTTTTTAGATATGCTCAACAACGTCTCGGGGAATATTTCACCAAAAAACCAGAATATCTTGCTTTAGGTTTACAAGAACACCCAAATAAACTTTAATTACTTTAATTTATAATATATGTAAAGATATTTTAATAATAAATAATAAATTTTACTGATTTATTATTATCCTTAGTAGTGTTACCAACTCATTTTGATTTATTTTGACATCCGCAACCAACTTCACGCATGTTAATCATCCAGCTCAGATTTAAAACTGAACGGACGGGTGTTGTCCTTAAAAGATAACAATTTAAAAAGATATGTTATCAAATTGCAACTAAAACTTCCTCACCGCAACTAAAAATCGTTAAAAGACCGAATAAAAATAATATCTCTAAAAAACGATATCCTAACCTTACAAAAAATGTGGAAAGCAGCAGCGGGAAAAAATATAAACATTAATACTCAACCGGATGAAGACGATGATTGGGAAACGGACCCCGATTTTGTTAACGATGTTACCGAACAAGAGCAACGATGGGGTTCGAACACCGTTAAAGGTTCTGGAAGGACAGCAGGAGCAATTGAGTGAGTACGATAATTCTTCATTGATTTTTGAGGTAACTTTGAGTATTTTTATTACAAGTATGGAGAAATTAAGACGCGAAACCGAAGAAGCTGATGCCATAAAAAAGAAGAAAGATTTAAGTGAAGGTCCTAATTCTTCATATGGATATGGAGGTAAATTTGGCGTTGAAAAGGATCGCATGGATAATTCCGCTGTTGGGCATGATTACGTGGGGAAAGTTGAGAAACATGTTTCCCAAAAAGATTATTCTACTGGTTTTGGTGGGAAATTTGGAGTTCAAACGGACAGAGTTGACAAAGTAGGTTAAAAAAAAAAAATTGTTTCTAAAACTTCATTACAAATCATATTTTTTTATTATTAGAGTGCATTAAGTTGGGATCATAAAGAAAAACTTCAAAAACACACCTCGCAAAAAGATTATGTCTCAGGTTTTGGTGGTAAATTTGGTGTACAAACAGATCGTCAAGATAAATCAGCCGTTGGTTGGGATCATATTGAAAAAGTTGAAAAACACGAATCCCAAAAAGATTATACACGCGGATTTGGTGGCAAATTTGGGGTGCAATCAGATCGTCAAGACAAATCCGCCGTTGGTTGGGATCACCATGAAGCCCCCCAAAAACACGAAAGTCAAACCGATCATAAAATTGGTTTTGGCGGAAAATTTGGGGTGCAAACCGATCGAATGGATAAATCAGCCGCAACTTTCGATGAAGATTCAGGAAAAATTGGCACTAATTATTCCAAAATTAAACCGGACGTTAGCGGTGCTAAACCGGGCGATTTAAAAGCTAAATTTGAAAGAATGGCCTCCGAAGAATCTAAATTAACCTCAAATATTAATAATTCCCCTGTACATAGAGGATCAATTCAATCAAGAGCCGCTATGTTTACCGAAAAGAAAGAAGAAACCGTTATAATGACCACCCAAGAAAAAGTAACAAAATTAGATCAATCAAAAATGGCGTTTTTATCATCTCAATCTGAATCATCTTCAATGTCTTCCGAAAGATCAGTTCCTGGACAATTGAATAAAAGTAAAATGGAACAATTTACATCAAATGTGACCCAAGAAAACATTGTTCATAAATCAAGTGAAATTACTAAAGAATTAGAACAGTTAAAACAGACTCAATCGATTCAACAAGAAGAACAAAATATAGAAAAAGAACAAGATAAAACATTAGAATCAAAAAAAATAATATCTCAAGAAATTCAGCAGGAAATTTCAACTAAAATGACACCTCAAGTGAAAGAAGAAGTAAAGGAAGAAGTGGAAGATGTCGAATATCATGAAGAATATCAAGAAGAAGATATTATTGATACAGGGTTAACAGCAATAGCTCAATATGATTATCAAGCTGCCGCTGAAGATGAGATATCTTTTGATCCTGAAGATGTTATAACACACGTTCAAACTGTTAGTATAATTAAATAATTAATTCGATTTTATTTTAATTTGATTTGTGTGTTTAGATTGACGAAGGATGGTGGAGAGGACTTTGTAAAGGCAAATACGGTTTGTTTCCTGCAAATTATGTGCAATTACAACAGTAAGGTAACAAAAACTAATTATATTAATATTTCCTTTTTGTAACTAAATGATAAGGACAAAAAATATGGATATGGTACTTAATGTATGTCTTTAAGATTTATTTTTGATGTGTAACAATTTATATTAGTATTTTACTTTTATTTTATGGTGGTATTTTGAATAATAAAATCGTTTTATATATATTATTCCATCAATTTTAATCAAGGAATGTTTACACTCTCTGTCCTTTATACTTAATTTTTTAATTCGGAGGACTAAAATGAAAAGTCACGTTTACACAGCGTAATTTTTCAAAGCTATTTTTTGGCAGGTATTTTAAAACCAGAGAGGATTTTAAGTAAACTATGTAGTTACGAATTTAATTACTTATTTGTTTAAACATAATAAAAACCACCGCGTACCTAGTTACTTTGTCCCACGTAAAATGCAACATGTCAATATAATTTGACATTACACTAAAACCTCGAAATAACGGATTAATACCTGTAATTTAAATCAAATTTAAATAAATTAATATAAAAAAAATTATTTTTAACTTAATGTTTTATTAAAAGTCGGTAGAGTTGGCAACACCGAACATAACCTAAAAACTTTTGAGAACCACTATTTTAAGACGTTATTTCTTAAATTCATCGCTGAGTGTCGCTCGCGTCGCTTGTTATTCTATACCCGAGCGAATTGCGTTCAGTTTGTGCAAGCAATTCGTCGTGTACGGTAGATCGTATCATTCTCGTTTCTAAGTTTATTCTGTACAGGGTCCGGTTCGACCGGCCATGTTGTTATTGAGAAAATCGGTGTGCACCGAGCGTTTCCGTTTTGATCGGAAGTTTTAAACGAAAACAGTACCCCTAAGAAAGTGGTGGACTCGGCTCTGGGGCCGCGTTCGGATTTGGTGTTTAATGCCCGGACTCATCATCGCCGGAGCAAGAAGATGGATTCGCAAGTAGAGGCCAATTGGGGTACTGACCTGTGGGTAAGTAAAAAAAGTATTTTTCTGCATTGTTTTTATCACGGTCGTTACTACGGCAACGATTATAATGATTTAATCTTATCTTTTGATTAACCGCGAAAATTTGAAAATTATTTCTAAATACGACAGGTGTTTTTAAGATTTTTTTCGTCTTGTTTTATTTTTCTTTTAGGTACGTGTGTAACCTGTTTCGTGATTTGCATATGACCATTTTGTGGTTAGGGATCAGGTTTTTGTTACTAAGGTGCAGGTGGGAGATAAAAATAAGAATTTAAACCAAAAAGAATTATCGATATATTAACCGGTTTAAACGTGACTTATCTTATTATAAAATTAAAAAGAAAAGATATTTTTTTGTTAAGAAGGGGGTTGTTAAAATAAGGGTGTGTGTGTGATCGGCGCAAGTCTATGACTCACTTCGCGGATATCGTTCCCAAAATGTCGAAAACAGGTGGTTTAGAACATTTAAATGACCAACTGGTTAACCTGATTTTTCCACGATGATGTTAATTGGTCACTTATTACTCTTATTAGTAATAGCCCGATAAAAGTAGCCTCGATACGAATTATTACTTCAAATTAAAAAGGTGCTTTTCTTTTTAAAAATTTCCTTTTTCAAATTGGTTGGGTAATCATTTACGAATAATTCGTGATTTGAGTCATGAAAAAATGAACATTATTCATTTCTATGTTGAGTAATAATTAAATTAAATTAATTATCATCGATTCAACTCTTTAAACATTTATTCGAAATTCAAAAAATAAAATTGAGGTTAAATTGTTGCCATAGTTACGGTTAATTTTTTTGACATTATAAACAAAAACGTTTTTATTAAATCAAATTAAAAACTCTCCCTTTCGTTCATCCTGTACCGAAAATATCATCAATTAATTTGTTTGTTCCTGAAACTTAATGATGCCATGAAATCACTGCGTATGACTCAACATCACTTCGTGGAAACGTGGAGATTTATAAATTTAAATTAAACTTAATCTTAAACTTACAAAACACGCGCGTGGACTGTCAATTTAAATGTCTAATATCGCGTTAGCGCCATCTATTGATGGCTAGTTGTTTCAAATCAATATAAAAATATACAACAATTTAAATCGGAATAACAATTAGAACTAACACTAATGTTATCACTACAATTAATCTTAGAACTAGAATCATTCGTTTTTAGTTCTAGTACTAGTGTTAGTTCTAGTGATTTCTGCAAATATCTGAGGTTATGATGCAAATAGATTAAGTTAGAGTCTATATACAAATTTAACCACATACTGATGAAAATGGTGACGATTCATGTAAAAAAAATTAGGAAAAGTCCTCAAATTGCAAAGATACAGTCCATCAAAGTTAGGAAATTTGAATACATTTTGCTAAATATCTTAAACACTATTAAGCGTTGAAATTTGGTACAATATAAATCAATGTCACATAAAATCGTTAGGCAATTCATAAGCTGGATCGGTCTGCAGGAACAATGCTATATACGCTGTTCCTAAAATTTGTTTATTCAAAACTTTTTTATTCTGCTTACTGTAGGAAGCTGCAGCAATTTCTCCTAGATCGCTCAGAAATTCTGTTCAAGCTTTTCATGATTGGTTGGACCAGTGCCTTGCAATTATTGCTTTTTTTAAAATGTAGAAGCAAGATTTATATGTAAATCATTAATAGAACGCGCGTGGCCAATTAAAGAACCTCGCACATTCTTAACGCGGACGTGTGAAAGCGTTGTTCGACGTCTGGTTTACTCTGGTGGTAACTATTTATGTTACAGGAAGTGTACAGAAAAGGAACACCCATTTTGAATAATACGCCTTATAAATAACTTCATCGATATGCTCTTAATAAGGCTTGAAAATTAATGATTAATAATTAAATCCGCCTCCTTTTTTGTATTCTCCAAGAATTTAAACTTTTTGAATTAGAGGTGGCTTTAAACTTTTAAAGAAAAAGGAAGTTTTTTTCATTGAAACAGTTACTAAACGACGTTCGTGTGCGGTTTTAGAAGAAAACCAATCGAGTCCCACATACGGTTTATCTCCAAGATTTGTTGAAACGAATCGATAATAATTGCTGGCTATAAAAGAAATCGGGGACAAGAAAATCGAAAATAAGAAAAATTGGAACAAAATTAAGTATTCCTCAAAAATAGTTCATCTTTATGGTACAAGTCTAAATGCTAAATTGTGACCCAAAGATCGAGAATCTAAAAATTTCTTCAAATGTCTTCTGCAGCCCATTGGTAGGACATGTCGAAACAGATCTTTTTCTTTCAAGTGAGGAAGGTAGTCTTTTGCTGGCGACACCGGGTTCCATAGTTTACTAACAATCTCTTCTCTTACTACATAAGAATATTTATTATAAAATAACTTAATAATAAACTGCCGCCATCTAGTGGAGAGTAGATGGTAAAGTTCGTTATGGTAGATAACGAGAATGCTCAACGTTATAATAAATTTAAATTACTTTTATTTGATTTATATTATTAGAAAAAGAATTTAAATTAAAAATAAAACACAACATCAAAATATTACAACAATAAATATTCTCTTCCTCTTCATTTCTTCTTTTTAGCAGCGGCCGCTTTTTTAGCAGCCTCCTCTTTCTTTTCTTTTTCTGGAATAACAGGACCGGCGCCAACCTGTTCACTCGCCAAATACGTAGTTATAAATTGTCCAACGACCGTTTTTAAATTTTCTTCAAGATCGGGAGCGAGTATAGCCTTTTCAGCGATTTCATGCAACAACTGTTGATGATGTTGTTTCATAAAATGAATGAACCTAGATTCGAAATGAGTTATTTTCGTCGGATCGACTTTATCTAAAAACCCACGGACGCCGCAAAAAATGATCACGACCTGTTCTTCAATCGGAATCGGCACGTATTGACCTTGCTTTAATAATTCCGTTAGGCGAACGCCTCTGTTTAATAAATGTTGAGTGGCCGCGTCTAAATCCGAACCGAATTGTGCGAAAGCTGCTACTTCGCGATATTGGGCCAGATCCAATTTCATTGATCCGGCTACTTGTTTCATCGCTTTCGTTTGGGCAGCTGAACCAACTCTAGAAACTGATAAACCTACGTTAATAGCCGGTCGAATACCTTTATAAAACAATTCTGTTTCTAAAAAAATTTGACCGTCGGTTATTGAAATAACGTTAGTTGGAATATAAGCGGAAACATCTCCAGCTTGAGTTTCAATAATTGGTAAAGCTGTTAGTGAACCACCGCCGTGTTTTTCCGACATTTTTGCAGAGCGCTCTAAAAGTCTTGAATGCAAATAAAAAACATCTCCGGGATAAGCTTCTCTTCCAGGAGGTCTTCGCAACAAAAGAGACATTTGTCGATAAGCTACAGCTTGTTTTGTTAAATCATCGTAGATAATTAAGGCGTGTTTTGCGTTATCTCGAAAAAACTCTCCCATAGCACATCCAGAGTAAGGTGCTAAATATTGTAAAGGTGCCGCATCGGAAGCTGTAGCTGAAACGATAATTGTATACTTTAAAGCTCCGGTGGTGTTGAGTCTTTTTAAAATTTGTGCTACTGTTGAACGTTTTTGACCGATTGCGACATAAATGCAATATAATTTTTTCTTTTCGTCATTTCCTTCGTTAAATCTTTTTTGATTTAATATTGCATCGATTGCTAAAGAGGTTTTTCCAGTTTGTCGGTCACCGATAATTAATTCTCGCTGTCCTCTTCCGATTGGGACTAAAGAGTCCACCGCTTTTATTCCAGTTTGCATTGGTTCTTTAACAGACATCCTTGGAATAATTCCCGGTGCTTTAATTCCAATCCGATATCTTTGACTGGAAGTAATCGGTCCTTGCCCATCAATCGGAGTACCTAGCGCATCTACAACCCTTCCAAGTAATTCAGCCCCAACCGGAACATCAACGATCGCTCCGGTTCTTTTAACAACATCACCTTCCTTTATTAACTTATCGTTACCAAAAACGACGACGCCAACGTTATCCGGTTCTAAATTTAAAGCCATTCCTTTTAAACCGACGGAAAATTCAACCATTTCCTCGGCTTGTATATGTCTTAATCCGAAAACTCTTGCTATCCCATCTCCTATACTTAATACTCTTCCCGTTTCTTCCATATCCGAACTTGATGGAGATCCGATAACTCGTGTTTCGAGGACTTGACTGATTTCTGTTGAATAATTTTTTGAATTCGAAACATTTTTTGGGATATAACGACATAGTTTAGTGTAAAACCTTTGCATTTTTTTGGATTTATTATTTGACGTAAATGAATGACGTTTTATTGAGTAGCGATGTCTAAGATGTCTCATTTTTCTCATTTTAATTAATTTGTTATCCCAAGTTTGGGAAGTTAAAAAAAAACACCTCTTCAAAACCGTTTTTTTCTCTCGAACGTGGTCTGTTTTATATCAAACTCCTCCTAAAAGGATCGATGTAAACCGTGGCGTAGGCAGCGTCTTTTTTAAGGTCACAAGGTTATTAATAAAACGTTACCTCATGACCTTGGAATGTGAAATTTGCCAAAACGAGAAAACTTTTAATCCGTGCAAAAGTGTTACGTTAATTTTTAATTAATTTTATTAATGTCAGGGGATTTTTCTTTGTTTGCGTAGAAAAACACAGGTGTTCCGGTGAAACGAACAGACAACAACAACACTCTAACGATATTTTTACAAAAACGCTGGGCTCTTTGTCCGTTGAACCCGTACGGAAATGAACGGGGCGTGGGCCTGCACCGCTGCACGTCAACAAACGGCTCATATTTACGCAGAGGAAGCTGATATCTCTCGGTTGGTTGGAAACCGAGGACTTTTAACAGCTCGGTCATCTTTAAACTTTGCTTTTCCTCGAATTATTGATAACAAACGTTTGGTGTTATTGAAACATAATTTTTCTTTTCTTTGAAATTAAATCTTACACCTACATAATTGAATCTGAAATGTTAAGATAGTGTTTTGTTCATTAAATATCTATTATACCTAGATTATACTTTATTTTATAATGAGAGTTTAAGATCTATTGTAACTTACACCATCCAATGGTTTAGGGCAGATCTAGGTCCTGGATGAACCTTGATATTGCTCAAAAGTCTTGTTCCTTTATGTGAGTAGATGTCAGTGAATCGTTTCCAAAAGTCCTAGGCGACCTCTGACGACGCAATCATTCAGAATATAAGTCACTAACTTGTCGTTGCAAAATCGACAAGTTTGAACCTCAGCTTATCCAATGTTGAAGAGATGGTAGTTTAGAGAAACCTTTTAAGTCTCCTTTGTTGAGGCATAAAACTTCTTTGGTTTTCTTTTGCGATCAAGTTGAATCTGAGACTACCTATTATCAGGTGGAACTGGAACTTAAAAGACCGAGAAGAGACTACTGATTTTGGGTTGTAGCGTTGAGGGTTATGTCGTTTAAATTACACAATTTTGTTTGTAGTAGATATTATAGTTGTTTTTACATTGTTGGAAATTGCAGAAAACAAAATCTAAAAAAATGGTCTTTAATAGTAATAGATTTTAATAGATGTCGCTAAATATTCCTATTTCATTTTCTTGAAATTCCTCCTAAAATTTCCACAACTCTTTAAAACTCAACAAGAATTATTAATAATAGACATTTTACACCTGTTACCTTGTTGTCCATGACCTGTGACCTCAAACATGCATATCTTATGATATTTCCTTTGACCCCACCGAGTGGGTCAAAGAAATATCATTATCACATCGTCCGTCTGTGTGAATTCTTTCCAAAGTAGTCAACTGGGCTTTGTTCGGTGGTCACGCATAACGAAATTCTCTCACGGCTCGCGTCCGGCATAAATTAGAGTCGTGTTGCACTCTCTTCTTCGGAAGTCTTCTATTATTGACATGTAAGTCAGTGCACCGCGTAAAAGAAGAAACTTGACGCCAAGCCTCTATCTTATCGTTTTATGTGTTTGTTTTCGACATAACCGCATCGATACGCCCCAAGCCCGCGGGTTTTTTATTGCCGTTGTCTTTTCTTGGCAGTCTTTTGAGATGATGTGGAGTTGCTGACCCAGAGGCGTTCAGATTCGGAGATTTTTTTTTACTTTCTAAACGGGATTTTTGCCGTTTCTCGCCATATGGTACACAGAAAAACGATAATAATTTACTTGATAATATTTTAAATATTTAAAAGGTCTTTAAAAAACAATGAAGTAACTGACAAAATTTTTTAGTTTATTACGCATAAAATATGATGACCTAGTTGAAAAAAAATTTGATACTAAAAATCCGGTTGTGTTTCATAAAGTTCACTGAACGATTTCAAAAGTTTACAGACGATTAGTCAGAGTCTTTAAAATATAAATTTAACGGCCCAAAAAAGTAAATCGATAACAAAATGCTACAACTCATTTCCATTAGTTTTCCAATTAACGTTTTTGTTAACAATCATTAACAATCCTATTAGATTACATCAACAACCAGACAACTTCAGTTTTGTTACAACAAAGGCTCGCTTCATATCGCTATTTTCACCATCTCAATACAAACTGTGGAGAGGCAAGTTTTGCAACGCGCATTTTTTTATGTTTCCACCAAATCAGATCCAAGGTTATTTAGTTTTGCTCTCCGTTCTTGAGGGATATTTGCTATGACGTAATCTTAAATAGGAGATTAGGTCGCCGTTTGAAGCTGTTAATAAGTCGAACAAGTCGCGTTTTCCGTTTTTCCAAACGAGTGAGCAACTTCAGAATGTACCATTTAACGATTTCTTCATCATTTTTTTGGTTTATGTATTTTTGAGTTTCCTGTCCTCAATTTCTTTTATAACCCAGTTGTTATCAATTAATGTGACATCAAACAAAATTAAAGAAATATTTCAAATTTTCTTTTTTTTTTACAACAAACACTTTATTGTTCAATTTTTACAAGTTGATGTAGTAATGAGTCTCGACGAAACGCGTTCTGACCTTCACTTCTCTTAAGTAAGACCGCGGTCGCTTTGTGTTAAACTCAGTTTTAAATAGGTGCTGTGCTGCAATTCTACGAAAAACGACTTTCCGAGTACGACTGCAACGTTTTGTTGTAAACGTACTTGAAAGAGAGCGAGAGAAAAAAATAATAAAAATCTCGATTCGTAGTTACCATTGAAACAAACGGACGTCGTCGTGATTCATTTGTTCCACATTGGCTTACTTTGTTTCAGCAGCCGTCTGAAGGTCATCCGAATCGTACTTCTCCACTGCAGCATCTAAATACTCCGCTGCAAGTTAACTTTAGCTGAGATCTTTTGCAATAATAGATCTTGACGTTTCAGAAACTTTGATAAGGAATTGGGTCAAATTCTTTCAACAGAATCTTAAAATCTTTGTTTTAATAGAATATGTTATGATAAACACAATTTCATTTATAAAAATGAGCCGGTCGAGAGGATCCTAGTTTGACCACGTAAAATGAATGGGGCAGGTGAGGAAATCACGGATTTACATGGAGGCTAGAGTACAAGACAAGCAACCTATAGGCAGACCGAACATGAGAGGAGACTATGTAGTATATCCATAATAAGGATATACTTTTGTATATCGCATTTGTATGCGAAGTTGTATATATGCAAGTTTATCTACATTCCAAGATATAGAACCTGTTAAGAATTTTTTTTAACGCTAATTTTTTATATTACCGACTTTAAAATATAGCGGTTTAACTGTTCGATAATTAGGTTGACCAAAAAGCTCTTTTTTCTCGTTATTTTAAAATAGAATTTAGAGAGCCAAGTTTAGAGGTTGAAAAGTAAATATTTAAGGTTTTTGGAGCGTGTAAATATTTAAAAGGCGACCCCCAAAAATATTTTAAGGTCGAACCTGATACATAGAGGTAGATCAAGGAAGAGACTTCGCTTCTCCGTCTCTTTCATTCGTTATTTTTTTTATATGGAAGCGTCGTCCGCGGAAGAACTTTCATTTAAAAGAAAGTTTTGGGAAATTTCCCGGTTTTTGCACGTAGATAAACAATGACTGGAAGGAAGCGTGTTTTCAATTATAATAATCATTAATTAACTAGACAATTCTTATTTTGTTTTCAGGATCAATTTGATAGTTTAGCGGGGCATACTTTACGCGGGATTGATTTTTTGGAACGATATGGCGCTTTCGTTAAAGACAGGGCTTTGATCGAAGTTGATTATGCTGCAAAATTGAGGTAATCATTTATTTATTTGATTTATAAATAAAATTATCAATTATTTTTGTGTTTTAATACTTATTAATACTTTATCTTATCTGAATTAACTTTGAATTCCACAAAGGTGACATATAAACAAATGTAAAAATTAAATGTTGTTTTTCTCCGAGTAAGTTTATGTACTTAACATATCTAAATGCTAGCTTCTAAAAGATTTTGTTGGAATACTCTAAAATAACATCAGATAAGAAGAATGATTCATGCATTGACTAAGAGAGTCTCTATTAACAATATTTATTTTATGTTTTATTTTTAGAAAATTAGCCAAAACGTATAATCCTAAGAAAAAAGAGGACGAAGATCAACAGTGAGTACAATCATTATTTATTTATAATAAATTCATTCTTGTCCATAAAGTCTTTTTAAAACGACTAATTATGAATAACGTTACTCCCTTTTAAGTGTTCATCAACCGAATTAACCGTTCTTAAGTTCACTGACTCAGAATGTACACTCGCTTATTCACGGGAATTGAGTGTCGTAGTTTTCTTTATTCATTCATAAAGAATTTTCAATTAAAGATGAATAAAGACACAATAAAAACTAGACATCTCATGAATAAATCTAAAACAAAAAAACTAAATTGAATTATTTTAGACACCTCAAATTATGGGTAAAGAGGCATAAAGACAAAAGATTCGAATTCTTGTTCGTTTCAAGGATTCCTTTCACTAACTAGTAACGTTAACGTTTAAAATACGCGATGTGTGTATGTGTGCTTATGGTTTGTCATGAAAAAATTTTTCTCTTCGGGCTATACAACCGCAATTATGAATCTATAAACGAGTAATAATCGAAAAATCCTTGGGTTTGTATATGAATCTAATGAGTTAACGAATGTTTTACTTCATACATTTTACTTGATATTATTTACGTTTCATTTTCTCGGTTTGTTAATAGTTGTAGTTGAGAGAGTGTCTTGGTAATCGTTTTCATTCTCGCGTTATAAATATTTAACAAGTCGACTCTAGTTATTCTAGATTCAATAGCCGTGCGAAGAAATTATGCAACGTTACTCAATTTCTCCGGCAACGGTAGCGCAAAGTTACTAAAATTCACAACGACAACCTACACAGAAAACAGAAACTTGCATAGAGAATCCAGTTTTATTTACTAACTTCTGGTTTGACTTTCACAAGGTTTTTTTAATAACCTACTTTTGAAAATGATTCACATTTGTTAAGTTAATTTTTGTTAAGGACTCTGTGACATGACAGGAAGGATAAATATTTTTAGAATTATTCATTTATTATGATTTTCAAGAATTTGCGATTTTAGTTTTACAAATTTACCCAAAATATATTGCTTATAAGAGAGTTATGTTAGTGGTTACAACGGTTTTGATGTGGTTATGATAAAATTCACGATTCTTTGCGTCACGTCATTGTTGCCTTATCAACATTTCTCAACAATTTCATTTTCTAAATCATTTCTTAAAGTACACGCGTGTTTATACTTATAGTAATCTCAATAAAATGAGCAATAATAATATCAATATTTATACAAAAATAACAACACATTTGTGCAACAACATTTTATTATATTATATTCGAATAATTCTTACACACTCTGTAGGATTGTATCAGAGTTTCTGATTCAATCTTTACATTGTATAAAATATACGCGTTTACAATTGACATCACCTCTACAAACGACTAAACCTACATAGTCAACATTTTTTAAAATTAAATTTCTTATTTTTGTTTATTATTTTAGATTTACAACATGCAAGTCATTCAAGATGTTATTAAACGAAGTAAACGATTTAGCTGGACAACACGAAGTGATAGCAGAAAATTTTCAAGCAAACGTAATCAAAGAATTATCAGTTTTAGTAAAAGATTTAAGAGAGGACCGTAAAAAAAGCTTAGTGGAGGGTGGTAAACTCCAAACGAACTTGGCGAATCAAATCGAAACGTTACACAAATCGAAACGGGCTTACGATAAAGCGTACAAAGAATCGGAAAAGGCAACGGAAAACTTCCACAAAGCGGACGCGGATTTGAATTTATCTCGCGCCGAAGTTGAAAAGCAAAAATTTAATATGGGTACGAAATCGCAGATGTGCGATTCCGCGAAAAATGATTACGCGGATCAATTGCAAAGGACCAACGATCTTCAGCGACAACATTACAGGTCCGGGATGCCGGACGTTTTCCGGCAGTTACAAGATTTGGAAGAAAAGCGAATCAAAAGTATGCGAAGCTTCATTCATTGTTGCGTCGATATCGAACGAAAAGTTTTCCCGATTATAAATAAGTGTTTGGATGGCATCGAAAGGGCGGCGGATGTTATTAATGAAAAAGAAGATGCGGCCATTGTGGTGGAGAAATTTAAATCCGGATTTTTACCCCCTGAAGATATTCCGTTTGAGGAGTTACCAAAGAACGGTAGCGATAATGGTAGTTCGAATAATATCAATTATATTCAAGTCGGACCAAAAATGAAAGACGGCGGATTGACTGTGAAAGGAACGATTTCAGGGAAAGGGATGAAAAAACGAACGGGACTTTTTAATATTTTTGGAAGTAGAGGGGTGAGTTTATTTGATGATCATTTTGTTTTATTTTTTTCTTGGAATGAATAAGAATAAAAATAAATTTTGATAAATTCGTATTTTTTCTTCTCTCTTTTATGGTGATGGTCGCTACGCTGTGGTGTTTTTTATACAATCGTTTCTTGCTACTTTGTAAGTAAATTGTAAATATTGTTCATTTCATTTTCGAGAAATTCCTTTTAATCGATACAAACTTTTTTTCACCTTAATTTGATATATTCTCAGCATGGCTTCTTTATAAAAATAAAATAGATCCCAAATAATTCTTGATTAACATTTTTGTAATCCCCCCGCTTTGTTGTTTCTTTATAATTCCATGCTTACTGAAGAAGCTTACTGACGTCTGTATGGCTATTAAGGTACGATAGTTTCGTATGTAGATAATTAATTAATTTATCCTTAGCTTTGTTTTTGCTAATTCCTATTTTAATAAATTCAATGATTTATCGTTTATAATTAAACATTAATCGTAATTTTTAGAATGCAACTGTAACCGATGGAAAGGACGACTTTAGCGATTTAGCGCCGAATCAACGATTAAAAAAGCTTCGACAACGCGTTCGAGAGCTTCAAACGAAAATTCAACAGGAAACGTTCGCCCGCGACGGTCTTTTAAAAATGAAAAGTGTTTACGAAGCGAACCCAGCGCTGGGAAATCCGATGACAGTTGAAGGTCAATTGAATGAAAGCAGTCATAAATTAGAAAAACTCCAGCAGGATCTGAAGAGGTATATGGACTACTTGGATGAAGCGCAAAGAAATTCGACTCAAATCCAGAACTCGCACTCGCAAACGAACTCCCCTCGATTGGTGAACGGACGAAATCATCGGAATTCAGGGGGAAGTGCTGCGGAAGAGGAATCTTTAAGCAGGTCTGCTAGCGATAGCAGCGTTACTAATCCTACTACGAATCATAATAAACGATCAGCACCTGGTACTCCACAGCTTAACCATGGGTTGGTATTTGGTTGCTTAAAATGCTTAAAAAATTTGTTTGTGTGCGTTTTTTATTAATTTGTGTTAATTTGCTTTGCTATTTTTTTTAAATTATTTGTTAAAATTTATTTAAAAGGAAGTATGGTAAAACCTTGATATAATAACGGGCCTCATTAGAAGGGACAAAATATTTTTAAGATATTATTTTAAGGCTCACTTTTACCATCCTCCTGATAAACTATCTAGAGGATAGTTGCCATGGTTACGGCGGTTTTAAGCGCTCTCATTGGCTAAGAACTGGATTTGTCTATCGGATAACTTTATCAGGTGGTGGTAAAAGTGGGCCTAAATACATCAGTATATTTAAATATACATGTTACCGCTCATAGATTGAATTCAATTCGGGTTAATATTGAAATGATTTTAATAAGAATCAAAAATGCTTTCATTTGATACCAAACATGATATATTTGGGTTAAAAAATGAAGAAGTTATTGATGTTTTGTGTTTAGAAAAAATACTTTTTATTGATGACCATTAATTGACATATTGCTTTACTTACGATTTATTTTCATGGGCTCCTATCACTGAGCCCTAATCCGTTATATCGATGTTTTACTGTATTAGTTATTAGTAGTAGTGTAGGCTGACCCTAACGCTTCTTTTATTCGTTCCCCGTTAACGCAGTTGTTCCAACAGCCCGGAAAGTGGATTGGGAAGATCGCATACTTCATTACCCGGAGCAGATTTCGATCAAGATCAATACGATGGGCATCACCACCATCAAAATGATACAGAAAAAGATTATTACGATAATATTTATGAATCGGAGGCGTTACCACCTTTAGGCGTTTGCAAAGCTCTCTATCCATTTGATGGTAATGCAAAAATTGTAATTAAATTTGTATTACGATTAAATTAATTTTATTTTAGTGACAAGTGAAGGAAGTATACCGATGATAGAGAACGAAGAATTACATTTGATAGAATTAGATCAAGGTGATGGATGGACGAGGGTGAGGAGATTAGCTGGGGATTCTGAGGAAGGATTTGTGCCGACGTCTTATATTGAAATTACGCTCTACAATACATAAAATTAAACATAAAAAAAGGTGCCGGCCGCTTTTTTTAAAAAAAAAGCAAAGAACAAAGTTGAACAAATATATTGAGGTGTATTATGTATAAATAATGCGAACAAAAATTTTCAAAGTGTACATACAATGCTCACCATAGGAACTTTTTCTTTTTTAATTTTAATTAAATTAATGTTATGTAGCAATGCTAGGCTAAGATTGTCTATACATACAATTTTTTTTTCTATAAGTTTTTATGTTTCGTCTTTTTTTTTTAGTTTAAGCAAAAATATATACAGTGGTGGACAAAAGTCTAGATACAGCATTGATATGAGGTTTTTCTCTAACGATAAGATAACAGAAAATTAATATTACAGTGTGATTAGAGATACAGCTAAATACTAAAAATTCAAGAAATAAGACAAAAATTTACATACACAGCAGTTTTTAACTAAAAATAAATTATTAGGTCCATGTAACGACAGTTTTAAAACTCAATATTACGTTGACCCTCCATGAGCTCTTCTGCTGTTATTTCAGCCCAAGATTCAACTAACACAGACTTCAGTGTTTTCGCATCTGTGATTTTGCGCTGCCGAATCTTACGTTCCAAAAGTTCCCAAACATGCCGACCGTCATTTCCAAAAAGGTTGTTACTCGTCAGTAAACAAAACCCTGTACCAGAAATCCATTACCTTGTTGATATTATCACATAGAACTCTTTCTTTAACTCAAGTGTCCTATTAGTTTTTGCATTGTTTGTTGAATTTTAGTTATTGACCGATTTTTTTTTGTGAATAAGTATTTCTAATCAAGTAATACTAATTTTCTATTATCTTTTTACGTTTTACAAAAACCTCAATTAAATGCTGTAGATTTTTGTCTGTCACTGTATAAACAAAATATAAGGATGGAAATAATAATTGAATCATAAAATTTGTAAACGGAAATTATTGTCTCGATTAAAACTGCATTTTGAAATAATATTATTATGGTAATAATCGAACAAACAAATTATATTAAAAAAGCATTTACACAAAAACTTATTTATTATTCTAAGCCTTCAATGTCGCATCTTTTATGTTGTACTCTCTGTGAATGAAGTTTGATATAATTCGCGCTACGAATATAAAAAAAAATATATATATGTATATGACTGATTTATCTTATTAATTAAAGCTATAAACAAAGTAAATATGACAATTTAATTTTGATTTAACCTTTTCAATTTAATTCTTTCGCTCGTTAATAGATGGCGCTCATTCAGTGACTATATTCAGTTTGCTCAACGGTTGATGTCAAATACCTGTCAAGTTGACACATTTGTTTATTAGAATCAAACGTAATATTTTATTCCTTAATATCTTAATGAAAAAAAATCAATAGATTAAATTATAAGAAATGGCCGAATTAGATAATTGGATTGAAATCGCAAAGCAATGTAAATATCTCCCGGAAAATGATCTCAAAAAACTTTGCGATATAGTTAGTGAAATTCTTTTGGAAGAATCTAATGTTCAACCGGTGTCCACGCCGGTTACAGTTTGTGGGGATATTCACGGACAGGTAAGGTGTGATGAGATTAATTAAAAGAAAATTTTTAATTAAAATTGTTTTAGTTCTACGATTTAGAGGAGTTGTTTCGTAATGGAGGCCATGTTCCGGATACAAATTATATTTTTCTCGGTGATTTTGTAGATCGTGGTTATTACAGTTTAGAAACATTCACAAGATTGTTAACTTTAAAAGCTAAGTATCCTGAAAAAATTACGTTACTTCGTGGTAACCACGAAAGTAGACAAATCACCCAAGTTTATGGATTTTACGATGAATGCTTAACTAAATATGGAAATGTTAATGCTTGGAAATATTGTTGTAGTGTTTTTGATTTATTAACAATAGCCGCAGTAAGTTATATAATTAAAATAAGTTATTTTTTTTAGTAAATTTATTTTAAGTTAATTGATGAAAAAGTATTATGCGTCCACGGTGGTTTAAGCCCGGAAATAATCACAATCGATCAAATACGATGTTTAGAAAGAAATCAAGAAATTCCACATAAAGGTGCTTTTTGTGATTTAGTTTGGTCGGATCCCGACGATGTGGATACTTGGTCGACGAGTCCCAGAGGAGCTGGTTATTTATTCGGAGCTAAAGTAACTCACGATTTTATGAAAATTAATAATTTATCCTTGATTTGTCGCGCTCATCAATTAGTGCATGAAGGATTTAAATACATGTTCGATGATAAATTAATAACGATTTGGTCAGCTCCTAATTATTGTTATCGATGTGGGAATATAGCCAGTATACTTGAATTTGAAACCAGCGAGAATATGTCTGCTAAATTATTTAAAGCTGTACCAGATAACGAACGTGTTATTCCATGTAGAAATGTTACACCTTACTTTTTATAAAATGTGATGTAAACAATTATATGAAAATTTTTTTTCTAAATTTAAATAAACCGAACTTTTTATTTATTTTGACTTTTTTTTATGCTAATATTTATTTATCAAGTGGGTATAGAAACAGGTCAAAGATGTGCAACTAACTTCATGAATCAGGATGGGTCACTATGAACCAAAAAAATGTGTTCAAAATCTCTATAACTTTTACAATCCTATGTTAAACCGCTACTTTTTATAGGAACATAAGCTTATGAAGCATTGTAATTTGCAACCTGAAGATTCAGATTTGGTTAAGGAATTGAAAAACCAAACATCAGCTGCATTGCAAAAATGATTTCAATCTCAACTGTTGCATTATATAGCTTTGTTTTTGGATCCTAACTTTAAATCCCTTAAGTTTTTAGTTCACGAGCACGAGAACAAACGCGTATTGAATCGCGATTAATATGATTATAATTGGAGAATTAGAAAGTGAAATAATTCGATTTTAAGATTTTTTTTTGTTTATTACAAACCTTAAGTTATTACTTAAAAGTATATATCACTTATTAATTAGATTGATTTTTTTAAGTACATAATTATTTTTGATTTGTTTCGAACTGGACGGATTTAAAAATATTAGTTCGAGGCACTTTTTACGTATTTTGTCAATTTAATTGTTACTTAAGTATGATTATAAAACGCTTAATTATTTAAAATTGCATGATTAAGACTTATTAAGAGACGCTTAAAAATATATGTACAACTTTGGTTTTGTATAAAAAGGACTTAATCTAAACGAAACAATTTTTTTATATATATGTACAGTTCAAGAATATCATCAAGTATCACACTTTGATCTTTTTTGGGTTTCCTTTTAGAGATTTTTTTTAATTAACCGGATCTTTACCTACATACGTCAGTCGTTTCTTCAAAGAGGTACAAAAAGGCCTTTCGGAATGTTTCAAATAAATTAAAATTGTAATTAAAACTACTATATAAGTCTTTCTTCTGGAGGTGGTTTTAAAACGTGGTCTAATTCAACTCGGGGGTTACAAAATTCTTGGGCACTCGGGCTATAAGTACCTCTTGTAGCTCGTTTACTCCTTGCTATGTTCACAAGAACAACCAAACCAATTGCTAAACCAACAACAATTACCACCACAACGGGAATTACTATGAATAAAATGTTGACACCTGAATCTTCCTCTGCTTTCAAAGCCTATTAAAAAAAACATTAAAATTAACAAATTAATAAAGAATAAGGAATAAAATTTACCTGGACATCACTACAATTTTTTCCAGTCCAATCTGGTGGACATTTACATAAATAATCCGTTGAATTGGTACACATTGCTTCACAAGATCCGTGCGCACACGGATTATTCAAACAAGGATCGTCCAAGTTACAATATAACCCGCATTTTTGATTCTCGCACGTGCACCGATAACTTCCTGGGGTGTTTGTACATTTTCCTTGTCCGCAAGGATTCCATTGCGCATCGCACTCGTTAATATCAACTTCACAATTTAATCCAGTGTAACCTTTAAAAGCAAACAAAGACAAATGAATTATTTTTATAAAATAAACCGCAATGATCTAATCGGTCTAAATTCTTAAAGTTAAATCGTTATCTTATCGTTAAAGTATGCGTTAAAACTTTATTTTGAAATTAGTAACGTTATCTTTGTTTCGATATCATTTTAGCAATGCAATTTTTAATGTTGTTTGATGTGAGTTGTGTCATTCGTTTTGTATTAGGAAATCAAACGTGTGCTGCATATTGAAATAAATACATACCAGTTCTATCACATCCACATATATATTCGTTAACCAAATCCTTACACTCGCCATTATTTTGGCATGGAAAACTCGCACACTCATCGATGTTATATTCGCAATAATCTCCATCGTACCCCAACTCGCATTCGCATCGGGGCTGTAAACCGTTTACGTTGCAAAATCCGTTATTTTCGCACTTCTTCGCTTTGCAATAAGGCATATCGCACCGATCTCCTATTATCCCCGGCGGGCATAAACACGTAAAGTTATTACCCTTTTTGTTTTCATTTTTACAAGTTGCCCCGTCCGCGCAAGGGTGATCCAAGCAAGTTATCACTTTTTGTCGTTCGCAATTAATGCCGGTGAATTCATCCGTACATTCGCAGGAATAATTTCCGATTAGGTCGGTACAACTACCTCCGTGTAGGCATGGAGAAGATTCGCATTCGTCGATTTCGTTTTCACAACTAGAAAAGAATTAATTTAATTTTTTAACTGACAGTTTTTTAAATTTAAATGTCTAATTTCGTACTAGTGCCATCTTTTGTTGAGTAGTTGTGTCAAATAATATGTCAAAGAATACAACCATTCGAATTTGACAAATATTAATTTTAATTTATTATTTTATTAACTTATTATTTTAAGTTAATTCTAGATTTAGTTGTTCAACGTTAGATTGTTGTATATCGTTTTCTAAGCCGTCTTAAGGGATGTTCGGCCAAAAAATCGTTGTATTTAATTTTCACATTTGACAGTTTCTAACCTAACTTTTATTTTCATACTATCTCAGCTTAATGTAAAACCTTTTTATTTATTAACCTTTTTGTCATAAACCTGTTTTCACAGCCATGAAAGACGTATTTGTTTCTTAAAAAGGATCAATTCAGAATTTTTGTTTAATTATAAAGTTAAAAATGGCGATTATTTGACATTGGTTTGACAAGGTTATAAACTGTCATAACCTTTTTTATTTAAAAAAAATAAAAATATGTGCTATTCGGTATCAAATTAAAGCACTTTTGATTCTTATTAAGATCATTTCAATGTTCATCAAAAAACCGTTATATTTAATTTTGACATTTGACAGTTTCTAACCTAACTTTTTTACTTTTTAACCTAAATATGTGATATTCGGTATCAAATTAAAGCATTTATGATTACTTATTAAGACCATTTCAATATTTATCAAAAAATCGTTATATTTCTGCTAAACCTAAAATTAATAATAAATTCTAAAATACTTACTATAATCCATCATATCCATTCAAACAAACACAAGAATATTTTCCAATTTCATCTTTACAAGTAGCGTTATTTTTACATTGATTATCTTCGCATTCGTTGATATCAACGGAGCAATCATCTTCGGTGAAGCCCAACGGGCAATTACATTTATACAAAGTGAAAGGATCCGCGCAAGTTCCTCTGTTACAATCTTTATTGAAACATAATTTGCATCCAACGGAAGGGATTTGATTCGATGTTAAATTGAAATTTTTTACCGTTATATTCGGGAGGATTTCGTTGGGAAAAAAGGGTAAAAGATAATTGTTAATTCTGATTTCGCTCAGGCACCCTTTAAAGTAATCGTTGAGTTTATTTTTTGATATTCGAAATCCCCCATTTAATGTATCCAATTTGTTATCGTCGAGTTCGTCGCTTCCGTTATTGTTTTGGATTAAATTGGTGTAATCAAACAATTTAACATCACCAGTTCCTCCAATGTATAATTCACCTTTCACGAAAATTTCTGTGAAATTCCCCGCGTCGAAGTCGCTGAATGTAAAGTTGGGTGTGTCATCGGTAACTGATTCTTTAAATCCTCCTTTTAATGTTAAATCGTGTATCGTGAATAATAAGGTGATCCATTGCCCATCGTAGTGATCTTTTTTGAATTTATTGTGAGCTCGGCGACCCAACATCATACATTCAACCAAAATCTCGCCATTGTTCGTAAAAATTAAGAAATGATTCATTTCGTAATGAGCATAAAGGATTGTTCCCCAAGATCTTGACCGAAACGATAACTCAATGGTTTCAATCCAGCTTATATTTGTTAAAGTGTAGCCGTATTTTAACGGAGGTGTATCCCCAGCAAATGTTATATTTGTGATACATTCTAATCCTTCATCCAAATTTTTGCACTCAGAATCAAGAGGACATTGTTCTAATTTACAAAATTCGCGTTCTTTACAATCTTTTCCTTTAAATCCTCGCGGGCAAATACATTGATAATCGTTCCAAGTATTCAAACATTTTCCATCACCGCAAGGATTTAATAAACATTTATTATCGGATAAAACTCCAGGTAAAACTAACGATTCATCAAAAGAAACATTCCCAAACGACATTGGAATGTATAAATCTTGAACTTTTAATGGAAAGAATTCAACAACCATTATCTTTGAGCCGTTACTAATTTGCACATCTTGAATGATCCCTTTAAAATGAATCTCATTATGAGCTGTAATTGCAGCTGGTCCTGATGGTAAAATTTCGCTTTTTGCATTTGGATCGGTTGCTTGACGAACTGATCTTAAATTTGGTTGTTGACCACCTAAAAAATATAATTAAATTAATTTTTATTCCAAGTGCAAAATATTTCAGAAGAACAATTAAGAAGTGAATTGAAAGATTTAAAATTAGGGGAGGCTACAGGATGAAATTCTACTAGAAATAAATTTGGGCTAATGAATATTGAAATGATCTTTAATAAGAATCAAAAATGATTTAATTTGATACCAAACATGTTATATTTGGGTTAAAAATAAAAAAGTTAGGTTAGAAACTGTCAAATGTCAAAATTAAATGTAACTATTTTTTGATAAATATTAAAATGATCTTAATAAGAATCAAAAATGTTTTCATTTGATACCAAACACGATATGTTTACGTTAAAAAATAAAAAAGTTAAGTTTTTAAAATTTTATCTTTAATGTTAAGAAAAAAAAAACAGCAAAAATGAAATATTTAAGGTAGCCCGTTTTACATTAAGCCGCGATACTATGGGCATATGGTGACGATGAAGACAATAGACAGATGAAAAGAATTTGACAATCCAAGATGGAAAAAGGGAGAAGGAAAGATTGGAAAAATGTTATTTCAACCAATCACAGTTAAACAGTACTAATAAAAAAGATTGAGCGATTTAATTTTTTAATAACCACTTACCTAAATATAAAATTTCAGCATCTAAATGACCAGTAGCTGAAATAGTTTTTCTAAAATACTCAGTTCCATTTAATTTTACTTGAACCAAAGTAACATTTCTTATAACTTCAATTAAGTGGTTATATCCGTTATCTAATTTAACCCCACCAACAATATAAGATTCGGCATTTCCATGAATTTCAATCCTAACCAATAACTCCCCGTTCTCTAATTCAGCGGCGATATAAGTTTCGCTTTGATCTCGTTTTTCGGAGCCGAGATAAAAAATTTGCCCGCTCGATTCCCTCGTTCTTATAAACATGCTTATGTCAACTATTGATCTAACGGCTCTTTTAGCATCTTTATCAACTTTAACTGTGACCAAAGAATTGGTTATATTTTCGTGACAAAAAGTTGCAGCCGTGTAATTATATTGGCAAATATGTCCCAAGTGAGGTCTTTCGCAAGTACAACTAAAATTTCTCCAATTATCGGTACATTGCCCTCCGGAATGACAAGGATTTGGTTTACATTGTGGCTCACGATGGCACCCAACATCAACATCGTGTAAAGTTATATTTGCTGTTTGTGACGTTGGAAGAACCCAAGCCGTGTTAACAATCACATCTTCAACACAACCAACTAAAGGTGGCTTATGAGTTAACGTTCTAAGTTCACTGGTGGTTCCCCCTATATAAGTCGAAGGAAAACTAGTTGCTGAAGCGTTATAATCGTTATAAGTAATCGGATAAATCGTTTGTTCGTCATTAGCGGATAAAATAATATGAGTCGTATTTATTGCAACAAACACTCTTTGCCAATTACTATTATTTAATCCAGATCCAATAAAAACCCCTTCCCATTTATTCAACAAACTCGAATGCAAATTCAATCTTCCTTTATTTAATTCCAAAATATAGTAAGTTTGGCCAATTCCAACCGCTAACAACCCATCGCTTAAAGTCGTTTTAAATCGAAATGAAATATCATAACCTTCATCTTTCGATGTATTCACAGTAATTAAAGTAGTTCCTGATAAAGACATGGTTGTTGTTGTTTCACAAGTGTCTCCATAAAACCCGGATTGACACGAACAATTAAAATGATGATCCATTTCGTTAATAACATATGGACGACAAGTACCTTTGTAATTACAAGAATCCTTTTTGCATCCCAGTAATAACACCGAACAATTTTTACCTCCGTAATCTGGGTTACAATCACAATAATAAGTGGCGCGTCCATCACGGCAAGTGCCGTGAACGCAAGGTTGATATTTATCACATTCATTTATATCAATATCACAATGTTTCCCTTCAAAACCATCGTTACATTCGCAAGTATAAAACCCAACTTGATCAATACATTTCCCATAATGACATGGATTACTTTCACATTCATTTACATTTGTTTCGCATTTTAAACCGATAGTACCATTAACACACAAACAATCAAATCCAAAGGCTGATTGATAACTGAAAGGTTGTTGATAATTCGGAGGTAAACGTTCGTTGTAAGGAGATTGATATAAAGTTTGATTTGATCTTTCGATACATTCCCCACCGTTTTGGCATGGTTGGGATGCGCATTCATTAATATCGCTTTCACAATCTTTTCCTGTGTAACCCTCTCTACATTGACACGAATAATCTTTTATTAAATCGATACAAACGCCTTCGTTTACGCAAGGATTTGTTTTACAATCGTCGATGTTGTTTTCGCAGTGTTCGCCTTCGTACCCTGTATCAGTACAGTTACATTCGTATCTGTTTAAATGATCCACGCAAATCCCATCGTTTTGACAAGGTTGGGGCTAAAAAAAATTTAAATTACAAGAAATATAATATGATTGAAGAAATATGTATAAGCAAATGTAATTAAAAATTAAAATAGGATTCCACTACCAATTAGGGCATTAATAGTAAAAATTTCTATTTTAAAGGATGTAATAAGTGTATTGGTAATATTTCTCACTGCTACCTCAATTTTTTTGGAAATTATCGTTTTCAGGATTGATGGATAAACTTCACAGTTATTTTTGGAGATCTATAACTTGTGTTGTCGCTTTTCATTGTAATGAATTGATCTGAAGTAATCTGAGCACAAAGGGTATGGAAATTTCTTTCACAACCGTTCTTGCTCAATCGCCTTGTTGCGATCTTTAATATTTCTTATAACTAATTAAGGCACATAACTATATGTGATTACAGTATAATTATTTACTAGTATGATTGAACTTACTTGACAATCGTCAATATCAGTTTCACATCGATGTCCAGTTCGACCGTCCTCACATTGACACTTAAAATCATTTATTAAATCGCTACACTTTGAATTGTACATACAAGGGTTCGGATCACATTCGTTTATATCAATTTCACAATTTTTACCTGTTAAATGAAATTGAAATCGTTATTTAATTCCCTAACGAAAAGTTTGAAAATACCTGTATATCCAGGAAGACAAACACAATCATAATTATTCACCCTATCGCGACAAGTTGCTGAATTTTTACACGGACTTGATAAACACTCATTTATGTCAAGGTTACATTTTTCACCACTATATCCAGGTTTACAATAACATTCAAATCCTCCTGGAATGTTTTTACAAATACCTTGTTCGCATGGTTGTCCCGTTTTACATTCGTCAATATCAATACAATTAGGCCCTAAAAAAATTTTTGTAATAAATCTTCATAATATTTTCGTGGTACAATTACCTGAGTACCCTTCAAGACATTCACAAGTATACCCTGAATACCCATGTTCCGTATTTGGCACACATTTCGCGTTTTCCTGACAATGACACGAATCATTTCTTTCAGTGTAACAATTTGGTTCATTACAGTCCTCGTCGTACTCTTCGCAAAAAGTTCCTTTAAAACCGGATTGGCAGTCGCAGAAACTTTCTCGTGTGCTACTATACATTTTACAAGTCCCGTTGTTCTTGCAATTGTTGTTCTCACAGTAAACGTATTGTTGTTCGCAAAAACGACCCATCCAAAACTCCGGGCATTCGCAAATATATCCCCCAAAAACCGAGTGGTTACACTTACCTCGATTTAAACACGGTGTCGTTGTACAATCTTCAATTCTTTTTTCGCAATAATCACCTAAAAATTTACTTATTAATTTATTTTTAAATTTCGTTTTAAAAAGTGTGAAAGATATTTTTTAGTAAAAGTAGATGGGTTATAATTAAGCGAAAAAGTGTGTTTAAAAAGAACCTTGATACCTGAGTGTTTTAGGTGATTAAAAGTTTTTTTTGTGTCTTCTTTTACCTGTTGTCCCGGGTAAACAATAACATTTAAAGAGCGGTGCGTGATCTATGCAGACACCATCATTTAAACAGGGATAAACAAGGCACTCGTTGATGTTCACGTCGCAATTAATCCCTGTCCAACCTCTGTTGCACGTGCAGTAGTAACCCGCAAGCTGTGAATTAATTGCTTTTAGAAAAAAAAATAAGGGGGCCCTCATTGGACACCAAAAAATGACATCAAAATTGACAACAAACATTCTTCAAGCGAAACATCATCGTTTAATTCTCTTTTTTCTTTGTTAATCATTTTTTAATTTCGTTTTACTCACAAAATCAATGCATTCCTTGTGATGTAAACAAGGTTGATCGCTACATCTCTTGCGACGTTCGCAATTGGGTCCAGTAAAACCTTCCGGACATTGACAATATGTTTTGTAGCAATAACTACATTTACCTTGTTTTTGTATTTATTTGGGTTTTAGAAGAATTGCGAAGAGTTAGAAACGTGTTAGTTGCGAAAAAGCGAAAAGAAAAAGCTCACGTTAGACATGCAAAACATGCATTATAAAAATAAATATTAAAACGAATTTACCTTCGAAATTTATGGGGCAGGAACAATTTACTGAAGTTGATGTCGTCCAACAAGTTCCTCCATTCTTACATATATTAACTGTACAATGTGGTTTACAATTTGGATATTCACCTAGTGCGAAATTAAATAAAATTAGTAAATTTCTATATATATTGTTATTAGTAAACAATCTTTTTAGCCCAAATCTAAAATAATAAACAAAAATTGAGGTTACGTTTGATTTGGACACAAACGGTTATTTAAATGTTTACGCTAAAAATAGAATGATAAAGGAAGATTATCGAAGAAAAACAACGTGAAAAAATTGCAGCCATTGTAGGAGGATTTCCATTTTTTTTTGTTTAACCAAAAACATTACCTTAACCTTACTTTTTTATTGCCAACCTAAATTTACGCAATGATACCAATACATTTAACAGATTACACTTTAGGCTGTTGAAGATGCACCATCTGCACCAAAGACGTCATGCGTAACAACTTAAACTCTCCTACAGTTTATTAGTCATTTAAAATTTGGGCTAAAGAAAAAAATTAATAAAAATTACCTGTATATTCCGGTCTACAAATACAACGTCCATCATCAACACATAACCCAAATGGTTCACATCCGCATTGTAATTGTGCTTGTCTAAGACTAATTTCGCATTGCGTCCCTGTAAACCCCGACGGACACACACAAATATACCCATTTTCTTGATCGTTACAAACGCCTTGATTAAAACACGGCGATGAATCGCATTCGGAGATTCGTTGATCGCAATTTTTCCCATAATAACCCGAGGTGCACTGACAAAAATAGTCCCCGTAATTATCAAAACACTTTCCCCCATTCAAACAGGGCGCTTCTAAACACTCGTTAATATTTTTCTCGCAAAACTGCCCTTGATATCCAGTATTGGTACAATTACAAGTGAAACTATCAATGCCATCGTTACAAACTCCGTTATTTTTGCAAGGATTTTGTTGGCAATCATCCAAATTTACGCTACAATCTGCACCGGAAAAACCATCCAAACAAATACAACGCGTTGTGGTTCCATCGTTTTGACAAGTTCCGCCGTTTTTACACGGATTCGAACTACAAACCGGATCTAAACTGATTGGTGTTTCGCAGTATTTTCCGGTGAATTTAGGCGGACATTCACAATGGAAGTTAACCTTGTCGTCGTTGTCGATGCAAGTTCCGCCGTTTAAACATGCGTGTGTCTCGCAGGGTTTTAGAACCCTTTCGCAATTTGTTCCGACGTAACCCGAATTACATATACATTTGTACGAGTTGTTTACTTCGATACATTGACCATGATCCATACAGGGTGCTAATAAACAAGCAGCTTTCGTTTCGTGAATACCACCTACAAGAAATCAATAATATAAAGAAGAACATAAAAGTTAGTAAAATCTTACAATCATCATTAATAGGACATAGTCCGAATCTAACTTCATGTGATTGAATGAAACTTTTATTAAACACAATCGAAGGTCCTTCCATTATACATCCATCATAGTGTTTACCGATGATTAAAACAGCACCGTCGTTATACAAGCCGGGACTGTTTAAAAGTTCCGTTCGAAAAGTACTATTCGCTAATAATCTGTATTGATCGTCAATGTTTAAGGTTAAGTTACCCAAAACATAAAAAATATGGACATGGTGCCATTTATTATCCGAAAAATTTCCTTGCACTCTCTCGGTGAACTGTTTGCCCAAAGTTTTACCAGAAAATTTCAACCATCCCGTTGATGGTTCCAAAGATAATTCAATTACGTTGTCTTTATGGGTTTGAGAAAATAATTCACCACCTAACAAAAAACGTTGTTTTTAAAGTCCACTTAAAACCACTTCAAAAGTCTCGACTTACCCTCGCATGTTTTAAAACTGAGCCCTGTTTGTTTCTTCAAAGAAACGGTCGTTTGCAGTCTTATGTAAGTGGAGCCGTTGAAGTACGCTTCCGGTTGATTGGATGGCCCAATTATTTGTCCTAACGTTAAACTTGCCGTGAGAAACACGTAAAATAATACTGAAAAGAAAATGAAAAGCAAAAATTAGTTTCAAAAAATAATTCCGCCATCTATTGATTTTAACTTCTACTAAAATTCGTTATTGAAGTTAGAAACGATTAATTAATTAGAATTATTACTTTAATTTTGAATTTATTGATATAATATTTTATACAGCTAAAATAACGTTTTTAAATTGAATTTTATATATTTAAAAATAAATAAAATTAAAAATTTTTATTGTCGTTATTAACTAACTTCACTTAATTTCGGATGTTGTCAAAAACGAAAATGTGAAAGAAATTTAATGAAAATTTTAATAATTACTTTAAATTTCTGCTAAATAACTTGGTAGTCAATTATTAAATAAAGTATGAAGAGAAATTTTTTAAACTTCGAAGCCCGGAAATTAAAAAAAGAAAAAGGTTTGTATGAAAGTATTAAATATTTTTTGTAGATATAACCTCAAAAATAACATTTTTTAATGTTAAAATAGAAGAAATGATTTCACTTTCTTCTTCGTTGTTTCTCACGTTATATATGTTTAGGAATGAAGACAACAACGGTTTCTTTAATTCCACGGCAGGTGAACGCGAATGAATGTAAGGTAATTGTGAACCGGAAGAATGCGTTTTAATGCAGGAAAAAAGAACAAAAAAAAGTTTGTGGGAGTCCAAGATTTTAAACTTATAATTTATACTAAAATCAAAATGAAGAAATTGTTTACCGTGTATCATAGTTGTCAGCAAAAAACAATTAACTATAAAAACACTGTTAACTTCTTGATGGTTCAATGAAAAATTGGGTTGCATCTAAAATAACAAACACCTGTTCAATTAAATTAGTGGTAACGAGATTAAGGTCTTTATGTAACCCTGAAATCGATGTTATTGTGAAACTAAACTTTTTTTTCAGATTGAGTTTTTGCATTTGAATTGATGTGGATTGAGGATTTTCAACGTCCTGATCTTGACCTAAATTGGCAGTACTTTAACTATGTTGTGCAAATTATGGTAGAGATCGTAACGGTGCAGCTTTGAATGCGCATAGCGGGATATTTTACACTTTTTAGACCAATTTTTTTTAATTTTCAATTTTCTTTAATTAATCTTTTTGGTTCATTCATATGTTTATTCATTCAACCGCAAAAAAACGATGACTAATACTACCTGAAAGACCAGTTTCTTAGGCAATAAGAGATTTATTCAAATTTTCCAAGCACAAAACCCATTTGGTATAAGAGGAGTTATTCGTTTCCAAGAAGGTCATAGGTCTTAGGTATTAGTCATCAACATCCCGGGATTAAACAAAACTTTCTAACGGTTTTCTTGTTGATGAGGACAAAGATTCCGGTTTACGATAACAAACACCCGGTGCCACTAAATTTAATAATCTACGAATTCCTCTTATACAACTTTTATAATATAAAAATCGCACGTAGGAAAGTTGAGGCCGAACACGAGTTTTCTCTTTTGATATGAATACTAATCAATCACGCGAATTGTTTCGTACGTATAGAATCGATTAGTTTCAAATGTATTTGTTTGAAGAAGACAATAAAACGTTAATTTATCTCTCCGCTTACCTGTTTGTGGTATCAATTTGAACAGGTGGGTTTTAAAATGATTCATTGTTAACACTTATACAAATAAAAACTAACTTAAGACATAAAATTGTACACTAACACGATATATTCGGACGCCACAAACACAATACTAACATTTTATTGTAAAATCAACATGTTTTTTTAACGTTACAAGATCAGCACCTCAACTGAAACTGACATATTTACTTCTTCTTTTGGCAGGAGTAAACTGTTTGTAGCGCCATCTAAAAAATAATAGCGGAACTAAAAAATTTAATTTTTTTAAAAATCTATATTTTTAATATGAAAAATATTTAAGGATCTTCATAATCCAAATCATAACTTAAATCATTAAATTGTTTTAAATTTCCTTTTGATTTCACCATCATTTTAGTTTTTTGCAATGAATAATTCCCCAACCAATATTCCCAAATTATGCCTTTATAATATTCGTTTGTTATCGGGGTTTTATAATAAATCCCATTTAAATTTGCTTCGAAACAGCTATTAAACCACCATCCACTTCCGTAAGATAAAGCGCAAGGGCAACAAATAGGAGCATCGTCATTCTTCATATCGAACGTACTAAACTTTGAGTTATTATGAGAAGAAAATGAGTCGGAAGCAGTTCCGTTATAACCAGAAATGATCAATCGGTAGTTATCATCTTCATTTGCAACTTTAAAGGTGTCATATTCAGCCCAAACTAGAATCCCGTTAAAATTTATTAATTCAATTCGTAATGTTAGGTTATTTAGGTGTGATAATTGGTGAAGAAAGTCATTTCCAATCCAAAATTCCGCGATTTCGTTGCCGAAACCATGTTTGTAATCGTCCCAAGATCGGTTAAAATTTTCTTGGTGAATAGTTGAAAATCTTTTTTGAATTACCAACCAACCCTGTTCGCACAATCTTTTTTCTTTAATTAAATCTGTTAAGTTTGTTGAGAATGAAATTATAGCGGAAATATTTTTAACTGCTCCACAAAGTGTATAATCAAAGTTTTCGGGGTTTAATACAGATTTTTCTTCTGGTTCTTCGTTAAACAATGTTATGTTTTCTTTGTTTCTTTCTAATGAGCAATTTTTAATAATACTTTTTATGATTTCAGTATTATTTTCAATGCTGTTTAAAACATTTTCAAAAATCCCTTTTTTAAACGTAGCTTCCGAATCTTCCGGAACCAAATCATCCTTTTCACTGAATTTATCAAAAATAACATCAACCTTCGATGAAATATCTCTTAAAATATCATCATCCTTTAATTTATTGCACGTGTCGTTTTTTCGAAAACTATTTAGATGTATTTTATCGATTTTTTTATCAACTTGTTTTACCGTTGTTAAAATTCCTCGTGCTGCGAATTCTTCAAATAGTGATTTATCTTCTCTTTTATCTTTTAAATTCTTATTTAACTCGTTTATTGATTCTTCAATTCCGTTGATTTTTGAGGAAATTTCATCGATTTTAAATGGAATCGGATTTAAAAGATTGTTTAATTTTAAATCTAAATCATCTATTTTTTCTTGTGCCCTAAAAGAAATAATCTGTTATTAGCATATATAATATAAGGGATATTAAATTTTGTTTAAATTAAATTATTGAATTTTTTTTCATAAAATTAATAAATAAATAATAAAAGTTGTTTAAATAAATTCTCGAATATTACTTGCTTATAATATCTAATTTTCTATCAACAGTAGATAATTGGTCATTCCAGGCTGAAACATGCAATTGAAAAGTGTCCCAAACGTGTGCTCTTTCTTGTAAATTTTTAATATTCGTATCAATCGATGTAAGAAGTGTATGTAGTGAAATAAATGAATATTCATCAAATACTTTGGTTTTATCATCTAAAACAGCACATAACATATTAATAAAATACATTATTGTTATTTTAATACTTACTTAATTGAAAAACAGATTTTTTAATTTCACGAATATCTCTCATTAAAGAATCTGTTGGTGTTGGAGGAACACAAAAGCATTTTCCAGTAAAAACACCAAAAAATAATGCGATAAAATAAATCATGTTCATCACACAGCTTTTAAATGGTAAATGAAGGAAAACGATACAGAAAGGAGCAAGGAGCGAGGCTAAAATTAGAACTTAAAGGAGACATCTGTTTTTATTCATTATGAAGAAGATAAAAAAGTATTAAAGGTATGTACAGAGCGAGATGTAATATAAATAAATGTCAAGGTCCTAAAAATGCTCAAAATTTGTTTTTATTTCCGATATAATGTATTAAATTTATTATAAAATAATTATTTCCAAACAATATCAACAATCCAAGGATTAAAATAATCAACTTTCGTATAAACTCCAGGAATATTTTCCAACCCACATCCTTTTCCAAACGATGTAACACCAATAATTTCATATAGCTTCGGGCTGTCATTTATCTCAACCTGTAAAGGACCCCCAGAATCACCTTGGCAAGTATCTTTTTGTTCCCCTTCGCCACCCCCAGCACATAATTGCGAATTTACATCAACACCTCTTTCAAGTTTTCTTTGCGGCCCAAAGGTTATGTTGCACTTATCGTAAGAATACATGACTAAATCAACTTTTTGAAGAACATCACTAGCTGTTCCACCAAATTCTGTGTTTCCCCATCCGGTTGCAATAAAATTGGAATTAGAATTTTCTTTAGATTGAATACATGCTGGCCGAACGTATTTTGTGAAAGAAACGGGGTGTTCTAATTCGATTAAACCAATATCGTTGTAATGGGATTCATCGGAATTGTAATCTGGGTGAAAGTATCTTTGAATAATTTTAATTTGTTGAGATTTAGCATCATCCGATGTTGATTTTATGTTCAAATCTCCTAATCTTGCAAAGGTTACATCTCCGCTTAAATAGAAATTTAATGTAAATTAGTTAAAAATTGAATTTAAAACTTACAGTGATGGTGTGTATAAACAATGAGCAGCTGTTAACACGAATTTATCACTAATTAAACTCCCCCCGCATTTCCATTCAATGTTTTCTTCAGTTCCAAATCCGAGAAGTGACTTTAAAAATTATAAAATTATAAATAATAATTTAGAATTAAGTTTTATTACCATGTGGGGAAATTCTTTATTCAAAGAAGGAGTTCCCCCGATTAAAAACGTTTGAATAAGTCGGGGTGTTGCTGTTTCAACTTGATTCTCAACCTCAACAGCGATTTTTTTGTATTCTTCGCATTCTAAAAATTGATTATTAATCGAAGCGAAAATAAAATTAATTAATTCCAATTTTGAAATACTTTCAAAAATAATTTTATCTAAATCTTCATTAATTTCGGATTCATTTCTAATTTCCGTTTCAATTTCAGTTTTGTTATCGGATTTTGGACAACAAACCAAATTATTTTCAAATTTATGTCTCGGACCACAAAATCCTCCACATCGTTTCCGATAAATATTAAATGGAACTTCCGGACATAGATGAAAAGGCAAACAAACTCCAATGTCACCACTTGGTAAAGGACATTGCTGATTAATTCTAGATGAATGACCTTTTTAAAAAAAGATTTTTTACAATGTGTTAATTGCTAATGTAAATAAATTTGGTTAAGAAAAATTACCTCGATGGTGATGGTGATGGTGTTGCGGTTCCGTGAAATCCAACAGAGCAAAAAATAACACGGCAAAAAACGTTAGAAGCTGATTCATGGTCGCAAGGTCCACTTTTGTTAGCCGAAAATTCGAATGAATCGAGTTTCGGTGAGAGAGGTCATTTTATAACCACCTCAATTTGTACTTCCACCCATTTTTTTCAAATCCTGCCTCTTCAATATATCTGCTTCTCTTTCCATTCTACGGATGATACTTTTACTTTCTCACTTCGTGTTTCTATTCTCAAAATTCATTTTGAAAGCAGCTTGTCCAGATTCACCGAAAGGAATGTTGATGAGAGCCGAAGGTCATGAAATTGAACCACATGATTATGGACCTCATTGTAAATGAAAAGAATCATGCCCTTATAGCCACAGTAATTACTTTGCAAGATGGAACTGGAATCGAAATGAAGCATATGTTACAAATGAGACAATGTTACAATGAGCATGATGACACTACTAGGGATAATAATAAATCAGTAAAATTTATTATATATTTATTATTAAAATATCTTTACATATTATATAATAAATTAAAGTAATTAAAGTTTATTTGGGTGTTCTTGTAAACCTAAAGCAAGATATTCTGGTTTTTTAGTGAAATATTCCCCGAGACGTTGTTGAGCGTACCTAAAAACGATAAAAATAGTTTATTAATGTAAATAAATCAAGATAATTACTTCAAAAAGTCGAAATCAATGTAGGAATGTTCGGCTTGTATTAAACACCAAATTCCCCAAAATAAATGAGCGGCCAAAGCGTATTTATTAACTATTATGTATAACTCTTCAATATCAGATTTTGTAACTATTTTATCATTAAATTCTTCTAGGTATGTTTTCAACCAATCATATTGAAGTTGTTTATTTGGATAATATGAATAATCAACGTTGTCAACGCCTATTAAAAGAAAATATTTATTAATTTTTTGCTTATTAAAGGTGTTAGAGTTAAATAATTCACCAGCGAATTCCGCAAAATGATTTCCTATATCGTAAGCTTGATAATTAAATCCTGCGTATTCAAAGTCGATAAAGGTGACGTTATTTGATTTTTCCGTGTAAATAACATTACCCAGAAGCAAATCGTTATGTGCAAAAACAACTAATGGTTCATTTTGACTCAAGTAGTGTTTTAAAAACTCCTTTTCTTTCTGCAAATCAACCTTTTTGGGGAGATTAAGTTCTAGAAAGCGTTTCTGTTTTCTTGGATCTGTAAAATCATGCGGAACCAAATCCAAAAACCTTTGCATTTTATTCCATAGACTCGGCGTACAGTTTTTTTGATTAATATCATTTTTTACTTTATGCATTCTGGCCATTCTCCTTGCTACTAATTTATAAATTTCCGGTTTGATAACCGTTTTTGAGGATAACGTGGTTCCTGGTACGAATTGGTAGGCTAAACCGTTATGGAATGTTGCGTATAATTGTGGTGCTAAAGATAGTTTGTTTAACAATAAAATATTTCTAAAAATTAAAAATAAATACATTAAAAAACGTTAGTTTAAAGTTCAAAAATGATTTAAATACCTAGTTTCCGCTTTTCGATCAATCAACAAATCGGTTTTATTGCCGTAAATCCTCACCAAAACGGTTTCTTCTTCATTTTCACCTTCTACGTTACATCCAATAAGTTTATTTGTAATTCCATCTGTCAACAACTTTAGTTAAATATTCAAATTAAAAGAGATTTGATTACAAAATTGATTTTATGTTGAATTTCCCGCGTTTTCTTATTTTAGTTACTTAATTGTCCGCCAACTGTCAAAATTGACGTTTTATAAATTTAAGTGTCACAATAGAAAACATTTATCGAATTTTAACCAAAACAGTATATTTTTAGAGGAAAATGTAAGTAATTTGTTGTAAAACATAAATTATTAAAAAAATTCAAGGTTGAAACGTTTTAAAATCGGCTTAAAACGATTCTGAAACTTGTTTGTTCGAGAATTAAATGCACATGCAATACACGAGTCGTAGTAATTTTCTTTCAACGGTTAATTCGTTACAGCTACATACGCTCGATTTATTTCCAAAAAAAAACATTCTAAATAACTCACCTTGTATTTAATTTTTTCTACGGGCCAGTTTGGTCGGATTTTTTCCAAAATTTCCTTTGCGCCGTCAAAGATGTTATTTTCTTCGATTAAAACGTCGATTTTTGGTATTGTTTCATCGATTTTCATCATTTAAATTAAGTTTTATTTATCCCCTTTTACACTATAATACAAAATTCGTCAAATTAAGCAAGAATCCACGCGAAAAGTAAACAAATAATTTTTTTTTGTAAACCGAGATAAATACGTTTAAATGACGTGTTTTATTATTGCAAAATAGATTAAAAGATAGGAATTTAGGAACAAAGAACTCACCAAAAAATGGTTTTTATGCTTTTTTAACCACGTGTTTTAATGTATTTAAAGGTATGATCAACTTGAAACGCGTATTTACACGAAAACCATTTCTGGGAGAATGTGTTGGAGTCAGTTGGAGTCCTGGAGGTGTTTTGGTGGGGTCGACCGTGGCTTGAATAGTGCGCGCAGGTCATAAGCTATCGATGTTTTTCCCCCAAACCAAACTTTTACAATGTTAGAAAATCCGTATATTTGTGGTGTTTAAAGATATCTTCTAGTTTAAAGGTTATTTTTACTTTGGAGATAATTTTATCAAATAAACTTTTATTCAATTTATAAACTTAAACATTAATCGTAACAAAATGATTTTAACCCAAATTAAAAATGATGTTAAACAAAAACTTAACGCTTATTTAACCAAAATATTTCAATTTAAATTAAATTAGTTTGGTATCATATTTCACCATTTTAGTGACGTAGTAGTGTGGTGCTTCAAAAGGTTCTAAAAAGAATGAATATTATAATAATTAAAGAAAATGTTAAAAAATAATTTACCATAGTCATCAAAAAGTGTTGGAGGAAATAATTTACTTGTTGTATGATAAAAAGTAGTTTCAGTAGTATCCCTTCTAATCGATGAAGTAAATTTGATGTGTAAATTAGTGGGTTCTTTTCTAAAATTTCAAAAAATATTAATCCAAAAATGTTGATAATTAACCTACAAAAATGGTCTGGGCAAAGATGGGTTACAAAATTAAAAATACATACATGTATTTAAGAAAATTCTTGTCCAAGCTACATCCTATCTCAAATAGAGGGTTATTTGAGGTAACCTTAATTTCCTGCTTTAATAATTTATGTTTGATATTTGCATTTAAACTTGATAAACTAGAAAATTTTAAACTCAAAGCTAACACATCACAGGCCACATGCATCGACATTAATGCTTGGTATTTTTTTAAAGCATCAACAAATGGCAGAAAGGTCTCATCTAAATTACATTCAATGTTGGAGTTCGTGTTGAGTTTCATGACAGCAAATCTCGAAGTTAATTTTGAATCTTTACCATTCATATCTTTTATGGAATTTTCCCATAATTGTTTAATTTCGTATTCTCTTAAACAATTAGAACGTATTAAAACGCAAGAATAATCCCTTTTCAATTTTTCAAATCCACAATCAATTAATAACTTTAATGATAGAATCGGAGTTAAAGTTGGTACTCCTAATTTCCCCTTTGATGATATTTCACTTAGGATTTTTTTAATCATACTCAATTCTAAATCTGAAAACTAAATTAACAACGTTTTTAAAACGATTAAAGGTGTTTTTTATATAATTATTAAAACTTACATGAAATGGACAAGCCCTATAAATTGCTGAGACAAAACCTTCTAATAAACTTTGAAATGTGAGTTGTAACTCTTCCACAGTTTCACATTGAATAAAAAGATTCCATACAATATCCGTTATGTAAGTTTCGTTATTACGTAAATTTTCAAAATTTAAATTGTCTTCTGATTTAGTTATGGGACACGATTTTGAAAAAATTGTTCCAAAATCATGAAGTATCTCGGCATGGGGTTTCGATGATTCATTTAATGTAACACTAAGAATATCAGAATTTGATTTTGTTATTAGATTGATTAAACATTTTAGGTGGTTCAACTCTTTAAAGTATTGATTTAGCACCGATCCTTCATGACCAATAACTGTTTTAATTGTCTAATAATAAAGAAATAAATTTTAAATTAAAATAAATAATTGATTTTAAAGTTTTATATGTACCAAGTTAATTGAATCAACCCAGTCTGGAATATCATAATGAAAAGATGACCACTCAACGTTACAAGTGATTGATGCAGAACAACGTGATTTTAATGACAATGATTTTGCGGAGCCATACAAATTATGAGTACTCTTAATTAAAACCGATGTTTTTAACTAAAAAAATGAATTTAATCTATAATATATTAAATAAAAAAATGGAGAAACAAACCTGCGAATCAACCGATGGGCTAAATTCTTTTAAATGTTCATTTTGTAAATACATCATCCTCTCATTTCTTTCACTCATCCCACAACAATCCAAAATAAATACTTGCGATCTAATGAAATTAGTTTTGGTTTGCTTTGCTCCTTGTAGAACAATTTTTTTCTTATTTTTTCCATCACATAATGCATAAATGTTCAAATTGAATTCGCCTCGCATTAATTCAGAATTTACGCTACCTCTAAATAATAAAAAAAAAATTAGTAAGAATAATCATTATGTACAATTAAGTAATCTTACAAAATTGTAGCCCTATCTAAACCTCCGAAAGATAGTTCTTCTGGTAGCCACGTATCTTCATAATCAATTGAGGATATATTCAAGCTAGCATCGCCAGCACTTAAATCCACTTCTAGTGGATTTCCTGTTAAGTCTAAAGAATTATCATCCTCTTCATTTCGTGGTGAACCACATGGTTCCATCTGCGGATCAATTTTTTTATAAATTAACAGAACGTCACCTTCTTCTAAAGTTAATTCTCTTAAGTAGCTAGGTGGTGATAGCTTAAATTTTTCATATTTTTCATTAGAAGTTGCAAACATTTTTATACGTAAAGCGAACGACTTTAAAAACTTTTTTATGATAAAGGAAGTAAGAAACCGGTCTGGAGTTTGAAATTATTGTAACGGTGACAGTTTGGGGAGAAACGAAAACTTTAAAAAGTTTAAAGTTACTGAATTAAACAAATTTAAAATTAATTTTATAAGCTTTATTAATATTTCGATTTATTTACAATGAGTATTTTGTATCGAGTAATGAGTTATTACAAATGACCAAAAAAGTTAGAAATATTTTTAAATGACGAAAGAAAATAAGAAGATAGTTGGCGCTGCTTCTCTATATATATCTGTTGTGTGGTTGTCAAGGTAGATGGCAGCATGTTTCCCGATTTTTATTTATGTCGTAAATGATTATTAAATAATTATTAAATTAATTAAATAAACAGTGTTAAAACAATTAAAATTAAATTATGATGAGTTATGAATAAATTTAAAAAATATAAATTTTCTTTTTATATATTTACGGTTGGTATCCCTAGACGTCATAATTTTATAATTAATCCCGGTCGGATTTCCTTATATAGAAAATTGAAGAAGAAATTGCATTTTTCTTAAAGAAAAGTTAATAAAATGGCACAAATTTCGGCAACCGAAGCTCCAAACATGCAACAAATCGATTTAATGTCACTTTCTATCCAACAATTGCAAACGTTAAAGTCTCAATTGGATGCGGTAATTTCCTAACCTAAAAATTCGATTTTATATTTTCTATTTTTATTTTTTAGGAAATTAACTTCTTCACGGAATCAGTCGGACAGTTAAAAACAACCTTGAACAAATTTCACACATCAAAAGAATGTTTGGATACAATAAACCCAAATATGAATGATCGAAATGTTTTAGTGCCGTTAACTAGTTCGTTATATGTACCAGGGAAGTTAGTTAATTGTGACGAAGTTATGATTGATATTGGAACGAGATATTATGTTAAAATGGTGAGGGTATAAACGTTTTGTTTTATTCTTATCTTTGTATTTATTTTGTTGTTTTTTTTAGGCTAGTGGCCAAGCCACGGATTATTTTGTTAGAAAAATAGATTTCGTTACTAAGCAGAACGGCAAAATTCAACAACTTTCGAAAGAAAAACAAGCTATAAGACAAGCTATTTTGGAAGTTATAGAGATTAAACTTCAACAAGCACAAAGACAATCTTAATTTAAGTTTAAATTAACTTCATCTTGAACATGTTAAAATTAATCATTAAAACGAGTAATTTGGTTGTATAAGAAATTATTTTATTGCGCTTTTTATTTACAATTTGTCTTAAAATCTCACATTATATCTTATAATAATAATAACACCGATTTTGAATTTTTGTTTGATTCTTGAATTAAACTATGCATTTATTTAAAATGGTTTTTGGTGTGTTATTTTTATAAATCGAGTTTGATATGTACAGAGAAAATATTAGGTTATTTTTTGATTACATTATTTTTGGTATACCTCTCCAATTTCTAACTAAATATTTACATCAATCACAATCAGTTAATATTTATTAATTTACTTTTAAATATATTTAGAATATCCTTAACCAACAGCCAAATTTATTTATTTCTTTATGTTTAAAGAGGTTTACTAAAAAAGTTATCCAGGTAAAATTTTCATAAAAATACCATTCCCAAACGCACGATATACACCAAGTTAATGAATAATTGTATTTTTTTGGCGCTTCCTTTAGAAGCGTAAGCTGGTTTTAATGTGCGTTTGTCTGCTTCAACGTCGAATCGGTATGTTGCATTAAATCCGGTTGCATCTAAACGGTCATTTGACTGGAAAGTCACGCGAAAGAAATTCCGATCCGATTTTACATCGAATTCCTGCAAATTTCCGCAATGTCTCGGGTATAAACGATCCCGCGTTATGAAGTTGGAAAATTCCACGTAATCTGAAGCAGAAATTGCTTCACAACTAAAATAAAAAAAAATATTATCAATTACATCATAATAAAATGAAACTCACGGTAAAACCCCTTCCACATCAAAATAATTAAAATGCAAAAAAACTTTTTCTTGCGGAGTTCCCCCAAATAAATAATGACACTCTGTGTTTCGAGGATAAGGTCCTGGATAATTCGGACTATGAAAATATCCCGATTTTGATTTACTGCTGTTGAACATGAAAGCGCAATCGTATTTTTCATGAAGATATTGTTCCCCCGTTTTTATTCCGAAATCTATAATTTGTAACAAAAAAATTCTTATTAAATCAAAAAAGTTTTTATATCAACTCACTTACTTTCCGTAAAACTATACATAGCTTTAAACCCTTTAGCATGCCTGTTAGAGCTTTGAAATCCACGCAATTCTAATTTCATTTTCGGCCCATTTGACATGATCGGTTTAGGAATTTTATTTCCACAAAAATGATCAATTTGTTCCATTTTACCGTCGCTTTGAACGAAAGCCACTAAAGAATCTTGATTATCACAGCTTAAAAAGATTTTAAAATTTTCATTTAATTACATTCTTTAAGCATTTCCTTACTCTTTGAGTTCCTCCATTGTCTGATACAAACTAAAATCTTGAAAGATCACTTGAATCCTTTCCCTACCTTTCCCGACGAACTCGTATTTGCAGTTCGCTTTTGAGGGGTACGGGCCGGGGTAAGAAGGGCTGGAAAACGTGCCCGCCTTTGTAATGTCGCTCGTGAAGATCGCGTCACAGTTTGAAGCTGCAAAACACATACAAAGTCGCGATATTAACATCACAGGTTTGAAGGGAAAGTTTTCAACAAAAGCTCGTCCCTATTGAAAAAGAAGAAATACAAACAAGGGAGAAAAACTTTTCTTTTATTTTCGGTACATCAAGCTTATGAATGAAACCTAACGCTTCAGGCGTTTAGATAATAAAGAGAAGTAAAAAAAAGTTCTGAAAGCTTAACAAGGAGGTGATTTTTTTAGTGTTTTAGTATTAATAATTAGGTTATAAAGAACAATATATTTATTATTGATTAATAGATTAGTGTCTCTTATGATGGCTAAACCTGAATGTTCCTCATGCTAGAATTATTGTTGTATACATGTACTGTTTACAAAATTATGTGCAATTACAAAAGTGAATGGAAAAAAATTACTTTTAATACGATTTTCGTTATAAAACAATATTACAACTTCCTAATATTCAAGTTGAAGTAGCAGAAAGGTTATAGGACTGTTTTGGTTCAAGACTTCTGCAGTTCGGAACTTTCAGCTTAAAAAGGACGAAAAATGTTGTAGGCGTTTAATGAATTTACATTTCTTTTTTAAAAAGGAGTTGTGTAGAAGATATTTTCATAGTTTTTATATTTTTTATCTATTTAAAAATAATAAAAAAAAAGATGGTTTTATATCTTGGCAAACGACACATTGGTGGTTTGAATTTTCGTGTTTTGGGTTAGGTACATCGTGCCAAAGAACGTTAACCGGATAGGTTTTATGGTTGAGACGCGGCTGAAATTTCCGGAAACACGGAAAGAGTTATGGCACGCACACGTGGGGCATCCGTAGCCCTTCAGCTCGCTCTACTCGTCCTCGTTGCGACACGACGCAATCAGATTATCTAGAATTCTCTTTTGTACTCGAAAGTTGAAAAGCTCCCAGTGTTGGAAAGCTCAAAACGATTACAATTGCTTGCATCTCTTTGTACGCGAATTTAAAATAACCCTTTTATTCTTTGACACGGTTTATTAGATCAACTTTAACGGTAGTGGCGGTAGAAATTGAGCGTTTACTTTAAAAATTGAATCAAAAACCTGTTTGGAAGCAATTTTCTGAACGGAAGCGTTAATTTCCACTTTTCGATCGAAATTCTCTTCGATTTCCTCGACCATCTCTTGCCGAGGTAAGTAAATTTTTATTAAAAAAAGGATTAAAAAAACTTGATTGTTTGATGAAATACACAGTTTCACGACAACAAAGAGAAAATTTCCTTTTTGAACTTAATTTATCGATTGTTTAACCGGAAACTTTCGTTTCTCGTTTTATTCGTTTTAAAATACATTCTTTATAATAAACGACCCCAAATCGATGGAATCATTAAATTCAATTCATTGTAAAAAAATGGAATAAGTTTGATTGTGGTTTCGATGTCGTTAACATTGGCCGCGTATTCTGTGATTTATACCAAAAAGGGTGGGTTTTTGGGGAGGTCGAGGGGTCACACGTTGTTGTTATGCAAAACGCGTTCGATGGCAGTTTGAATATTTCGATGACGATACGAAATTGGGGAAAGGGATGGCCAATTACAACTTACGGGGTGAATATCGGGTCCCCGATCGCGTAAATTTTCTATATTACGATCGGGAACTGAGGGTGGAGACGCTCAACTTTCGCAATTTGAACTCGAGATGACTCGTGGAGAGAGAGGGCGAGGTGTGTGTGCGAGTGCGTGAAAAATGCAGGAGCAATTCAAAGTTGTATCTCCGAGGAGTGATACATTCCCAGAGTGGAAATGGAAAATGTCTAAGGAAAAATGTAAATCTTGGTTTTAACGAGAATGTTGTATCATACAAATTAGTTATGATTTAGAATTATGATTTGGAATTATAATATCCGGCGCATCCACCAAAATAAAAAAAATTGACTCAAACATACCACATAAACTTAAATGTTTTATTTACCCCACTAAAGCACTAAATTCAACGAAATTGTTGCTTTACGGCATCCACCGACAGTTTCTCGAGATGTACTGTCTAGAGAAATTAAGCACGCGACCTTAACGCGTCTCTGCGGGATCCCCAAAGATATATTTTAATTATACAACCACCCACGGTTAAAACGAACCACCCCCGAAGAAGAACACGAAAACCGTTTTAAACCGACGTCATATTTTAATTTTAAACCTTCACATCGTTTAGTTGTGACGTCGCGTTAAAACTTTAACCAACTTTCTAAATCCACCTTAAAAGTGTTCAAAAACAAAATTGTTATTAATTTGGTTATTTTTTACCTTTTCCACCGCGTTCCCTTATATCCAAAGCATCTCTTGCGAAAACTTCACAAAATAACAGCAACGCGCAAATAAATATTAACATTTTTCGTTTTTTTTTGTAAAAAAAAATACTTTTTTACGTTTGATTAATTTGATTTCAAAAATGGCTAAATCGAATAAAACTCGATAAAACACAACAACAACAAAACTCGGAAGCTTGTTAGCGCAGCTTCCTCAACTCTTAGGATGAAATGTGTGGGACGAACGTTTGGTTCGTTTCTGGGGTGTTCAACGGGAGGAAGGAAAGGGAAGGGGGTTCATGCGCTTAGAGGCGCCCTCGACTCCTGGGAGTTCGTTTTGAAACGGCGTTAGCGGCCGTAACGTTTTGTTTTTGCTGTGTTTTGGAGGCGTTAGGATTATGCTTTGGTCGGGGGCTGTGATGTTTTGTTGGCCAAAAGTTACCGGTAACCGTTTCGTTGAGGGCGGTTTGTAACTTAATCCCCCGACTTTACTCCTCCTAACGTTTAATATACACCCAAGATATTTAGCAATGTTAGTAGAAGGAATAATAGGAATTACGAATTAGGTTGGGTTAGGTTCAGATTGTGTTTATATATAACTAAGAGATTTGTAGATTTAATTTTTTCTAACCACTAAGAGAAATTTCAAAACAAATTAATCTTGGTGTTGAATCAGAGATATAAAGCTGTCCAACAGGAAAAGATCCTAAGATCCTTTGTGGCAAGTCACGATTAAGATACTCATGTAGCATCACTTACTTTAATAGTAGTGTCTCTATTTGAAAAAAAATAAGAATATGCTGTTGTGCTTGATAGTAAGCAGACATGATAGGTGCAGCATACCAATGATGACGATTCTTTATGGTCTATAGATTGTGAGTGACCTTTTCTGTTGGAGATGTCTTCAGTGCCTTGGCGGGAATCCGTCTAGTTCAGGAAATCATTGTTAGCTTTCCATGGCATTCATCTAAAAAGCTTTTCTACAGAGATGCAGAGCGAAGAATGTAATAACAATGTGTTTTGTCAAATGGGAATATTCCGGAGTGAACTCTGGAGTGAAGCTGTTCGTAAACAACCCCTATTCGAAGCTAGCACAGGCTACATCACACCTACTTTCTTAAACAGGCCACACTTTGACCTTCACATGAAACTACGTACATACAACAATTTGTTCAAATGTTCAAATGTTCTTAATTTCTTAAATTGGAGAAAGACAAAATTTGTCTTTAATAAATTCTTTTCTATAATAAATAAATTTTTTTACGGTGCAAAAAAGACGCCGAAACAACACAGTTTTTTTTTTAATTTATTTATGTCTAGGTCCGAATTGAAACAATTTTAAAAACAAACTTGGCTCGGTTCCGAATTCGCCTCTAATTAGATCGCGACTGGACAACTTGTACAGTTTCAAGGGGGCGGGTTTTCCCCTAAACTCGAAGTAACCGTACACCCCTTTTCAACGCTGCCCAACCGTTTCGTGTTGCTTTTATTACTCGAAGAGGACTAATTTAATTACTTACTCTACATGGTTTCCAACCCCCTTACATTCTTCCCATAATAGAAATATAATACCATTTCATATTTAAGAACCCCTTTAATTAATTTTTTTAATAAATGTTTAGGTATTTTAATATTTGATCGGTTAATTTCGAAAGTTAAACCGAAAAAAAAAGTTTTTTTTGTTTGTTTATTATTTTGGTAGTCAATTTTGGTGGTAACATGTTTTATTCCAGTAATGCGATGTAACGTGGAGTCCCGGAGTTGAGGGCGTGTAAATCAAGTTTGCATATTTTAACAGTTTTGAGAGGTTAGTACATAATTGAGCGGTGCCCGGGGGGCGACGTGAACCGGCTCGTTCGCAATTTTCACAAACCTCACACTCGCGAAAGAGAGAAGGATAGAGGATCTCCCTTTCGGATTAGCTGCGATAAGGTCCTTTACGTGATAATTTAAGGTTTTCGGGTGACCCGAAATCTAGTCGAGTGGGCATAATTTACCTGCGAAGTGTCCAAAACGACGTTGTTACGTTCCAGCCACACGAGAACGATATGTTACACTTAAATGTCGATTTTTAGGTTTAAAAATCGATTGTGATGTAACGATTCATTTTTTTTTAATTCTTACCTTCATCATTTCTCGGCGAAAGAAAATTCCATCACCGCCCGAAATAGAGTTGAAATTTCATTAGGGTTCATTCGATAGCCCTTCTCTCTCATGTTATCCATGTTTTTCATTTTAAACTTTTCAACGCAGAGGTAATTCCTATTTAAAACACACAATAAATGTTTATATTTCCACAAAAATGTTTTTGAAAATTTCATTTCAACAATAGACCATTGTTTACTGAGGACCCGCATCGGATACCGGAAACGATGGCCAAAACGACGCCCCGTTGCGTCGTTTCTATGCGGACGTTGCAAATCAAAGGATTATTTATTCATAAAATTGTGCGGAAAAGGTGTATCTCTTTGTATGTCTCTTTGGAATAATCTTGTTAGTTATTTTAACGTTTTTTTCCTGTGGTTTAATAAGAGCTAAATGAAAATTTAAAAACATCCGTTGTAAAAATAAGGTTTTAATTAAAATTTATTTTTGCATGAAATATTAAAGATTGCTTCAATATGTATTATATACATGGAAGGAAAATAGATGTCTAAAAGTTTATTTTAAATATTAAAAGTTTCAATCAATAAATAACTTTGAAGGTTGGTTTATTTAACACCATCTTTCGGGGAGCTGTTGAAGCTTTTATTGATTTTAAAAACTTGGAGTAGGTTTCTGTTTTAAATTAGAATATTTTGATGATAAGTTAGAAACCTTTAAATTATAATTTAAAAATGTCTCATTTATTAAATATGTTCTTTAAATAAATTAAAAGAAATTCTTTCTGCTTTATTTTTGTCTTCTTTAAAATCTTCTTACCACCTTAAAACTGAATTTTATAACCAAAATACAACCTGGAATCGCAATGAAATTAAACATGTTTATCTCTTTTCTAACAGTTTTAGAATTACTTTAGCTAGGTCATGTGACGAACATAATTTAGGTATATTTTCACCTAAATATTCTTATTAATCACGGTTAATTATAAAAAATGTGTTGTCTTAAAATAAATTTGATGTAAAAATCATCCCAATTACAATTACCCCAAATTTTCTCAATTTCCACAATACTTTATACTAATAGTGAGGTTATGTTGAAAAATAATATTTAATTTTTTTTACTTTCTAATTCTACTTCCTTTTAAATACATATTTATCTTTTAATAAATTTCAGTAATTTAGTTTAAGTAATTTTTTTAATCAACAAACTTTCGAATTAACACTTCTTTGACTTAAACTGTAAACATTTAAAAAAAGAACAAATTTTTATTTGTAGAAAGTTATCTGAACTATTTTTATTTCGTCCTTATTTTCTTTATCTTAAAAAATATTGAAAGATCCTGAAATAACCGGTTCGTCCCGAAATAAAAACCACAAATATCAACATTTATTTAATTTCAGTGCCAATGGGGCCATCAAAATATTTTGAGCAAATTTAATTTAAACAATAAACATTTTCAACTAATTATAAATAATTCCATTCAATTCCATTGACCCATTTGCATTAAATGTCGTCATTTCTTACCGTTTTAAGACGAGGCAAGGTTAAAGAACCCCATAAAAGTGCATTTAGAATCTTAAGTAGCTGATTTTCAAATAAATTTCAAATTTAAAATATCCCCGCGTTAAATTTATAACCTTATTGGTCAATTAAATTCGTTACCATGACAACGAAAGGTGTATTCTTAAAGGATTTTTTTTAGGATTATTTTTAGGGAATTTTAAGTTTTCACTTGCAATTACAACCTCAAAATGCACTGCAATGCACCTTACTTAAATAACCTTAGTTTTAATGCAACCACGTGTGTAATGACATTTAAATTTCCTCATCGCTTGAAGAACGTGCAAAATTATTTTTGAATTGGTTTAGGGAGAAATTAAGGAATTAACCCCGGTTTTATTAAGGTTAACCTATCCGGGGGGGTGATGTAATAAACGTGTGCACTTTCAAAGCTTTGTCAGTGTTTGCTTGAACGCGGAACAGTTCGCTTTAAAAATATTAATAAACTCGTGGAAAATGAGCGGTAACACGACAACAGTTTCCACACCAACGGAAAATAAATTAATAACAATCCCTCTAGAAAATATTGAAGATGAAAATAAAGATGAGGTTAAGTTAAAAAAGGAATTGGGGTTACTTGAAGGTGTTGCAATCATTTTAGGGATTATTTTCGGTTCTGGTATGTTTATAAAATGATTTAATTAATAACATTATAACTTTTTTTAATTTTATTTAGGTATATTTATTTCTCCGAAAGGAGTAATAAAAGAAGTTGATTCAATCGGTTTCTCGTTAGTAGTATGGGTGATGTGTGGATTTTTGTCTATGATAGGAGCATTATGTTACGCTGAATTAGGAACTATGATACCAAAATCAGGTGGTGATTACGCCTATATTTACGATTCTTTTGGTCCTTTACCGGCGTTTCTATATCTTTGGGCTGCAAACGTCATCTTTGTGTATGTATTTTTAAGCTTTTTAGGATTCCAGACAAAGTTTAAATGTTAAAAATAAATTCTTTGTTTTCACAATGTAAATTAAAACCAGAAATAACAAGAAACGGTGACTAATCGAAAAACAATTCTTTTGAATTAATTTATCAACCCAATTGTTTCTTAATCAGTTAAATTTCTTTTTTGTTAATCTAAAAATACCTTTTAATTATATTTTAGTCCAACAACAAACGCAATTATGGGATTAACTTTTGCCAAATATGTTATCCAACCATTTTTTGGGCCATGTGATTTACCCGATACAAGCGCAACTTTAATAGCTGCCGTAACGATATGTAAGGAGATAATTTTTATTAATTAATGTTTAAAAAAAAGGGAATTCTTTAAGGCTTTTTGACGTTTTTAAATGGTTACAATGTAAAAGTGACGACTAAAATGCAGAATGTGTTCATGTTCTCGAAAGTGGGTGCCTTAGTCTTGGTGATTTTGATGGGCGTTGTTTGGATGAGTATGGGGAATGTGGAAAACTTTGAAAATGCTTTCGAAGGAACGACCACAAACCCCGGAAAAATTGCGACGGCGTTTTACTCAGGAATCTTTTCGTACTCAGGGTGGAATTATTTAAACTTTATGACTGAAGAATTAAAAAATCCTTTTGTGTAAATATTTTTTAATTCATTTCGTTAAATCGATTTTAATTTTAATTTTTTAGGAATCTTCCTCGTGCCATTTACATTTCAATTCCTTTAGTTACCTTGATTTATGTTTTGGCGAATATGGCTTATTTATCAGTTTTAACGCCAATTCAAATGATGTCGTCTGATGCAATTGCTGTGGTTTGTAATCAATACAATTATTATTAATTTTATTGCTTATTTGATAAGTAATTTTAACATAACCTCAATTTTCAAATAAATATTTAAGAGTATGCAACCCAAATAACACGAGTTTAAATTTTGTTGCTTTATTATAGACTTTTGGTGATAAAATAATGGGTAATTTCGCTTGGATAATCCCTGTTTTAGTCGCAATTTCCGCATTTGGTGGTTTAAGCGTTCACGTTATGGCGTCTTCACGCATGTTATTCGTTGGAGCTAGAAACGGACATTTTCCGGCGTTGTTATCGCACATAAACGTTAAAAATTTCACTCCGTTACCATCGTTAATATTTTTAGTAAGTACTTAATTAACTTTTTTTAATTTTTAATTATTTAATTTTGTTTTAGAACATCTTATCATTATTTATGTTGGTAAGCAGTGATATTCACGCTTTAATCACTTACTGCACAATCGTTGAATCATTCTTTGTGATGTTATCTGTTGCTGGACTTCTTTATTTGAGATGGAAACGACCAGAACTTTCACGACCAATTCGCGTAAACATCATCATTCCCATTGTTTTCGTTTTAATTTGTTTGTTTTTGATTGTTTTACCATGTGTTGAAGCTCCAAAAGAGGTAGGAATGGGAGTGCTACTAACATTATCTGGGATACCGTTTTATTATTTCGGTGTAAAATGGACTGAGAAACCTGAGTGGTTTCAAAATTGTTTAGGGAAAATTACGATTGTGTCTCAAAAAGTATTTTTGGCTGCTCATGAGGATTAACTAAACGTTAAAATTGATAAAAGAGGTTGTTTTTGTTTGGATCAGTATTAAAGATAAGATTTTTTTTTAAGTTTAAGGATTTATGATTTATTTTTGGTTGGTTATTATGAAAATTGTACTTAAATTTAATTTATTTAAATGGGATTAGTTACCAAATTATGAAAATATCAACTCAGATATATTGTTTAACTAAAAATATGTTTAACAAGAATCTATATAAATGATTTTGACTATATTTTAGCCGTCAAAGTACAAAATAAGTAATTAAATCGAATAATACTTGTTCTCGAATAGTTACCAATTTAATTTTTCTTTTTTTTGTGATTTTGAATCTATACCTTACATTTCTTGTAATATCGGTGGTGAACTCTGTGATTCAAATACACTGTTTTGTTTTTTATGGAATAAAGTTTGCTAAATACAATTTAAATGTTCGTATTTATTTAACCAATTTATATTATAATACAATCTACAATAATCGAACAAATTTAATACTCATGAAGCATGTTATTACCACAAAAATCAAAGGAATGTACAACAACTACATAATTAATCCATCCAACCACCTAAGTATACATAAAAATTCCATACTTATCGGGTAAAATCATCAGGGTTGAACATTCCCTTTGCTCTGCGTAAAATGGAATCTTTACTAGCATCATAAGGATGATCTTTTGATGGGATTTCCAAAACAGCGGGAATAGGCTGAGTATGACTGTCAATAACATGTCTAATCATCTCAGCGATGTTCTGATTAATCAAAATGATGTCGATATCATCACGTTTAATAAAACGCTTAAAGCAATCTTCAATTTCACTAACAGCGGTATCTAAAAATAATATCAATTAAATCGATAAATTAGCACCGTTTTAAAAACTTACTTTTATCCACAACCATAAAATTGGAATGCCTATTCTTGTTTATTTCTCCAACACCGCCCAAAAGGAACCCAACGCAAGTATCCTACAAATTAATGATTACATTAAATTAAAAACAAATCAGAAATGTTGTATTTTACCTCATCTCCGATAACAGAAAGTAATTTTCCTTTAATAGCCGAATGCAAAGCCATTTTAACGAGTACTTTTTGGGCGAATTTAGAAATTGGAATCACCTGACACTTGGTAACCTAAAAAGCAGCTGACTCCCAAAACTACCAACTAAAAAACATAAAAAATCACTAAACTGTATTAACGTTGTCTGTCAAATCAAAACTCAAATTCGTTAAATTCATCAAAAATTAAAGTAAATAAATAATTTTTGAGTTATTAGTATTAAATTTGATTTTGTTGTAGAATGCCGAATACACAGATAACCGAAGCAAGGGAGACATATTTAACACTCTTAGAAATGAGTCAATTGTTAAATACAGGTTTAGATCCGGAAACTTTAACGATTTGTGTTCGTTTATTGGAAAGTGAAGCAAATCCCGAGGCTTTAGCTTCGGTTATTCGAGAATTGAGAAAACAAAAAATGGAATTAAACGATAATTTAAAAAGTAATGAAGAAACTCAACATTCTTAAATTTAATTAATTTTTATTTGGAAAAAGGAATGAAAATATAATCTTTTTTTATAACTCGTCTTTTTTATCTGAGAATTTTCCGTGATAAACTTTACTTTCTATAGTAACGCTTTCACATTTCTCCTGGTCTACTAAATAGTTTTTTGCTTCCCAAGCTTGCGCACCATCTTTAAAAAGAAAAATTGCCCGATTATCATCAACTAAGTACCTTTCAGCTTGAATATGATTATTCCAAAGACTTGTTTGCCACAATTTGGTTAACTCCTCAGTTTCATCTTTCGTCGGATTCCCCGAAACGCTTACGAAAGTCATTAAAGTTCTCCCTTTTTTGGTCATTTGTAATAACTCTTCAGGATTTTCCATGTTTAATTTAGACATATCTATTTGTGGGGCTGGACGTAAGTGTTCGGGTAATTCATCATCTTCAAGCGGTTCTTCATCCTCCTAATATTGAAATAAATTAAAACTTTTCTTTGGCAACATAACCTCACTTACCTCCCATTGATCGAATAATCTCTCCATATCAGCATCCGAGAAGTCCCTAATATCCTTTTTAGCCCATTCCGGTTTATCTTTCGACTTTTTACCGTTAGATATATTAATATATGTAATAATTAAAAGAAAAAATAAAAAACTTGTTCCTCTCATTTTTAACCTAACCTATATTCAAATTGAAATAACCTCACTTTTTGATTTAAAATAAAATAAATATTAAAGTGGGAAATAATATTTAATTAATTGAAATTATTTCAAATTATTAATTATGACATTAATTAAATGTCAAAATTGACGTTTAATTGTCAAATTTGACGTTTCATAATATAGGTTAATTATAATTCAGTTTTCTAAAATATTATGCAATTTCAAACAATTCGTTTAATATTGTTGGTTTTCCAACATGTTTGGTTTGGTTCATTCTTCCAATAATCTAAAAAAATAACAATTTTATCTTCCTTTTAAAGATTTAATTAATTTACCAATAATAATTAATTGAAAAGTATTCAACAAATTTAATTTGCTTTTGGTGCCAAACTAAACCGTATGACCAAATAAGAAATAAAATCAATTATTATTAAATAATTGTTTTTAAAGGTTCAATCTTAAAAATATGGTAAATAAACATAGATAATTTGGCAACGACACTCGCTTCGTTTCTCTCTTCACTTTTTAGAGAAGCGAAGCAAGCGACGATGCCAGATTGTGAGTAAAACTTTTTCTAGGGAGATTTAATTTTTATTTTTTTTTAACATTAAAACATTGTATAACTGTACACCGAAATATTTACAATCTTTTTAATATTTGAGTTTCCAAATACTCAATGTTACTATAAATCCTAAAGGTCCACATGACATTTATTTTAACATGAAGATATATCAGTTCTTGTTATCTTTTATGAATGTTTCTATAGATAGATATCCCACACACCCACATTTTCATTCCCACGGGACACCTGTACAACATTATTAGTTATACTTATGTGCTGCGTTAATCAGAAAATATTGATTCATTTTTATTTATTAATACAACATCGAAAAATAAACTTAGAAAGTGAATATTTTGAGACATCTTTTAGAATGTATGCTTTTTTTATAATAATCACTTAATTCACTTGTAGGTTATATATATTTTTGTCTTTAGAATAACAACGAGATGTAATTACGGATTGTCTATACATTTACGATATATTACTGGTCCAAACATTTCAATTTATTTTTCTTTAAATGATTATTTACAATTCAAATAGATTTGTTAACTAAAAAAAAATTATTTTTAAGTTGGTAATATTCCTAACCTAAAAATTTTGAATTTGATGAAATTTGGTAACAATTTTTTTTCAGTTAACAATTTATTTACGACTAATTTCGTCCAGCGAAATTAATCCAATGAAAATATTATTTAAATATCAGTTCTAGAATAAAAATATTTGATTTTTCTTTCTATAAACTACATTGTGAATAAAATACACTGAGAAACATTATTTTGGTTGGTTGATATTTTCCATTCACATTCAAATGGAATTAATACAGTCAATTGAATATTCAAACAGTGTTTAAATGTAACTTTTTATTAAATTCGGTTCAATTTATTGTCGATATAACAAAAATTAACCCAAAATATGCACTCGACATAATGTACATTTAAACACAGTTCACCATTTCTTTTAATAATTTTAAGACACATCAAATCTACTAGATATTAGTATTTCAACATTAATTGTTTTCTTGAACATTAATTAATTAATTGTATTATATATTTTCCGTTTTAATTCAGTGGACTTTACTTATTTCTTTTAGTTAGACAGCTCACCATACACTCTTGTTTATTGGCTCGTCTATTAAAAAGAAATTGTCAAAAATAATTTTTATTTTACGTAGTCAAAACGACCAGCATTTTGGCTTAAAATTCCCGTATTGATCCTTTTTAATTTAATTATCTCTATTTAAATAAAATTAAAAAAAAATAAATTAAGTTAATTTACATTTTTTGAGGTTAAATTGGTTTGTAACGGTCTTCGCAAATTAAGAAGAGGTCAAGACTATGATGGATGGTAGAATCTAAAAGGATTACTAAATACTTTGTTCTTTTGTAATTCAAAATTTTGTTGTTGTATTTTTTGTGTTTTTACAAACTTTACCATAAACCTTTCAATTTCTAATTTTGCGCTAGCGCCATCTTTTGTTGACTAGCTGTTTCAAATGACATAAAACTTGACTGGTGCTAGTTCTAGTGACAATGCTAGATTTAATCTAACTCTAGTCTCAACATTACAAAAGCAGTTCTCTTAGATTCTACCGTTCTTAGATAAAGAGAGATTTTTAACAACTAATACTGATAATAAATATGAAATAATAGTTTTTAGTGTTGAAATATTTTGATAATCAACAATTAGTAATCAAAAAATTGATTTATCAGCTATTTCACAAATAAATCTTTTAAAGTCGAGCATAGAGATGAATCGGAAGTTTCGTTTGAATTGTTTTCATCTCCAGGTTTATTTGAAAACCAGCCGCTTTTAGATTTCGATTGAGATGAAGAAGAAGTTGATGGACCATCTCCTTTTCCGAAATCGTTTTTTTCCGGACTCGATTTTTTTAAAAAATCTTGTATCGCAGTTCCTAAAAGTTGGGCGTCCACCAGTGACCCACTACGCTCGTCCCATAAAACTTTATTGTTTGAATCTTTTGCTTTTAATGATTTTTTTTCGTCCGCAAATGAAATAGAAGTTAATTGGTCTGATTTTCCAATAAAATTTTTTGTTGAAATCGGTTGATGACGTTTAATGAACCAATTACTTGGTGTTTCAATTTCATTACTTGGTAATGTTGAAACATCAAAACTATTACTTCTACTTGTTTTCAGTCTACTTCTTCTTGTCTTCTTGTTTTCTTCCATTGATGTTGCATCTGCCGCCCCCATTGGTGTTGTTGATTCGGATACTTCACACTGTTGATGATTAATTTCCATAGCGGAAGAAGATAAAATAGAAATAAGATCAGTATTTGTGCATATAATTCCAGAGCTAGTTATCTTACATGCTGTGGAAGATGTCGAAGAAGTTCTTGGAGGTAAACTTGGAGGCGGCAGTTCCGATGCTCTTCTTCTAGTCGCACTTGGAATTGGGGCCAAAGTTGTTCCAACAAAATCTGAATATCTCCTCGAACTCGCGTACCTTTGTATTCCACCAGATGCTGATCCGCCACCACCTGGAGTTCCTCCAAAATGTTCGTCATCCAACGGTTGGACCTCACAAACTTTTTCGTTACTACTTGTATTCCACAATTTCATTCTAACCTTTCTAGCTTGGACGATATCATCCATAATATCCAATTGAAGGTTATGAACACTTCCTCTAGGTTCCGTAGAAGGTGGCCCCCCAGTCACAGACTCCCTTCGACTTGGTAAAATCCGTCCCGCAACAGATTCCCGTCGATTTCTCCCAAAAAATGCACTTGGAACTTTTGAGATCGTTACTACAGAATGTCTTCGTCCACCTGGTGATGGAGCTGGAGCCGAAGAAAGCGTCGCTAAAAATTCAGTTTGTCTAGGTCCAGGGGCACCTTCACCACGTTCGGAAAGACGGCGAACTTGACTGGCGGTTATCCCGGAACATTGAGGAGTTGGTAATGAATGTTTACGAGTTTCTCGAGACCAGGGTGACAGTAAATAAGGATTCATCATTGGTGATTCATCTTCGGAAGTATGTTCCGATGATGATCTAGTTTTCAGTTCAGGTTCTTGTATGCATCCAGGTTCTTCAACAACGATTAACGGTTCGGAAGTTTGCGTTTGCAGACTTCCTTTCCTCATTTTTCAAGTTTTTATCTGTAAAAACAAAAAAAAAAGAATATTAAAGTAAAATGCACTGAGAAACATCGCATTTTAATATTAAATAAATTAAACTGAGCCGATTATCTAAAACGAGAACACCTGTAGCTATGTATAGGCATATTAAATCGATAAATACAGGACGAGGTACATAAAATCTAATCAGATGTGAGCGCAAACCTATTTTCTGGAAATATAGCAGTTCCTCGCATAACTCACTTACTCGCGTAATATAGTTATGATCAGTGATGATCATATTTCGAAAAATCGATAATTAAAGTGTCATTTCAAATTCATTTTGACAAGTAAATATTTATGTCGATAAAGTAGAATACTTATTTTAATTATGTCAAATTGATTTATTTATGACTTTTAAAGTTGTTTTTTGATGAAATAAAATAATTAATTTTTTTAGTTAATCTGCCACTTAATGCGTTATATGAGGCGGATTGTGAGTCTGCAATCAGCAATACAAACGACGATGGGCAAAAGATGGCGCTGGTTATTTAATTTAAAATTTATTGTTCAAATTTTATTAACTTACAATATTTCATAAATAAAAAGTTAAATTTGTATTAAAAATATGTAATTGATTAAATAATTATTGTGGGAGCTGTCAAATTGATAAATTACTAAGTTCACGACGGTCTAGATAATTATGACCTTAATGGGGCCCCATCCACAACTAACCGAGTTTGGTTTAACTCAAATTATCTTATACGATACGAAATCGCAACAGCATCTAATTTATTACGTGTTAATTGAGGGATTAAGGATTAAAAACTTTGAGGAACACTTAAAAAATCAAAAATGCATTTATTTTTTTGATGTTTTTTAACATTCTCCTAATTTGACTAAAGTGTATCCTTTATGTGGTTCGTTACACGTTTTTGATCTCAATTCGCAAGGATTTGCAAACGTATGGGTTTCTCCGGAGACGTCTTTAACGCATAATGGGTTATATTCCATAGTGCAGACTTGTGGACATTCATCAGCTAAAGTTGATTGCATTTGGGAAATACCTGATATGGAAAAATTTAAGGAAAATCTTGTAAAATTAAATAGAAATAATAAACATAAACATACCCAAAATGCAAACGAAGAGAAGAACTAAGTATTTCATTTTAAACTTTTTATTATAGACTCTGTAAGTAAGTAATCAGCGATCCTATATGACTTTTCCTTTTTATATGAACGATATCAAAATGTTGTTTTTAGGAGATTAGATAAATTTATGAGAGAGCCTGTTTTTTATTTTGGTTTCTAATCATTATTTTTCCTAATTAAGATAAAAAGAATTAGGGCAACAACAAGATATTAAAATTAAAAAAAATCTCAAAACTATCGATTGGTACCCAGAAGACCCCTCAGGTATAGTTAATTAGGAAATGAGTTCGATGATCGGCAACTCTACGATTGGCAGTTTAAAATTAAATCTGCAGATGAATATTTCAATTAACTGAGGAGAACTGCTTCAAGCAATTATTGGCGCTCCACTTTGAATAGATTACCCGGAATCTGAGAGGATTCGATAATATTCTTGTTGGGTTGGTGATGAGAAACCGACCCATCCATCTGAGAGATTTCATTGTCATTTTGAATGATTTCGAAAGACCGAAAATAAATAATTATTAATGAAAATTGATAAAAATAATGGATACATAGCAACCACATTTAAACCAACATTGGAAATCAATAGAACGTGCTTTGAGCGTATGATGTTTAACCACAACACCGACAATTAACAATACAAGAGTATTTGTGGTTAATATTAATTTTTTAATTCTGCAACCAAATGTAAGTTAAAGTTATTATCGTTTTATTATCCTGTTAAGAAGCGCATAGAATACTTTTTTCTTTTTGTATTATTTCAAGCCTGTAAAACCGAGATTTCCCAGCATTTCTATCTCCCCATCTTTGTTCCGCGTTCATGGAAAATCAATAAACTCCCGATGCGTTCCGATTTAAAACGTATTTACACCGTCAATTCGTGTTGATATCAGTTCAAATTAAAATTAAACTCGTTAAAACTGTAATCAGTCTTAAATAGTTGGGATAAAATGAACATTTACGATGTTTTTTTATAGATATTTAAAAATCTATGTAGAATGTGGCTGTAAATTACAAAGAGTACTCCAGGGATTTTACTGGTTTTCCTGCCTTTCATCCTGTTAGTCAAACTGACCTCTTTGGAAACAAGTGTGAGACTCTGTTGTAAACGGAACAGATCAATACAGAGTGATGAGAGAGCTACATATTGTTGTTCTCTTTTATGCCCTAACACATCCTTTAAATAAAAAAATCGTTATTTATTAATGATTTCCTATTTGCATTACACTAAAATAACTATGAAACATTTCATTTATGGTAAACTATTAAAATTGCATTCGTTTTTCATTTACAAGTAAATGTCTTAACATAAAAAATTAAAAATCTTGAAGATTTTTTTAATAACAAAAAGAAATTTGTTACAGAACCGTAATTCTATATCGAAAAGTTTTCGAACAAAGTTTGGTTTCGAGACACGACTCTTGGAAAGTATCCGGAAATTGGAAGTAACTTTTAAATCTAACTCGGGAGCCGATTCAATTAAAACACTAAAATTGACTTTCTCGCTCGAAAACTACCGGATATGAAAAACTAGGAAGGTAAAAATAAAATTTCTTCAAAATTACATAAATTAAATTGCTGTTTAAGTTTTCGTGCAAGTTAAGACGAGGTAAATGAGATTCTAAGTACAACAGAAGACATTTTGGTTAAAATAAACCAAGAATTTTCTCAAATTATTAATTGTTTGAATGAGGATTTTTTCAAAAAACCAGAACAATACGAGTTTCAGGAACGTTTTGAATACGAATGCATTTGTGTAGGCATTATCATTTGTGAACACCCCCATCATTTTGTTGTTTGCGTCTATTTTAACATTTACATTCAAAATGCTTCCTTTATTATTTATTTATGCATGCAAGTAGCGACAGTTACTTCCTACATCTAGTTTAAGAAAAAACAAAACTAAACATATAAAGATTCGGAAAGACGATCTTATCAAGAAATGAAAAAAGAAAATCAGTATACTCTAACAGATTGGTCTCAACAGAACGTCCAGGGTGGAAACCGTGTTGTTCCATACCAATAACTTAATTAACAACTTAATTTGAAAAAATAGTCTATTTTAGAGATTAATTCTAAATAAATTGAATTCAACCTTTCCCCCTTTATATTTCCCTTTTTTAGGTAAAGTACATTTTACATTTTCTTTTCGATAAAATATAAAACCCTACCCGCTGGGTTTGATATAAGTGAGTTATCAAATCGAAATCCATCCACTCTCCGGTGATATCGTTTTAAGTCTGAAACCGATATTGCTTTCGCAAAAAGACGGAGACAAAGAGTTCCTTTCAGTTTTCCGGCGGAACATGACAAAAAAATTTATTTTATTTGCGTAAAAGATAATAAAAAAAGTTAATGTAGGCAACCAGTTTTACTTTGAATCTTTTTGTCACACATAAAATGCAACATGTAATATGATTTGACATTACAGTGAAACCTCGATATAACGGATCAATACGGGAAACGCAGTGTTCGTTATAGCTCAATAAAAATTTAGCGCTGAATAACAAATAAAACTAGAATAACACTAGAACTAGCAACATTTCGTTTAGCCGTACCTCTCTTAAGATGGCTGGTAGGTAGCACTAGTTAGCATAAAAGATAATTAATAAAGAACTAAAACTAGAACTACCACAAGACCTAGAATTAGAATCATTCGGCTTTAGTCGTCTGAAGAGACCTACGGCTAAATCCGAATGTTTCCAGTTCTAAGTCTAGTGTTAGTTTTACACTAGCACTATCACTATTAGGGTTATCATAAGAACGTCACTCTTTTTCAAACAAAACTTTTCCTTTGCAAAATTACACAATACCTATAATATTAAGCTATGTTAATTTTATGTTGGACAGTGCAAGTGCATAGTAGTTTTGTAACTATGGTTCCTGCATTCATATATTGCGAATTATATGAAATTTCCATTATAACATTAGTATTAAAACTTTATTTATAGAAATTAAGTTAAAAAAATTGTTTCCTTTGAAACAATGCTTCATAATAATAAATAGAAATTATTAAATTCTCGAAATTTGAGTCGAACTTTTGGAGATTTTGAATGATTTATCTAGAAATATTATAAAATAAAATCGATAAGCTGGTTTTAAGCTTATCGAAAACATGAATTATGCGATTTCATTATCGCGAATTGTCGAAAACACGTTCGTTAAACTAAACAAACATGAATACCAACACTTTGCCCAGCTAAAATATTCAACAGATGAGGAGTTACGACTATTGATTTTACATTTAAATTACTACACCTCACTGATTTCAACTGAAAATTGAATTTCGAAACATATTTTTAACAACCATTTTTGTGAAGAATAAAAAATTGAATTAAATCGAAAAAAATTATTGAAATTAAAAAAATAATTAAATGTTTACCAAGACTTTTGTTAATTACTAAAAACTTACCTTTAATTTTAAAAGTAAATTTATGTTGATTTCAAAAAGTCTTTGATCACTTCGCTTCCTCAAAAAAAAAAAAAGGATTTTGTTTTAATTATTGCTCCTTTTAAATCCGAATTTTTAACATTAAAAAAATAAAGTCGTTATTTTCTCCTACTTCTTTATATAGATTAAAATTGTGCGAAAACTGCGCGAGTTTGGGAACCGTTCGAGATATACTGGGGCTTCTGCTATGTGGAGTTCTCGCGAATCGGGCAGCTTCCAAGCTCTGGACCGGCGCTTCAGAATCTCCTGCTCATCCCAACTTCCGGAAAATTCTTTCTCTTTTTTGGAGGATGAAAGGAAGACGTTTTTAACTGAGAAAAACTAACTTTAATTGCGTCCTTAATTTTACTTCATCGAAAAATAAAAAAAAAATAAGGAAGATATTAATTGTTAATATAAATTATATTATTATTTGATATCAATTTATTGATTTTAATATAAACCGTTAATTTTGAAAGTAATATTTAGTCAATAAATTGTTTATTAATTTTAATAAATAAAGTTATACGGCTAAACCGGAATATTTCTAGTTCTAGGTCTAGTTTTAGTTCTAGTTTTACACTAGCACTGTTACTATGTAGAATTAACACTATACCTAGAACTAGAAACATTCGGGTTTAGCTGTGCGTGTTATAAGGCAGCTAAAGCCGAATGATTCTAGTTCTTGGTTTAGTGTTAGTTCTACTTTTAGTCCCTTCTCTTTGTTTTCAATGCCATACAGGCATTTATCTGAATTTGACATTTTCGGCTCTGCGGTTTTCTTTTTATCGTAAGCTAAATGAAAAAAGTACCCGTTTTTTGACTGTGCGACTGACGAAATGATATATGTTTTTTAATTTCTATTTATAAAACAATAAAGACTTTTTTGTTTCTCCAACTTTTTTTGAATATAAAAACTTATTTGAAAGCTTTTCTAATTGCGTTATTTATCGTTGTTTTACTTGTCTAATGGATTTTTTATTCAAATTCAAGGTTTCTAAGTAACAAATGAATTCAATTATTGCTTTTAAAACTATTTAAGAATTCAACATTTGATTTTTGCACGTTTTAGGTAATCCTTCAGTAAAAATGAATACCTTTACGGTTATTTTAGCCATTTCTTACGCAATAGCAAACGTAAGTAAACTTCAAATTAATCTTAATTATAATTGATCTCTCTAACAATAATTGATTCATTTTTTAAGAAAATCTTACAATGCTCCGGATTAGAAGATTATTTAAAATCAAATAACAAAACTAAAACATTTTCAAAATCAATTTTGGTTGTTTTAGTTTTGATTATAATGGGGTTTGTTGTCGTTTTGATTACAATTCCATTTGGAATTTTTAAATTTTTTCTTTCAATTTATTTAAAAATCGTCCACAAAGAAGATTTCGGCGGTTTTTTAAACGGAATTGGAGCCTCTTTCGCAATGCAAAATGAGCAAACCTATATAATAACCGTTTTAATAGTGGATTACGATGATGACATTGAAGGTTTTTATAAAGAATTAAAGAAGATTGTTGAAATAACCGTCCAAGATTTCGATCAGTTAAACTCAATCGTACAGAAATCATATGGCTATTATTATTTATTAAAGAATCAAATTACATTCGATAAGATTTTGTCGCGAATAACTTTAAATCAACAAGATAATGAGAAAAATATTTTATCGTTCGATACTATTTTAAATTACGTAGATAGTATTCGAAGTTATGATTACAAAGATCAACTATTTCAAGTTGTTCTATTTAACCACCCCGTTTGGTTTAGTAATAAAAGGAATTATGCCATTTTCTTAAAAACTAATCATTGTATTTTGGATGGAATGGGTTTTCTAAGTGTTATAACTAAACATTTAAGCAAACCGAATAAAGATGTTGTCGTTAAAAAATTGGATTTAGTGGAAAAGTACAAAAAATTAAATATCGATTACAATAAGTGTTATTTAACCAAAAATTCATTTGGGTTTACCACAAAAAACGATCTAAACGAAAATTATAAACAATTTTCTGCTTATATTATGGAAGATTCGCCCGATTTAAAAGAAAAAATAAAATTTATATCTCAAAAATTAAGTGTGCGATTCAATCAGGTTGTTTTAGCTGGATTAATTTATTCGATTTCTAAGATATTAGATAAGGTAAGCATTTTTATTTGGTGGAACTTTTTTAAAATTGAATTTTTTTAAAGAAAAATATTAAATCTGGGCCGTTTAATATATCTATAACAGCTTCATCGGATATAAAGCAAATTGAAAATGTCATGAATGGGGACAGTGACTCCATAAAAAACGTGAAGAATGCTTTCTTTGTGTCCCAAGTTACAGTTATGAAATGTCGAAATCGATCAAAGAGAGAATTTTTGATTGAAACTGGGCGAGAAGTTGAGGAAATTAAGCAATCTGTTAATCCATTGTTAAACATGATGTTTTTTAATTACTTATCTTCTTTTATGCCTTCTATCTTATGGCGAGCATTCTTAATGGAACAAAATAGGCGAACACACATAGTTTTAACGAACATATTGGATCATCCCACAGAAAGAATTGTTTGCGGAAGAAAAATGTACGCTATTTTTACGATTGTTGGTAATACTGGTAATAAATGTAAGCTGAAATTTGTTATTTACATCCATGTAAGTTATAAGTTAAAATTTTTAGGTATATTTTTTATGCATGGATCTTATGCCAACCGATTTGGAATATGTATGAGTGGAAGATATGAGTTTATAAAAAGTCGAGATGACGTTCAATTTATATTACATGAAACGAGAAAATTTATGGAAGACGTTTTTAACGAATTAAACCAAGAAAAAAAATAAAAAGCATTTTTATGCAACCAAACTAACACGATAGATGTGTTGGTTGCATACTCACCCCTATTTTTTAAAATTCAATTCTATTTTTTAATTATATCTACCGGGAATTTCATATAACTCGCAATATATTAATGCATCATAGCCATAGTTACGAAACTACAATGCACTTGCACAATGCAAAGTAACGTCCTTATCATAACCCTGAGTTTTCGGCTGTCTTAAGAAACGCACGGCTAAACCCGAATGTTTCTAGAAACCAGGGCTTCTATGGAAATATATTTTTGTAAAAAGAAAATCTAAACGAAATTCTAATTTACCATAACAATTGTTTTTAATCTTAATATAGGAGTTATATTTAAAATTATTTTTCTTTTCACCCCCACATATTACTTATTAAATTATAATTCTAAATTTGCATATTTTCTAAGATTCAGGCAGTGTCCTCATATTTACATATTCACAGCTCAAAGCCCCGTACAAAGAACGCAACAGAAACAGAACTAAAAGATTTTCTGATAATTCCGACATTTTTTACTGAAAAAATAGAGGTAATTTCACCATTATGAAGAAGAAGAAGTTGGAACCCCGCAAAATAAATATTAACTTTCGTCATATCGACCAAAACGAACTATCTCAACAGCGAGTTGAGCTCGTTGAGCTTATCGAACGCTTTCGCAACGCCTGCGTCCTTATCAACTCCAGTAAAGACCAAAATGTAGGTCTGAAAACCACACAAAGCATTCACATCTTCCAAATTTCTTAAAATTCTAACAAAATGTGAACGCCCTTTTTATTTGGCGTTTAAGAAATGATGAAAAATGAATGAAAATGTGAAAATTTTAATCATTTCTACTTTATTATCATGTAAGTAAATTGTAGGTTATGTTAAAGTCTTAAATATTTTTTTTAAAGGTTTATTTACATTTGTAAATCTCGAACACAGTACGAAACAATCGAAAGAAAAACAAATCGATTTGTATTGTTATCTTTGCGATACGATGGAAGATGGAATGAATTGTCAAGATTTAAAAGATAACACGACGTTTCACACGAAATGCCCGAACGATCAACGTTTGTGCAAAGTGAAGAGTATTTTGATGTCGGCGAGTACAGAGGATGTGACAGGAAAGCCGAAATTGTGGTTGCTACAAAGAAACTGTACTAAAACATGCGAACCGGGTTGCATTGTGATCGGGGAAAGGACGAAATTGCATTCTTGCACGACCTGTTGTGAATATAATCTTTGCAATATCGGCTCGAAATCAAATAATGCTAAATTGGATGTGATTTTAAAAACAGTTCTCGTATTTTCGATATTATTTCAGTTTATAATGTAGATAAAATAGAAATTGTTTTGTATATTTGTGCTTTTTTTAATGATTAATTAATTAATTAATAAAAATTTGATGGGATTTTAAGTTTTATTATCAATATTATAATAGATAATTATAATTAGAATCCATTTTACCAGTTGATTAATTTGTGAAAATGTAATTAAATTTAATTTTCTCAGTATTGTACTTTTGAAACTGGTTTTACTAATTAATTAAGTCTTACTAGTTTCGGTCCATGGCCATCCTCAGAGACTAATTTTACAAGAGCTCACAAAAAGGTCATATAGCAAAGTATTAAGTTCATAAATGTAATTATTTAAATAAAATTCCTTTAAGTTTAAGACTAAAAGAAAAAAAGTTAAAAAAAATGGTATCTTGTGGAATCTCATCCTCGGCTTGTTGTTGATGACGATGAAGTTCCTGCAAGGTGTTTGCTGCTTGTGGTAAACGCTTTATATAGCGACCCATCATATCCCACACATACTCGATCGGGTTTAAATCCGGAGAGCGAGCAGGCCAGGGGAGAATTTCTACTCTTTCTTTGTGTAGGAAGTTCTGACAGACGTGGGATGTTCCTGTTGGAACATGGTGTTAGAGCGTTCGTTTAGCCTGGGTGTTACAATAGGCTGTAATACCTCGTGGATGTATCGGAGTGCATTTAAATTGCCAAAGATGCCAATTAGAGGTGATACGATATTATGGTATCCCATACCATAATACCAGGTGTTTGGGCGCCGTGACATAAAAGCACAAAATCTAAATCTTCGCGCCACTCGCCACGAAATCTAGTACACACCACCAGATGACTGATAGTTATTTATTAAGCTATCAATACTAATTGTTACTCAACTGATATTGGCACTCCACTACAAGATATAATTGCTGTACTCTCTCCATAACACTTTCTAATGTAAAGTTATTGATCTTCTTACGTCACCAGATATAAATAAATAGAGTAGCAAATACCGTTTTTATCCTATTATCAATATTGCATTAAATATTGCTTGAATATAAGTAGGTTATACCAAACAGCAAATGAGGCGTGACAATAACAAAAACACATGAATACACTTGACCGTTCACAGCATTTTAGAAAATTTACTTTACTCGTCGACTTAACTCGCAATATTAACTATTACTCGAGTAATTGGTTATGAATGTACCGTAGAATGAAAATATTTACTTGAAAGAACAGGAGAAGAGAGATAATTTGACAGTTTGATTCTCTAAAATCGGCAAGATGTAAACTGTTGTCGTTTGATTTTAAAGAAAAATTTTCTAAATTTAATTTAATGTAAAACACGGTTCCTTAATGTTTTTTTAAATTTTATGTTTCTTTAAATAAATCAATTTTAATTCCTAAATTTAAAACATTTAGTTTCCTCGAAAACGAACGAAACAGAGTTGTGTGCGTTCAATAAAACGCATATGTGTCAAGTGTTATGCGTTCACTCGCAACTATATTTAGTTTCAGTCTCCTTTAATCCGGAGAAATACAATATCCCAATTGACCCTATTAAAAAAAATAAAAGATCATGTAGAAGCATATAAACGCGATCTTTTAAACCAAAGACTCAGTATAATTCAAACACTTTTGGTGATATTATTTCGGGTTTTAATTAATTGTTAAAAATGACCGCATTCAATCGTGTTAATCTGATATGTTTCCTTATAAAAGTGGTTTATTTAATTATAGTGTTTGGTGATGAGAATTTCGATCAATATCGAATAGTTTATCCAAAAATTTTTGAGAAAATTAAAAAATTTAAGCAGGATGTATCATCCAGTTTTTATTACGAAGAAAATAAAACAATAAAGTATTGTTTTTCATTATTTACTAATTATTTTTATTTAATTAATTTTTTTTGTGGAAAAGGGTTGTTAGAATTGAGGAATTAATTTTAAATTTGGATTCGCCCGGTTTAAATTTTGCCCCAAATTTTTTTCAACACAACACATCGCCCTGTAATTATTTTAAAGGATCGATTTCCGGCTTCGAATCAATTTCGATTGTTGCACTATCAATTTGTGGCCAGTTTTTAACGGGATTTATTAAAAAAGGAAGTGAAATGTACTTTTTAGAACCCTCGAAAGATAATGAAGGTAAATGGTAAGCTAAAATTTTATTAAATTAACAAATAAATAATTTTAGGTGCTCATTATTTTTATGATGCTTTCAAAAAACGCCCAAAAAGATCTTTATTTTTAAATAAGTCCAAAAAATGGGAATACTTCAATTTAACTGGTGATGTTATTGATATTGATATCGATATCGACGACAGCCATACTCAAGATAATAATCACGATTTGTTGTTCACCGATTTTAACAACAATGTTACTTTGATTAAATTGGATACGAAATTATCTAATAATGACGATGAATTGGGGTATTTCGTTGATGCCGCTTGGGAAACGCGAATAATAAGTGAGCTAAATCCATTTTTTATTTATTTAAATTAAAACATCTTTTTCCATCAGCAAGAAACAACCTCAACATCAACACAACATCATCCCCAATTTGGTTAGAAGTGGCAATAGCGGTAGATCACACCGTTATCGATTTTCACGGAAAAGATCGCGTCCAACAGTACGTTTTATCCCTAATGAACATTGTTAACGCAATTTATCAAGACCCCACGTTAAACGCGAACATTCAGCTGGTGATAACAAAGTTGTTTTTATTCGAAGAAAAGAAAACCGCCATCATCCGACTTGGAGACGCTGTTAAATCATTGCAAAATGTCAACGCTTGGAATCGTAAACTACACGGTACTTTAAAACCAGAAGATCCACGACATGATGTCGCCGTTTGGTTAACGAGGGCGAATATTGGAGGTCCTTCCGGTTACGCACCCGTTTCCGGTGCTTGTGATCCAAAACGGAGTTGTACTTTAAATAGAGATGAAGGGTTAACGAGTGCTTTTATTATTGCGCACGAAGTTGCTCACATGTAAGAGTTAAAAATAATAATACAGTAAAACCTCGATATTACAGACTTAGAAGAGACACACGACTAGACCCGATCAAGAACTTTATTTTATATTAAAAACCTTAAGCCTCAAACTAACAACATTACAAAGCTGTGTAATTTCTTTTTTTTTTAATTTAAGTCTTGGGTTATCTCATGATGGAGCCCAAAAAGATGGAAACACTTGCGGGGATGACTCTTATTACGGAAGCATAATGGCACCGATGGTTTCCTCTACCTTTCATAAATTTATGTGGTCGGAATGTTCAAAAAAAGAATTCCACGAGAAAATTAAATCGTTTCAATGTTTAATGAACAAACCAATCTCGACGGGAAACGAAATCCCGCTTAATGGAAGCTTGCAATTCGCTTTTACCATGGATGAACAATGCAGAGTCGAATTCGGAGACGGGTTTATTTAAAATTTAATAAAATTTTTTTTTAATAATTAAGTTCTTTTAGGTATTCTTTGTGTCGTTCTTTTGATATAGTTGAAGTTTGTTCGCATCTTTGGTGTGCTAAAGACGATTCACCTTCTTCGTGTCGAACGAAAAGGGCCCCACCTTTAGAAGGAACCGATTGCGGATTTAATAAGGTTATATTTTAATAATTTCCAATTTTGTTTTCGCATCTTATCTTTTTAGTGGTGCATTAATGGTTACTGCGAAACGATCGATTTAAAACGATTCGGCCGAAACCCTTTACATCATAACCCCCAGAATGGACGTTGGAGTTCTTGGTCGTCTTGGGGACCTTGTTCGAGAACTTGCGGAATAGGAGCTGAGTTTAGAAGCAGAAAATGTGATAACCCACCGTAAAATAATTATGAAAATAATAATTTCTTTTTCTTTTTTAATTAATGATGTTTTAGCCCGATGTACGGCGGAAATAATTGTTTTGGTCTCCCTGAAGAATGGCGTTTATGCAATTTGGGACCATGTTCAGAACCGATTCAAGATTTACGAACCCAACAATGTTCGAATTTACCGAAATATATGGACTTTGAAGATGATCCCAAAAAAAATTTAACTTGGTTGGCTTTTGAAAGCGATGAACATAACTCAAAGTGTAAATTGATTTGTATTAGTAAAGAAACTAGGGAATTATTTATTACTGAAGAGAATTTAATTGATGGAACTTTATGTTCTTATGAAAGTAGCACGGAAATTTGTATCCAAGTAAAAAATCATTCTTAAAATTACTTAATATATTTATAAATAATTTTTTAAAGGGAATTTGTCATCATGTTGGTTGCGATGGGAAATTATTTTCAAATTTAAGACCAGATTCTTGCGGAATATGCGGCGGGAACAACACTGAGTGTAAAAATATTAAACACATTAATAGGAAAAGATTAAGAAGAGGTAATTATGTTCTTTAACAAATAAATTTAAAAAAAAAATTTTTTTAAGAACTTCAAAGAATGGTGATTATCCCACGAATGGCGCGCAATTTAAAATTGGAAGCAAACATAACCACAACGGATTTTATTAATCCCAATGTCGCTTTTATGTTAAAAGATCGTACTAAACAAAGTTATTCAGTTACAATTCCAAATACCGGACTTTATCATGGTGAAATCGTAGCCGGAACAAAGTTTCATTACAAAAAGTATTCAAATAGACATTTTATTTCTGCAAATGGGCCGTTATTGTCAGAAATTGTAATTTATGTAAGTAATTTTGAATTGAATCTTTCTCCTAATTATTTATGTGATGCTTTATATCTGATTAACCTTCCATTAATGGAATGGTTAATTATAACAAAAACATATATAACATATTAGTCACTTACCATTTATTTAAGACATCCATCTTCAACGACTTTTCATTTCATTCACTGTAAAGAGAAAATATATGATTAGAACAGAATTTTAGCTATCCCTATCATTCAAATCATTGTTTATAAAAGTTAATTAGAATCTAACACACAAATGTTGGAAGTCTAAGTAGACACTTGTCTTATTAATTTTAATAATTGTAACCTAACTTAATAACTAAATAATATAATTTAATCGAATTACCTTAATTTTATCTTTTTAATTCCAGATTTTTTCCCCAAAATCATTAATCGATCGTGGAATTAAATTGCATTTAAAAGTCGACTACTTTATCCATAAAGATTATTTAAACAAACCATCTCGTTACGTGTGGATTTTAGGAGGATGGGGATCTTGTAGTAAATCTTGCGGCGGCGGTTTTAGGCAAAAAACGACCGCTTGTTTCGATGGGCAAAACGGAAAAATCGTACCTAGAAAAGAATGTTCGTTATTAACAAAACCGCATTTACCAATAGAAAAATGCAACAATTACAGGTAAATTTGCAAATTGAAACCATAGAATTATCTTTGATGAAAAATTTCTTTGTGTTGACAACTTCTTCACAACTTTGTATGAATTACGGTTGTTATAGCAACCGATTGTATATTTGGTTGCATATTTTTCCTTTTAGTTGTAATTTTCATTGGATAACTAGTGAATGGGAATCTTGTTCAAAAACGTGCGGCTCTCACGGAATTCAACATCGAGAGCTTTATTGTCTACCTCAAAATGTAATGAACGAAACAAAATCGTTAAATTCAATAGATTTTCCTTGGAAATTTATGGTGAGTCCGAATAAATGCGGTGAAAATCCACCTCCATCAATAAGACATTGCAATAGAATCCCATGCCTATCGTTTTGGGAATTTGGAAATTGGTCTGAGGTAATAGAAATGATAAAAATATTTTTTTTGTTAAATTATTTCTTTTAGTGCTCTACTTCATGTGGATCTGGAGTTTCAATTCGTCAATCTCATTGTCCTCCACCGGATGGTGAACTTTTTTATACTTGTGGTCCTTCCCCGCCACAAGAAAAACGAATTTGCCATAATAATAATCGAGCTGATCCAATCTGCAAATCGAGTAGAAAGAGATTTTTATGCAAAGCGGATCAATCGATATATTGTGAATTAGCACAACTTCATAAATATTGTAATTTAGGATTTTTTAGGAAATATTGTTGTAAATCTTGCATGAAACATAAATTATTAAGAATTTCATCGTAATTTGATTGATCTAGATGAGATTTTTACGTACTTGGTTGCATAATATTAAGTTTAGATGTCAATAAATTTTCTTTTCTTAGAATTTCTTACTCAATAACACAAACATAGCTTATTACTTAGACGTTTCAAAATTAAATGTGAATTAAAAAAATATATAATCTTTAATTTATTGTAGAAATATCGATTAACCAGCGGATATATTTTATAATAATACAATCTTATCGAGAGATAAAGGCGAATAGCACATATACATTGTCTTAGCTAGATTCGATAAAAATCTTATTTTCAAGTATTATATTTCCAGTTTTACAACAAACCTGGCACACGATGCCTTTCGAATTAAACAAAATCGGGGTGTTCGTTATTTTATATTTTACGAGCGGAATTTGTTCCCAATCGGTTGTAAGTTTAATTTGAAATGGTGAAAAAATTAAAAAAAGTTTAAAAGTTTTCTTTTTTGTTAGCTAGATGATAGAGAAATTAATAAACTTTTTAAAAATAATAAAGCTTTTCGAAGAGATGAATCAGAAAATGTAAGTACATCTTTTATAACCAAACAAAAATTATGTTTAATCTTACTTTATTATATTTTTAAATAAATCAATAAGAATTTTTCGTGTTAACAAGAAAATTTCTCTTAAACCGTTATTTTTAATTGACCTTTGCGATAATAATTGTACTTATTTCGTTGTTATTTGTTATCTAGTGCATGTACGCACTTGAATTAATCATCAATTTTTTTCACTTCGATCGAAATTTATAGATAATTTCCTCTTACATTTTAATAAATAAAACTTCAACCGGATATTCATCAATTGTTCTATATAGTCACAGTTTACAAGGTATTTAATACTTAACGATAACCAATCGCACTTTTAATCAATTATCAACAATTATAATAATTTTTTTATTATAAATATTTTTACAGATTTCTTTGAAGTACCAATGTCGGTATAGAGATAGCGAGGCACTTTATCCAAAAGATTATTGGGGTTACGCAGTTGCAGGATATTGTTATAAATATACCCTGCCAAGCAGAAGGAATGGGTGTCTCTCGTTTGGAGAAACACGCGTTTCTGCAACTGAAAATTTTTTAGTTCCTTTTATAAATGTAAGACAAAAAATAAAATCATTTTAGAAGAAATCTTTATTATTAACTTTTATATTCAGTTAACTGCCACACCTTCAATCGATATGGAAGGACTTACATTATTCGAATACCAAAATGACACTTTTGTAAACGAGATCATAGCCCCATTTTTTAAAACACAACTTTTCGTAGATCAATGGTTGGAATGTATTGATAATGGAATTGAATGTTGCGAAACTTTTAATGACGAAGATTATAATGTTAATCCAAGTAAAATAATAAACTTAATTTATTTACTTTTTTTACACAATAATTTTTTTAGCTTTAGAATATCCATGCCCGGCGTTATGGGATGGTTGGCAATGTTGGAAATCTGCCAAAGCAAATACATATTCCTCCTTGGAATGTCCAATTTACGCAATTACAGGAGGTCAAAAAATTTGTAATCGTAAGTTTTGATTTTAATTTAATCTTTCAATATACCCGAATGTTCCTAGTTTTTGGTTTAGCGTTAGTTCATATGCTAATTCTAGTAATAGTTGCTTCGCAAAAAACTATGTCTTCGATATTTTTTTTAGTGTATAGTCAACGAGAATGTGATTCAAATGGTGAATGGAACCACACAACTGATACATCTGGCTGTGCACTTGCCTCGATTTACAGAAGACGTCACAATTTTCACATAATAGTACTTTCTATATCGATCGTTTTAATAATGCCGGCGATAATTATATTTCTGGCTTTTTCAAAATTACGAGTTGCTAAAGATTGGGAAACTTTTAATTTACCTTTGTATCGCAACCTGTTGATTTGTATCGTCGTAAAAAATATTCTCACGATTATATCGAAAGATGCCGTCATCTTGGACTCGTTAGTTACCAATTCTACGGAAACCTCGCAGACGATTTTAGAAGGTAACGGGGTTTGGTGTCGAATATTAGCTTTCTTTGAAAATCTATCGAAAAATTTAGTTTTTACTTGTATGGTTGTTATCGCGTATTTTTTACATAAATCGATAGCGAGATTTTTTACGAATGGTTCTAATTTGAAGATGTATTGGCTGTATTTAGGGGTTTTAGGTAAGAAAGTAAATTTAAAAAAGTTATATTTAAGTAAGTATTTTTACTGTTTTAAAGGTGTTTCCTTAATCCCTTCATTATGCTGGGCAATAGTTTCCTCAATTTTTAATAATCAAACTTGTTGGATGGTCGATGAAAACGGTTATCAATGGATTACTGATGGATTTAAATATTTTATATTAGCGATTAATTTATTGCTTCTTTTGGATATTATTCGCGTACTTTTAACTGGAAGAGTTCAAACAGATCGACAAACTTTAAAGTAAGTACTTAAAAATAATTTTCTTCAGATAGGTAAAATAAAAATTATTTTTTAGATCAGCCGCTAAAGCAATATTATTTTTAATCCCCCTTTTCGGAGTTCCTTTAATTTTAACGAGTCAACGAAGTTTATTTGACAATGAGTCTTGTTCGAATGGTTATTTTTATTTAACTTATTCAATAGAAGCAATTCAAGGTGTTATAATAGCTATCTTATTTTGTTATTTAAGTAAAAAGGTAAGCACATTTAAACTTTATCTTACCGTGCATTTAATTTTAAAAATTGCTTTTAGGTTCATAATGAAATTAAAAAAAGCTATCGAAATTTTGCAATAAATATCGAACAAAGATACAACATTCGCCTTTGGAGGCCCGCTCAAGAACCAAGAAAAACAGCAACAACAAACGTAAGATTTTCGACGTCTGTGAATAATAATAACATTCCTAGACCATCAAATTGTTGGGAAACGTTTACTTAACTTTGTTTTAAGTTAATTATTATTTCTATTTTTATAATTATTTCATTGCAATCTCAGAAAATAAAAATTAAGTGTAATTAAATTTCGTAATTATTCCAGGCGAAACCGGCAGCTTTAGTACCGTTAAATTCTAGAAGATAGGATATAAACAATTTTTTTTTGTTATAGTTGAATCCATGATAAATTTAGTTGTAATTTAGTAATAAACTTTATTTGCTTTCGTGAAAATGGTTATCTGTTATTAGTCATTGATTACATTAATCTGATAAAATTGTTTTAAATTGAATTGTAATTTGATCAATTATTACAACATATACCCTTAAAATTGGTTTAAAACAAAATACAGCGGTATTCTCTTAATTTGATATGTATCTATATGATTAACGAAGCTGGAGTGATATCCCTAATGATATTAAATACCATTATCTTGATACCATACCGGTTGTTTATATGCTAAAGCATTGAAAATGTGTTATGAGCCGAGGTTGCTTGCAGCCGAGGCTCTAGATTTGTAAAAAGAACAGTTTAATGAACTCTATATTATCCCTAATGATATTAAATATCATTATCTTGCGATCGTATTTATTGCTTATATGCTAAAGCATTGGTATTTTGTGATATACTTGATGATATAAGAAGCAATTTTAAATCTAAATGATTATATTACATATAATTAATCAATACAAATGTTTAAAAAAATATATATTAATTTTGTTTTTGATCAATTATATTTTTTTTAATTTTTGATTATTTAATCGCGACAAAATCATTTTAATTTTTTTTAATTTCAAATCATAAATTGTTACCTCTTTATCTAAAAAGAACCTTCAATAGAACAAAACATAAAGATTTTCAAAATATAAAGACCTCTTAAAACAACAAGGCAAACCAGTTTAATTTTATTTTACAATAAGATCTCAATTGATTCTTCGTTTTAAAATTCGAAATAACTTCAACTAAACACGTCATGAATTAAAGATACAACCTTAACACTAGTCAACAACAACAATTTCATTTAAAATGCATCTCTGAACCCATCAACAATAATTAAAAATATTTTCTTGGGAGTTACAACAGTTCTTAACAAACCTGTTTAAATTGTTTCCAAGTGTTTTATAAAGTAGTTTAGTGAGTTGTTTATGTAAAAAGTAACGAATCCTTGAATTATCAACAAGGAGCTCTAAAAATCGGTTTTCAGTGAATTACTAGGTTTTAAGAAGGTGTGAAGAAAATTGGAAAAACATCAAGGTAAACAGGGTAATTTATCCATTCCAATGTTTTATCAAATATAATACAAATTAAACAATTAAAGTCTGTATAAAAAAGTATAAAACATTCATGCTTTAATTGAGTTAATTTATTTATGTTTTAGAACTTGACATTAAAAAGCAATACATCCATAATAATAATGAGGAGTTCAATTTTAAAATTCTCCTTAATTGGATTTATTTTTAAAGAGACATTTTGCCAAAACCCAACATTTTTAGATACAATCCTTTTAGAACCTTTTCATCAATTACGGCGTTCGGTAATGAACTTGGAAATAAGAGACGAAAATAAACATGTAAGTAAAAAAAATGTTTAAAATTATTTTTTTATTAATTTTTTGATTCATTTAGAGATATCAAAGACAAATTTTAGAACCATTTCCGTGTTCACTTAAAAATGCTCGTAGTAAACACATTCCGAAAAGTGTTCATAAATTAAGACCGGGTGATATCGACATAATTGGAGCATTAGGAGATAGTATAACGGCAGGTTTTGGGATAACGGCAACAAATTTATTAAATTTAGTTGCTGAAAATCGTGGAATGGTTTACTCGATTGGTGGTCAAGAAAATTGGAGAAAAATTTTAACCTTACCTAATATTTTAAAATTATACAACCCGAATTTATTCGGGTATTCTTTGGGGCCCTCGTTGAGTATTGATCGGGCTTCTCAATTTAATCCAGCTGAGAATGGTGCAGTTTCCGATAATTTACCTTATATGGCTAAAGTATTAATCAAGAGAATTAAAAAGGATCCAAGAACTGACTTACAAAATCATTGGAAGGTTAGAAAATTTTTTTTAGGTTAGAAATTTTAATGAAAATAATTAGTATAAACCAAAATAAGTTGAAATCTAAAAGGGTGAAGATAATTTAAGTAAAGAAGGGATTTTTTTACCTTAGTATCGTTGAAATTCATTAAAATTAATTATTTTAATTAATAATTAAAAAGCAATGTTTGACAACAAAACATGTCAAAACAGGGTGTCGATAAAGTAGGGAATTTAATGATTTATTGAATTATTATTGAAGTAATTAGATAAATTATTTATTATTAAAATTATGGATTAATTTATAATTTATTTTTACTTTTAATTGAATTAAGAAGCAAGGAATAAATGTGATGGTTGATGTTAAAAATAATTTAAAAAATTTGCTTGTTGGGTTGCCTAATTTCAACATAATTATCAACATTACTTTTTTTAGTTTATTTCAATAATGATTGGAGCAAACGATTTCTGTTCATCGATTTGTTTTTATAAAAACCCAGAAAATGCGGTTCAAAAACATCAGGAGGATTTATTAATAAGTTTAAGACTTCTTCGAGATAATTTACCAAAAACTTTTGTTAGCGTAATTACACCACCAGGTAAAACATGATTAAAAATTATTTTAATTTCATTAACGATTTAATTTTAAGACGTCTCACAATTAGCTAATTTCACAAATTCACCGTCTCAATGCGAATTAACCCAACGAATCTTTTGTCCGTGCTTCGTTGGTGTGCGATTTAAAAATAGAAAGGATGAGTTCCAAAAATTGATTAAAAAATTTCAAAAAATTGGGGAAAAATTAGCGGGATACGATGAATTTAATCGTGATGATTTCACGGTTGTTGTTCAACCTTTATTTGAAGAGTCTAAGATACCAATTGGATCTGATGGGTTTACTGATAGAGATTATTTTTCGGTTGACTGTTTTCATTTTAGCCAAATAACTCATTCTGAAGGTAAAAATTTTAATTAATTTTTGATTAATAAGATTTAAATTCATTTTTTTAGCTGCGAAAGCTTTGTGGAATAATATTTTAGAACCGATTAATAAAAAAAATCCTAATTTTCTTGCGAGGAGTTTAAGATGTCCAACAGAAGAGCACCCATTTTTAGCAACATCAAGAAATAGTTGATAAAAAAATAAATTATTTTGCGTATATCTTGTTTTCTTTATTTCTAATTTCGTTTAAGTGAAAGTCCATCCTTTTTATCGATTCCATTCGTGTCATCATTTAAATGGTAAGTAAAGACTTCGAAATTTGGCGTCCATACCGATTTAAATGAAGTCGTCAGTTAGTGAACGATCGTTGAATTAAAACACAATGCTCGCTTTCGTTTTTATAGTACTCGTGAATTTTCATCTTTGTTCATCACATTTATCGATAGAGTTATTTCAATCCGCCCTTACAAGTGCGAAAAAAGTAAGTAAAAATCGTTTAATTCAGTACTCTAAACATAATCAAAATAATTTCAGCTACAAATAACCAATTATTGATCGTAATGATAACATATTAACCACAAATTCCTAATAAACATCCATTTTTAACACAAACACCTTTTTTAATTACCCAACTCAAGTAATTAGACGATTTCAATTAAAATTAATTGAGGCTAATTTAAAGTTTTTTAGAATCAATTTAAGTTATAAAAAATATCAAAATAAAAGTTACTCTTTTTATAAACAACTTTTTAAAAACTATTTTTAATTTTAACTACATGGGTCGTTTTTGACGTCACAAGCGGTCGAAGACCTCACCCCAATTTAAGATTAAAAATTTTTGTTGTAATCTCATTTATTCTTTTTGTCTTCTTTAATCTTAAAGGAAGTTGGTGGAAATTTTGTCATTAAATACCCCAACGGAGCAAGTTTATCAAAAATACAAGAAACGTATCCAAATTCCATGCCTTTTCCATGCGAAAACATTACAAAAAATCATTTCGGAAGATCACCAATTAAACCAGTTAGTGTTCATCGATTAAAACCGGGTGATATCGATGTTATTGGAGCGATGGGTGATTCTTTAATCGCAGGAAATGGGGCAATGGAAGATTACGCTTTAGGAACGATGATTGAGAATAGAGGAATTTCTTGGTGTGCTGGTAAATTCCGTTAATTAGAAAAAATAAAAATTCTTATATTTTTATTTATTTTTAAGGTGGTCAAAGCAATTGGAGGCAATTTCTAACACTCCCAAACATTTTGAAAGAATTTAACCCAAATTTAACTGGTTATTCCACGGGAACTGGAGAGTTTTTATCGGCGAACGCTCAAATGAACGTTGCTTACCCCGTTTCAGCAGATGAAGACGCTTTGAGACAAGCAAGGATTTTAGTTAAGAAAATTAAAAATGATCCAAAAATTGATTTTCAAAACGATTGGAAAATGATAACGGTATTTTTTGGGGCGAACGATCTTTGTTCCGCTCAATGTTACGATAAGGAAAAAGCATCTCCATTAAATCATGGATTAAAATTAATGAAAGCTTTAGATTATTTACAAGAAAATTTACCCAGGACGTTTGTTAATTTAATTCCAGTTCTTGGTAAATAATTAAAAATTAAGTCAAAAAGATTGTTTTAGTTATTATTTAGCGTTAGATTATTCTTTTTTAATTTAAATTACAATAATTAATTCTCATTGAAGTTATGGCACAGAGTTATGGCGAGCCCATATCAGTTTTGTTGAGGTTATGTTAATTCTTTTTACATTCAAAACAACCGATTTGAAGTAATTGCTTTAATGATCTCAGTAATGCCAACCTAATTTTAAGCTATACAAAATAACATTATTGAAGGTAATTTCTTTAAATTGTTTTTCTAGATGTTTCAGCAAGTGTAAGAATAAAAAGATCAATGATTTGCAAAATAATGCACCGTTTATTTTGCGCTTGTTTCCACCAAAACGGTAACGAAATGGAATTGATAACAAAAATGGTTAGAGATTACCAAGAAGCCGAAAAGATTTTGATTGATTCTGGGAGATATGACACAAAAGATGATTTTACAGTTGTTATCCAACCTTTCATGAAATTTTTTAACACCCCAGCGAATTTTAATGAAGCCCGAGACGAAGTAATCGATAATTCTTATATTACACACGATTGTTTTCATTTTTCGCAAAAAGGCCACGCTTTAGGTGAGGTTCATACCAAATGTTGTTTGGATTATCTTCTATTTATTTATTTTACTATTAAAGGTGCAAATTTATTATGGAATAACTTATTGGAACCCGTCGGAAGAAAAAGTGTACGAAAAATGGTTTTAATGGAGGAATTTAAGTGCCCTTCGATTGAAGCCCCTTTTTTATTTACTAAAATTAACTCTCAAAACTTTTTAGTTGCAGGTATACAATAAAATATGTACATACATATGTAATGTATTAAAATCGTAAATAATAAATCGTGTTATAAAACCTGTTTTCATTTTATTTTGGTGTGATAAATACGTAATTCACGTTTAGAGAATTGATTGGTAATTATTATTGATTATTAACAGTTATTAGTTTTTTATAAACATTGACGTAAATCGGCGATAATCCATTCAGTGACAAATTGGTTTGACAATGACAGATTTACAACATAACCTCAAATATAATTGTTTAATTTTATATACATAATTAAATTTTTTTTAATTTATGCATTCAGCACTAATTTTATTACCTCTTCTTCAACACGTGCATTATATCAGGTAAAAAAATAAAGTCATCATTAACTTTCAAAAACTCAAAAACCTGTCGAAGAATCCGTTGACGTAGTTGAAAGAAAAAAATCATCATATTATGAAATTCGATTTAAAAAATTGATAAAAATAAATTAAATTAATAAATTTCCGGTTTTCTGACTCACAAAGAACACCAAACCGGTTCCTTTAATCTTAATTTAAAGTCGTAATCTTTATAACAACTTTTTTTGTGAAATTACGTTTTGTTTACGTCTTAAAAGCGGAATATCCGTTCATTAACGAAAATTTACGAAAATATGTTGCGTTGCGTTTTCATAACTGGTTTTGTACATTTATTTTTCTAAATTTAGAAAAGTAATTTGGAAGTTGTTTGATAATCTTCGTGGTTCTGGCGCTTTTGCGATGATCGTAAACACAAAGCACGATTTGTTAGTTTTTCTTGAAAATTAACTTGAAATTTTCTAACGGCTCATTAATTTTTAAATTATTTGTGTATTTTACAGAAAATAAACAATGTTATTAGATTCTAAAATACTTAAAAGTGACGTTTATAAATGTCAAAAAAAATTGTTACCAACTTAAATCATAACAAAAAAATTTAATTTATAAATAATTTTTATCGTCGAAAAATGTAAAAGGAAGGAATAATTTATTGCTGCATCAGAGAAAAAAATATGAACAAAAAATTTTCCTTTAAAAACAAATCCTTGTAAATATTTTTTCCTAAACTAATAGTTTATAATTGATATTGTTTAAATCGAGGTAATGGAAAAAAGGTAAAGTCTTTTACGTCAAACGGTATTTACACGAAACCAAAACATTACACAGATCAATTTTAATGATCGTTTACAAGGAAATATCAACAAGATGAGGAACGAGTAATGCTAAAAAAACATTCGGGTATCAATTATTAATCACTTTTAAAATATCATAAAGTTTTTCTAACATTTTTTATTTTTTGAACATTTGACCCAATTTCACTCGTATGGGTATTATTAATTCAAGTTAATAATGACATTTTACGTTAACCTCAAAAAAGTAATTTGACGTTTTAATCGTTTACTCGGAAATTTGGAAATACTTGGAAATTTCAACAAAAAGAATGTAATGCTAAAAAACATTCGCGTATCAACATTGTAGCATACATTATTAATTACAGTTTTTATTATTATAAATTTTTTTATAACGAATTTTTTTTATTTTTTGACGTCACTCGAATGTGTATTATTAATTCAAGTCAATAATGACATTTTACGTTAACCTCAAAACAAGTAATTTGACGTTTTCACTTAACCTAAAAAAATTGGCGTCCTATTTAATATTGACTTAAAATTACAATAAATAAACTAAGTATAATTTATTTAGTTTTCTTTTTTGCAAAAAAAAAGAAAAAAAACCTATAAACACTTCTAAAATGTAAATAATTAATTTCGCTTCGGAGAAGAAGAAATTCGGGTTCCACATGCTTTTTTCTCTATTAACTTTTATGTTTGACGTCACAAAGTCTCCTCTTCCTCCTCCACGTATCCGCGGATGACATTGGCCTTCAATCGACGTCGTTTAACGTTTTGTTGGTCTAAAATGCGGATTCCCCGCGGCTCAAAAACGCGGTATAAAAGCAACTCGTTCCGAACCAACTTCTTCATAACCGATTCGTAAATTAAACGAAAAAGAGTGCGCTAACAAATTTTTTTTGTGTGAATAACAAATTTAAAGAAGAACATGTATACCAATCCATTTAATAGAAAACATTCGACGATTCGTCAAGTTATCGACAAATTTTTGCATCGTGAATTAACCAAAAATAATAACAACAAGAAAAATGTAAATAGTGCGAAAAATTGTTCGAATACGAACAATTTTGGGGGAAAATCGAAAATAAACCAAGTGAAATTAGTTTATGCTGGAAGATGAAAACAAGAAAACGATGAAAAATTTATCATTATGAAGAAATAAGTTTTTATTCGATCCAAATCGACAATCATCAAGGTGTTAAATCGAAATTAAATCGAAAACGACAAACCAAAAACGAAAAGAAGAAAACGAGTGCCATTTATTTATTTTAATTTATTTACATTAATTTATTATATGTAATTATAAAAAATTAAAAAATCTTTAAATTAAGTATATACGAACGCGATGAGTTTATCTTTAAAAGCAGATAACCAAAAATTCAAACCGGAACTTAAAGGAAATTCGACGTAAATGATCGTGTATGGACTCGTTTAAAACGATTTTTAAATAAAAATCGAGTTTATAGCTTTAATTGATAAAAATAAATAAAAAGTTTTAAAAAGATTTGCTGATTTTTAATAAAGTCCTCGAAATCGTATCGATTCTTGTTGTCCTTTTGTTAAGGTCAATGTCCAAAACTAATATCTTGTTGATTCTAGAGAAATTTTTGTTAATTTCCTGTTTCTCTTTTTTGGAAAATCGTGATTATTTAATTAAAATTCAGGTCATAATATTAATTTATTTTATTATTGCATTTTTAGAAAATTAAAAACCTTCACAACCAATTTATTGATTGACGTTGATTGAAATCTCGTAATTTTCGTATCAATTAGCGTCACTATACGACTCGCGTTGATTCTTTATGCGACTTTAAAGTTTAATCCCATCAAATATTACTATTAATAAAGCAAAAATTTGAATTAAGAAATTTGTTTATTAAAATTACCTCAACTTATATTAAGATTTTCTTAAAAAAAAAAGTTTGATAGATAAGAGGGAAGGAGAGTTTATCCCTGACCCTACTTATCATTAAGGTCGAGAATAATTTTAAATAACGTACATACAAAAAAGCTTTACAAAAAACCATGTGGGTTATCTAAAAGTTAATGAACGACGCGAATAGATTTTAAAATTAGGACTGATAATTTTCATTGATTAAATATTGTTTGCTATTAAATCAACTTGTTTAAAGATAAAAACACAAAAAAAATCATATTTAAAAAATTAAAATATTAATTTTTAATTAGGCAACCAACATCACGTAAGTGTTATTTTGGTTCTATAACCACGAAGCACATAAATTATTTATGTACAATAATTACAAATTTATTTGAGAGAATCAAAAATCGATTATCATCGAATTAAATAATTCAAAAAGAATTAAGTAACACGTTTTAATACAAAAATTACTCTAATAAATAAATAATTTTCTAAAAATTACACCTCCAAAACCACTACTTTACAATTTCTTTTATTCGAAATCGTTTTAGAACATGAAATATGTAAGAAATATTATCGATATAAAAGAATTTCATTTGAAATTGAAAATTCAGTTTAAATTTGCGTTCCAAATTAAACATTACGATGTATCCAGAGAAATTCATCAAAATTCAAAGTAAAATAGCTCAATTCAAATAATAATTGAATAAAACGATGATAATTTTAGCGGAGAAAATGCCGGGATCGCGAAGATTCGCAAAGATTCATGGCGGATATGGAATACAACGCAAATTGTGGATATTTTTCTTCATTCTCAAAGTCGTCTTATCTTATTGTCAAGGAAAATACGCCATCGATAATTTACACAATTTCAGTTTATTTTCGGCGGCTGCAGCAACCTTTTTCATACCACTTTTAGTAAGAAAGAAAATTACTCAAAATTATTATTTATATACAACAATAAGTTAAGCTTTCAAGATTAACCTTTCAATACACGCGTAAAAAAGATGACCAAACCCGAAACTTTCTAGTTCTAGAGTTAGTTATAGTTATAAAGTAGCACTAGATAGCGCGAGGTAGTAGTATATTTTTATTGGCCTAAAGGTACGATGTATGTTAGTGTTAGTTCAAGTTTCTATTGGCAATTGTGTACTGGAAGGTTAACGTTTACGTTATTAATGATGTGTATTAACTTCTTTTGAGTTAACAGTTTATAGTTGATTATTAATTAACTTTTCTATTTTAAGGGTATGAGTAAACTAATTTCTCGTTTAATTTACAACAACAAAATTAATAAAATGTTCGATACTATTGACAACGATTTCTGGGATACATCCATCATAGATAAAGCCGTAGACGATAGAATATCAAGACAAAGTTCAATTATAAGCAAAATGTTTTCAAATCACATGTATATTTCGTTTGTGCTTACTACGTTATTGGGCTTTTTTCCTTTGGCTGTATTTCCCGATGGAAGGAAACAATTACCTGCGGTGCTTTGGTTACCATTTGATATTGACTGGTTTCCTATGTATGAGTTAACTTTTCTTGCACTGCTAATCGGGCAAATTTTGATCATATTATCGCACGCAAATTACGATCACATTTTCGTTTATTTCTCGCAAAACGTTTCCGTACAATATTGTATATTAAAAGAATGTCTTAAATGTATTACTCAAGTTCCATCGATTAGTGATGGCGAGAAAAATAATTCGAAAGAATATCAAGTTATTATAAATGCAAGATTGAAACATTGTATTACTCATCATATTAAAATAACTAAGTAAGTTTCTAAAAGTAGGTATTCATTTAACTTTTAAAATGTCAAACTTTCTATTTACGTTGTAACCTTCTTAAAAATATACAATTTTATTTGTTTTTTAGCTTTTTTATGGATATCCAAGACATTTTTTCATTCGGCTTAGGAATTCAAGTTATTTTAAGTATACTTACTTTAGTTTTTATCGGATACGTATTAGAAACTGTAAGTATAACCTAAAATATAACTAAATCATATTTGAAAATTTAAATAAAATAAATAAAAATCTATTGCAGGAAGATAACGACATACCAAAAACAATAAAACTGTGCCTTTACATTTCGGTCCTCTCAATTCAAGCTGCTATATATGGAGTATACGGAAGCGTATTGGAACATAATGTAGTGTTTAATTTTAAGCACATTTTCGATGTTACATTTTAATCATTATTTTAGTACGAAACCGTTGCTGAAGCAATTTACGATAGCGAATGGTACTTTGGTGATAAAAGTTTTCAACAAGGGATGCAATTTATTCTTAGAATGGCACAAAAACCGGCTAAACTAACCGCTATGGGGTTAACGGACATTAACAATACAAGTATTATTATGGTAAGCTCTTTTGAGTTCTCTTATAATTGATAGTTTTAAATTGTTTCTTTGTAGATTTATAAAACAATTTTTTCAATTTTAACCTTAATAAAGCAATTAGTTAATACTGACAATTAACCTTTTAATACATGCGGGAAATTTAAATTGTTAATTTCGCACTAGCAGCATATTTCGTTAGCTAGCTGATTCACAGTTAATATGTGTACCGAGAATTTCCCACATAAAATAGAACATAGCCTAATAGTACAGGCATTGAGTAGTTCTGCAAAGGAAAATTTTTGCTTGGAAAAGCTAACGTCCTTATGATAACTCTGAGTTTCCGTCTTAAGAGACGCACGGCTAAAATCGAAACTTTCTAGTTCTAGGTCTAGTGTTAGTCTAGTTTTGTTATTCAGCGCTAGATTATTGTATATTTTTATTGAAATTCACTGTATAGACAACATTAAAGGTTATTGTGTAAAATTGGTTGCCTATTTGATGTTTCTTTAATTAATTAAGTCTTAAATAAATATAGATAATAACTATTAAGTTGATTTATAAGTATTATCGAAGCAATAAAGTAATAAATATTGTTTTTAATCCAATTTTAAACAAATTTTAACGTTTCAAACCACTAAATCCAACAAGAACTTAACGTTACCCAAAACTCATTCAGCGTAATTCCTTTTCCTGTTTAAGAACCGCTTTAACTTTTAATTCTTTTAGCTTTAACAAATACCAATAATAATTTTAAGATAAAAACAAATCTTGTTGTTTCTTTGAAATTTTAACAATATAATTGCTATTTTAGCCCTGAAATTGTCGATGACGTTCTCTTTTAATGTTAGAGAACCAAATAATCGTTCTCCCGCCGTCTCAAACGTGCTGGTTTCGATTGGACGATGCCGGGTCACGTGGAAATCCCTCCGGTTCTCTACTCCGGGTTTCAGTTAATTTTTTTTTCTCTTTCACCGTAAGTTAGTTACCGAGACTCAAGACCAAACAGATAGGTGCTAGCTGGCGTTTTAAATACCGCAAGATTTCAAATCGCGAGATCCCATCATTAAAAAAAATCTTATCAAAAAAAAATTAATCAAAATCAGCGATAAGATTACGAAATAATTGAATCAGTTTGAAGTTTTCAGTGTGTTTTCCGTGTTTGTGATTCTTCTTAAAATAATCGTTCCCTTCTAGTGGTGATTTAAAAATGTGTTGAAAGAACGTGTGTTGAGGAAGAAATATCTGTGTTACCTTCTTTCTTCTTCTTCTTGTTACTTCTTTGGATGGCGTCGTCTTCGAAAAACCGTTCTTTGACCGAGTGAATGACTCTTAGGTTGTTGGTGTTGTTGTGTGTGTGTTGTTGGTGATGAGATGGAAGATTTAGCGTTGAGCGAATGGCCAGGACAACCTGTGGATTTAAACGGAAGTAATCCGTGGTTGCCCGCTTATGGATTTCAACAACCCATGACACTTTTAGACAAAGAAGATTTCTTAGGACATCCAGGTTTGTTAAAAAATCTATATAAAATTCGAAGGTTTTTGTGGTTGGTGTTATTGTTTGCGCGCAAAAATTATTATTGTCTGCGAGTTTATTCAAGGACATGCGATTAATAATGCAAATTTTAATTTAATTATTATCGAACGACATACCTGTATTAAATTCATTAAAAATCTTTTTAAACGCGATTTATTTTCTTTAAAAATCCCCAAAAACCGATTTCGGATATAACGAACTAACGTTATATCAGTAATCGCATCTTGTTTACTTTTTTTATGATAAATCGTGTTTTATATCAAATTTTAATTAAAAAAATTATTAAATTAACAAAATAAAGCTTAATTTTAAGCTCGATTTTTATTATTTCATAAATGTTGAACCTCCGGTTTCGAAACTGTTCATTTTTCGAATTCTCAACGATTGTCTGGCGTCGTCGAGTGAAGGTGTGTGCGGTTACCAACATTCTGTACCGGTTACACACCCAGAAACTCTCGTATTAAACGACATCAACTGCATTTCAACTAACGCAGTAGATAACGTCATATGAAAATCAATCCAGATTAACGGGATTTACCACGGTTAGAATTTATAAAATTAATAAGAATGACATGCGATAACATATATAATAGATAATAAAATAATAAAAGCTTCATATCAAAAAAAGAAATATTTTTCATATTAAAATTGGTTCTATTAAAAGGAACAAAAACTATACCAACAGGAATTTAAGAGTTGTTTTAGTGTTGAAGAGGTGGAGGAATTCAAGGACTCCCTCTCTTTTATTAGATATATGTCCAGACTGCAGACATTCCTGGAAATAACCACCTCGTTTATTTTTTAATTTTTTTAACTTTTATTTCTTTTTTGCTTACGTTCGAGTTAAATACTAAAAATATATTATCCGGCGTTTCTCGTTGTTCACGTGCAGCTGTTGCACGTGTACTCCGCACTATTCAGCGACACTCATTCATCTTATGATCTTTTCAAGTTCTCATTTCCAGTCTAAATATTGACTAAGCAATTATCACTAATATTTTCATTCAAATTTATGACCAATTTAAACACAATTTTTTTCATTCTAATTCTTATTGAGAACTGAATAAGTCTTTAAAAATTGATAGAAATAAAAGGAAGTATTTTGAAGCATGTAATCGAATCGTTTCTTGAACGAATTCCCGATGAGGATAGAAAGTTGTTGCCGATGAGAAGGTAATTTGAGGTGTATAAAGTAATTTGAATCGCAATTACAGCGAATTTCACATTTTACCATTTCACAATCACTTATTCAAAAAATTATAAATCAAACGTCAAAAGTCGAAGAATTTGAGGTTATGTTTTAAGTATAAGTAAAATTAAAATTTTTCCACTTACCTTTTTTCTTTGATAAATTCACGTCCCTAAAAAAGATTTAAAAGGTATTTATATTTCAAGTAGACGTTTTTAATGAAATACTTACGATTAAAAATTGGGATTTAACGAAATTAAAACTGACAGCACAATCATAACAAACCGAACCATAATGAAGTTAGGTTATTACATTATAAAACATTAAAATTTATTTAATTTGTTTTTAAATATAAAAATAATTTTTGAAGCATTATTTTTTAAATAAATGAATCAAATTTGCGCAGTTTTGCAAATTAATTCATGTTATTTAACCAAAAATTGAATCATTTAATTCATTGAAATTAAAATCGATAGATGGCGGCATATTTTTATGGTAATTAATAATTAATTAGTACTCTTAAAATCTTAATTTATTTATAAATATACAAATAACTATCTAAAATAGTTATTTTAAGCATCACTAAATCAATTTCGCTGAACTTGATAAATTATTTCCGTTCCGTTTTCTTAGAACGAACGAAGAATACCAAATTAAACAAGAACTAATGCGAAAAAACAGCGGAGGGAAAAAGAAAATGCAGAAACAGCATTGTATGTTAATTTAACTAACGTTTCTCTATTTCGTACTTTTATTACACAATTCCTTTTCTTTTTCCTCTTTAATAATATTTCTCTAAGAACAAAAAACCGGTTTTAAAGCTCATTCAACTCTATAACACGTTTCCAAACGATTCCAAATTAACTTGAAACGAGAGTTTCAAAAGAGCAATTTCAAAACCTCTTTAAGACATCTATTCAAAGACTCCTTTTCTTTATCGTTAAATGCTTTACCATATGGTTTATAAGGTTTGTTAGCATCGATAAGAGTAAGAAACGCAGTTATTTGCGAAATCAATTTCTATTTTCATTAATGAAATTCTTCTTGGTTCGGAAACCTTTTAATTTTTTAAATAAACGAAGAATATTCTCGATTCTAACGTTTTAAATGTCACCAAGAAAGGTCAAATGGTGTTCGCTTTTTACTTCTTCCCGTGACTCAGTGGCGTACGCTAATAGATTTGAAACAAAAAGAGTAAAAGAAAACAGTTTTGGCATCAATGAGGTCGCTGAAAACCGTGAATAATAAACGAATTGTTTTTTCATTTTGAATTTTGAGTGGGTTTAAATCTACCGTTAGTCGTTCTACATAAAAAAATACAAAATACTGATTGTTCTTATGGTTGGTAATGAAATAATAAAGAAATAATGAAGAAAAGATGAAAGAGGAGAGTGAACTCAGGTTCAAGCAAGGTCAGAGTAAGAATTTAAATGATCACCACCAAGAGGAAGGTAGAAAGACGACCACAAACAGAGAAAGAGACAAGATTGCCACGGTAAACCGGAGTAGAAGAATCCGGAGGACAGAATCCTTCATTGTTCTTTCTTTCTTACTATCTAACTAAATAATAATTGTTGTAGATCGTGAGCGACCTTCCATTAAATCGGTTGTGTAACGAATATCACGCACCGGCTTCCGATTTCGTCACTAAGACCACTTACAATCAAGGTTTTTGCAATTTTTCAATCAACCTTTTAAAAATCCATGTCAATTTTGAAATAATTAAACATAATTATTAATAAAGATTAAAAATACCGCCATCTATCGTATTTAGTTGCAATTCCAATCCAAAAATTATATTATTATTTTTTCGATGATACTGACTTTAGTTATCCTTGTACCGGTGGTCCATTTTATTTGATTAACTTTATTTAATTATACATAATGCATAAAAAAGTCTAATAACTTCATAACCTCAAAGTGTGTTTTAACGTTTGACGTTTCTCTTAACCTAAAAAAGTGACATTTTCAAATCTATTAAAACCTTTAATTTTGTATAAAAAATCATCAAAAAAGTTTTGTGTTATTTCCATACTTTTCGAAAAGAAGAAATCGACTCCTTTCTCTGCTCAACATTTCGAGACGTCCTTTCACACATCATCTATCGTTGACGCTCTATTTACTGTTTAAAGTGCGTTTTCCTGTTGATTAAATTAACGTAGTTTTTCGAATTCCGGTTAGAAAAGACGTGTAAAATGTGTTTACTACGTTAAAAATTCGATTTTTTTATGAATGAACGAAAAATAACACGTAAAACGTGATAACAGGATTTTATAATCGGCTGAGTAAACGAATTTGAGTGTTTATTTGCACTGAGTAAACTAAAAATGAAAATAAAAACATAAAAAGTGGTAATTTTTGTAGTTAATTGAAAGAAAAATTAATAAATCGAAGGACAAAGAATTTTAATTTAACGATAACATTTTTTTAAACAATTATTCACGGTTACGCTACGTTTAAAATACTAATTGCTACGGGGTTTATGGTTTGTTGGTTACATTTCACGTCCAACACATCTATGTACATGCACGTATTTTAGTTCTTTGGTTTTGGTGCACGTAATTCCGAAAGTGAAACCAAACCAATTTTTTCCAGTTCTAATTAAAAAGAATTTAACGGTGGGGGAAACATGTTATGTAAACTAAATTAAGGTTAAAATTTATTTCAGATGCAGACTTATTCTTACAAGGAAACGCGAGTCAACATTATGCTTATCTCGAAACGATTCAAGAAGAAACTTCAGATGACTTACGATCGGATAGCGATCTTTCAGAATCCAGAGATTCCCCGGTTGGTTGGCTCGCAACCGATTCCGAATCTGGATCCGTAATCAGAATCCATACTTTAGGTAAGATTCAAGTTTCATTGAACCCGAGAAACCATAAAAAAGCTTCCTTCCTGGTAATAAATACTTTTACTGGGCGTTATATAATAATTTTTAAAATGATTTAAATATAGTAATATTTAGTGGTAGAAAAGAAATTTTAATTTAAATACGTTGTAACAATGGGTATGCTTTTCCTATTTTTCTTTAGAGAATTCTTTTTAAATACGTTTTCCTCATTCTTTGTTGACCGATTGTAATTTACACGCACAATAGTAGAAAAGAAAACTTTCTCTTAATCCTCTTAATCAATTTATTCTAAAAATTTAAAGAAAAGAAAAAAAAAAATCGGTTGTTATGCAACCTAAAATACAGATGCGTATATTAAGTTGCCTATATTAAATCATTTAAAATGTTAATAAATAGTAATTCTTAATTAATTAAAATGGTTTATTACAACATTATTAATTAACTAACATAGATAGCGACATTCTAAACTAAGTTATGTAGTTTCAGGGCATCATTTCTGCTCTCGTTATCTTAGAAAATAGAAATACAGCCGTAACGCGGTTGTAATAGTTTCCTGTCCTTTCGAATTTATTAATGATCAACGACGGCAAAAACCGATTATATCGTTGTTGGCAAACGGGATACTGTTTACTGCTTCAATGTGGAAGAAGCATTATTCAATTTAAGTTTAAATTGGACGGTGTCACTTTTAGATGGATATCAAAAGTTATTTATGTAGAAAAATAAGTATTAAGATCATCTTTTTTTCTTAAATCATCCATACCAACTTAATTTTTATTTTTATAATAAATGTTCCAAGAAAAATAAATAAAAAATCCTTTTGTTATATCTATTTTAGTCTCATTGTGAAACCCCTGCTCTAAATTCTGAATAGTTAAAGTACCTGAGATACCTGTTGACATTTCCGGAACAAAATACTCCTTTAGAAACCGTCCAGTACACAGAAAGTTTCATCTTTTTAACAAGAAAAAAGTGTTCTATTTATTTTTATTTCAAAACACTTTTACATCGTTATTCTTTATTGTTTTAGGTCAAATTGAATCCAGTTCGGAGCGAGAATTAGCATGTCCATCAAAACGGCGTCGTCAAGATTTATCATCAACATTAAGCGATGATGATTCAATACATGAATCATTAAGTAGATCGAGCAGTTTAATACAATTCGAGAGTTTAGAAAAACAATGTCAAGATATCTCAAGTAGTTCACCCAGTATTTTTAATAATTTTTTTGAATCCGAACGACAAATAAGAAAATCAAATCCAGAGCTAACAAAAAATGAGCATAATCAAGAACAACCAGAATCTGATTATTTTAAGACTATCTTAAAGATCGATGGAAATAAAAATAAAGCAAGTAGAGATTCGTTATTTTATAATGGAAGCGTTGAAGATTCGAATTCAGGCAGTGACTCAACAGAAAGTGAAGAAACTTTTTCGAAAAGCATGAAAACATGGAGAAGCTTCGATGGTTTAAAAAATAAAATATCGTTTGAGAATTTAAGTGAAGATAGTGGTTATAGTGATCATATTTTCCAAAATAATAACAAAAATAAATCCAATAGTAATCCGAACATTAATAAAAACATTAAAAAATTTAAAGCTTACGATTTTGAAATGTTTCAAAACCGCTTTTCCGGTAACTTCGGAGTTAGCTATCAAGATTTAACAATTTTAGATAAATATGAAAAGGTTAACAAACATTCCATAAGAGTCGGAGACCATTTTAAAACTCAACCTGCGGCGGCGGCTTTAAATTTAGAACAGGAATTTATTCGTCCACAATCTAAATATACAAGCGAACCAAACCTTTTCACACTCAGTATACCCACAAGTTCCTCAGCATTAACTTCAAGTGTACCTAAAGATTTAAATTTAACAGAAAAACAATTTTGGGAAAACCAACAATCGATTGCAACAAAGAATTTCGATTTAATCAATCTTAACATCAAAAAAACGATGGAAACGAAAAAGAAATTTAAGAAAAAAGATAAAAATAATGACTTACATTATAAAAGGGAAGGTTCTTATTTAGAAGCGATGAAAAATACGATTGATTTTAGTGATAACGAAGAGAATCAACAACAAAATTATAAGTACATCAAAGAATTTGATAAAAAAATTTTAAAAGCTATATCAGAACAAAGTTTTAACGAGATAATATTAATTTCATCACTAACAAACGAAAATAACCAAAAAAGAAACGTTAAAAGCACTCCCAACCTCACCGTCGATTTCAAAAATGATTACGATGATGAAAAATTAAAAAGGAATTCATTCGGTGGTGAACAACCGAGAAAAAGTTCTTTAGCTAATAAAAGCACAACAAGTACAAGCTCTGATAACGATGAATCAAAAAACTTAAGCTTTACAAGATCATTCAGTGGTTCGACATCATCAAAAGGTGTCCATTTTTGTCCGATTGTATCCGAAGTTAATTGGAGGGACGATAGTTTATCAACGGAAAGAGAAGATTCGAGTAGTTTATCTTCAAACGTAACGTTTAAAGATGATAAAATTAATCGTGATGATGATGTGACTCCGATTAATGAAATTGTCGATGATAACGAAATAAAATTAATTAAGCCGGAACCTATTCGACCAAATTTTAATCGCTTTTATTCAAGTTCGAGTCAACCGGAATTATTATCGGATATGGTTCAAGTTGGAAATGCTGAAACAATTAATTTAAGAGATAAGGAATATACTTTTGTCCCCTTAAGACCTAGGCACTCGATTAGTCAACCAAACGTATCAAGAAGAAATAGCAAGGTGAGTTTAAAATTATAAAAAAATTATAATAAATAAACTATTTGGTAATTAGATAACTGTTTGATGCTGCCATCTATCGGTTATAATTGCGACCTTTTTTTGTATTAATTTTTGATCGATTTTGCATTAATTTATTAGATAAAACGAATAAATTTTAATGATTTATGAATAAAATAAGAATTTTAAATAAAACTTTGTATATTTAAGAAGAAATTAAAATAATAAAACTGATTGTGCAAACTTCAGTTCGGTTTTGGTTTATTATGTCATTGTCAATTTGATTGAAAGAATTTTAATTTTAAAGTTTTAATCGTAAATATTTCGTTTAATAAGTAATAATTGTTGCCTTTAGGTAAATTAGAAGAATCAAAACTAATTTTTATAGTTTATCAGTTTATATTTTAGTTTATAATTTCATTTTTTTAACATTTTAAAGAATTGTCATGCTGGTGCGGAAATTGAAAGAACATATACGGACGGTGATGGTGTTCAATATAAACATACCGTACTCTCAACTCACTCAACCCACTCAACATCACCGAGTGTTTACAACAATAACACCGCCGCTCCCACCACTAAAAGTACCACCAGTCACGTGGCGATTTCAAACGGCAAAGAAGTGGAAGAACCAACAGCGACCAGTGCAATGGAACCCATCGTCGCGCATAGAAGTTCAAAGAAAGCCACCAAATTGGGCGGTTTCTTCTCGCGTCTCGCAAGTTTTCGTTTTTCATCACGAAATAAAAATGAAAAACAACACAAAAAAAAAATTCCAATCAAAACGAACCCAGAAGAAAGCGAAAATCAAAATTTATTTGCAACAAAACCAGATTACATTTATATCCCATTAAAAGATCCTATTGAGAATGATCAAAAACCTGAAGAAATTGTAGTTGATGAGAAGAAATTGATATCAAAACCGCCGCTTCCGAAATGTGGACCAAGGGTTGTAGGAGCATGCGTTAAAAGAAGGCCGGATATGGTGGTGGGTGCGCCTGCGACGATGTTGACAGGGGGGCGGCACACCGAAAGGGACGAGGGTATTGATTCTTCGGGTGGTGGACCTATGGAGCAGCCCATGGGGTTGATCGAGACGGACCTTGACACGGAGGTGACGGTTATCACCAGTGGGGCTCATGTGAAAACGCGAAGTCTAATGAATTTGGGGGCCGAGGCTCCATCTTCCGGTCTCAAAGCCCCACAACACACAGGAAGACCACATAAATCCATGGAATTTTTACTGGATAAACAGAATCTTAAGGTTGTTGAGGTAAGTTAATTTCTTTTTCTCAATTAATTATTTTTTTAACATTTTTGGGTTGATATTAAAAGTAATTTTTTGAAAAATTTTGATTATTCAAAATCTAACCTCACTTTTCGTACAAATTAAATTATTTTGATGTTAAAACATTCTTATCGCAAAACGAAAAAAATTCTTATCAAAAAACCAATTTAAACGATAAAATGCAAACATGCATAATTTATCATTCACTGGATGTTTATCTTTGATTATTTAAATACTCCCAGAAGCAATACCGGCACGTTATAAGTCGTAACGAAACCAAATGTGGAATAAATTGTGCAACTTCCGGGACACGTGTCGTTTTTAAAAACAAACGGGACTTAAAGCTCCGTAAAGCTTCCAAATGGGGGTGTTAAAAACCGTTTTTATAATATACATTTTGATCTCAAATTTCGTTTTTTTTATAAATAATTTTAGCTCGAATTTTCTGAACGTGGAATTTTCGGAAAATAAATAAACACCAACCGCTCTCTAAACTTATTTATAAACCCGTGCCCTATATTTAAAACTGTTTTAAGGCCGGTTTTAAAAACAAAATTGACCTTTTCTCCTCAGTCGGGGAATGAAAATCCCCGACCTCTATTTAATGTGATTTAACTTAACGGGATTTTCAAAAAAAACGTGAAAGAATTTCTTTCGAACAAAACAAATTTTCAAAGCCTCTTTTACAAACGAATCGAACGGAAATAAAACAATGATTTTGCCGTTTTGATATATTTTAACTTCGAAAGTTTCCAATTGAAATTGGTTCATTGGTTCTGCAACTCAATGGTTTTGTACGATTAGATTCGGTTCTTTTTTGATTATTTACTGTTGCAAGTTTCGAAAAAACCGTCAATTTTTAATTAAAAAGTTATACAATCATAATAATGGGAATTAATAATATTTGATTCAAAATATGTTTGTGTGTTTCGCAAAATGCAGAGAACGCAAAGTTATTCGGGACTCCATACCTTATCAAAGCCACAATTAAAAAGAATGTGTCGATCTGGAAACACTCACAACGACAACTAGATGGTGCTAATTTGTACTGTTGCCATACCTATTGTCCTGGAAGTCGTAGACCCTCGGATTTTTGCTCTTTTTACCACCGACATGTGGCCAAGCCATCTAAGCCTGGCCTTCCTTACTTCAGTTGTGCGGATCTGTCTCAAATCATCATCCCGAATGGGGCCATAAATTCGTCTGACACATAATCACTGGACACAAGAATGTTCTATAAATGAATTTCTATGGAGTTTCTATGTTCTGTTTCCACCTTTGATTCTATGCTGCCAATTCGTATTGTACCTAGGAAACTTTTCTTTCAAGGTCACTTTCTAGATACTTCTTAATTGGTTAGATGGGTGTGGCTTACTATTTTTTTCACACAAAGTTTAATAATCAAATTTTCAATTATTATATTACTTGCATTAAATTGTTTCCTTCTTTTGAGATAACTAACTTAGCAATTTTGAGCTTTGAAACTTGAAACGATCTTGTATTTTTTGTGCTTCTCCTCGTAGAGAAAAGAACAACGTCAACAACAACCGGCTGCAAATAGCCGAGAGCTCTTTCATTCTTTGACCTATTTACGAACCGCCCGTAACCCGCAAAAACGACCTCCAAGGATTCTAACCGTTTTAAATCCGCACCTTCAATGCTAATAAGAGATAATAAATTAAACAACAATAAATTAAACACATTTTATTTAGAATTTTAAATAAAAAGAAAAAACTTTCTATTTTGATTCTAAAATTATCTACTTCCTAGATACAGTTAAAATAGAAAAAAAGAATAGGTATGCTCTCAAGGAATTATTACGTCAGAGAGTGTTTTAGTTGCCAAGGGAAAACACTAAGAATAATTTTAGATAACCCGACCATTTTCCCGAGGTCAATTACACCGTGAAAGCAAGGTTCTGTTTATCTGCCAAGATTTAATTTGGCGAAAAAATACAAAATCAACGCCCATTCTCATTTTCAAATACATCTGGCTGATCATATGACTCATCGCTTCCAATTATAAAAATTAAATAATAAATAAAAAATAAAGAGTCCCTTTTGAGTGGTTTATTCATTGAGGAGGGTCTCTTCAAGTGAGAGACTCTTCGCGCGAAGAAAACGAGCGTACGAATAATGGATTGAGTGTGTATATCTCGATGTCAGTGACCCTCGTCTCTTTATGGTGTCGTTATGGTTCAATAAAGAGTTAAACGAAAAATTATGATTTTTTTTTATTAAAACCATTCGGTTTTATTTTTTTTACTACAAACGTGGCAATTTTAGCGCGAATTTGAGATATTAATCATTTTTTCGCATTAATCATGAATTATAACGATATTTTGGTTTAATATTTTTTTTGATTAATTAAAAGGTCGATGAGAAACGTTTTAAAACCGCACGCCGCATTAATTATAAACACTTTCGCGACTGTCTCGGGTTTCTGAATAGTAAATTGATTTGGGTTAATGTTGCGGAAGGGATTGTAAATTGCAAACAGATGGATTTTCTAATTTTGTTTGAAAGCGCAATACTATAAAAGTAGATAATTCTATAAAAAAAAGTTTACAGATAATTTAGGTTATGTTAATGATATCAAAACACAATTGAAATTATCAACAAAGTGAACATAGTACATTTTTAATTATTTTTACATAACCTCAGTTTTTGACATTTCAATTTTGATTCGAATAATCAGCATTGACATTCCACTGAGGACGATCCAGTATGATCGGTTTAATTTAGACCAAGACCATTGTGTACGTACGTAGAATAACAAATGCCACAAGGCACCCGAGAGGCCAACTTCCGGCTGCCAGAGTTACACCATCTGCGGTTACGTTTACAGGGCCCTCAGCTTGATTATTATTACTGTCGTAATCGTTTATTCGTTTACCATACGAGGCGTTGATAAGTTTAAATCCATTTTTTTCCTGCCTTGTAATCAATAAATCAACTTTATAAATTTTTGAGATAATTTTTGCGGCAAAATTCTAAGAAATTTCTTAACACCTTATGAATATTTAACACCTCCTCTCGACTCTGGGCGTAATTCTTTAACATAATAGGCGTAAAGTTTTAAGAATTTTAAGTCTCTTGACGCTTTTTACTGTAAAACTAGGTCGAATGACGTGTCAACTAATTAGGTGGTGTCAAATTTGATAGAACTTAATTTAACTGAAATTAGCAACGAAATGAAATAAGAAATAATTATTAAATAAAATTTAATTTTAAAGTAAAATAATAATCAAATTTTTATTTTTATAGTATTTTATTTAGAAAAAAGCTTCCGAATTCTTCTAACTCCAGATTCCCGAATTAAATAATTATAAAGTAAAGGTAAGAGTTGTTGAATTGAGTGTTTAGCTTTTTAATTAAAATCAAAATTTATTTATTAATTATTATTGTTTTGGTTGCTGTGTTTTGATCAATTTTTTAAAACAAATTATTAATTAAATCAATACTTTATAAAATGTTTATAGAAATCTACTTTACCGGCTTATATTATAAGTCTGTGAAAATGACGTTATTTTTGAGTCATTCGTATGCAAATGAAGTTTTACTTATACAGTTTTCATTTTGAACTTAATGTTTAAAGAATTTTAATCGCTGCTTACACGACCGTTTTGCCCTCGATAAGGTTAACACGTTTCTTCAACGCGTAGTGAATATGAAAATACAAATTGATTTAGAAATATATTTAAAATTTAATTTATCAAATTAGATTTTACGATGTGTTTGTGGGGCCTTTAACGGTACCTTAACAACAAGAAATGTTATCTTTCGTGATCGTTTCTTGAAATGGTCACGTTCACTAACAAAAATCGAAAGAGAAATGTGACTCCCGAGTCTCCAAACAAATTGAATCGACGATCCCTACAACCATATACGACCAAAGCTTATTACATATCGGTATTTTAACACGTCACGCTATAATCACTAGGTTTAATCTTATAAATTGTTTGAAAATATTTACTTAATAAAAATTAGTTTTTTTTAATGTTAATTTATTGCATAAAACTTCATTTGTTTCAGTTTTAAACATAATTAACAGTTTTATCATGATGATTTTGGTGAAGTTGCTGAATCTTGTCCAATTTTGACATACTTCAATATTTCTTTCCCTGCTTGTAAATAATTTTCGTTTTGTATCAAACGAACCATTTTATAATCAGGGGTTACGTTCGTTCGGTCCTCACCGAATAATTCGCCAATATAGTTCAGATAACTTCTGAAGAAATTCACCATGATGATTTTGAAATTTTTAATTTTACTACAAATTTCTTTTCACTCATACATCACTATGGTTCAAACTAAATAAACAACTCCATCTAGATTTTAATTAATAAATAAATATAACTCCATCTGTTGATATACATATAATCACTGAATGATTCTAGTTCAATAAAAATATATAATAACCTGGTAGTATCCAGCACTGTCATTAGAACTAGCACCAGACCTAGAACTAGAAACATTCGGGTTTAGCCGTGCGTCTTCAGACTAGGGTGCGACATGACAAGAAATCTTGTCTTGAAGTAAACTTTTTGTCTTGTCTTATAGAAAACGTCAAGAAATAGTGTGAAGACGCACGGTTAAATCCGAAACTTTCTAATTCTAGATTTTGGTGTTATTTCTAGTTGTTATTGGTCTCCAGGTTGTTGTATATTTTTATTAATTAACGCTATCCAACAAAAGATGGCGTTAGTGACTAACTAAAAATTTATATTTTGCGCGTAAATTAAAAGGTTAACGATTATTGGAGTTAATTAAAACTCCTACATTAATTTCATGTAATTGGTTAATGAACAATCTTTTTTAGTCTAAAAGTGTTATTTGTCGAGAAAAGTGATGTCTTTTCGATTTGAATTGCCGGGTTTTTTACCTGAAGATTTTTATAAAAGTGAATGGGTCAAATTACAAGATATTTTTAAGGTTAGTTTGAATACAATTAACCATGACCTTATAAGAAACAAAAACAACAATAACACATGCGAAACAATCCACGCAATATCCTTTGTAACATAATAGAATTGCAGGAGAACTTTTTTTGTCGTCGTATTTTATTTTGCATTTCAAAATGCGACGTCTCTTATGACTCTTAGTTTTACATAACCATGTTTAATGATGTAAGAAGACAAAAATATACTTGATTCAATAATCTTTTTTTAAAGATATTTATTTGCTTTTATGCTTAGTTTACAATTTTTAATATAAATAATGTGGGTAGTTAACTTATCTTATAAAATTACGTGGGTTCGATAATGATTTACCGCAATTAAGACTACGTGGGATTAAATTTCCATGCAAGAAATTCCATCTCGCGTGGGGCCTCGTTCTTCAACTAAGAATTCATAATCAGTGCTTTATTTCACTTCAAATTTTTAATTATTTTTAGTCATGTACTTTGACATTTGACACATTATCTCGTACCAACCGAGAAAGATTAAAAAACCCTAATTTTACGAAAAAAATTATTTAAAAAAATTAAATTTTTATTGTAAAATCAAAATGTAAAAGATGAAATCGATTTTTTAGAAATCCATTTTTAAGAAACGAACTCAATTTCCTGTTTTTCCGTTTTAAATTTAGGCTTTTCGGGTTGTTTGCCAAATCGTTGCACTCGTTACAACTTCCAGTCATTACAGTTGACGTTTGACGTGAAGGTTTTTTAGGTTAATTATAATTTTCCATCAAATCGTAAAAAAATTAAACCCAAATGATTAATTTTAATTTTGATAATTTAAAAGAAATTGTCCGTCTTTTGGAGTCGATTCAAAATAATTTAAACGACGCCTTTTCGAAAAATAACGATCATTTCAATCGGATAAAAATAATTTTGAATCAAAATTTGGTAATTGATTGATAGATGGCGGTAATTTTTTAAATTTTATTAATTTTTTTCAGCCTCCTGAAAATGAACTTCAAAAAGGTGAGCGTGTGATGTCCGAACATCAACTTCGAGTACAACGTTCGTTACAAAAATTAACTGTACCTGATTGGTATAAACAAGCGGAGGTTCCTCGTGAAGGTTTTCTCCTGAAAAAATCGCCTTGTAGAGAAACAAGATGGACGGGAACTAACAGCAAAACAACTTCGTTAAGCAGTTTAGGTTCAAACACACAATCCCCAGTCATTTTGAGCCCAACACCACAAAATCAACCATTCGTACGATGGTCAACATCCAAATTAAATTCAACGGCTTCTTCACCATGCGCTTCCACGAGAAGCAGTTTTAACGCTAGGGGGCATCAACCAAACGGTTCAATCAGCCCGAGTTCGAGTTTAAGAAATAGTTTTAGTTACAGACAACCATATTTAGGTTGGAGATCACAAGAGCGTTTAAATAGACCAAGAACGCCAGCCGAAAGATTAGCTAGTTCAATTTTAAATCACTCTCAAGGTCACAATTTAAATTTAAATTTGAGTAATGAAGGGGAAAGTCCCGAAATACAAACTTCAATTAAAGAGGTTACCTCGGCTATCGTTCACTACGTAAGCGGCTTAAAACCGGACGAAGAAAAAGAAATCAATGAAATTGGTAACGATCAACATCAAAGGAGTCGTTCCGTTAGTCCGAGGGGTAGTCAAAAATTATGTTGGTTGGAAAGTTCGTTCGTTGGAACGAGACCGTTGGATTCACCTCGAACGCCAATCACATTATCCGAAAGTCAATCTTCAACTCCAATCCCACCTTCTTCGTTAAGATTGGAATTACATACGCATAATGGTGAGTCTGTACACGCTTAATTTAAAAGATTTTGAGATTAAAAAAAAAATTGGTTATTGGAATTAAAGGTAATAACTTGCAATAAGTAAAAAATAAAAAAAAGTTAGGTTAGAAATTTTTTTGACAGTCACAAAAACCACAGCAGCTGATTGAGAGTGACACATATTGTGACGTATGTAGTTCTTTTAGATTCTTGACTTTGACAAGTAAAAAATGTTTGATTGGTTGCCTAACTTTAAGTTATTATCCAATAACTAATAATTTTTTTGTTGTAAATATATTTTTAAAAATTGTATATCATTTAGTTTGTAAAAAAATGTATTTTTTCTTTTACCTATCACCTTACTATTTACAAAATTAAGTAAATTGTGAAGGTTATGATAACTTTTACTTAAATTTACTTTTTTTGATAAAAAAAGGAAAATTGGATTTAAAGCTTTAATTAAAATTAAATCAATACTATAAATTAAAAGAAAATGTTTTGTTTAGAAGAAGACGAAGATTTATTGAACCTTGCCTTATTAAATCGAGTACCTAATTAATAATGAGCGATGAGAACGTGAAATTTATTATTTGAATTTTTTATTATTATCTATTATTATTAATTAATTATTAATATGTTTTTTTGTGTAAATATTTGTTACAAAACTTATATTTAATCTTTTTATTATATTATACAACTTGTATTATTATTAATTAATTAATTAAAACGAAAAAAAAATAATAATAATAAAATAACGGTTTTTGTAAGGTTTTTCTGATTTAAGTTGTGTTTATATTGAAAATATTAGAGCGTGATTCTTATTTATTTAACAATTTTAATTTTTTCTACATCTTATTTTTGCGGTGCTTTTTTATAACTTTTTATACTTATCAAGGTGCTTATTACTCTCTTTGAATACCAAAAAAGATTTTTTATCAACTTATTTATTTGTCCCCCTCCATTTTATATTATTATTATTTTATTGTTTATTTTATTAATTATAACTTCGAATTAGTATTTAAGTTATGCATGTACAGTTTTACAATAAATTGTTTTATTTTTGTCATTATTTACGTTGTTTTATTTCATTTTACATTTTCAAACCATCAATTTATTTTTTTAAACAAAAAAATGTTTAATCAGATTTCTCAGCCCTTCTTAATCAAGAAACGACGGTTCGGCCATCTCCGGGTTCAACAACGCTCGAAGACGTCTTAGATTCGCTTTTAGGCCTTCCATCGTCTACGAGAGCTCCAAGTCCCAGTCTCCAAGGTAGGAGACATGTGTAAGTTTCGTTTAAAAAAATTTAGAAAGAACAGAAACGATTATTAATAAATCTTACTTTATAAATAGTTTTAGAAATTATTTCTGACCGTTTCCAAGATGAATAATGACCGTGACTGCGGAAACGCTTTACGACTTAAACTTAAGCTTAACTTGAAATCTAAAACCGTCACAAAGCGAATTTTACTATTTTTGGAGATAAATTTAAACTGCTTAGACACATTTCCGCATATTTCTCCACAACAAATCTTGAGTAGATAAAGTTGAAAACTATTTTTAATTTTTTTTAAAACTATTAGGTTCGAATAAATGTTTGATAGATGTTTTGAGTAAGGTTAGGATTGTTTCATCAATGATTTAATTAATTATTTTTTTTAGTAACGGCGTCAGCTAATACCAGCCCAACACGTGAAGAAGGCGAAAGTCGCTTATCAGATCATTTTAGAAGATGCAGCGAAGGAAACGAACCGGTTTCAAGACCATCATCAGCATCGCGCCGAGTAAGTTTCGATTCATCACCGGTTCTCCGCTGCAGATATTCGCGATGCGGAAAAATGGCCATGGCATCAACAGCCGAAGGCCAAGCTTTCAAGAATTGTCACAATTGTACCTACACGTATTGTTCACGTTCTTGTCGGAGAGCGCATTGGGAAAAGCACCGAAAAACATGTTTATTTTCACGAGTTGGATCTCTTTGTCGCCAAGCGATTGCTGCCGCCAAAGAAAAACCGGAAACTTTACGGCATTTATCAATTATTGCACGACGTGGATTTTTATCGCAAGGCTCAGGAGCTGTAAAGTGTTTTTTTCCAACCCCTGAGGTGGTTGAAAAGTTTTTAAAAGACGGCGGCTTAGAAAATTTAGGTGAATTAACTTACATCTCTTGGAAAGATCTTTTACCATCAGAAATGGGAACACAACTTTACACCGAATTAGTAAGAATGTGTAAAAATTATAATCCCGATTCGAAATTAGTTCTTTACGTCTCCGTTTGCGTGATATCCGAAGCACCCGCAGCTGGAGCTGTAAAATGGGAACGACAATTAGTCTCAAGATGCGCAAAAATGCGATTAAGCAAGGAAATTCAGGTTAATATTCCGGAAAAAGACTCCGAAACCCTCCCGGAAACTTTAATTTTAACATCGCAACCCATGATTAACAAAAATATTTCAACTTCGCAAAGAAATCGAGAGATTAGCTTCGGAAACATTCAAAAACATTTGAGGCAACGAGGTGTTTCGTTAAGAAAACATTATCCAGAAGTATTTCAACAATTACAAACGTACGTTGATGGCCAATTGGAAAAATTTAAAGCGGTTACAGTTTATCCAAAAGATTTAATCACTGGGAAAACTTTTATGTGCATTATTATGCCGGAATCGGACCCAGAAAATGTTGAAAAATTAGTTAAAGCAGGAGTCAGAGTTCGTACAGTGGACATTCTTGAAGACTGATAACTAAGATAACTAAAATAACTAAAAAAAACTAAAAAATAAAAAAAATAGAGATAATTATTTAAATATTAAATTAAATGAATATAAAAGACGTTCTTTAAAAAAAGGAATTGTCCCCTTCCTGTGATCTATTACTTAGCTTGTTGTTGAATATCCGCTAAAAAAATATTGCTCATTTTAATTAAAATTAATACACGATTATTAAAAAAGCATTTTTAATAATCTTTTAAAACTTAGGTTAAGATTTTTGATGATTTTTGACAGAATCATTTAGGCAAGCCAATATACATAACATAATTGTTGATAAAATATTTTTTAATAATCGTGAATTTTTGCAGTTGACTCAAAATAAGATAAACACATAAAATAAAATGAGAAAACGGTAATATTGGGGTAAAAAAAATTTTTTAACACCAATTCTTTGTGCGTTTTCGTCTCTTGTGTGGTTGTAAAATTTCTATATTGTAAAAAAAATTAGTTTGATTGATAAAAAGAAATTTAAAGGAATGATGCAATAAAAACTTCAATAAAAAGCAATTATTAATCGTTTGTTTATTAATTTAATTTATTGAAATTGAAAAAAAAACAAAGTAGGAAACCCAATAAGCATATTTTAATAATAAAAATTTTAAATTTTACATAATCCAACAACTTTAGAATTAATAAAAATTTCACTTTCTTTATTATAATCTTCTCGTTTCAAATAAATTCCGAATGATATTTTTCCGTCAAATTCTTTTGACAACGTTCTTAAAACATTGACGTTTTTTTCCCCAGTTTTTTGATTAATACAAATCATTTGGCATCTCCTACAATTTCCTACATTACTAAAAATAAATTTACCTATAAAAATCTTTTCAATATGATTTTCTACAAAAGGTTCTTTAAAATCTACGACAAAATTTGGCCGAAACCTTTCGATTAAATCCTCAACTGTATCATTAAAATGATCTTTTTCGATCCTCTCCAGCAACCATTCAACACTTTTACGATTAATTAAAAGAAATTGAGCTTCATTCACTAACGATAATTGGCCATTTTTTAATTCTTTTCCCCTTTTTAGATTTGAATTGTTTTGAAATTGCAGCAATTTTAATTCTTCAATTCCTAAAGTGTCGGATAAGAAATTTGAAATTTCTTTTCCACAATCGAAAAGTTGGATTGAATCCCCGCAAACTTTGCTTTCACATTTATCGAATTTATTTAAATTTTGATGATTTTTTAAGGAGATACCTTCCGATGAATCATTTTCGTAAGAAATTCGTAAAGTTTTCTCGGTTAAATTCAAAATTGGTTGTATTTTACACAAATTTGTGTTGTTTTTTTGTGTTAAAGAAACTCCTCGATGATCGGCAATCATAAATTCGCGATCGTATTTTAATCCGTGTTGAATTAACGGCCATGATTTGGAAACGGAGTGGGATCTGCATGATTTTATCGGATATAAATAAATTGATTCTAAAACTCCTTCGTAACTTGAGTTAACATTTTTTTCGCTTGAAATGTGTTTATTAAGTAAATTTTTGTGTGTTTTGTCGATGAAACTTTGAATCATCGTTATAAATTTATCCACATCTTTTTTTGTTGACATATACCCGAAAGAAATACGAATTGATCCAGTTGGGGTTCCATCAATTAAATCTTTTTGGTCCCCACACACATGACCTTGCTAAAAAATCTAATTAAAACTCAATTTTAAAAAATTAAAAATACTTAACCTCAAAATGATAGAAAACGTCACTTTTGGTTAATTTCAAATTTTTTTGGCAAGCTCCTGGATTGCAAAAGCACCCAGTTCTTAATTGAACTCCAAATAAATTCGAAACATAATTAACTTCCGCGAATCCGATAACATCCCCATCACACTTTAATAAATTAAAATTAATTATTCCACCTTGATTTACAACATCATCGAAGCAACATCTATCATCATGATAAAAAGTGACTAAATTGTTCCCATTCGGATGCTTTAAACCCCTCAATTTTAAAAATGCGTATTTTCCCAACATAAACGTGTGTTTAGATATTAAATCCATGTTTAAATTTAATTTTTCCAACTGTTTAAAGCCCGATTTTAATGATAAAATCGATAAAAACGGTAAAGTTCCATCTTCGAATTTACTGTGAACGATGTTTCTTCGAAAAACAACATTTTCAGTGCTCATCGTCATTAAAACGGTTCCACCCCCATAAAATTTTCGTCGACCTAAGACGTTTTCGCTACCATTTTTCACCAAAAGTGCTCCTAATCCAGTTGGGTACCCAAATATTTTATAAAAAGACACCGATACAAAATCAGGTTCATATAAAGATAAATCTAAAAAACTTGTTGATACAAACGCGGCTGCATCAAGCATGCAAAACCAATTTGCTCGGTTATTTCGTTCGTTTAAAACCCCGTTTTGAATGTTTTTAATCCAAGTTAAAGGATATTTTTTTCCATTAAAATTACTTTGCGCTGGATAAACAAATAAAGAATTATTTTGCGTCATCAAATTTTCCTCTGTGAATCGGGACGATTTATTTAGTAAAAAATCAGCTTCATCACATAAAATAACCTTGGTTTTTTCAGCAAAATCCCTCATCCCCAATACAGAAGTATGATTATCTTCTAAGTAAACGAAAGATCCTTCATTATAATCGAACGATTCTCCAATTATTTTTAAAGATTCCGTTGCTCCGGAAGTAAAAATTATTGAGTATTTATCTGGGGTTGTATTAAAATGCTTTAAACATTTTAATCGAATGATATCAATAGCATCATTAGTTGATTTACTCGTTGAATTCACTGAATGCGGATTACCATACAAATTTTCTTTTAAATCCTTTAAAATCTCCCCAATTTGAGTTTCTCCATACAATGTGGCTCCCGCATGATCCAAATAACACACTCCTAATTAACATTTTAATTCAATATCATCAAAATTGATTACACAATCAAACCTTCGCATCGTTTAAACTCCAAATCTATTAACTTTTCTTGTTCATCACTATAAACTCGATTAAACTCCTCAAATACATTCATTTCAGATTAAAATCAACGCATTACTGTTATTTATTACTTTCTAAAGTAAAACGCATTCCTTAGCAGTGGGGATAAAGGCGATAACATTTACGTTACGAAATTTTATTATTTTAATTAATTTCTTCAAAAATAAAAACATAACCTTAAAAAATGCAATTTGGGATGCCTAATTTAAATCTAACCTCAACAAATAAATTTAAATGAATTTTTGGATAACTCATTACTGTTATTTATTACTTTCTAAAGTAAAACGAATTCTTTAGCAGTGAAAGAATTTTATGATATTAATGATTTTGTAAAAAAATAAAAACACAACCTTAAAAAATGTAATTTGGGTTGCCTAATTTAAATCTAACCTTAACAAACAAATTTAAAATTAGTCAATTTCTTTTTAAACGTCAATTTATACCAGTTTATACTTTAAAAGCATGGATGAAGAAACTAATGAAATCAGCCAAAACATAGAAGATGACCAACAAGATGATATAAAAAAATATGGTACCCCCTCGAAAAAAACCGATCCAAATCTTTTTACGATTCGAAATGATAAAGCTACAAAAAGAATAATTGCACCGTATGTAAACATTGTAAGACGGGGTAAAAGGGCGGCTTTAAGTGAGAAAGATCGGGAACTCGAATTTTTCTTCGAGGGTAAACCAAGTATTATCGGTCGAAATATAAATGAATTTTTGGATGATACCGTTGACTTACCCACCGTTTTATTGGAGTCCGTCGCCACATTAAAATCGATTACTAAATCGGCTGGATCGCGATTGTATATGGTCAATGAAGATCTTCAAGAGTATTATTGTTGTCCGAGAAATAATCCAAATCCCGAACGAAAAATCGGTTGGGCCGTCCAAGAAGGAAGCACAGTTGCGGGTTACGTCGCAGCTCGAAAAGAATACGTTATGATTGGAGATGTTTTAACCGACGCAAGATTTCCAGAAGGGGTTCCTTTTACTGGTTAATATTTTTTTGTTAAAGTGAGGTTATGTTGACATATTGATGTTAATTTGGTTGCCTATATATTCTTCAAATTATTAAAAATTATTTATGATTATTATAACTTTTTAGATCCAACTGTAAAAGCAGTTCTTGCAGTTCCCGTGGTAACACCAACAAACGAATGTTTAGCCGTAATTGAGTTGTATCGAGACGTTCTTCAACCAAATTATGATCGAAATGATTTAAAAATTGCTGTTGTTATTGCTGGATGGATAGGAACATCGATACATTTAAACAAAGAACGAATGACTATGCAAAGAAATCAGAAATTGAATGAGTGCTTAATGAATTTAACGAAATGTTATTTTGCCGGCACTATTACATTGGGAAGGATGATTAATGAAGTGGCGGTAAACATCTCATTTAATTTAACTTTAGTATTTTTCGTATTTCATGTTTATTTTCTTTCAGAGCTTTGCCAAGCAAGTGATCGATGCAGAAAAAGCAACATTTTACATTTTAAATCGGGAAGATATGACAGCTGATATTTACGACGAAGCCCTAACAGGAAATTCTATGTTAAGGCGACAATTAAAAGCAAATTTTAATAAAGAACAAAGCATCGCCAGTAACGTGGCTAAAACAGGCCACACTATAAACATTCAAAACTCGTTTAAAGATTATAGATCCCGTAGAGATTTAAATTCAAAAACAGCGTTTATCGAACGATCAGTTTTAGCAATGCCAATAATGGGCGTTGAAGGTGTTTTGGGAGTTGTTGAAGCTGTTAATAAAATTGGGGAGGAATGTTTTACGAGAACCGATGAGGAAGTTTTTAGAACGTTTACTTTATACTGTGCTTTAGCGCTGTATTATTCAAAAATAGTTGATGCTAGACAAAGAGCGGTAATTAAAAAATTCTTTTTTGAATTAAAATATAAAAATATGTTTTAGGATACTTTTTCCGATGTGATCATGTCTTTATTAAAACGTCATCTAGAACCTTGCGAACACGATATTAATGATATGAAAGAAAACCTGGAGTTTGATGAGCCCCTTTCAAACGTTAATGAGTTATTTTATTCATTTTTTGTGAAATTTTGGATTAATTTATTTTTGTTTAAAGTTTTGGTTGGTATATAACTCCGGAGAGAGTTAATGAGCTTCCACAAATCGTTTATTACATGATGACTCATGTTGGAGAACCAGAGTTTTTTGACAGCGAAGAACTAATGAAATTTATCTTATCAGTTAGAATTTTTTATAGAAAAAATCCTTATCACAATTTCGAGCATGCTTTTTCTGTATGTCATTGTATGTATAACATTTTAAAACGAAACATTGAGTTGTACACAGTAAACGAGGTTTTAAATAAGATTTTTGGTGGATTAGGCAACCAAATAAACACCAAATCATTTTTAGAGGAATTCTTTGCTACTCGCCGCTTTATGTCATGATATCGATCACGGTGGAATAACAAATAGCTTTTTACATTTGAACAATGACCCCTTATCCCGATTATATGCGGATGCACCATGGGAAAATCATCATTTTTGTGTGACTATGTTACTTCTTGGGGTAATCGGAATAACAATAATAATTAAATAAATATTAATCAGATTATTTTAGGAAATTCACATTTATCAAAATATATCTAAATCCGACCACAAATCAATTCAACAAATAATCAGTAACGCTATCTTAGCAACTGATTTATCAGTTTATTTCAGAACTAGAGCTAAAATAGCTCCAATTGTAGAAGATGATACCTTCGATTGGAACAATCCACAACATAGAACTATGTTAATTGATATTTCAATGACAACTTGCGATTTATCCGGAAATTGTAAACCGTTCCCGGTTGCGAAAAAAATCGCTGATAACCTTTATGAAGAGTTTTACAAGCAAGGTGATATCGAACGTAGCATGGGATACACACCATTATCAACCATGGATAGATTAAAACAATACAACATACCTGAAGATCAAGTCGAATTCTTAAGTGTTTTGGTCATTCCAGCTTGTGATCTTTTAAGGAAATGTTTTCCAAACACTTCACCACTTTATGATGAAGCTTGGTAATAAAAATTTAATGATACGGGTCTGTACTAGGGACTGTCACTAGAATTAACATCAGACCTAGAAACATTCGAGTTTAGCTGTGAGTCTCTTTAGATGGCTAAACCCGAATGTTTCTAGTTCTAATGTTAGTTCAATAAAAATAGACAACAACCTGGAGCTGAATAACGAGTAAAACTAGAACTAACACTACACCTAAAACTAGTTGTAGGGTTAGTTCTAATTTTAATTGTTATTCAACATTTGATTGTTGTATATTTTTATTGTAGCTGTTAACCCATTCCTGTAATGTAGCAATCCTCTTAGATTCCTAATTCTTATATTTTCTCTTTTTTTTAAGTAATTTAAGAGATGATTGGTGGGAAGTAATAAGAATAAGAAACGAACGTTGTTGGAACGTAGAGGAAGTTCTAGGAACTGATATTTTAATGGCTCAACCAAGGATATAAATTTAAAAAAATGCCTGCTAATGAGAAAAATATGTTTAATACATCTAGAAATATAATAATTAATTATTATGAGAGAAATTAATAATCAAATTTCAAATAAAACGATTAAAACTTCAATTATATATGGAAAGCTACCGAAATAATTATTTTAAAATTACAAATTGAATAGTTTATGAGCAAAAACCGGGACGTAATAAGTTTTTATGATTATGATTAATTACTAAAGATGTAATGGGGCTCCTTAGCAAGTTATTACTATATTTTTATATTATTATTCTTATTGTTCGCTTGTAGCAACAATCTTAAATTTACGAGTTTTTTATCAAACAGTGTTTTCAGTTCATTTTAAAATTTACATATGTATAATATATTAATATTTTTACTTACATCATTTTTTTTTTACATTTTAACCCTTCACCACACCTCAATGTAACTTTTTATTACATCAAAGTGCGATGAAACATTAAGAAATATAAGAAACAAACTTTTAATCACAATTATTTTCTTTTCCTATTTTATTTTTGTAATATACTAATTTATAACAAAAAAAATAGATAAAATAAAGAGCTTCTTTGAGATGAATAAGGTTGATTAAAAAAAATTAGGATATATTTTACTTAAAAAGTGGCAACAGGATGGATACAATCGCAACACCACCGATATTATTTCATTTTGTTCTTTTTATGTATTACGTATTTTACCAGGAATGTAATTTTTGTCGATTGTGGGTTCTTGTAGAAACATATGCAAGCAACGTTCGTTTTGTGCCAGAGGATGTCCAGCGATTCTATATAAATAATAACACCACTCAATAAAACCCCTTACTCGTTTAATAAACTTACTTATTAATAAAAATTTCTAAGCCTTTCCTTCTTTCCTCAATAAAATCTTCTTCGTAAATTCCATCATCCCCTCGGAAAGGTAATTGCCTTTTCCAAGCTTTCCCTGGTAATGCCGGAACAACAATTTTACTATCACGTTCCAATTCGTTTCTTAACCACTCGAAATCGCTGTATCTACGTCTAACGCTGGACTCTTTTACTTTAAATACAGGCAAATTTGTCTAAAAATTAACCTCAAATTATTTGACATAAACTGTCAAATTTTGACATTGATAGGTTATGACTAAAATTTACCCTCATTTTTACTTCATAATCCGTGTATCGTTTCTTACCAACCCCAATTGTTGTAACGGGATTAACGACGTCTATCTCGAGAAAATTAGCGGGGGCCGCGTAAGCATCGTCCAGGGTTTGTTTTTTCACGTTCAACCTCCGGGTTGCTTCAACGGTCGTGTCCGATTCGGCCATCATTTTTATATAGTTTATTTATGAAATAGGGTACCGAGTTTTAATTTAACGCTTTTTTAAGTTTATTATTTTCCTGTTAAACGTTAAATTGATCGTTCTTATCGTACACTATCGGGAGGCGGCTACCACCAAAACGACAACTGTCAAAATTGTTTTTTTTTTTGACACAATGTAGTGATATTAGATACAAATTAAATCATCTTTAGAAAAAAAATAATATAATTTATTCATTTTCTTTGTTATAATTGTGTGTTTTTAAGGAAATTTAATTATAAATATAAATAATTTATTTTAAAAAGTAATTTAATAAAATAAAAATATTTGTTAATTCAAATTCGTGAATGCGTCAAAATTATGTCAAATTTATAACCTAACTTTCTCTTTAATCTTTATATCAATAATTCCTATGATTATTTTATTAAATTTTAGATTTTTATCTTATCAGAAAAGAAAATCTTACAATGTTAAAACAACCCAAAATAGTGATAATAGGTGCCGGAATATCTGGAATATCAGCTGCAAAAAAACTAATTCAAAATGGATATTTAAATACGGTAATATTAGAAGGTGAGGATCGTATTGGAGGTAGAATAAATACGGTCCAATTTGGAGGTAAAACCATTGAATTAGGCGCACAATGGTGTCATGGAGAAGATAAAAACATCGTTTATGATATGGTTAAAGACTTGAATGTTTTAGAAGGTTCAAAAAATACTTATACTGATTTAATTTTTTATACAACAACAGGAGAAATAATTGATAAGTCTTTAACAGACCGTTTAATGGAAATTTTTTATGAAATAAGTTACAATGATGATGAAATGAAAAAAGAAACCGGATCTTTTGAGGAGTATTTCTTAAAAAGTTATCACGAATATATTAAAAATGAAAAATTATCCCATAATGATTCAAAAATTAGTGAAAAAATGATTAATTTTTTTAAAGGTTTAACATTATGTTACGACGGAGGTAAAAATTGGGATGAAATTTCCGCGTCCGGATTAACCCATTATGAATTGTGTGGAGGAAATCCACTTTTACATTGGAAACATTACGGATACAAATTAATTTTCGATCTATTGATGATGAACGATGAGAAAAAAGCAATTCCGATTTTAGATAAAGTAAAATTTAATCAACATGTTGAAGAAATTAATTGGACGAAAAAAAACATTGTAATCACATGTACAAATGGAAAAAGCTTTTATGCAGATCATGTAATTGTAACAACTTCTTTGGGTGTTTTAAAAAATGATCATCATAAAATGTTTAATCCAAAATTACCGATAAATAAACAAATTGCGATTGAAAGTTTAGGTTTTGGAGTTGTTAATAAAATCTTTTTGAAATTTTCCCGAAAATGGTGGCCGGAAAATTGTCCAGGGTTTAGTTTTATTTGGGATGAGAAGTTCAGTGTTGACTATGATTGGATTGATTCAATTTTTGGTTTTTACATCATCGATAGTGACCCTAGTACATTAATGGGGTGGTGTGTAGGTGAGAAAGCTGAAAGAATTGAAACATTAAGCAAAAATGAAATGATCAATGGGTGTTTATTCATTTTAAATACATTTTTAAGCAAAACAGGATTTGACATTCCAACTCCAATTGAGGTTATGTGGTCTAAATGGGGTTCTAATTCCCATTTTAGAGGTTCATATTCTTTCCGAAGTACAAAATCTGATTTAAATAACACCTCAGCTTATGAATTATCACTTCCTGTTGAAAACGATTCGAAGAAACCTGTTATTTTATTTGGAGGGGAAGCAACACATCCCAACTTTTACTCAACAGTTCATGGAGCTTTAGAAAGTGGGTACCGAGAAGCTGATCGGATTATTAATTTTTATAAAGAAAATGAAATAATAGAAACTAAAGTGGTTATTGTTGGAGCTGGAATGGGGGGATTAGGGGCGGCTAAAACGTTTATTAATTCGGGTTTTGATGATTTTGTAATACTCGAAGCTACTGATCTAATCGGTGGGAGGATAAACACATTGGAATTAAATGAAAGTTTTATTGAATTGGGCGCACAATGGTTACACGACACAAATAATTACTTATATAAATTAGCAAAAGAAAACGATTTGATTTCCCAGGAACTTTCCCAAGAAGGATTAGGAATTTACGTTCGAGATGATGGGTTCATTTTCGACGAGTTCTTTGTGAAAAAAATCGATTTTATCGTTGGGGAAATACTCGAGGATTGCGAAAAATTTGTAAACAAAAACGATTTTTATCCGAAATCAGTTCAAGATTTTCTTGTTGAACGTTTTTATAATTACATCGAGAACGATCAATCGAAAGATTTAGCGTTAGAACTGTTCGATTGGCACATTCGGTTCCAAATAATCGATAATTCTTGTTTAAATTTAAACCAAGTTTCCGCAAAAGATTGGGGAAGGTATGTAAGTAATCAAAAACATATTAATATTAAAAATGGTTATAAATCATTAATAAATTTATTGATTCAAAATATACCAAAAGAAAAAATTAAACTTTTACACCCCGTCATTGAAATAAACTACAATAAAAACCAAATTGTTACCAAATGTCAATTTGACAGGACTATAATAAGCGATAAAATTGTTTTAACGCCATCTATCGGATTTTTGAAGCAAAATTTAATCAAATTTGAACCTACCTTACCAAAAAATTTTGAAAAAGCTTTTGATGCTTACGGTTTTCACGGAATAGGAAAAATCTTTTTGATTTTTAAAAAGCGTTGGTGGGACGTTGATGGTTTCCAATTAATTTGGCGGAAAAACACTGATTTCCCCCCCGAGAAAACTTGGTTAAAATCCATCACCGGTTTTGATAACGTTTCATTTCAAAAAAACGTTTTACTCGGTTGGATTGGAGGAGAAGGAGTCGAAAAAATGGAAGAAATCGACGAGGAAATCGTTGGAAAAGAATGCGTCGATTTATTAAAAAGATTTCTTAAAAAAGATGATATTCCATATCCGGAAAAAACGTTTAGAACTACTTGGACTTCAAATCCGTACATAAAAGGCGGTTATAGTCACACAACGCCCCTTTGTGATCTTTGGGGTGTTAAATCGGAACTAATTTCACATCCATTAGAAGTAAATGGGACACCAAAAATCTATTTCGCGGGTGAGGCAACGCACGAAAATCAATTTTCAACAACACACGGCGCTTTTGAATCTGGAGAAAAAACCGCCGAGAAAATTTTAGATGAATTATTCAAACATAAATTATAATAAAAAAATAAAATTCATAATTTTATATTTATTAACAATTGAATCTTTCGAATAAAAATTGTATTAATTTTAATGTTTAATCTTCTTTTTTCCACATTCATCAATACGAACACAAATTCCCCATTCATCTCTTGCAAATCCTTCGTTACAGAAACATCTTTTAACCGGGGCAAACGTTTGAATAGGACATCCCTTGTTTAAATTAGAACAGACGTTGTCACATACAGTTCCGGAACCATAATGTTCATTTAAACCTCCGCATTCACAAGTATCTTAAAGAAAAATTTTAGAACCAAATTAATTTGCATTAAAAATCTTACCATTTGTCGATATAAAGACAAAGAGAGTTAAAAAAATAACTAAACACGTAATAATCTTCATTTCGTAAAGTGTTAAACACGAATGGAATCAAGAATTTGGTATTTATAGGTTGTTGATGGGGATTTACAAGGTTTTTTTGCGATATGTTGTAATGCGATGAAAAATGTCTTTAGCCTTGAAGATTTTAAACATATAGTGAATTGCCAGACACGCGATATCGCGCGATGCGAGTTAGATGTTGTATATTTTTATTGAACACAAGGATGTCACCTTTTTCAAAGCAAAACTTTTCCTTTGCAAAACTACCCAATGCCTGTACTATTAAGCTATGTTGCATTTTATGTGGGATAGTGCAAATGCATACTAGAATTTATACTTTTATAACTTTCAAGTATAAATTTTATGACGTTTCATAAAATTGACAAATTGGGAAGTTGGTGACATTGAATTTGTGTCACATTGACGTTTAAACTTTATTCAAAAATTATAAACATAAATATGTACATGGAATCAATTTCAACAGTCGTCATGGAGAAAGTATAGTATTCTACTCATATAATATAGCTATTATTCACTCAGGTTAATTATGCCCTCATTATATACTCCTATAATATACTATTTTTCTTGTAAAAGAAAAAAAAAACATTAATTTATATAAAGATAACAAATTTATTTATTCTTTTGAGGCACTTTATACAAAAATAAACAACTTCATTCTAATAACAAATAAATATCATCATTCCAAAATAAAAAATTAATTCTTTTTATAACATAACCTAAACATTACTGCGAATCCAAAATCAATTTTAATTGCATCTTATAATTCTCAACTTCCGCTTCCTTTTTTCTCAATTTCACTTTGTACATTTCAATCGTTCTTAAAGCATCCGCTAATTGTTTCTTAACACGTTCCAAATCCGATCCGGAATCAACTTTTCCTAACGAATTCATGGGAAACACTTTACTCTTCTTCATAACCACCCTTTTCACATTATTATTTTTTGATATTTGAACCAAATTTGTTTGTTTTGATACATTATTTAATTGTCCGGTGTTTGTCATCGCTAAAAATTCAGCGGGAGTTATCGTAATCACTTTTTTCACTTTAATCGGAGTTAACGAGTTTTCTTTCGTTGGTTTTTCTTGCTGCTTTTTTGTTATTATAACCGGAGGCTCTTCTTTTATTGAATTTAAAACTTGTTTACCCACATCCGTTAATACTACCGAGTGCCCCGTTTCCATTACAGCCGATAAAATGTTTGTATCGTCGTTCGGGAGCATGGTTATACCATGTTCTTGAAGATACTTCATTGATTCTGTTAGAGGATCTTGATTGATTGGTGTAGCTTCTTCAGGTAATTTTATTTCAGGATCTAGTGAATTTTCACTATCCACTTCTTCTAATAATACAGTTTCAGCTAAAAATTGATCTTGTTTAAACATTGACATTGTCAAATACAATTCATAAATAATTCATCCAAAAGATGGCGCTATTATAAAATTAAAGTCCCTAGATTATCGGCGGCTTGCCGCCATTTTGGCCCGAAAAATCAAGCGGGAAACTTAAAACCATGTCGTTCTGTTAATAAAATTACGCCAAATTTCGTTTCTTTTTTTTCTCGTAACACTCTGAAGAGTTGAAAGTCCTTCTTACTACTATTTTTGCAACTCTAAAGGCAACAAGACGGCATTATTTTTGTAAATAATCGGTAACATGCACTGACAAGCTGTCAAATCGCCATTTTGGCTCAAATATTTCGAATACACAGGCTTCAAGAACCGCGATACTTTGATAATCTAGGGACTTTATTAATAACTTACGAATTGGTATTTCGATATCTTGCCCTGTTAAATCAACAGTTTCATTACTATCGGTCATTTCTAATTGTAAATGTTGAGTAGCTATTAATGGATCACGAATTGCAATTTGAATTATATTGACGATATCTTGCCGATTAATTTGTCCAGCTAAATCTATAGGTGTTAATTCAAATTTATTAGTTAAATTGGTTGATGCTCCGTATCTAATTAACATAGCAGCTATTTCGGCATGACCGTTTTGTGCTGCCCAATGTAATGGGGTGTTTTGAAGCTACAAATTTGAAAATTAAAGATTTAATTTAAAAAATCTTTTTTAATTTACCATATCACGACTATCGCAATCTGCGCCACTTTTTAAGAGACAATCAACGATGTCTATATGGCCCTCATACGCTGCGATGTGTAAAGGAGTTCGATCGACTTTGGTGCGAGCATCTCTAGAAATTCCTGCTTTTAAAAGAACTTCACATACTTCAAGGTGATTGTTTTGTGCTGCTAAATGTAAAGGGCTTGTTCCTAACTTTATAAATAAAGATTTTATTATGTATTTTGATCAATAATTTCTATAAAGGTACCCAATCGGCTGTGAATGGTGCGCCTTTCGACATAAGCATTTGAATTTGTTCAAGATCTCCATCTCCAGAGGCTTTTAATAACTGTTTACCTAATTCATTTACGGAAGTTGCGGTAATTAATCCTCTTGGGGCGAATTCAATCTTTAAAATAATAACAAACAAAAAATTTTGAGGTTATGACAACAACATAACCTAAAAAACGATTTTTATTTTTAATTCATTACTTACCGGTAAGATATCGGTATCTTCTAACGCGATACCTTCAGATAATAAAAAATTGCTGTCTCCATCGGTGATTTTTATCATATTCTAAAAAGAACGGGATCATTTTATATATTTTAAAACGTCTCAATAACAGGAACATCTCCATCTTGAAATCTTGGAGAGGTTTCCTGTTCCTGTTCGCGTAAACGGAAATGGTACCGGGACGTGGCCATTTCGATCGATATTTTCGAAATGATTTCGCGATTTTCGATGATACTCACGTATTTGGGGCACTGGATTAACGGTTTTCCGTCTTTTTAGCGTTTTTCGCACAACAACAAATACACGGCGGAGAGCGTCAGCATTTAGTTTAGTCAACTTTTCAAGCGCCATCTCTTAACGATCGCTTGTAACGAGGTTGTATATCAAAACGTGGCGGTAAATTATTTGAAATTTATTATTATTAATTAAAATTAGTGTCTAGGTAACTTCATTATTTTATTTATTTCAAGTTGAACGTCAAATTTCGATTTGAATAGTTGATTTATTGGGTCGGGTTCATTTTTGGGGCGAATTTCAAAGAAATAAAGCGAAGAAAGAATGTCGCTGCTTATATTGTGCAATTTGGTGTATTTGTTGATATTTTTATGTCTTGATTTAAACGATTGAGGTTTTAAAGAAGAAAATAAGGTATTATCGTTAGTGTTTGTGGTTATTTTTAGTTAATAATATTTCTATGGGTTTTTTTATGTATTTATATTATATTTATTTATATATTTTTAGGTTATATGGGGACAATTACAAATCCGTAGAGATATAAACATAAAAAATAAATTAAATATATATTTTTTAGTTTATACAATATAAATGGATTAAAATAAAGATGTTTATAACGAAAATGTGTTTTATCTTTTCAAAACCGCAACTTTTTGGGCAGCGTCCAACTATTTACAAGAATATTGCTTTCTCGCCAAGTTGATCAGGAAAGTGTCTGTATATGGAAATTGATTATCATTTCCTAAAAGAAATCGTTTGATATCTTTCTATACTCATTGTGAAATCCACCCAATGATGAAAGAGATTCTCCCCTTTCAAGGGAATTGTCTTTGGATGATTTCAGAACCAAATGGAGAGGAAAACGGCCTAAATCGATAAATGGAGTGCCATCGGTGGATCTCATGGTTTACTACCCTTTAGAGGCGCGTTGTCTTTGATCGCATTGTATTTCAAACTAGGTCAAAAAAGGATATGTATCACCGATTCTATATTAATTAAAACATTTCAACCCCCTTATTTAGGTACTTAAATCACTTTGTATTTGAGTCAAGATCCCAAAAGTATAACTTGAGTAAAGGTCACTCCATCAATCAAATCCCCCTATAACTTACAACCCTTACAACTTGTTACAACTTCTTGTAACAATATCCTTAGATACTTATTTTTTTACCTCTTAAAACAGGGTGGAATCAACTTCAGAACGTGTCATGCGCGTACAGAGGGCGTCGTCTTCCGTTTTCAGCACCGATGGGGTTTTCCAGCAACCTTATTCAGACGTTCCGGACGCGCGAACGAAACCGGATGCGAACGGTGGTGGTAGCGGCGTCGCGAAGACCACACGTGACCGCAAAAGCCCCACGAAACGAGAAAACGCCCGCTGTTTGGTGCTGTTGTTGTTGTTGTTCCACCGAGTTCTTTAAGTAACTTGAAACAGGAAGGTAATAGAGAGAGTCTTTCGTTTTATGTAAGTTTTTTTATTGTATTAATGTGTTACGTTTGTGTTATTACGTAATAATATCGAGGAGGTAAAAAAATTATAGTCATTTTTTGTTTGACATTTTTTGTTTTGTTAATTTTTAGGTTACGTTGGATAATAATGAGGTTTTGCTTTACATTTTTTGGGCCTTGCGGAAAAGACAAAGAAATCCTTTATTGTTTTGTGTATTTTTAATAATTCTGTGTAAACATTAATTTTGGACATTTCTTAAAATTTGACGTTTCTCAAAAAGCTGTCATTTGGAAAAGTTGTCACAAACTTGGATGCGTATTCTGCGATGGATTGGTTTCTTAATTTATATTAAGCTCGTTACGATACTCGAGAGGACTCGAGTTGTGCGAGGTATTCTTACCAATACGTTTAGTTCGATATGTTTAAAACTTTTTGGAGCACTTTAATTAACCCATTCATTTGTGGAGTAATTCGATGGAGACTCATTGTTTTGTTAATAACGCAGTAATTGAAATTAATTTCAACTAAGAATAATCTAGAGCCAAGTTTACTGTTGAACATAATTTTGCATTTTTTTGTATATTTGAAGTTGGTCTAAGCAAACAGGCAATTGCAAAATGAGATGTGTGGTGAACGAAATTTGATGAGAGGATTTGTAAAGATCCAAAGACTTAAGTGGGACGTGGAACGAATGGATAAAAGAAGGGTTCTTATAACAGTAATTGGCCACAAACCGACCATGTCTTCCTCATGGTAAAGATCCATCTTCTTCTCATGATGAGGAAGGACATCATCCAATCATATTTCCTTATCACATCTTGTCATTCCTAAATCATTTACGCTGACCTTATCTCTTCTGCCAGTTTGAAACATTACAAACACATCGTAGTCATAACTAAGGTGTTCTCTTTATCCCTCTGTGCATCAAATACAACATTACATCTTGACAGATTGTTTTTCTACTATTCCCATATTAGTATTTATCATTCTTATTGGCTTAATATACAATTCTTGTTCCTTGTTATTCTGACCCCCAACTACTTCAACTCTCAAATCCTAATTCTCACAACTTTTTCTATTTCCTTCATTTCTTCTCCACATTTTTTTGCCGTTTCAGTCTATTAGTTCTCCCAGTCTACTTGATTGGATAGAAAACAAGGAATTTGTACTATATTGATAAGACATAATTTTCGAGGTATTTTTTAATTATAATTTTTGAATGAAATCGAAAAAAAAAGAATTCCCTATGCAAAACGGCAGAATTTTTCCGTTGTCACATCCGTCATTGTTACGTTTTACAAGTCCCCGAGGACGTGTAGGTTCTAAGAAAAAGTTTCTGGCCGTAAAAAAAGTGCTCCGGGGAGGCCCTTGTCACGGGAACTGCGGAAAAGCCGTCCTTTCCACGACGAGTTACGACTTCCCGTCTAAATTCGGGCAAATATATATTTTTTTCTCATTTCCGGTTTATGAACTCGTACAATACGTGACTGAAACTACGTTAAACACGTTATGTCGTTATCTGCATCGAAAACTTTAACCTCGAATGAACGGAGTTGAGTTGGTTATATTTTATTAAAATTATTTTTATTCAACGTTTGAGTTGAGTTAAATGTTTGTGAAATGTTTTTTTTTTTACTTGTTGCTTTTAAGTTTCATTTTAAAACCCAACCTTTCGATTTCCCCAACGATTCTCTATTTTACTTTATTTATTTTCCCCTTTAGGGGTATGTCCCAGTAGGAAATTCTTTGGCCGGTTCCTCAATGTGATGTGCTCGGGGGCTCGTAAAAGCACACTGAGTGCACTTTGCGGTCGAACCGTAAGAGAAACGAGATGTTCGAGTATTCTCTGTATTCATCGTTTTTTATTGCTGAATTGAGAGAAAATAAAAAAACCATGACTTTAAACAGTACCTATCGTAAATGCCTCATCGTAAATAAACCCTTTCACAGTTTTTAATGTTTTTTTGGTGGAGAGAAGAGTCACAGAGGTGTCTATGTGGCCATCAATCGCGAGGCACTTTTATTTTCATGTTTGAATTTGGTGCCAAGAAAAACTTTTCGGACAAATCTCTGCACTGCAGAAAATTCAAGCATTCTTTTTTTTGTTAACTTCATTGTTATTAATTTCGATAAAGGAAACAATAATTTTAAGTATTTGACTTTGACGTGAATTTATTCCGACGGAAACTTTACTAGACAGACGGAAAGTTCCGGTTTGTTATACACGGTTAACCTCAAATAAAGTGTAACTTTCAAGAAGTTTAAACGGAGATTTATCTGCGTCAACGTTTTTAAATTAAAATCGCGCGAATTACGTTTTCGATATAGTACGTATGTTCGGAAAATGTATGTTCCAACATTAATTTTAGCTCTTTTTTGACCATCGTCCAGTATTTCGAGTAATCCTCTTAGCGCAAAGCTGACATCCACGTTTCCAGAATAACCCCCAAAATGCAGTTAACGACTCGGGTGATTTACTTACTTCCCGAATTTTAAGGTTATCATCGTTTTCGAAGAGAAAGAAAAATTTTAAACTGATCCACTTGGAAAAGTATAAATTACCGTGGAGATTGTTAAAGCCGCCTTCTCGTGAAATTGAAATCATTTCCTTCCTGAGTACCCTCGAATCCATTTCGTATTCAAAATTTGTAACGCCCTTCGATTACAATCAGTATGATTCGTTAGATTTTTAGAATGATTTGTTCACGGCGGCTTTCAACACGGTTTTCAACATTTAATCACTGCCACTAAAAGAAAGGATGGTCAACTTGATAGTTTTGAAAATAAAATGTACATAACGACTCTGTATCTGGATATCATGCTGCAAAAACACCCTTACAAGATTAAATTAACTCAAGAAGCTTAAGATGAATCTCTTTCATCGTTATTTGGGATGCCTAAAGAGGTATGATTCAACTTCGCATTGATTTTCTCTTCAATATCTGTATCTTGCTCTCGCATTATCGAACTAGATTTCCAAATGAACCCATTAATTCAGATTTCCCGGTATCTTTGAAAATATATTCATCTGCTGGACTTTTAAATGGCATTTTAAATTCTCTAAAGCTTCTACAGCTTCTACATAACTTGGTTTATTATTATAGATTATTGTCAATCTGACATTGATGTTCTTCCAGAGATTTCGTCGATTCAAATTATGTTTTGATATTCAATCTCTTGCATATATAATTTCCGTTTCATGATCTCTAGTAGTCCTCTTCAGCTGTGTTCCTCTGAGTCTGCTGTTTAACATCCTCATACTGGACTTAGCTTATTTAGCATTAAAATCACTCTATAAAATTAATCTATTAACAAGAATTAATTGATTTTTTTAACGAAAAAAAAGAAAGGTCGAATGTCGTGTTGATTTTTATCGAAACCCGTTGGACATCTCAGCACAAAAGAACGCCATCATTGTGTCATTGTGCTTTTATAGAACTGTAGAAATGTCGATAAATGTCCCCTTCTAGGTAGTAAAGGCGTGGGTGTAAAACCCTACATAGTAGATGAAATAGAACCTAAAAAGGTGCCAGAAAATGGGAACGATGTGACAAAAACGCAACTTTTTATATCTTTTTTTTTACTGTAGGATATAAAGATAATAACACGTAATAACGAATTTTTGTTTCAAAACTGAGCATCATTCGGGGGAGGTGTCCCATCTTTAATTCAATTAATGTGATCTTTTTCCGGATGAGTTTTCCGTGAGTTTTCGCACTTTCCCATTGTCGACGACTCCCTGCATCGATTGGCACTTCTACCATCGCTCTCACCGTTGCTAAGAGACCGAGCAACTCTCTCCCTCTCCTTTTACTCTCAATATCTTTTATTATCCTTTTTTTTTGTTAATATCTTTGTTAAATTTATAATTTAGTTAACATAAAGCTGTATGAGTTAAGCTTATAACTCCCAATTATTGAATGTTAGGGTACGAATTAAATTTGATTATTTGGTGTGCATCAGGTGGAGAATCTCTAGTGAGTGTCTCTTAGATTATTTAGTTATCGTGAAATTAATCGTATAAATTTGGGTTAAACAAATCATATCTTTGTTGAGAATTTTAACTAAAATTATCTTTACATCAAGTTGATGAATAGTTCCTCCAATTATTGTAGCTTTTAACCTAGTTGAAGTCAAACGTGCAAGATCCTTTCTTTAGGGGTCATTAAAGATAACAATGCAGAAGCTTTACCTCTCTCTTCTCCTTACGTTCAAGTTTCCAAGGCAATTATAACGCGTAACTACCCCTTTCTAAATATCTCTTTCACGGTCTTTCTCTTTCATATACACTAATTTGAATTTAAACTAAAATTTATGTATTCTTATCCTATATTTAAGTATCAACAACTTTTGCCCGGTCTACGTATCTCTCCTGTAAACTTAAAATGAGTTTTTCGTTCCGAAATCCACTTCAATACAACTCCACCTGAGCACATCCTTTCCACCGTTTCGAAAACGTTTTATCCCAAGGGAGGATAACAACGAAATACATCCCAAATGAATGTAAGGGTAGAAAAAAAATTAAAAAAGCCATAATAAAAAGGCGTGTTAACTGGGGATGGTCCAGTTTATCGAAAACGATCGATTGATGATGATTACAAATTGTTCGGGGTTTGGATGATGTATGAGGTTCTCCCTTTCCCGGGGGTTGCATCAATCTACGTCCCTTTGGGGGCTTTTAAAAATTTATTTGCGGCCACCAATTGGCTTAGAAGTTTCGGAATCGACGAGGAACAAAGGGGCGAAAAAAATTGATTGATTAGATTTCCAATATTGTAAAAGTGAATTCTTCTTTTCTATTAAAAATCAAAAACAATAAACGAACTGATAAAAATCAATTTTTATTTGTGGTTACGCTGGAAAGGTTGGGGAAATAAAACCTCGAAAGTGGATTTATATTCAAATTGTGTACACCGAGGAGAAACTTGGTACTGGATACGTTTTAATCGATTTATTGCAGTGAGGCAAAAATTTGAATAAAAATCAAAAATTTAAAAATTAAAGTACCAGCCTGTATATGTAATAATTAAAATTCCACTCTCTCGAACGAATAGATGGTAAAAGGACGTTTTAGACGACAATCTCTCTAGAGAGCTAAGAGGGGAGAGGGGTTGGAAGTCGGGGATCTTCGGGGGGGGTTGAAACTGTCAAGGCCGGGGCGATCTTCGCGACCTGTCAGGGTGTAACAACGCGAGAGGACCTGACCCAGATAGAAAAGTGGAAATTTGCACCAGTGTTTACCGAATCTAACCCCCAGCTGCTTTCACCCCTCCCTCACCGCTAAAGAAAATGATAAATTGCCCGTTACCCCTATGGGACTCCACCCAGACTTTCTTTTTTTTTTGTAATTCGTTCGATTGTTTACAACGCCGGAAGTATTTCTCCGTGATCTATGTACAAATTTTCTTCTTCCAATAAAAAGCATTTATTTTTATTTTTTTCATAATTTCCTCGATGCCATCTTATCAAAAACAAAAATATCTTTAACACGACGATGTTATCTCAAAAAAAATCCACGAAACAAAACGTCTTTGTACTCATTTTAAAAGATATTCTCATAATAACGTTTTGGAAGGGTTAAAGAAAATTATAGGTTCAAGTAAAAAAATATAAGGAGTTGATTTAGCGAGGTCGTGATTCTTACACCTGGGCGTTCGAGTAAATTATAAGGTCGTAAATAACGTTTTAAAGTCAAAAACAAATCGATGGCAGCACGTAAACCCCCTGAGTAGGTGGCTCTAGGATCGTTTGAACGGCTTCGTTTTCACGAATGAAATCTATTAAAAGAGCCGCCAATTCCGAAAAACCGAAAAGGCTTCTTTAACGGTTCTTTTTTTTGGTTCCGTCGGTTCCACTCTAAAAGTGCGCAATAAATCGAACTGGTTTTAACGAGAGGACGGCGTTTTCAATTGAAGTGGTCGTAAAGATTTTAACGAAAAGATACAAAAAATATAAATCCTAAAAGATCTTATTTAAATAGATATATTTAAAGAACTCAAGAATATAACATATTATGATCTTTTATTTATCTTTTAATTATATCTGTTTATCAGCTATCGATCGCATAAAGGTGATATAATTAATAGATCTGGATGAAAATTATACAAAAAAAGTTCAAATTGAAAACGTCATAATATTTTAATTGTTCTCCTTTAATAGTGATTTATTCAACTCGCCGCAAAGTTGGAAGTTGGGAGTTTAATGAGCCAACTTCCCCCCTCAATTGCTAAATTTCTCCAAACACAAACTTGTCGTCCGGTTTATCAACTTTGGGAAGAGTTATAAAGCCATAATTACCATTTCGCAGATTTTCTTCTATTACAAAGTTTATTACTTGTTTTTGTATATACGAAAAAGACCTAATTAATTCTTTTCTTCCGTTTCAGATGCTGTACGTCGACGTCATCGTAATGACATGAGCGAAAAATGTGCTCAGAATGAAGAGCCTCGTCGGTATTATGTGGATAGTCCTCGTATTAATATCAGGTACGATATATTTCATTTTTTATTTTTAAACTATCTAAACGAGGCAAGGGGGGCGGCTTTAGCTATTTCACTTAATGGGGAAAATCCTCGGCGAATTCAGGTTAACAACGGGGAGATCGCGACCCGCAAAATGAAAAATTAAATCGTCATAGTTCTTCCTAGGTTAAAGGATGCGAAACGTTGTATTGTTCTCGAAAAGAAAGATCAATATTTTTTTCTTTGTAATTTGAAAAAATAAAATATCAGATATCAAATTAGATACCTCAACCGGAAATTGTATGTTTAAATTTTTGTTTTTTTTTTGAGTTTAATCACGATGCGGAACTGCAGTCGAGTTTTCCAACGTTTTCCATGTCAGGGGGGGCCAATGCTAACGCCCTCTTAAGTGCAATGGTAATTTACATACGGCGGCGGTACGCGAATTAAAACGGGCTCAATAATAATTTTAGTGTTGGACGTAAAACGCGAACTGCTGCTTTGCGTTTTAAACCCTCTTTTATACCCCACCTCCCCTACACGAACAGAATCATGCTACCTTCCCTATTCTGTTATTTCCGTTTCATTCCGTACGTTAAAGAACATTGTACTAAACGCTATTTAGTTCTACTCACGCAGATCTTCTTTAAAACTAAATTTTAATAACCCAAAGAAAAATTGAAATTGTTTCAAAGTCTTTGAATTCCGTCGCGAAATTACTCCTATAAACTTGAACACCGGGAAGTTAATAAACCGTGGTTCATTAAGGGTTTCTTCTTTAACAACAATTCTTGTTATTTTAAACAAGTAAATTAACGCCATCTCGTGAACACTTCACGTAAACTCTTCGAGTGAGGTCCCATTTCGTGACTGGAACCGTTGGGGAGTCGTAAAATTAAATTATCTCACGCACTCGACAAAGTACTCGTGACCGAAACCCAATTACCGACCACCCTGTTGGGATCACTAACCCATTAAAGCAGATAATAAGCGTTGTAATCATTTAAGTTTGTAACTTACCCAACAATTTTTGCATGCAAAATAATCCAAAGGATCTGCAAAGAAAAAAAATATATTACAGTATTAAAATTAAAGATGTAATTAATTTTCAATTATCATTAAGTGTGTATCTGGTATAGGAAAATGATAGGGTGAAGACGTTCATCTCTAGATAGTCCGTTAACGACCAAACTGACGAAGGGGGGACCTTTAAGAGGAGGAAATGGGTGGGTTTGGCGACGTTGCCATAGCTAAGGAGATTAAACTTCCTGCTTGCGGCAGGATAACGGTAACTCGGTCGGTTTATCCAGGAAGAAACCGGATATCTGCGTCCTGAAATTACCGATATCGGTTACTTACTTCAAGTATTTTTCGAAAATATTTTTCAGTTACTACGAAAAATTTCGAAACTTTCCCACTGAGAAAGGAGTTTTAAGGTGGAAATTTACAGTTTCTGTGATGCTCACAACGCCGCGAGGACGACTTAATGGACAAAATGCCGAGAAGGGGGCGAACAATTCAGATAAATTATGGACGCGTTCGCGGAGTCTTCGTTGAAAGTTTTCCGGTTAAATTACTTATGCTCCGGTTATTTACTAGCTTGTCTCAATTGACTTTATGGTTAAGTTTAGTTTTAAAAATTTATGAAACTTATTTGAGTTCTATTCAACTTCAAAATAAAAAAAAAAAAACATTTCATTAATACTTTAATTTTTTTTTGTAGGATGTTCAGGAAACCCAGACGCGAAACGTCTTTACGACGACCTTCTTTCAAATTACAACAAACTGGTGAGGCCCGTGGTCAACGTTACAGATGCTTTAACCGTCAAAATAAAACTAAAACTCTCCCAGCTCATCGACGTCGTAAGTACCTCGTTCTTTTTTACTTCTTTCTTTGAAGTAAGGATAGACTTTAATGGAAAAACTTTGATTTACGACGAAGCCCTTTATGAAAAATGACCTCCACACTGTAATCTTCCTGGAAAACTTTGTGCAAAAATTTCTTTGGAAAATTTCAAAAATCAATTAATGCTTTAGCGCGTTTACGCCGTTGATGAGAAGTTTATGATGGTTTGATTTAATTAAAGGGATGGTGAGCACGCGATGTGAAACTTGCACAGTTTGATGGTTAACTCAATTTATAGTTCCCGAGTGAAGTTTAAAGGAAAATGTTTTGAAGCGAAACTAAGCTCATTAAATCAAAAATCAATGCTATTAAATTGTCGATAACATCTAAAATAAAATATTTTAGTTAATTTTGACTTCATCTTTTTTTAAAACATTACAAACAAGGAAACAATGAGGTTGAAACTCTAAGCTAAGGGGTTGTTTCTGTTAGAAATAACAAAAGGGGTTTATAAATGTTTTGGTAATGTAAAGTTAACAAAGGAATAAAAGGGACTTAAACTGAAACCAAGGGTTTCAAATTATTTGGTGAAAACAAGATATTGACTCAAGTTAATATAAAAATTCTTTCTGAAAAGATTATTTCATAAAATAAATGTACATAACTGAAATATTTCGGTAGACAACCGGAAAGAGACACTAATACTACCTAATAAAGATGCCAGTGAAGCTTTCCCGAGCTTTCCAAGCGTGGAACGGTGGTCGGGGCGGGTTTATCGTGAACAAAAACCGCAAAAGGTATGTAAATGCGAGAGTGTGGTTGCGCTCGGAGCGACATACATAGATATACGTAGAGAAATGTATGGGATTTAAACAAATTTGATAATAAATAAAATAATGTCTTGTTGATTTGTAATGTTATTGAGAACGTAACATCAAAATCGATTCATTGAAAAGGTGGAAAACCTGGCCTAAAAAGGGTTTTTGTGGATGGGGAGCTATATAAATTTTCGATTTACTAGGGAAATGGTGCCGATCGGTTTATCGCCGTTTGGCACGCTTCCCCGGACGTTAATTTGCAAATCGGGGGGCCACCGAGCACCTCTCGAAACACCTGTGAACTCGTTTTGGTGCCACGGTTGTCTTCACGATGCACGTAAATTTATTCCGGATAACGATTTTACTAGATTTTACCGATTTGAATACATATACTATTCCGTTGTCGCGATTTTTACAGTTATTTCAATTCAATTTGATATGAATCGATGAAATAAATTAAATAACCCCAAGGGAGTTAATTTAAACTATTTAATACATCCGCGTCTGCCAATTTATCGATTAAAAAGTTTTTGCCTGAGATACTCTCGTGCTAATCATGAATAATGAGGGGCCGCACCAAATTCCACTCCAGAATTCGATTATCCAACATTCATTAAATTGGGTAGTTTCATCAATGTCTCACAAAATTTTCCTTGATCAAAACCTTCTTTAAAGAGGCGTTGCATCAAGTACTACTTTTTGTATGGATTCTATACTGGGCTAAAACAAGAACAAGTTATTAGGTCTTATTCTATATCTCTCATTTCTTCAAAATAAGACCTTTTAGACAATAGAATCTTTTACCTGCATCAATTTAATAAAGAGAAATTCACTTGGGGCATTAATTATCACGTTTCGAAGGATTCCCAAAGGATTCTGCGGTAATGGAATTGAATCGATGCGTGAGGATTGCACAAAATAGGTCATCGGAGCGCACCCCCGTCTCTATTCATCACAATTGTTGCGTGTGACAAACATATGGGGTGATAAATATAACCGAAGGGGTCAAACTTGGATTTATAGGTGGTGCAGGGATGTAAATTAGGCAGCTTGGGTCTCTGTCTAAGTGATTATTCACCCCAAATTACCCACTTGATCTAGCTATGAAGTACCAGTTTTAGTTTAGAGATAGAATCTGATGTAATAGGTTGCTCAAAGTATAAGTTTGGCGCTTTAGTAGTTTTTGTAAAGATACAGACAAGTTCAACTATTTCTTCTATTCTACATCTAACTTCAGTTCGTTACACATTTTGTATATTAAATCGATTTAATTTCAATCATAAAATAAAGATAAAGTAATTTATTGTCCATTTGTGGACACAAAAGCGATGGGTAACGAGGGGAATGAGCCGAAAACTACGTTATGTTGCTGCGGGGCATTAATATTTCGTCAAATTACCGTCACCGCTGGGGGTTGGTGTTGATATCATGGCACGTTCTCGCGCTAAACCGTCGCTTTTTTAATAAAACATGTCGCATGGGGGAGGTCTTCAAATGGTCGTATCGCTCCCGGAACGACCATCACGTCTTTTATGAGAAAAATCTCAAGATCCTACAATTGGTCGCTCGTAGAGAATACTTTTATGGATTTATCAAAATAAAAAATAATACCGTTAAATAAATTAATTCACTTTCATTTCATCAATTTGGTTAACTTCTAATTATGCCGATTTAGTTAAACGTTTGCTCAACAACTTATCAATCTTGTTAACACAACCAACACACAACAGCTGTCGGCACGATTAATTTTAATTAATTAGATTCCAGCACCTCATTTATCATTTTGTACAAATTAAAATTGATTACTTAGGTAAAATCGAATTTCATGCTTTAATTAAAATTAAGATTGACAATATTAAAAAACGCAAAAAAATCCTTGTATTCGCCTCAATGTCGTTACAACTCAGTTGTTGTATTGTTGAATATTCATGGTGTTTGTGATTTCCGTATTTCCGAATTCGAGGAGATCACTAGTAACCGGAAGTGAATTATGTCGTCTCTCTTTCGGTCTGGCGCAAATTTGCATTTATACCATTTATACTTCTCGGTTGAACGCCAACTGTCGTCTCCGTTTCAAATACGTTTAATATCGAGAGAGTTACAACTCAATTGCATTCTGAATTTTAAGCGAAAAATCGTTAAAAAAGATTTTTGTTTGTTTTAGAACTTGAAAAATCAAATTATGACTACGAATCTTTGGGTGGAACAGGTAAATAATTTTATTTCAAATTATTATTATTTAAAATTATTTTTAATGATTTTTCGGTAGTCTTGGTACGATTACAAACTCAAATGGGATCCGAAAGAATACGGGGGAGTCGAGATGCTTCATGTGCCATCCGATCACATTTGGAGACCGGATATCGTCCTTTACAACAAGTGAAAAAATAACTTTTTTTGAAATACAGTAAAACCTCGATATAACGGATTAATACGGTGAAGGGAGACAACAGACTAACAACTAAAACTAGAGTTAATACTAGTACTAGAACTAGAAAATATATCTTAATATCTTCGGAATCTTAATAAGAATCAAAAATGCTTTCATTTGATACCAAACACGATATATTTCGAATTAAAAATAAAAAAGTTAGGTTAGAAACTGTCAATTGTCAAAATTAAATATAATGATTTTTAGATAAATATTGAAATGATCTTAATAACAATCAAAAATGTTTTACTTTGATATCAAAAATGACATATTTGGGTTAAAAAATAAAAAAAGTTAGGTTAGAAACTGTCAAATGTCAAATAATCGCCATTTTCTTTGCTAAAAATTAAGATATTTCGATAACGGTTAGAGATAAATATGTCGAGTTTGAGGTCATTTTAAAGGATTTTTATTGTTCTATCCATTAATGTTAAAAAAAGAACAGCTTTATAATTAAAAAAAAAATCTGAATTGATCCTTATTAAGAAACAAATACGACGAATTAGATTAAATATATAATATTAATATATCCAAAGTCAGTTCTAACGAGGTTCGTTATATCGAGGTTTTACTGTATAATGATAACTTTTTATTTTTAGTGCTGATGGTAATTTTGAAGTAACTTTAGCCACGAAGGCAACTTTAAATTATACGGGAAGGGTTGAATGGAAACCGCCCGCGATCTACAAGTCTTCCTGCGAAATTGACGTCGAATATTTTCCATTCGACGAGCAAACCTGCGTTATGAAATTCGGATCGTGGACTTACGATGGATTTCAGGTAAAAAAATCAAAATGAAAAATTAATAGGAAGTAAATTTAAAAAATAGATGTGTCCTTAAAAAAAAAGTAAACAAAATAAATTTTGTAACATTTCATAAATGAATAAACACCGAATAAACCTAGTTGAAATCGTTTGCACCCAAATGGATTTATCCGACTCGGTTGTTTATTGATGCAAGTTACCTCTCGTCCATTACCAAAATTAACTTTGAAAGTCCATTACGACAAAACAGTATCGAACTGTCCCGTTGTCAATTTAACTGAACTACTTTAACGAATTTTTTTCTACACTACAATAATTTATAGTGATTCAAAAAAATTCTTTTTTCTCATTTTATTAGGTAGATCTGAGACACGTCGATGAGGTGAAAGGTACGAACGTGGTGGATATCGGCGTCGATCTCTCCGCATTCTACACGTCCGTGGAATGGGACATCCTCGAGGTACCGGCCGTTAGGTAATAACATGCGATGCGCAGGAATTTAATAATCGCGCGGTCGTCAATCAAGAATCCTTTTCGGAATTTTTCATAATCTCAATCTTAACGTTTTTTCCCCGCTAGGAATGAAAAATATTATACATGTTGCGACGAACCCTACTTGGACATCACGTTCAACATCACAATGAGGCGGAAAACACTATTTTACACCGTCAACCTGATCATACCTTGTATGGGCATCTCGTTCCTCACCGTACTTGTGTTCTATTTACCTTCAGACAGTGGAGAAAAAGTAAGAAAAAAATTTTATTTAAAAAAAAACAAATAAAAAAACTTGGCAGCGGTGGGATTCGAACCCACGCCTCCGAAGAGACTGGTGCCTTAAACCAGCGCCTTAGACCGCTCGGCCACGCTACCTTGCCTAAAGCTATCAATTCCACCCACTTATTTTTTTTTATATATCATATAAACATTTTATTTTAATAATTTACCCTTCAATACGAGTTCATGTATATAACACCTAAGATACCTCAACCAACCCGACACAATAAAAACTAAACAGCTACTTAATAGTTATTTAACCAACAAGTGTATTAATGAAGGTGATTAATGAAAAGCGTTTTTTTACACTTGTTGGTTAAATAACTATTAACCCTATCTACTTACTTTTTCATATATGTAATTAGAGGGGTTTCAAAAGCTAATGTATTTGACTAGTTAGAATTATTAAGTATTTAGAACTTAAGTTACACAGTTGTATAATGTATAACACCAAAATTCCTATTTGTACTAAAAGCCAAGTTGAGACATTAATTTATTATTCTATTAAACGAAACAATTCGTGATTTTTGACCCTAACTCTGAGGAACTTAAGGAATTTCCCCATTTTATTGGAACCTGGAAATACGTTCGCAATCGTCGAATCGATTCTGAATACCTTGGGAAACATTAATTCTACTTAAAATACAAGTTAAAAATTCCTATTATCATATCTATATTATATGTACAAACGTTTTAGGTAAGTTTATCAATCTCCATTCTGCTGTCGCTCACAGTGTTCTTCCTATTATTGGCCGAAATCATCCCGCCTACGTCACTGGTGGTGCCACTTTTAGGAAAATTTGTATTGTTTACCATGATTTTAGACACATTTAGGTAAAAAACTCAATAAAAATTTCTAACTTAATAAAATTATAAAAACGATTTTCCCTTTAGCATATGCGTTACCGTCGTTGTATTAAATGTCCATTTCCGGTCACCACAAACTCATACAATGGCACCGTGGGTGCGACGCGTCTTCATTCATATTCTGCCGCGACTCCTAGTAATGCGAAGGCCTCACTATCAACTTGATAGGAGAAGTCATCGAGTAATGGTGCGAACTTGTAACGGTTTGGAGTTGAGAGATCATCTTTATCCCGATCCGAACGAAATGATTCTCGGTGATGATCCGTCGGGGTTATTTCCAAGCGCTAGTTCTAGAGATGAATTAACACCGAGAGAATTGGAGCCAGGCGCTTTAAGTGGTTGTAGAATCCATGGAACACCACCTCCAGGTGTTACCCTTGGACATTTAAACGAAGTTTTAGGAGAAGATTTAGGAAGTGAATTAGCTGGGAATATAAATAATGGGGATATATCTGGGAATTTCTCAGGGAATTCTGGAACTATAGATGGTGATGGTTGCAAAGGGGATCATCCATGGCATCATTGTCCGGAAGTTCATAAAGCTATTGATGGTGTTAGATTCATTGCTGATCATACTAGGAGGGAAGAAGACTCTACAAGGGTAAATTTTAATTACCACTTTTATAATAAACTTAATTTAATAATTTAATTTCTTTCAATTAGGTGAAAGAAGATTGGAAATATGTAGCGATGGTTTTAGATCGTTTATTTCTTTGGATATTTACCTTAGCAGTTCTTGTTGGGACAGCGGGGATAATTCTTCAAGCTCCAACGTTGTACGATGACAGGGTTCCAATAGATGTTCACCTTTCGGAGATTGCTTCGACTGCAAAACCCCATTTGGCACCACAAAATAACCTATAAAAAATAAGTCTTCCTGTTTAGTTTGTTTTGGAGTTTGAAAAAACGTAAAAATGTAAAACGAAGAAGTAATAACAAATAAAATCTGCCATATAAATATTTATATAGAATAAATTTTAAAAAATTAACTAATTAATAATGCGGCAAAACAAAACGTTTTTAACCAACCGAAAAAGGAATTGATCTGTAATTATGTATACTTACATTAAATGAAGGAAAAGTATTCTTTTGATCGTTTTTATTGTTGAAAACGATTATTATTGATTATTGTAAAGATTTTAAACATTTTAAAGGTTATGTTTTGATCGCTACATCACAATACGTCATATTTTCAAAATTGGCATTAAAAAATTATTAATTAATTAATTAATTTGCAATTTTTTAATATATTATTTAAATGATTGCTTAAAAACTAAATATATGCGTTAAATAATTTTTTAAAAAGAAATTAATTTTTATTAATGGTATAGATTTTATATAATAGATGGCGCTAATTAATTTAAAATTCAATTTATAACTAATTTATATTTAACGTACATTAAATGAAGGAAAAGTATTCTTTTAATCGTTTTTATTGTTGAAAACGATTATTATTGATTATTATACGGATTTTAAACATTTTTAAAACATCCCACACAATAGGTCATATTTTCAAAATTGACACATTAAACAATTATTCATAGTTAATTAATTAATTAATTTTTAATATATTATTTAATTGATTACTTGAAAACTAAATATATTCGTTAAATAATTTTTTAAAAAGAGGAAATTAATTTTTTTAATGTTATTGATTTTAAATAATAGATGGCGCTAATTAATTTAAAATTAAATTTATAATCAATTTGTTAATTGTTAATTTTTGTTTGAATATAGCGATCAAACGAATGAAAAAAAAAATAGATTTTATTAAGAAATTGGAAAAAAATTTGCTTATATTGCAACAAAATAAAATAAAGCTCAATTTTCTAAAATAACAAAAAAAAATGTATGTAAATTGTTAAGTTTCAGCACTAAAAATATAATATTTACGTAAATAAATAAAATAAATTAACGCGAATTTATTTTGCGTTTTATAAAAACATTCTTGTTAAAATAACATATCAATTTTTTTCTTCATTTTTCATTTTTCAATAAACGCAACTTGAAATTCGCGTTAAAAATTCGACGTTGCTCACAGATTTTAGGGTATTACTTAAAATACTATTAAAAGAAAATATGTGTCGTGTAGATAGCTGATAAATAGAGAGAAAAATATCGAAACCAAAATTTTTTTTGATAATAAAAAATGTTTAGGACCAAGGAACTATTTTTTTCGTGATTTATTTTTAAACGAAATCCTCTTAAAATCGATGTGAAAAATGTTTATTAGCGAACAAATTAATAAAAAATTGAATTGTTTTTGTTAAATCATTTTATTTACCATTTAAGACTAAATAAACTTAAAGAACGCTGTTGTACGAGTGAGAATATAAGTTAAGCTATGAAAATATCCTGTAAATTAATAAATAAACAATTTTTTAAAAAAATACATCATAATCTTTTTAGACAACAAAAGAGAATCCTCCTTTTTGAGAAAATCTTCCTTTGACATATCGAAAAGGTGTCAATCGTTTATTACACAAGAACCGTTCGTGGTTTATGGAGTTTTCTGCGAAGTTATGAGTACTAAGTGCTTTTAATAAATGACTTTTCTTTACTTAACTTTCTAAGCGAGACGGTTGTGTCATAATGAACATTTTGTTTTATGAGTCTACCTCTAATAAAAATCGCTTTGGTAGTTAATATTTGAAGACGAGGACAAACTTAATTACTTACCTCAGCAGTTTCTTCCTCTAGCTTTAAACACAATCATTCAACAAGAAATTCTCGTTTGGTCGGTTTAAAAGTTTTTGTTATCAATTCGTTATAAACCATTTAAAATAAAATTAAAATTTATCAAAGTGTTTGTAATGCATAAAAGGACTTTTCTTTTTAGTAAGTTAAAAAAAATGTTTGGTAAACACCACATTTTAAGTTTTAAGTTTCAACAACAACTCAAATATTTCAACATAATCTTTTTGGGATTGTTACATTTAATTGCAATTTATGGAATTATCACTTTTCCTTGGATAAAAAGTTGGAAAATCGTTTTATTTAGTAAGTACAAAGTTTTCTTAAACAAAAAATATTTAACTTTTTAAATATTTATATTTAAGGTTTTTTTTATGGCACATTAGCCGGATTTGGAGTAACAGCTGGGGCACATCGCTGTTTTACGCATCGCTCGTTTAAACCAAGATTTCCATTGAAAATATTTTTATTAATTTGTTACGCCGCCGCTGGACATGTAATTATTTGAAGTTTTAATCATTTCAAATTAAGATTCTTTTAAAATCTCTTAGAATAAGCTTTTTGAGTGGGTGCGAGATCATCGCGTTCATCATAAATATTCAGAAACCGATGCAGATCCTCATAACTCTAATCGGGGCTTTTTTTTTGCCCACATTGGATGGCTAATGATGAAAAAACACCCCGACGTAATCAAAAAAGGAGTTAGTGTTGATATGAGTGATATAAAAAATGATCCAATTTTGGTTTGGTACGACAAAAATTTCATTTATCTCCAATTAATTTTCTGTTTTATCATTCCAATTGGAATAATTCGATTTTATTTCGATAAATCTTGGTTTTATCCTACTTTAAGCCAAATTGGGAGGTACATGATTGTCTTAAATTCTACTTGGTTGGTGAATAGTGCTGCGCATTTATATGGAAACAAACCTTATGATAAGTATGTTAGAGTATGCAACCCAATATACATAAATATTTTAATTTGTAATTTTAGAACAATAAATCCAGGAGAAAATTTTTGGGTAAGCATAGCTGCTGTTGGTGAAGGTTGGCACAACTACCATCACACATTTCCATGGGATTATAAAGCTTCTGAATATGGAAAACTAAACGTAACGACTTTTTGGTTGGACATTTTCGCCAAATTAGGATTAGCTTATGATTTAAAATCGCCATCCGAAGAATTAATAAAAAGAACAGCCGATAAACTAGGAGATGGAAGTTATACGCATTATGTTAAAGAAAACGGTGAAGTTGTAATCACAAAAACTTTGTAAATTAAAATAAAACCGCCATTCAATCAATTTTATTACTTTTCAGTTAGTGTAGGGGGTAGGTAGCGCCAGTTAGCATAAAATAACACTATGTTACTTACTTTTATTGAACTAAAACTAGAACTAGCACTAGACCTAGAACTAGAAAGTTTCGGGTTTAGCTGTGCGTCTTCAGACCGCCTTAGCGGTCTTGAGAGATGTACGGCTAAATCCAAATGTTTCTAGTTCTAGGTATAGTGTTAGTTCTACATAGTAACAGTGCTAGTGTAAAACTAGAACTAACACTCTACACTCTATCTAGATCTAGAACTAGAAACATTCGGGTTTAGCCGTTTAGTTTAACCGAAGGCAAAACCCAAATGACGCTTAAACCCGAAACTTTACTACCGTATGACCGTACTATTAAACTATGTTTCATTTTATGTGGGATAGTGCAAGTGCATAGTAGTTTCGTACTATATACTGCATTCATATATTGCGAGTTATATGAAATTCCCAGTATTTTTAAAAGTACATACAATCTATCGTAATGAAACGAATTTTGAACAAATAATTGAGTTTTGAATAAATTAAACAAAAAAAAACCATTGTTCTTCGTATCCGAATCCTTAATGAAGTTTTGTATGTTAAATTTGGATTGTTTTCTAACTTCCGGTTACAAGAATCATATAATAAGTAGCACCCGAAAACGCGCTGTTTAAGTAGAACAGTTTAAAGTGTAAAATGACCCCAAACGTAGTTACACCAATTGTTGAAAACAAAAACTTCATCAAGTTCTCATCGAAAGTTGAAGAAAAACACGAAAAGTTGTTTGGAAAATACAACTTTTTATGGTTTCGATTCGACCACGAACTTAAATACTTTAATATTTGGTATTTAGCATTTTTTCATCTCGGAGCTTTATTCGGTTTACTCACTTTTCCGTACATTCAAAAATGGAAGTTAGTCATTTTCACGATTAGTTATGGAAGTATGGCTGGATTTGGGGTTACAGGTGGTGTTCATAGATATTTCACACATAAATCGTACAAAGCAACGAAATTAATGAAAATTATTTTATTAATTTGTTATGCAGCGGCTGGTCACGTAATTAAATCAATCAATTTTTAAACAGGATTAATCTTTTTTGTTTATATTTTTAGAATCGAATTTTCGAATGGGTTCGAGATCACCGTGTTCATCATAAATTTAGCGAAACCGATGCTGATCCACATAACTCAAATAGAGGTTTTTTCTTTTCTCATATTGGATGGTTAATGATGAAAAAACATCCGGATGTTATTAAAAAAGGTGCTACCGTCGATATGAGTGATATAAAAAATGATCCTGTCGTTGTTTGGTACGACAAGTGAGTATTTTATTTATTATAGTCTACAAAAAATCCTTTCACATGAATATCAGAAATTAGAATTTAGAGTTAACGTTGAGATCACGATGAAATCACGCGAGTGTCTTTACCACCACGTTGGGATCACTTCGGGGTCACCAAAATATGTTGCAAGATTACCACATATTAGTAAATTTTAAAAATACATTTAATTGATGATAACAATATGTAGTAATACTTTTAATTCTGAATTAATATTTCCTGCTGAAGTATGCTAAAATGGTTCGAATTATTAAAAATTCCTTTCTATAACTGCTAATTTTTTTTACTTCCAAATAAATCCAACAATTTATCAACAGGTCAAAGAACAATTTATAAGTAATAATCGAGGATGACGCACCAAGAAAACTTCCAATTTTTGAGTAATAGCTAAATCAATCGTTTGGGGAATCCAGACTTTGAGGTATTCGAAGCATGTTGAACTTCGAGTTTGTTTACCGTGGAATCAAATCGAATGTTGTGTCCAATATTTTCCGTTATTTATTGTACATAGACAGGAGTCCAGACTTATAAATATTATGAACATAAAGAAATTCTTTTCTAACAGTGAAAAATGAAGGAATGGAATTAGCGGGAGCTTACGTTCCTTTCTTTAATTTAGGGGATATAATCAAAAAATCTTCTCTCATCGTCTTGCACTTTGTACAGTTGAGCTGAGTTTTGCTTTATCACTATAAATTACTATTTCTTCACCTTTATGTACATGCAGATTAGATATAATCTTATGCAACACTCGTTTGGCAATTAATGCCTCTTGTTTCAAGGTACATAAATCCCGGATTTCAAATTTCAGATAAAATTAACGCCATTATCAACAAATTAATTTATGTAAAGTTTAAAAAAATAATAATATATTATAATTAATGATAATTAATTTATGATAAATAATTATTTATCAATTTCTTTTTCAGAAATTTTAGCCGAATCCAATTCTTTTTCTGCTTTTTACTTCCAACACTTTTAGTTCGATTTTGGATGGGCGAATCTTGGTATTGGGCTATCTTAACGCAAGTTTTCGCCAGATATGTGATTGCTATTAACGGGACTTGGCTAGTAAACAGTGCTGCTCATTTGTTTGGGCGAAAACCGTACGATAAGTAATGCTTTAATTTCGACGTTTATTTAGTTATCTTATTATTATTATTTCTTTTTTAAAGATCGATTCAACCTCGCGAAAATCTTTTCGTTAGTTTCATGTCTGTCGGCGAAGGTTGGCACAATTACCATCACACGTTTCCGTGGGATTACAAAGCGTCCGAGTATGGACGATTGAATGTGACCACATTTTGGTTGGATTTATTCGCCAAATTTGGTTTGGTTTACGATAGAAGATCGCCGTCGGAGGAATTGGTTAAAAAAGTAACCGCGAAATGCGGGGATGGTACTCATAAAGAGTATGCAACTTATGTTACAGAAGAAGGTGAAATACGAATGATTAATTAATTTTATTTTATTATTCTTTGATAAATTCGGTGTAATGATAAATAAATGATTTATTTAAAAGAATTTTTATTAACATATCTTTTAATTCCTCTCAAATCAAATCAAATTGATAATAAATCGATAATAATTTAATACTGCGACAATCTGTCGCAATAATAAATCTGAAAAATTATTTCAAGTTCTCAAAGATAACACTATCTTCGCGTTTTAATGATGTTGCAAAAAAACAAAAATTAATTCGTTTTTTTTGTGATTTTTTTTTATTCAAATTATAACCGTATTCTAAAGAAATTTCATAATAGGATAGATTATTGCTTACTTAAGTATGTTTATTGAGGCAATTATGAGTAATCGATTTAGATTTTGACCTCTAATCAAATCCGTTTAAGGCGAAATAAAAGCATTTTTAACATAATTAAATAGCAAAGTAATTTTCCATTCTACACAAACATTTTTATTTCGATAAAAGGGGTGTTCAAAATTGATTGTCACGTAGTATCACATTTTTGTGTTATCTAGGAATATTCCAATAGATAAGTTTGACAATTACAATCATAATTGTCGTATAATAAAAATTAAATTTAATTAAAAAAGTCGTTTAAATAAAATAAATCTTATGTCACAATATTATTATTAGCAAATTACATAAATGAATACAATAAAAGCCCGTACCATTTTGATTTTAATTTCTTATCGTGATCCGATTAAAAAAGCAGATGTCTCGAAAGTGGCCAATTGAGAACCCATCAAAAAAGAATACGCCGTATTTATATTTTTAGCAAAAAAAGGACATAAAGATAAGGGACAACCTTTGATATTGATACAAAGTTCGCGATATGTGTTAGTTATCGATTTATTAGATTTTGGGCGATTGTTCTAACATAACTACGTTTCTCCAGTTTCCGAGATTGAACAAAAAACCTGATGTGGTAGGTGGTGTCACGGATTTTTCACGAATCCACGTCGTATTGTTCGATTCTAATCAATTGTAATCAATTTTTTGTTACGTCTTAACAATTGCAATATCGATATCTCCCACGTTTTTTACTATAACAAAAAAATCTTGTAATACAAAAATGAATTTATAATTGCTTAGCTATCTTTTCGCCAACAATGTGTTTATCTTTAAGAATGTAATCGATATGAAGGTCAAAAAGACTTTTTTCTTAAACATTTTTAGATTAATACTGTGTGCTACTATTTACCATGAAACACGATGTTTTAACATTAATTTGATACATAAACTCAAATTTATTATCAAAATAAATCACATTTTGACAGGTTTACTAAAAATTATTCGGTACAAATCACCGAAGTCCAATCACGTACTTTAGTAACAAACACACAAGAAATCATCGAAACGCAACAATAAAACCTTATAAAACTTACCAAAAAATCCTTTTTAAATCGCATTTTGACAGGTTATAACAAATCATAACCTCATTCTTGGTACTTGTCAAATACGAGGCGATAATGAGCGGTAACTATAAGGAATCAATAAAATATCAATAAAATGAAGAAATCACGGAGAAGTGAAATACTCACCGATATTAATAAACATTTTAAACAAGACAAAATTAATTTTCTTTTCCACACAAATTACACCACCAAGCTCGTAATGTAAAGCGCCATCTCCACGTAACAAATAATAATATGAAATATCAAATTTAAATTTGAATAATTATTAAGGAATAACGAATATATATTATTTTTTTATTTTATTATAAATAATAAAACCACATAATTTATTATGTATTTTTTAAGCTATTTTAAAATTAGTCAAAACATTTTATTTTCAAAACGTTGGTATTTCCACAATTTGAAGTATTTAAACTGCCATTTTAATTATTAGACATAACCTAAACCCCGATTCAAACCGGAATCAGCAACGCAAAAAAAGCGTTGCTAATTCAGATGAAACATTCAAAAAATTTACATACAAAGGGTTCGAGAGTTCGTTTCAATTTCCCACCAAAAACCTCTTAACCTTTAATATCATTTGGAATAAGTCGCATAGATTAATGATAATATTCATGATAACGGCGGGCTCTATAAATTCGCATTCGGGTCATATGCTAGCCAGTTGCAATCCAGTTGTTCTTGAATTGAAATCGTGAAATAAATATTCAAGTTAAACTTAGTGATTCGTTCCAAAGAAAGAGGATAAATTTTCGAGAAAATGCCACCTAACGCTTTGAGTGAAACCGGGGTCTTATTCGAGACCGAAAATGAAATCGCCGTTCAAGAATTACCCGGAAACGTGCAAAAACCGGATAATAGGAAATTGGAGTTAGTATGGAGAAACATTATTCTTATGGGATATCTTCATATTGCTGGGGTTTATGGTGCTTATCTTATGGCTACTTCTGCTATGTGGAAAACTGTTTTCTTTTGTAAGTTTTTAATCTTTCAATTAAAAAATTAACTAATAAATTATTTAATTTGTTAGCCATTGCCATGTATCAAATGGGAGGTTTGGGAATTACAGCCGGTGCTCATCGTTTATGGGCTCATAAATCCTACAAAGCTAAATGGCCATTAACTCTTTTATTAACAATTTTCAACACAATTGCTTTCCAGGTAAGAAATCAAAAATAAAAAAAAAATTTAAATTAATAATTAAAATTTGATTCTTTAAGGACGCTGTTGTTGATTGGGCTCGCGACCATCGAGTTCACCACAAATACAGCGAAACTGATGCTGATCCCCACAACGCCAAACGTGGATTTTTCTTCGCTCACGTCGGTTGGTTGCTTTGCCGTAAACATCCAGAAGTTAAAGCTAAAGGAAAAGGAATCGACATGTCCGATTTATACGCAGATCCAATTCTTAAGTTCCAAAAAGATTACTACTTAATCGTAATGCCTTTAATCTGCTTCGTTATTCCAACTATAATTCCGATGTACTTTTGGGATGAAACCTTCCAAAATGCTTTCTTCCTTAATCTCTTCAGATACGTTTGGACTTTGAATATAACTTGGTTGGTTAACTCTGCTGCTCATATGTTTGGAGATAAACCATACGATAAATACATCAACCCGGCTGAAAATAAAACTGTTGCCGTTTTGGCTTTAGGTGAAGGATGGCACAACTATCATCACACTTTCCCATGGGATTACAAAACCTCTGAATTAGGAAAATACAGCGTAAATTTATCATGTTTGTTTATCGATTTTATGGCAAAACTTGGATTGGCTTATGATATGAAAACGGTTTCTGTTGACATGATCAAAAAGAGGGTTGAAAGAACTGGAGATGGTACCCATGAATTGTGGGGATGGGGCGATAAAGATCAACCGGCCGAAGAACGTAACGAAGCCATCATTCTTAACAGAAAATTACAATAAATGATGATTTATTTTTCTTTGGAGATATGACATTCGTTGAATTATAATTATTAATTTATGCATTGCAAGACTTAATTTATTTATTTAAACAATCATTTTTACTTAAAATAAACAAACATATTTTCATAAATTTGTATCAATTCCTTTCGACCTTGAAAAACAAAGGATTAATTGTTATAAAATATGTAGACTTTCTGAATAAATTTACATAAATATTAAAGTTTAAACAACGATTGTTTGAACATAATTATTGAATCATTTATTTTTCTCATTAGAAAAATATTGAATTATTTATTCTAACACTAGTCTGTCATATTTATTTTTACATAAGACACATGAACACGAAATGATTTATTTATAAAAAATTAAGGATCAGCTGTTGTCTTATAAGATCAACCTTTAATCTCTTCACTAAACTATGTCAATAATAATATTATGATTGCATTAAAATAAAAAGTAGCTTTTAATAAATAAATAAAATATTTATTAATCCCGTAAGCGTGGTAAGCGGGTCAAGCGTGAGAGCCGGAAATTTCCGGATTGTAGAATTTCCTTATTTTCAACGGATAGTGAGTGTAAATGCAAGTTATGAGTGATGAGTCAGCAAGATAGGAAGAGGTTATAATGATGCCTATCGATCGACCTAACAATCCGGTACGGCGTCAAACTTAAAGGAACATTTGATTTTGAATCCTTACTTCGTTACACACCGCGGCGGACTCTCTAAGGGCGTAATTATAATTACTTAAAGGTATCCGGATTATACCAGAGTGTTGGAACAAAGTAGTAACGTTATCGGGAAAAATGAATGACAGGATTGGGAAAGATGAAGAATTTTTGTGACTTCAAGTAATTTGAACGTACCACACACATTTTTGACACCTTTTATGTCATTAAGAAACATTTTGACATCCATTAGTTTCCCAGTGATAGGGGAAAGTGTTGTACCTTGGGACGGTTATACCTAGGAACATTGGCGATAATATATAAGGTGTTAAGGAAGTAGGAAGTGTTACATCCGGTGAAAGAGGAATTAACATTACTATGATTATTGCGATTAATGCCATTGGTAATCATGTTGATTTATCCCATAGTACATTTCAAGTGCCACATGCTGATTGGTGCTCCAAAAGGATTCATTGATACCTTTTAACACACTTTGACGTTTTAGATAGTTTTCTAATTATAGCTTCAATCTATTTTTATCTATACCTGTCAAGATCAAATAGGGTTGTTGTTGGTGTTACTGTTTGTTTTATTGAACGTCAATGTGACAAGATGATTTCAAAACATGATATAACAAAATTTCCTGTTAATCTTTATTTATTAACTTTTCTGTTGAGTCTATTGTTTTGAAATAAATTCTTTAAGTCTGTGCTAATTTTAAAGAATTTTTAAGGAAAATTACAAATGTTTCACATTTTTCTTTAAAATGGGTATCAATATCAACTGGAACGTCGATTCTTATAATCTTTATAAAAAATCGTTTAAAATAAATCCAAACACGATAGGGTTACATTAAAAAATAACCGAGATAAGAACATTTTTTAATATGTTATGTGTGATTTTCTCTCACAAAGCTACTTGTTTTCGTATGTTATGATTGATCTAGTGACCAATGACGGGTTAATTTAGATTTAGTAATTAATTATTATACATTGACGTTTTTTATTTGACGTTGACAACCAGACTCTGACATTTAATTTCGTAAATTTCTTAAACTAAAAAGTTGATTTTATAATTAAGTTGAAACAACTTCCTTTTAAAATGATATAAACAGCACATAATCATTTTTTTTATAATACGGATTGTTTTTGCGGAAACCGTTCTATTTTGAGTAAATCTAATCCATTTGTATGCACATACATATTTTTCGTTTTGTCGATTATTATACTGTCGTTAAGTGATACTAAAGATGCTTTTAATTTACACATACATAGATATATATAAACTATTTGTAAAAAATTAATGCTTTAATTGTTGATTATTTTCCGATGATTCTCGAACTATTAAACCGAATTACCTTTTCTTGCCATAACAACGTTTTGTTGAATCATTTAAAGGTTTTCAATGTCACGATATGTTAATGGATTTCTTTAATTCTTTATTATTCCATTAAAATTTAATTATAGTTAATGATTTTTGTTTTAATTAATAAACGGCGTTATCCAAAAAAAGCTGATTTTTTTTAACGATTTCGTTTCGGTTAACGATTTTCGCGTATTTCTGCCAACAACGAAAGAGAACGTGGTCTCTAGGAAACAGTAAAATAGAGAAGGTGGGGGGGCAGAAGTACGATCACGCCACGATTGCGCCGCCAAATCGTAGGGCTCCGCTTCTGTCGTCCGACTCGGGCCCCCTTTTAACGACCTTTGGACTCCATTCGACCACCAAGTTCAGTTTGCCGGTTCTTTTTTAACTTGTGCGGATCATTTCCGAGCATTCTGCATTAAACTGTCGTTTAGTGTGGATCAAAAATTTTATTTTAATACATTTATTTTTGTAAAGTGGAGAATAAATAAGTTTTGGATAAAAAAAGTTTTTTTTGGTAAGAAATAACTTAAAAATAAAAATTTTATTGATTTTTTGATAAAGTTTATAACCATCTTATCTCATTTTTTTAAAAATATTTTTAGCAAACATATTTATTTATGTTTAATTTATTAAAAAGAAACACCCTCATCACCTGTTTCTTGAATCTGCTTTCTCATTGGCTTAGAAGTTCATGGTCTGATCAGTTTGATCCAAAGCTTTAAATTAATAATTCCTTATATTTAAGTCTTTTTATTTAAAAAAATTTAACTTGTAAATTAAAATAAAATTAATTCCTTTTCTTAATCAATAAGATTAAACAATTTTTTTTTAATAAAAATCTCCGTTCAACGTGGAGTATTGATTTTCCCGATTAAGAAAAAGCTTTTCCAGCTGACATTTTGAAGGTCATCATCAAGGCTTTATAAAAAACCTTTGCAATTCATTTAACATTTAAATCAATACTTGTTTACATTTTAATTTTATTGATTAATTTGCTACGTGATTAAAAACACTAATTTATTATCAATCTGATTAAATATAAATAATAATAATAATAATTAAAACAAATTAATTTAAACATGCACATTTATTATTGACATATTTTTGACGTTTAATGTTAAACTGACGTTTAAAAACGTCAACAAAACAATAAATTTAATTAAATAAAATCATTTTATGTTTATTTTTGGTAATTAAAAAACGATTTCTTTAATTAAATAAATCTTAACATTTCTTTTTTAAAATAATCATTAATATCTTAAAGGTTTTAAAAAATTAATTTAAATGACAAACGTCAAATTGACATTTAACATTTACATAAGTTCATAACTATTAATTTAATTTTTTAAATTTAATAAAATAGTTGTTTTTCTTCGTTTCAAATTGTTTTTGAACATGCTAAAAGAACTTTTAACCGACATCCAATTTAAAAAAATTAGTCAATTTAACAATTTAATGATAGCCCAGAAATCGCCGACTTCCTTTTCACAAAAACCAAGCAATAAATTTAAAATTGCAATACCTTATTTTTCCTTTTTCTTTGAAGATTTTCGGCGTTAAAAGAAATTTTCGAAGCGATGGCACCTAATCTGTCGAGCCAAACTGGTATTCTCTTCGAAGGCGAAGAGTTAATATCAGAATTTTCCGGTGGAAATCAAAAGCCCGATAACAGGAAATTAAAACCCGTATGGAGGAACATCATTTTAATGGGTTATCTACATTTAGCTGCTATTTACGGTTGTTATTTAGCGTTTACTTCCGCTAAATTAGCAACAACAATTTTTGGTAAGAAAAATTAATTGAAAAGATTAAAATTATCATATCATATTTATGAGTCAGAATATTAATTAAAGTCCAAAATACCACTTTAACATTTATATAATATAAATACAATAATTTTTGAAATGTAATGTCATCAGTTAAGTTAGTCACAAACTCTTCATGTTGATTCGAATAATTAATAATAATTTCTTTTTTAGCTTTTATAATGTATCAACTAAGTGGATTGGGAATAACTGCTGGTGCTCATCGATTATGGGCTCATAAATCTTATAAAGCAAAATGGCCTTTAAGATTAATGTTAACAATTTTTAATACAATCGCTTTCCAAGTACGAAAGAAAAAAAATAGCCTAATTAAAATATATTTCATTATTTTTATTTTAGGATGCTGTTGTTGATTGGGCTCGTGATCATCGTGTTCACCACAAATTTAGTGAAACCGATGCTGATCCACATAATGCAAAGCGAGGCTTTTTCTTTTCCCATGTTGGTTGGTTATTGTGTCGTAAACACCCGGAAGTCAAACAAAAAGGAAAAGGAATTGATATGTCCGATTTATATGCAGATCCGATTCTTAAATTCCAAAAAGATTACTATTTAATGGTGATGCCAATTTTTTGTTTTCTCATTCCGACTTGGGTTCCGATGTACTTCTGGGGTGAAACTTTCAAAAACGCTTTCTTTATGAATCTCCTTCGATACGCCTGGGCTTTAAATGTAACTTGGTTGGTGAACTCGGCTGCCCATATGTTTGGAGACAAGCCTTACGATAAATATATTAATCCCGCTGAAAATTTATCGGTAGCCCTTTTGGCTTTGGGCGAAGGGTGGCACAACTATCATCACACTTTCCCATGGGATTATAAAACCGCTGAATTAGGAAAGTACAGCGTTAATTTAACGTGCTTGTTTATTGATTTAATGGCGAAAATCGGTTGGGCTTACGATTTAAAAACGGTTTCTGAAGATATGGTTAGAAAGAGGGTTGAACGAACGGGAGATGGATCTCATGAATTGTGGGGATGGGGCGATAAGGATCAAAGTGAAGAAGAAAGAACAGGTGCTCTCATTTTAAATAAACAAGATTAATATTAAAAATCAAAACAAAGTTATGGATCTACTCAAAGACCAATTTTATCACTTGGTGATTTGTAGATTTTTACTATTACAAACAAAAATTGAAATATCATGTGATATAACTATTAGATAATAAGTTTTTTGCACTGTTTAAATAAGGCGATCATTTAATTTATTAAAGTGTATTGAAAAAAGCAGAGGTGGTTTTATTTCAATTTTATCTCCTTGTAATTTTATCTCCATTTTATTAAACATTGTTAATTAAAAACAGTTTGTTTTTGAAACTTTAAAATTTAAAAAATGTTTAACGATACAAATAATAATGCAACCGGCGTTTTAGAAGAATCGGATTTAATCGAACAAAATGCGACAGAATCAATTATTGAAACCGATTGGAAATTAAAATTAGTGTGGAGAAATATTATCTTTATGATATACATACACATTTCGTTTATATACAGTTGGTATGTTCTCTTTACGTCAGCATTGGGAAAAACAATTCTTTATGGTGAGACATAAAGCCATAAAGCAAGCTTTATATTTACCACTTTAAATTTATCTTTTTTTTAGCAATATTAATGATGATTTTCACCGGTTTTGGATTAACAGCCGGTGCTCATCGCCTTTGGACTCATAAAGCTTACAAAGCAACAAAGAAATTAAAAGTTTTTCTCGTTATTTTAAATTCTATGGCTTTTCAGGCAAGAAAATGAAAATTATAAGTATTTAAATTAATTCCTTTTCGGTTTAAAGGGTTCAATTATAGATTGGGCAAGAGATCATCGATCGCATCATAAATATAGTGAAACCGATGCTGACCCTCATAACCCAAAACGAGGCCTTTTCTTCTCGCACATTGGATGTTTAATGTCTCGAAAACACCCAGCGGTATTTGAAAAAAGCAAAAATATCGACTTCAATGATCTCCTAAGCGAACCGATTTTGATTTTTCAAAAGAAATATTATCCCATCATAATGCCTATAATGACCTTTATAATTCCAACTTTAATTCCGATTTATTTTTGGAACGAAACGTTTTATTCCTCGTATTTTATGAATATATGGAGATATACGATTACATTAAACGGAACTTTATCGATTAATTCGATTACTCATCACGTAGGAAATAGACCTTATGATAAGTAAATTATTTAAATTCCTTTCGTTTTAATTATTAATTTTCTTCTTTTAGAAATATGTATGGAACTGAAGTTTCTTATATAAGCGTTTTAAGTTTAGGAGAAGGATCTCATAATTATCATCACGTATTTCCTTGGGATTACAAATGTTCAGAATTTGGTAATTACTCCTTAAATTTAACGTGCATCTTTTTGGACTTAATGGCGAAAATTGGTTGGGCTCACGATTTGAAAACGGTTTCTAAAGAAACTATTAAAAATCGTGTTTTAAGAACGGGAGATGGTACACATCCCGTTTGGGGATGGGGCGATAAAGATCAACGTTTAGAAGATAAAGAAAATGTTAAAATAATCTATAAGAGAATATAATTTGTATTAATAATGTTTATACTTTAAATGTTATAAATTTAAATAAATTTTTTGTATTATAGAAACCTGTAAAATAGTTAACCTTACTTAATCATAACATAACCTTAAAAAATGTATATCTTACGGAAATTATCAAAATTAATAATTGTTTCCCATACTAAACGATATTTTTGTACAGATTTAAGTAAATTTAAGCCTCCTTATAAAGTATTATTCTTCGGTACGGATCAATTTTCATTAGAAAGCCTAAAAGCTCTAACTATTGAATGGTAAGCAAATCCATTCAAATCACTTAATTTTGTATTAAGAAAATGATTTTAGTAGAAAAAAAGTAATTATAGATCGTTTAGAAGTTGTAACCACATTTAAAAGCAAACCAAATAAGATTTATTCATTTAGTGCTCAAGAAAATATAATACTTCATCAATGGCCTTTAACGAACGAAATTAATGGTTTCGATTTGGGTTTGGTGGTTTCCTTTGGATATTTAATACCGGAAAAAATTATAAATTCATTTCCATTGTAAGCTAAAAGAATAATAAATAAGTGTATCTATGAATCTATAATTTTTTAGAGGAATGTTAAATGTTCATGCAAGTTTATTACCACGTTGGAGAGGAGCGGCCCCTATTATTTACGCTTTAGCAAATGGTGACGCAAAAACAGGAGTTTCAATTATGAAGGTAAAACCAAAACATTTCGATATTGGGGAGATTTTAAATCAAGCTGAAATTGAAATTTCTAGTGACACAACTCAAGTTAATTTGTATAAAAATCTATCTGAACTAGGAGCTAAAACTTTAATTGAAACATTGTATAATTTACATAAGTTAAAGGCTCAAAAACAAAGTGAAATAGGGGTGACAAATGCTCCAAAAATAAAAAGTAATTTCGCCAATGTTATCTTTAACAAAATGATTGCAATCGATGTTTATAATTTAAGCCGTGCTTTAGATGGTTTATATCCTTTAAATACGAAATGTGGAAATTTACCAATTAAGCTTTATAATGTAAAGTTGTGTTCATATAAAAATAATTCAATAGTACCCGGTGGAGTGGTTTATGATAAAAAAGATAAAACTCTCAAAATAATGTGTTCCGATCATAACTTTATTAGTGTTAAATCGTTGGGAATTGTTAACAAAAAGATAATGAATGCCGAAGAGTTTAATAATGGGTATTTAAGAAAAATCCCAAATAAACTGTTTTGTTAATTAAATTATAAAATTTTTTAAAAATTGATTTATGTCAAATATGTTGAACAATAAAAATATAGATGGCGCTCCAAAAATTTTATTTTGTGATAATTAAGGTATTTAACAAAAGTCGATTAATATTTTTAATGATTTATAATTCTGTTTCTGGTTCTTCTGGTGGTAAAGACATTTTAACCCTAAAAAATTAGAAAAATTAATGAAGATAAGTTGAACTTTTTAAAAATAGATGGCGGTAAATAAAAAAAATGTTTAAATCTCAAACATTCAAATATGATACTTACTTTAAACAAATAAGAAACAAAGCGTATTTGGGTTGTTTATTGCCTTAAATTTTTTAATTGACACAATGAACAAGGTTAAATTAATTAGCACATTAATAAACACGAGTTAATTACATTTAATTATTGAAATATTATGTACATTGTGGTTATTACTTAAATTACCATGCAAAAAAGTAAAAAAATTGATAAAGTAGAAAAAAGAGAAAGTTTTATGGCACAAACACATTTTTTGTTCTTCATTGTTCACAGTTTAGACTGATAGTGTTTAGTCTCCCTGGAAAGTAAAAAAAGCGTTCGTTTAAATTTAAATATATGTATAAAATAAAAAAGCCAATTTCTTGATTTTTGTAATATATTTTCCACTTATTTACAAATACGTGTAAAAAATGTAAAAAAATATAATCTGTTTTAATGATGACATAAAAAAGACCAAGCACATAAAAAACACTTAATAATTGTAAATAAATGGTTAAAAGAAAGGTTTTTGGGATGACTCGGGTTACACAAAGGAAATATTTTTCGGGATAAACCTGAAATTTAACATAAATTCAACAAATTTAACAAATCCAACAAATGACAATCACATTTTCTTAAAATTAGTTAAAAACACATTTTTATCTTACTTTATTATATATTTTTTACAAAAAAAAAAAAATTGAGGTTATATTTAAATTTTTATAGTTAATTCTGTTTATTAATTTTTTTTTTTGTAAAAAAAAAATCTCGTTTCTCGTTCTGAAAAGGTAAATTTAAAACCAACATGAAGAAAAATTTGTAAACATAAAAATTTAAAAAATCCCAACAATAATTGCACGAATAGGATTTCCAATTCTAACCTTACTTTTGATGATCAATACTTACATATGCTCGGGATGATTTCTAATACAATCAATCATACCTTCCGGAGGAATATCGCCGTTACAAATCTTATGAATAGCAGTAAAAAGCGGAAATCTAAAAAAAGATTTTGTTGTAATCAAGAAAAAAGAAAACTTTAATTCTTACTTATCCTCCATCTCCTTCTTTTTCAACATAAAATTGACTTCTTCAGCCGTAATTGGACCTTGTAATTTTTGCCCATTTAACATCGAATCTTCAAGTTCTTTAATTGTTTTCCGTGTTCTTACAAACGCCTCGCACACTTTCCGATTACGTCCCCCATAACATGTTGTAATTAAATCAGCGACACCGCAACTTTCAAAAAATGTTGAAAGTTTACTACCAGGATAAAAAACATCAACGAATTTAATCATTTCCATCAAACCCAAACGAATTACTGCCGCTTTTGTGTTATCTCCAAGATCGAGACCGTCCACAAAACCAGCTCCGCAAGCTACAATATTCTTTAATGCTCCGCAAATTTCGACAGCATCTTCATCATCAACCACAACAACTCTGAAGTAACTCGTTTGGATGATGTCTCTTAAATAAGGGGCAACTCGGCTGTCTCGACATCCAATTGTAGTTTCGCAGAATTTTTCATCAGCAACTTCGGGTGCTAAATTAGCTCCCATTAAGACAGCACATTGTATTCTTAAATGGCGGGTGATTATATGGGAAATTAATTCAATTCCACCACCAGCAGCTTGATCAAAACCCTATTTAAAAATTAAAAAATGGTAATTATTTATCTTTATATCCCTCTAGTAATGAAAAGTTGAAACTTACTTTAATTAATGATAAACCAATAGCGGTAGGTTTAATTTTTTCAAATAAAGTGGAACATATAGTTCTAATAAATTGATGAGGAAGCACAAAAATTAATATATCAGCATCTTTGGCGGCATCAACAACATCAGGAATCGCAACCTATCAAAAAAATAAAATAAAATAAGATTATTTTTATTTAATTATCAGATTGTAATTTGTACTTTAAGATAAGAGTGTAAAGTTTAAAGATGTTTATTTACATACCACATTTTCTGGTAATTTATGCCCTGGTAAATACTTGACATTTTCATGAGTTTCATTAATAATATCTGTAAGGTTTTTCCCATTAATAACCTCTTCATAGACATACATTGTAACAGTATTATCAAAATGAGGTAAATTCAAGACATTAGTCCCCACGATTTTTGCAATAACAGAACCCCTAAAAATAATTTTGAAAAATTAAATGTCAAAAATGACGTTTTAAAAAGTTAGTTAGGTTAAATAATGAATTTAATGATTTTATAAATAAAATTTAACTGAAACCATACAAATACTTACCAATTTCCGCTACCCACGATGCATACTTTCTTTAATTTCTTCGACATCACTTAAATTTAGCCCCGAAGGTCAAAAAAAAACCAAAAGTATCAAAAATGATCAAGAACCAGACACTACTGGTTGACAAATAGTAAATGATTACGAGTTCTTTATACGACTTGGCTTCAAAATTGAGATAACACCGTGTGTGGGGCACATGAGTGGGGACGCAGACGGTTTTAAGGTCATCTCACTGTAGAGACTGTTTTGTGGGACATAGAATATATTTAACGATCTGGAGATAAAATTTTATTCTCCCCATCGTTTCAAATCTACTTCATTCAATTGTAATTTATAGAAATAAGTTTATATCAAAGATTTAAGTTATATTTAATTAAATTTACGTTGCAATTTTATTGATTTCGAAAGAAATAAAATTTAATGGTTGGATTTATTAATACCCCCACCACTATTTATACACTCTCCAGATATTTAAATATCGTTTTAGAGAATGTTTTGACCCTTATAACCTTGTAAAGTCTCACAAATACATCTATGTCTACTTTTAGTGATATTTCGATAAAGAAAAATGCATTTTAGATAATAGAAGCTTACAAATAATCTTTATTGAAGTTATCTAAATTATAGGTTATGTAATTAATAATTTTTGACGTTTTATCTGTCAATTTAACATTTAAATGTTTTAAAATTTCCATTGTTGTTTTAAATTTTTCATTGTTATCAATTACTACCAATAAATAATAATTTATAATAATTGCTGTGCTTAAAATTTTCCAATGGAATTTGAGACGATAATTTTAAAATTTCAAACAAGGTATTTTTAAAAGCATTGTCAAATAGTTTTTCAATCGACCTTTTTGTTTATTATTTTTAAACCCAACTGCATCGCTTGCGAAACATGAAACTGTGGTTAATCTATCTATTTATTGCTATTTATTATCGTTATTAAACGGATTACGAATTAAAAATCATTTCTACTTTCAAAGCATAATTTTCAAGGTCTGAAAGTTATTACGTAAAGATTTTTTTTAATCTAACACAAATTCTTTAACTTTCACTTACTCGTATTATTTTTTATGTATAATTTAATTTGATGATTATTTATTTACAACTATTAATTAATAAATTTAAATAATTTTAATAATTTATTGTCGCCATCTATAATTTGAAATTATAAATATTTTTAGGTTATTACAGAAAACTTTACAAAGTAGTTAATAAATATATTTATTAATGTTTTGATTTTAAAGAACAAATAAAACGGTTAAAATGACTCCAAGTAATGATAAATTAATAGTGATAGCAACTGCTGAATTATATTTAGCATTTAACCAATCATCGAGTTCTTTCTGGGCCCAATTTATATTAGCCGCTGCGTTTGTTAAAGAACTTTGAACCTGTTGGTAACCTTCTTTTAATAATTCTTTGTTGGCTTCAGCAAATTCGGAGAAGTTGTCGATTTGTTCTTGAGTTGTAAATCTATCAGTCATGCTACTTATAATGTTTGTTAAATCATTCATTCCACTATAACTAAAAAATTAAATAAAATTAGGAAAATTAATAAGTTATGCAACCCAACTTACTATGAGCTCAAATCCTCTAGATTAGCTGTGAAAAACTCATAAGCAACATTAACACCATTTAAATTTCCGGTTAAAACAGCGGTGAAAACTGATCTGGCGTCTTGTTTACGAATTGGTGAACCAACGGTGATTGATTTTTTTAAATAGTCGTTTAAAATATCTTGATCAGTTGTACAACCCAAAGCACTTAAAATCGTTACTTGTTCAGTAGCTAACGAAGTTGATGTGAATTTCTCCCAAAGGAAATTCCAATCACTTTCAATATCATCCGAATTACGCAATGCAGTACAATAAACCGTACTCCTCAAATTTGGATCAATTCTACAAATAAAAAATAAATTAAACGTAAATAATAAATTAATACAAATAATTACTTGATTCCATTTTCTTTATAATCCTTAAATAATTCTTTAGCTTTACTAACACAACTCTCAACACCCAAATTACAACTCCAATCTAAAGCTAAAGCCGTTTTTAAAATGGTTATAAAATCATCGTTATTTGAAATATCAAAAGAAACGCTATCATATAATTTTGCCATTAATTCTCGGATATGTGACTCGAGATATTCACTTTCACCACGTCTTCTCCTCAAATAAGAAAATGCACTTAAAGCTGAATACCAAGGAAAATACTCGGTTTCTTCAGATAAATATGAAGTAACGTCTAAAGCTCTTTCGTAAGATACAATTCCAGCTCTAGCTAAATTAAAGACGTCATCGACGACTTGTGCGCGATTAATAACTTTAATTCCATCGAAATTTTCTTTTTTTAATCCAATTTCTAGTTGATCCCATAAAATGTCGTCGTAATTTACTCGATAATAACCGTTTTCGTTTATATTAACCAAAACCCATCCAGTTCCTCCATGAAGAATATTTGTGATTGTGTAATTATTATCGGGGATCATCCACATGATCTCGTTATCTTCAAACACTTTTTCGTGACTTGTTGTATATGTTATTGGAATATACCATTTGGTGTTTTCATCATTTTCGGTTTTTCCATACAAGAATCGTTCCTAAAAGTGTATTAAAAATTATAAATAAAAGAATTTTTTGATTTTCCTTTTTCATTACTTGGGTTAAAACGGCATCATTTCGTTCTAAAGTTACTGTAACCACTGGAAATCCAGATTTTTCGGTCCAATTTTCCATTACTTGTTCTAAAGTTTTTCCCGTTGGTAAATTTGCAGCGTGTAGTTGGAGTTTATCCCATAAATTTTTTGGTACCGTGTTTGAGTATTCGCTAAAAATTGAAACATCATTAAATTAGAATTTAAATGTCACGTTTAGTGTTAATTGGGGCAAATTAGAGATGGCGCCATTTCACTTTACTTTAAATTTTTTGATACTGTGTTTGAGTGTTTGCTATAAACTTAAAAATTTGACGTTTTATGTTAATTGGGGTGAATCATAGATGGGCGCCACTTAAATTAACTTACTTGGTTTTTAAGTAATCTTGAATGCCTTTTTTAAAGTTTTCTTCCCCCATAAAATGATTCATCATTCTGATGATTGATCCTCCCTTACTATAAGAAATCGATCCGAACTTTGCGCTCACTTCATTTGGGGTGTAAGCTTCGGAATTTAAAGCGAAAGCGTTTGAAATGGCATCCGAAACGAAAATCACTTGTTGTTGCTCAATAACAAATAATTTTTCTAATTCCCATGTAGTTTCAACCTCTTTTGTGATATAATATTGTAAATATCTTGCAAAACCTTCATTTAACCAAGTGTATTGCCACCATTGTAACGTAACCAAATCACCAAACCACATATGAGCAAATTCGTGTGCAATTACAGTGGCAACTCTTGATTTGTAACTTGTTGTTGATTCTTCAGGATCCCATAAAAGAGCAGTTTCACGATAAGTGACTAATCCCCAATTTTCCATAGCACCAGCGGAAAAATCAGGAATAGCAACTTGATGCATTTTATCTGTATTTTCCATTGAATAATATTTAAAATTTGTGTAATCATTTAAAACGTCTAAAATTTGTGGACCAATGTAATAAGCGTATTTTGCAGTTGGTAACGCATCTTCGCGGCAAAACACATCGTAAATTAAATTATCACTTCCGGTTACAGTTTGGCCGTAGCCTTTAAATTTAGATACGATAAAAGCAATGAGATAAGTTGACATTTTTGGTGTGGTTTGAAAAACATCTTTTTCAAGATCAGTTGCAATTGAAATAGTGTCAATCTTTTTCGTGTTAAAGAGTGCCATAAAATTCTTGGATCTTGTTATGGTAAAATCAAAAGAAGCTTTGTATTTAGGTTCATCAAAACATGGGAAAACTTTTCTTGCGTGAGTCGGTTGAAATTGAGTGGTTGCAACAAATTCCTCTGTTTTCTGTTCATCATCTAAAGTGTATGAGCTCAAATAAAATCCGTACATATCTTCAGTTCTTAATTTGCCTTTAAATTTTAAATCTTTAATAACAAATTCGTCTGTTACGTCAATTTCATTATTAAAAGTTAACGTTATCATGTCATAATTATTAAGATATTGAATTTCATAACCAGTCTCTGTTGGGGTGTTCTCACTAAAATCTAATTCTTCCGCGTGTAAAGTGATAATGTTTGTTTTTTCAAGAATTTTTACTCTGATTTCAGCAATTCCAGTAAAAGATTTTGTATCGGCAAAGTCATCGTTTACCACTAAATCGATTTTATAATTAATTGGTTCCGCCTTTGTGGGCAAAAAATATTCAGGTCCAGCTCTTGTGTTTAAGGTCGTTTTTGTCAAATTGGAGTTTGTTGGTAAACAGTTACCCTTTTGGATTAAAAGCGCGAAAATTGTTAATAAAAGCGAATTAAATAATGCACCCATTTTCTAAAAATAAAAAAAAATTAATAAGAAAACTTCAAATAAATAAAAACTAAGTAAGATTTTATCAAAAGTCTGGATCTTATTGCCTTTATTCATCCATCACAGAACTTTGAGTGTTTTTTGATTAGATAAGAAGATTTAGGAGCACAATAAAGTTATAAAAGATGTTTGTTATAAATTAAGAAACAAATTTTAAAACTTATATAACTTAAAATTTTTTTTTCTTCTTACTATAAACTTCAACTTCAAAAACTTTTTTGAAGTTAATAATTAATTATTAATAAATAATTAATCTTATACAACATAAAATATTTCTAAATCATTGACTTACCTTAGAGATTAACCGATAAACACCGAAGATTAAAACTGAGCTAAAATCAAATTTTTTCCCCCCATTTATAACGAATCCGCGCTAAATTAATCTAATCTCAAATTATCCCGCTTTTGTTTTTTTCATATATAAGAATGCAAGGGTATTATTTTCTATTTTGTATTGATCATTCAGAGATTAACTTGTCAAGGTCTTAAAAAGTAAAAACAGATTTGATATCAATAAATTTATGTTCTAAATCTCTAATAATCGTCCCTTTTCATTATTTATCTATTGCTGGGTTCTTCATGAATAATTCTATTCCAACATTTATTTTTAACTGCTTTTTATCTAGTTATGTCATCTCAATCAGTTCTTGAGATATGATTTTATAAAGATCCATTAACGAGATTTATGGAATCGAAGAAATGATATAAAGCACCTTAAAACTAGATTAAATTTGCTTCAAAATGGTTTTTATCTCACTTTGATATGTTTGTTACTTTATGAGTTATGATGTTCTCAATTTCCATAGTTTTTCATAAAAATTTAGAGGTATGATGCTATTCGAATCTTATTGGAGTGTGTCAAAATGCTACTAATCGACTAAAAACACCACTAGAATACTCACCGAGGATGAAAAACTTAAAAAAATATACTTTGATCTTTTTTGGCAGTGTTTCAAAAATGTCAGGAAGCAGGAAAACCTTGATCGTGTGCGCCAAAATTATTCTAATTGACTGGAAACACCTTGAGATTGTATAATAAAGGTAAAACAAGTTTATTACATTAATGGGGATGTTTTGCAGAAAATTAAAAAATTATAAATTATGGGAAAAGTTGATAGCCGTGAATCAAAATGATTCTAAACGATTAAATACATCCAGAGGAGATTTAAAGTATAAGATAATTAAAAAAAAAAGATTTTGATGTTTATTCATAGGGTTTCAAAGATGTCAGTAATGAGAAAAAACTTGTTGGTGTGTGTCTAAATGGTAAAAATCTTGAGATTATTTAAAAAAGGTTAATTGGTGTGAGTTAAAATTAATCGAGTTCCAATTAATTCGAAACAACTTGATGTTATTCAACAAAACCAGTAGAAGTTTTTTAAAATAAGATAGTAGATAATTTATTAATAATTACGAATATAATCTACAATCTATTAAAATCTAATCATCTGTTTAAAATACATTCAACACTACCAACATACTTAACAATAAAGTAAAACTAACAGTTACAAAACCAGCACTTCCATAAGTATCGCCCAACCAGGTTTGTACATCTCCTAAATTATTTGTTGCCCATTCATTATTAGTTGTTATAGTTTTAATAGCTTCTTCTAAGACGGATTTGAAATCAGCATCTTCAATTTTTTCTAAAATATCAGCATGTTCTTTTAACGATGTCCTCGTAGCGATTCCTCCAATGATCGATTTCACAACAGTATCTTTAAAAGTAGTTTTGACATCTGCAAAATTATCAGCGACAAAATTTAAGGCTGTTTTAAGTCCAATTTCACTTGAAGAGTAAACAGCTGAAAAAGCTGTTTGTTTATCAACATCATGGAGAACGAAATCTTTGTATTCATCCGGATTTTTTCCAATTGCAAACTTCAATAAATGTGTTAAATACTCTTCATTTAACGAACATCCAAGTCCTGATACAATTCGTGCCCTTTCCAAATATTCAACTGATTCGTTTTCATAACGTTCCAATAAATATTCAAATTTCGTTTTAATGTCATCCGCTTTCCTCATTCCACCGCAATAATAAGGATTTTGAAGATCCGGTAAAGCTGATTCGGTTTTAGATTGAAGTTCTAATAATTTTTCGTGGACATCATTCGTGCAATTTTCTTCTTCAAATCTACACATCCAACTGATTAGTTGAGCACGATTTAATTTCTCAACGTGATTCGTTGAATCAGCGATTTTAAGCGTTTCGTAGGCAGTTTTTAAAGATTCAATAACGAATGGTTTAAAATTATCGTAATGTTCAGTTGAAATTAAATAATTGTTGAGGAAACTAGCTGATTTTAAGAACGTTGCTAATGGAATATATTCGGTTTCTCGAGTTAAATACCGTGATAATCTTAATGGGATATCGTAATTTATTCTTTTAGCACGAGCTAAATTGAAAGAATCGTCGATTAATTGGGCACGATTTAAAACGGGGATTTTGTTGAAATCGTCTGAATCTAAATAATTTATGATTAAATCCCAATTGGTGGCGTCGTAATTTACGCGATAAAATCCGGTTTGTTGTTTGTTTAAGATGAACCAGTTTTCAAGGGGGATTTTTAGCTCGGTTTCTGCTTTATCCGCTTCCAACCAAAAGTCAGTTTTGGTTGATGTAAAATCTATTTCGTCACCTCGAGCAAAATTAATAGGAATAGCCCAAACTGTGGATTCACCAGATGGTGATTTTGAATATAAAAATCGATCTTGACTCAAACTGATTAAGCCTTCATCATTTCTTTCTGCGTAAACGACTGGATAACCCACATTTCCATTCCAAGTTTCCATTATATCAGCTACTTTTCTTGTGTCTAAACCATACTCTTTCTTTTTATCTTCACTTAATGTGTCAACGGCTGATTGGATTCCGGCCCATAAATTAGTTGGTACAACACTACCACTTTCTGTCATAGCTTCCAAATAATTTTTAAGTCCAAGTTTAAAAATATCTGTTGTGACGATATGTTCCATCATTCTAATAACTGCACCAGATTTTTGATAAGCAATTCGATCGAAAAAGTTTGAAATATCCTTTTGGGTGTAAACCTTGGCGTTCATGGCTCTTGTATCATCGGCTGCATCTGATTCTAACGCGAGTTGATTAGTTAAGGTTATAAATTGATCCGCCATTTTCATGGAGGGATCGACTAATTCCGTTGCGTAATGTTCGAAATATGTTGCAAAACCTTCGCTTAGCCACAATGAATCCCACCATTTTGGAGTGACGAGATTTCCAAACCATTGATGAGCAAATTCGTGGGCAATAATCGAGAGGATGTTTTGTTTTTCAGATGCAGTTGTGACGCCATCCTTTTGTAATAAGTATTTTTGTCTGAAAATGAAAAGTATTTTATTTAAATAAAATTTTAAATTGATTTTATTACTTGTAAGTGACTAATCCCCAATTTTCCATAGCCCCAGCACTGAAATATTCATCTGGAATAGCGACTTGGTCTAATTTATTCAAAGAGTATTTCACTTGAACAAATTCTTCCATTTTTTTGATGATTTCCTTTCCACTATCAACGCCATATTTTCCCCTACCATCATCAATAAGATGTGGAACACCATAAACCTTGTATGCATCGTCTCCCGTTGTAGCTTTTAACTCAGAAACAACAAAAGCAATCAAATAAGTCGGCATCCTTACAGTAGTTTCCTCAAATTCATCAATTTCACGGTCTTCTCCGCTAAAAATAAGATTTCCAGTTTAAAAAATCTCCAAATAATACCTTTTTGTTTAATTACTCTGCTGTTGGTGTTCCTTTTAATTTCATATTTGATGCAGAATTGTATCCTTTCGGCCTATTAATTCTAATCGTGAATAAAGCCTTCATATCTGGTTGATCAAAACATGGAAAAGCATCTCTTGCGCTTGTTGATTCAAATTGAGTGGTTCCAAATAACTTTTCTCTGCAAATACAATTAATTAATTAGTTTTTGTATATCTAAATCTGTATCTTTTTTAAGATTGCGCAATGAGTTTGATGAATCATATCTTGTTGACGTGTACACGTAAAAGCTTTAATTATATTGCATGCCAATCAATGAGATCAATTCGTTTAATGGACATCGATTTTTTACGCTCATCTTTGATAATGTTCGATAAGAGAACACGGGATTTAACGTTAGACAAGTTTTTTCTGATAAAATAATTAATTGGTTGTAAAGAAAGAAATGAAATTATTTAATTTGAGTCAATTTTAAGAATCCCATGATCGAACCGAGAAAAAGCGATGAAATACAAACATATCTTAAGAACGAATTGAGATATAACGATGAAATAACAAACATTTTGAAGCAAATTTAATCAAGATTAAATGTACCAAAAATAATTTCTTATTTTCTATAAACATCGTTGTTATGATTTTTTAAACCCAACTCTGCTCATGCAGTTGGTTTAATTTTAAAACATTGAAATTGAGATTCATCGATGAAATAAAAAGCAAATTAAAGCAAATTTATTCCAGATTAAACGTGCCAAAAATAATTTCTTATTTTCCATATACATCGTTGTTATGATTTTTTAAATCCAACTCTGCACGATTGACTTTATTTAAAATAATAAATAATTAAGAAATACTTTTGACATTAAACGACAGATAATTTTAAGATAACGTGTAACAACGTGATTAATTAGTTTCTGTTTACTCAAAATATTTTATTAATCATCGATAAAAATCAATTTTCGCAAAATGAAATCGAACGATTAAATAATCGATTTTGTTCATCTTTTTTAATAAATTTTATGTAACAAAAATTAATTCACTTTATTTTTTTTTACAATTATTGATAGTATCCTATTTATCGAAACGCGACCAATAATACAAACTGATTACGTCCGTTGTAATATATTACTTTTCTGTATTATCTGTTAAAGCTTCCGTATCTAATAAATGAGATACAACAAAGGCTTGGTAATAAAACTAAATGAATTTTCCCTATCTAGACCTGTTGAAGTAGACGTTATATTTACAATTACTTTTATCAACAACATTATGACAAAAAGCTTTCATCAAAGCGAGATAAAAATAAAATAAATTAAAAATGAGAAATAATGAAAAAGTAAATTGTGAAAATTTACAAAAACTTACTTTCCAGTTTCGTCAGTATATTTTGCCAAATAAAATCCTGCAGTACCTTCTAAAATTTTACCAGTATATTTTATTTCAAGTTTCGCTTCTCCAACTGTTAAATCTTTATCCAAAGTTATAGTACAAAAATTGTTTTCTGATTTGTAATCCACTTTTGTAACCGCAATTTGATCTGTTCCTTCTTGAGTGATTTTAACATCAGCTTCTTCAAATGTAATTTTATCGCCTCTATGCAAAACGATTTCTTTCGTTCCTTGTTTAACATCAATTGTAATTTCAACATTTCCATCGATGTCCAATTTCTCGAAATCAGGTTTTATAAGAATATTATACTTTGTTGGAACAACTATTTCATCCGATAAGATATAATCTTCAGGGTTTACATCAGCTCTTGAGTGACCAATATTGTCATTATCAATTGGGAAATTAGCTCCAAAACTAACCGTGGCGATTGTAAGAATCAAAGCGATCAAATTCAACGTGATCGCCATGGTTGTAATTTTCTTTTATGACTTTTTTTGTGTAACAATAATAAATAATCACAATGAAAAATTTAGCACTACAATGGTCCAAAGTTGGTTCCGATCGACCTATTTATTGCTTCTTCGATTATCTCTAAATATTACTACACACGTAATGTGATAAATCATTTTTTAGGTATTTTTCTCTTTTTAGTGGGGATAAATCTGATAATGTCTCATATTTTTTTGTGCGTTATCGATTTATTCGATCTACGTCCATTAGTGGACGATACTACTTTTGTTTAACGAAAATAATTTAGTACAATAATACTTTTTTGGAAAAAAAATTGTATTTTCTAGTTTGACAATAAGTTTAATAACTTTTTTTATAAGTTTTTTTTAATGAAAATTCTACATAGAATCGTGAACAATTTCAAGCGGATTCAAACATGCCAAAAATTTTCGATTTATTATTAGAAATAAAGATGAATTATGATATTTTTGACAGTTTCACTTCATTCGAACAAATTGGCAATTTATAGACTAAAATTGCTTATGAATTATGACGTATTGGTTCATTATGATCAATTTTCATGCATAACATTATAAGCAACGATTTTGTTTTAGAAAATATGATGAATTTTGTTATAAAAGCCATCCACTTTGAAATTTTTAACAGTTTCATTTCATTCCTGAAAATTGGCAATGCTAGGCTAAAATTGCTTACGAATTATACATATTTTTGATTTATTACTATTTAAAAATGAAAGTATCAAATTTTGATTGGAGTTGTATCAATTTTGAGATTAATAATTAAATCATCACAAATAATTTGAAATACACATTTCAAAATTAAATCCTCATAAAATTTTTAAATTTCCCGCTAATTTGAAATACTTCAATTTGACATTTCCAACTATCAGCTTGACGTTTATTTAATTTTAGTATTAAATTAATTGAATGATTAGTTTATTTTTGTCCCAATCAATAATTCGTGACATATAAAATATTACTCAGAAGTACTTAATCTGTATAAAATTATCGATAAATTATTAAATTTCATAAACACTTTAAATTTATACAATCCATAATTGTGCGTCTTTTATGATTCATTTCTTTTATATTTTTGTAATTGGAGCATTATCTTTTCTTTCATTATTTTTTGTATATTTTTGATGCACGGTATCTAATCTGTAAGGTCTAATTGCGACAATATGAATCATTTTTATAGCAAATATCGGACGAAACAATTCCACTTTAACTCTTGCTTTATGGTTTTTTATTAATTCAGGTTCTAATTCAAATAAATTGAAATAAATTTACCTCATCGCTATGCTTTCTTTTATTTTCTTATCTTTCTTATAAATAACTTTGTTTCTCTACTTAACATTTCAGTTATTGTTAAATGTTTTAGAAGACAAAATGGTTAAAATCTGTTTAATTTTGTTGGTTTTTATACAAATATCTTATGGGGAAGTGTTCAAAATGAAAGAAAAAATTATTAATGGGAATCAAGAAAATATTTTGAACGTTCCTTATCAAGTTTCTATTCAATATAAGTCATTTCATGTTTGTGGAGGATCAATAATAAGCAACCAATTTGTTTTAACAGCTGCACATTGCGTTTATTTGTAAGTTTTTTTAATAAATTTGATTCGTTAAATTGATTACATTTTGCAGACGTTCAATATCGGAATTATCAATAAGCTTAGGATCATCTTATCATTATTTACCCAATAAAATTATAAAAATCCATAAATTTAAAGTACATGATTCATATAACTCATCTACTTACGATAACGATTTAGCTATTTTACTGGTAAGTTGTCGGATTATCTTATCTTAAATTTGAAATCATCGTAAACGCATTTTTATTTTAGCTTGTGTCAAAAATAAATTTCGGTCCAAACATTCTCCCAATTTCTTTGCCATTTCAAAACGAAACTTTACCATCTGGAGCTCTCGGAACCGTTTCCGGTTGGGGACAAACCTTGGAAACAATGAAACGCCTCCCGGAAAAACTAAGAAGCATTCAAATACCAACGATTTCAAATGAACGTTGCGCTATTTTAAACGCACCAAATTTAGTTACAAATAATATGATTTGTGCAAAAGATTTAAGTGGAGGAAGAAGAGATACGTGTCAAGGTGATTCCGGGTCTGGATTTGTTGTTAATGGAAAGTTATTTGGTGTTACTTCGTGGGGAATTGGATGCGGGAGATTAAATAAAGCTGGGGTTTATACAAGGATTTCATTGTATCGAGATTGGATTAAGTTATATACCAACATTTGAAAGAAATTGTATGATAAAAATCTTTAATTAAACTTTAAGATAAGATAAAATAGTCGTCATTATGACACAAAGATTTGTGGAACATCGTAATTTCAAGGAATTAAAATTAAAAACGTTTTATTTTATAAATTTTTTGATTCAAAAAAAGTAGAATTTAAATTCCAACAACGTTGGTGATGTATGAACGAAGATTTGGAACGCTGGCGTAAACTCCTGGATAAGAAGGACGAGCACATCCATAACCCCAAGAAACAATACCGTGAAGTTTGCCATTAACAACCAATGGGCCACCACTATCACCCTAAAAATAAAAAAAAATAAACATTTTCTAATAAAACTTTTATATTTCTTACTTGGCAAGCATCTTTTCCTCCGGAGGATTCTCCAGCGCACATCATACGATCGGTGATGCTATTTCTACCATAAGCTTCACCACAAGCAGCATTACTAACAACAGTTACACGAACAGCTTGAAGTTGAGATGGAGAACTTCCCCCTTCAGTTAAAGTTCCCCAACCGCTAACAACGGCTAGTTCACCAACTGGGTTTGATTCACCCACAGATGGCAAACCAACGACATTAACTCCTGATCCAAAAGTTAAATCTGAGGCCAATTCCAAAATGGAAATGTCATAATCGATTAGAGAAGAATCATATTGTGGGTTTTGATGGATCACTCTAACGTTAACAACTTGACCTCCTGATCCACGGATTGAAGAACCAGCGCGAACGCTCAACATGGAAGCTGAAGAACCATCGGTGCAATGAGCAGCTGTTACGGCCCATTTTGTTGAAACAATGGACGCTCCACAAATGTGGCTTCCATAGTAAAGGAGGGAAAGTTGGTATGGGTAATCTTCGATTTCGACATCTTCGCCACCAACAATTCTACCATCAAGTATTGGAAGATCGCTGAAGGCTACAAAGATTTAAATAATAAGATATTTAAGTAATATAAAGATATTTACCTAAAGCCGAAGCTAAGAAGCAAGAAAGTACTACAAAACGGAACATCTTGAATGTACTGTGTCTTTACGATCAATTCCGCTTGGTTTATATACTGTTCCATTTTCCACTTGATTTTTTAAAACTTTTTTTCTTTAAATACTTAAACTCTTCGAAGATAACGAAGTTAGCTAAATAAACTTTGAAATTAGATTGAAAGAAATTTTTTTAAGCAACCGTAAACAAACCTCTCTGGTTGTTATCTAGGTGTTTATAAAAGTGTAAATAGTGAGGTTGATTTTCTTTAAATTTGAATGAAATCAATCAATTTAAACAATTTTGCAACGTTATAAAGAGTTTCAACTCATTGTCACAAAAGTTTAACGTTCTAGCATAATTAATTGCAACCAATAAATAAAATAAAATTTTTTAAAATCGGCTTATTTATTGCTCATAAATTTTTACGTTTTGAAATTATCGTAAGATCAATAAATCACTCCACTTTTCTTTTTTTGGTTTTCAAAGCCATTTGGAAAACGAAGTAAACAAATTTTATCTTTCTTAATCTTAATTTATTTAAACTACAAGGAAACTACAAATAATTTTATAATCATTTTGTTTTTACGCTACGGAAACTAAAGCAATCAACCCGAAAAATAAGGGTAAACTTAAAGCGATGTAATTTGCTCCTCCCTCCTCTGGGCATTCCTTCTCCGGGCAATCCGGGCAAGTTTCTTCTGGACATTCCAAGCATTCTTTGCATTCTGGACATTCCAGGCATTCTTTGCATTCTGGACATTCCGGACAAGTTTCTGGACATACATCTGGACATTCTGGACAAGTTTCTTCAGGAATCTCTTCAAAATGCTCAACCAAAAAGTCACTAATTATTGACATGTGACTTTCGAGATATGCAATGTTACTTTCAATCGTGCTTATCGCCCGGTTAAAAGTACCTCCGTAAATATTTTGTATATCCTGATTTTGAGCTGCGATAAATGATTTAAGCTGAAAACAAAATTAATTTATTTAAGTTTACAAAAGTTATAAGTCCTTACCCTTTCTAATTTTACGTTTGATGATACCCTACTTGCGATTCCATTAAATAACGAATTTATTTGACTCGTGGTTAGCCTAAAATAGTATATTATTATACGAGCATATAATAGCTCATTATATGTGAGTAGAATACTATACTTTGTCTACGACTACTATTGAAATTGATTCTATAAATTTATTTTTTTAAATACAGTTTAAACGTCAATGTGACACAAATTCAATGTTACCAACTGTAACCAACTTCACAACAATTTGTCAAAATTAAATGTTAATTTTATGAAACGTCATGTTTTTTTACGAAAAATAATTAATTTATGCTTAAATCATACGAAACAAGAAATTTGACCACCTTTTGTTTTAGAAACTTCATTTATAAGGTATATAAAGGTGGTCGTGGACAAAAATTATTAATGTATGTTTGGTTGCCAACTTGGTTTTTAATTTTGATTTGTTAAAATTACTTACTTTTGCTTGATTAAATTGAAATCTAATATGACAAAATCAAATGCTTCGTCTAACCCCACATCGCTTGATTGATAAACGGCCGAGAATGCACTCATAACATCTCCCGATCTTAATGTATAATCCGTGGTATAATCTACAGCCATATATAAGACTCTTAATAAATAATTTTTATCCATAGAACATCCCAAAGCTGTTAACCAACGACTTTTTTCTGCGGACTCTTCGCTTTCGTGGTATTTTTCATAAGCATAATTCCATTTCTGTTCTAGATCCTCGTTTGATCTTAATCCACTGCAATAAGCTGCCGCTTTTAAATCAGGTTCAACTGGTTGATATTCAATAAATTTATCGTGCATTAATTTTAAACAGGCTTCGTCTTCAAATTTACATAACCAATTAATTAAATTTAAACGATTTCTAATTTCCAAATGTGTTAAAACTTCTTTATTTGCGATAAATTCTAAAGCACCTCTTAACGCTGTTGTAACATACTTCTTAAACAACGGATAAATTTCCTCTGAACCACTTAAATAAGTGTTTAAATTTGAAACGATTGTTATAAAACTGTAAATTGGAACATATTCGGTTTCCCTCGAAAGATATAAACCAAGTTTAAATGGAATTTCATAAGATAATCGTCCCGATCTGGCTAAATTAAATGAATCATCGATTAATTGGGCACGATTTAAAACATGGATTTTATCAAAATCATCAGAATTTAAATAATCAATTAATAAATTCCAATTATCGGTATCATAATTAACACGATAATACCCAGTTTCTTGTTTATTCAAAATAATCCAATCTTTATTGTTTACGTTAATTCCAGTATTTTCGATCTTATTTTTTAACCAATACGTTGGAGTCGTTGTTTCAAAATCTAAATTTGATTTCGTTGCATAATTTATCGGAATTATCCACAAGTTATTGTAATCGTGAGTTGCTTTGTTGATTAAAAATCGGTCTTGGATTAAATAAACCGATCCAGCGTAATCTCTCATTACGGTTACAACTGGAAAACCGGGTTGTGTACTCCAATTTTCCATGATTTCTGAAATTGTTTGACCTTGGAGGTAATTTGATGATGATGCATCTAAAGCGATTTGTAAATTTCTCCATAAATCGAACGATTGGGCTGAATCGTATTCCCTTAAATTTAAAAATTAAAACGACTTTAGCTGTCACTGTCAACGGCAATCATAAATAATTGCTACCAACTTAAATAAATTCTTATTTTAAATGACTTATTCGTTTATTTTTAATTTAAATTAAATTAAATCGAACATTTAATGATTTAAATTTATCTTATTAATTAATTTAGTGTATTTGTTTGCTAAAAGCTTAATCTTTATGTAAATATATATATCCTGCTGCCATCTATTATCACAAAGTTGATCTAATTTTTGACACATTGAAATGACATTTTAATATGATAAATTATTTTTGAAAAAGCAATAAAAACTTACATATCTCTTAAATAATTTGTTAATCCTTGTTTATATACAGGTGTTGTCAAAAAATGTTCCATCATCCTAAGTACAGATCCAGCTACAACAAATCTCCAATAAACCAAAAAAAAAACTTTATACAACAATTTTTACATTTATCATAAGCAACCCTATCGAATAAACTTTCAACTTCCCGCGCACTTTGTGCATCAACAGTCATAGCCCTTGTCGTTTCTAACGCATCACTTTGAAAAGCATATTGAACCGTATTAACAACATATTGTTCCATCATTCTGATCGAAGGATCAACGAGATCGACAGCGTATGAACCGAAATAAGTAGCAAAACCTTCATTTAACCAAAGATAACTCCACCAAAATGGACTGACCAAGTTTCCAAACCATTGATGAGCGTATTCGTGGGCGATTATTGATAAAATTGATTGTTTTTCAGCTGAAGTTGTTACTCCATCTTTGTACATTAAACGAGATTCTCTAAAAATGAATGTTTGTTTTAATATTATCGAATTAAAATTAAAAATGAATCACCTATAAGTAACTAAACCCCAATTTTCCATAGCCCCCGCTGAAAAATAACCATCAGGAATCGCAACTTGAAACATTTTATCCAAAGCGTAATCAACTTCGGTGTAATCTTCTAAAGCCTTTAATATATCAATACTCGCTTCAACGGAGAAAACACCTCTTCCATCATCAATTAAATATTTCGGTGCATAAACAGCGTGGTTATTTATAGTTTCAGCGGTCATTTCAGAAACAATAAAAGCAACCAAATACGTTGACATTAAAACCGATTTTTTAAAAGTATCCTTGTAACGATTTGTACCAATTAAACTCGATGATTCCAAACCCATATTAGATATAGAATTATAATTTTCAGGTCTTATTAAATGTATTGTAAATGTAGCTTTTAAAGCTGGTTCATCAAAGCAAGGAAAAGCTCTCCGAGCACTATTAGCTTCGAATTGAGTGGTAGCAAACCATTTAGTTTCGCCGTTTTCTTCATATTTAGCGCGATAAAAACCATCATTATTAGCTGCGAGTATTCCAGTATAATTAATTTCAATTGTAATAGTTGTTAAAGCTCTTAAACTTTCTTGCAACTCAATATGATACAACTCTGTTACATCATCGCGATTAAAACTTTTTATTACAAATGGATTTACTGCATTTTCTTCTTTAATTTGAACGTTAGCTTCGGTGAAAACTAAGTCTCTACCATGAAAAACGACAAATTCGGTGTCTGCTAGTACCTGAACGGTGATTATAACGTGACCTTCAAACGTAAAATCGGGGTCAAAAAATGGTTCTAACGTTAATTCGTAATGTAAAGGTTTTAAATTTGTTGGTAATCGATAGTCTATCGATGTATCTCTTTCGATTACGAAAGTTGACGCTCTTCGTTCGATGGGGAATCCCCCAAAAATCGAAGGAATTAACAGAACCACCCCGAATAAGCGTAAAAGTAACATTTTTGAAAGAACTGAAGGTACATTTTGAAACGAAGGTGTATTTATAAATTTATTTTATCAAAAGATTGATTTTTGATAATCCGAAAAGCCGGGAATTTGGACAATAATAAAATATGTAATTATATGGTATGATTTTATTGATTTATTGAGGTGTTATTATAGAATTTTTTTACAACCAATGATGTTTAAATTAGAACGATTAGATTAAAACAGACTTATTTTTGAAAACTATAAATAATTTTTGTGCCAAATAATAAAGCTATTTAACAAAAAAATTTTTAAATAATAATGTTAGGTTATAAAATTTTCTGTTTTCACAGATGATTAAGGTTAATCATTTATCAAGGTCATTTTTTGGTTTTGTTATAAAATTTATGTTATTTTCTGGTTTCAACTAACATTTTCAGTAACTCCCAATAAGTTGAGCTTTTTTTTTGCGTTTACTTCATTTAATTTATTTATGTATAAATTTAACCAAATACTTTATTAAAAATTGTACCCTTTTTGAATTAAAACGTCACCGTGACAAATCGAATTCAAAACATGATGTAACAAAATTCCCTATTAATGTTACCAACTTAAAATTTTTCAAGGCCGAAAACGAGTTTATTCCTGTTTATTCGTTTATACGGTTATATTCTAACGTAATTAAAAATTACGATTTGTGACATAGATAAATATTGAATTTTAATCTCGCGATAAAATCGTCGGTTTGTTTCAATATCATAAAGCGAATTTTTGACGTATTTATTATTATTTAAGGATTAATAAACATTGAGTAATTTTTTTATTATTGGATTTGCTTCTTTGATCAAATAAATAACAAACAAATAAATAAACCAAAATAATAACGAATATGCACTTAATTTGTAATAATCAAACAGATAATGATCCACTTTTAATTTTAATTGTGAAATTATGATAAAGTTGATTAAAATTATGATAAAAACAATGTTCTTCCCATTTCTTTCCCTTTAAAATATTATAAATAAGATAAAAGTTTTGGTATAAATACAAATTGAATTGTTTTTCGACAATCATTAAAGATGCTCCAATTTATTTTGATCTCTCTTTTTGCGTTATCTGGTGTTTTAGGTAAAATAATTTTTGTATTTAATTTCTTTTTAATTAAATTATTTTTTTTAGGTGGCCCTCACCACTTAAAATTCCCAAAATTCGATGGGCGAATCGTTGGTGGACAACCAGTCGATATAAAAAACTATCCGTATCAAATCCAACTTTTAGGAAATGATGATCACATTTGTGGTGGTTCAATCATCTCGGAATTCTACATTTTAACAGCCGCACATTGCACGGAATACTTTAAAGCTCCAGAATTAAAGATCCGAACGGGATCTTCATACCAATCATCCGGAGGAACAATAATTCAAGTTGAAACAATCCATGAACACCCAAATTACATCCATGAAACCACCGATTACGATATTTCCATTTTAAAATTAACGGAGGCGTTAATTTTTTCGGATGTTACTGCTCCTATTTCTCTTGCCCAAGAAAATGAAGAAATTCCTGTTGGAAAAATGGCCGTGGTAACCGGATGGGGGCGCCTCGAATCCGAAGGTTCACTCTCAGAGCAACTCCAAATGGTTCAAGTACCCATAATTGCTTTTGAAAAATGTGCCGAAAAATATTCGGCCGTTAATAAAACCCTTAGCGAAAGAATGATGTGTGCTGGATACGAATCCGGCGAAAAAGATGCGTGCCAAGGCGATAGTGGTGGTCCATTAGTCGTTGAAGGGGTCCAATTTGGAATTGTTTCTTGGGGGGAAGGTTGTGCTGATCCAAGATATCCCGGAGTTTACTCAAACATCCCAATCTTAAGATCGTTTATAACCGAAAAAACTGGATTGTAAAGTTTAAATTATTTATTTAAGTTATTAATATGTTACAATAAATAAAATTGTGTTTTCAACCCCATCTAAAGTGAGTTCCCCTTTACTAAAACGCACACTTCAATCAGCTCCCTTCGTCAAAATCCACAGAGATACCTTCCCCAGTAAAAAGCGCACGCGTCATGACCCTCCCTTCAACACGGTTTCGACCTGAAGCGACGAAAGGGGATGATAAAGCGAAATATTGTCAATAAAACGGCGAAGGAGCCGGAAGACTTCCTCTCTTTAAAAACCGAATAAATTCATTTAAATCGTTGTTGTTTAAGTATTTAAATTAATCAATAAAAAAGTTTTGAAAGTGAGAAAAGAAGCTTTGAGATTTTTGGCAAAATCTTTAAAATTTATTTGTTGCTTTAATTTTTGGAATCGTTTCAAGAAATGAACGGGGATGTAAATAATAAATAATAAAAAGGAAATCGGGTGAATATTGAAACCGAATTTTAACGAAGAAAGAGTTGTTGGACGATGTTGGCTGATGAAGGCGCCGAAGAAGAGGGCAAAAGTTGCCGTCTCCGAGGATGCGATCTTTAGCTTTAATCGCGTGTCTTTGGGCGCTTTTTGTCGTTTCGTTGCCTACGGTTGGACAGCGACTTGTTAATCCAAAGAAATATCACAACGGTGAAGAGGAGGATTTGTCCGGATACGAAGACTATGAAGATGACGCAAATAGTACCGGTATAAATTTTTAATTCGTAATAACAAAATAAATTTAAAATAAATCTTAAGATTAAGATAAAAAAACAATTTATAAGATATAAATTAATCGTAAATTTATAACACCCTATTTTTTTTGGTTATTTTTAGAAAAAGGGACTTTTGTTGGTGCCCCATGTGACGAAACGTGTTATTCGAAACTTCAACATGTTTTTTGCAATCAAATCACGAAATTGTGTGAATGCGAAAAAAAATATCCGGTTAAACTCAATCCTTACACCGGATGTAGTAAACGTAAGTTAAAAAAAATTAAACCGCATTAACCATCGATGTCTACTTCAAAAGGAAAGTTTTGTAAGTTTTTAACTTTGACCTAGTTAATTTTTTTTTCTAGCTACGAAACTGGGCGAACAATGCTATTACAAGGAATCTTGCAGGTTTGCCGACCAATATTCTTCCTGTGTACAAGTTCATCACAACGCAATCTGTCAGTGTCGAAATGGATATCATTCTGTTTCAATACAGAAACCGTCGAAAAGAGTTTTTTGCGCCGAAGGTATGGGTTAAAATTACTTGTATAATTTTAAAATCGATTATCTAAAAAATTTAAGCTAACCTAGAAACACAATTCTTTGTGTCATAAACTAATACACCTTTTTTAAATACATTTTAGCGTTTTAAGAAATGAAACTTTTTGAGGTTATAAAATAAGAATTAATCTTTATTTTGTTGAAAATTTGAAGATTCTACAACTTTTCATTTTGTAGATATGAATTTTCTAATTTAAGCTAATCTCAAAGCTGTCAATTTTTTACGTGATTAAAAAATTATTTCTGAATAAAGTTATTGAATTTAAGAAATGAAACTTTTTGAGATTATAAAATAAGAATTAATCTTTATTTATTTGAAAATTCTATGTGTTTTAGTTTCGTTGATATAGCCTCTTAAAGCTGACTGAATGTAAAAGCGTTTAATTTTTTAGATTAAAAAAGATTTGTATAATACTTTTAGATGCAGTGGTCATGACGACGAATTTTTCAACATTTGCTGGCGTTTTATCGGGAATCGCCTTACTTTCTGGTCTGATTTGTTTCGTATTGAAACTTTTTAATCAGAATTTGTACACCGGAAGACATCGGTATGGAAACGCCAATTTACCACCACCGATTCTCTTTTCAAGCGAAGCAGGTGAGATATCAAATAGATTCACACCAACCAAAATAAATATTACTTAAAACAATCAAAACCGTTAAAAAGTATTGTCGTTGTCTGTTTGTGGTACGTAAGAAAATCCCTATAAAAAACGGAAAAATTTCATTTTGAATTATGACTCGATGTTTTGGCTTGTTGTCTATGTTTTAATTTATTTTTTTCAATCATTTATCATCATTGTAGAGATTGGTTCTTTCGATTTGTGTGTGTTAAATGTGTTTTAGGATTACTACCAATGGCCCTGATCGATCGACAAATGACCTCGAGCATTTCGAGCCAACGCACGTTCGGCTCGACTAGTGTTCAAAGTCGAAGGGCCAGCTCGGCCTTACAGAACAGAGGGGCCCCGATAATGGCCTCATCAACCATCGCCCCTTCAAGAACAGGTGCGATTGAAATTGCACCAAAAAAATATTAATTATTAACCAAAAATCTAATAATCAGGCCATTACTCGGTTGCAAATTCCATTTATTTTAAGTTAATGAACAAAATTTCCAATCATATTATGCCTGTCAGCTTTTTGATACTGCTTAAATTAAAGTTTAGTTCACAAGCATGGAAATTTTACGATTCTAAAAGTTATAAGCATGAAAACATTCAAAAAACCATACTTACGGGCATGCTTTTACACATTTTTACACATTATTTGTTCATCTCTTTTCTTTTCCTAAGTAATATTTCCTTTTAGGTTCAAGAAGGCCAAGTATAGCTTCGGTACATAGCACGAATTCAATTCGAAGTTACAGCATGAGACGTTACGAAAAGGAGCGAGAACAAAAAGAGGAACGTGAAATGCAAAAAAGATTGGCTAGGATGCAATCGTTGACGAATTCCACTTCGAGGATTCCACCGACGCCAAGTCCGCATTCAACGGACGATTTGTTGCCAACTTTAGAAGAAGATAAACAGGTTGTTTCAGATTAATATAGTTCATTTTTCCAAGATTTTGTTTTTTAAAGGTTCCTTTAGCCATATCAGAGGAGAGCTCAAATAGTTTCCAAGAGGACATTCCGTCTACTTCAAAACAATACCCTTAGATAGCTCGAATGTACAATAACAAGCTTTTTTTCAATTTGTTAGGTTATTAAGAGGCCTAAAAACAATCCTTGTTAACAAATCGAAATTTGTAACGATTTTTTTTTATTTAAAACGAAAAAATGATCCAATATCAATATCCCCTTAAAAAGTGTAAACATTCATAGGTTTTTAAGTCGATGTAATAACAATTTTTATTATTGTTGTTGAAAAATGTATATAATATACAAGAAAAAATAACTTATAATTAGAAAATAAACGTATACATATATGTTAAAAAATTTCGTTTTATTAATAATTTTTGTAAAATAAAGCTTCCAAAACAGGTTTTACCTGAGAGAAAAACATAACCTCAATTCAGTTAAAAGTTAATTTTTAGGTGGTCATAATTCTGTTAAAATCCTTTCTAAACTATCCAAAACGGGAAGATCAGGATCAGCTAGTTCCAATTTATTAGATTCTGGAAGATTTTGACCTTGAAAATTGGATATAAAATTTATTAAATTCAAACTTCTTTTGTGGTTGGAGAATCTTAAACCTCCAATGGACAACTGAAATAGAAGAATATATGCATCAAATACGAAGTTTCATCCAGATTAGTAAAGAATTAAAGAAGATATGAATAAAATAAGTTTTGGAATTTTGAGTAGTGCGAAAGAAATCCGCTAGATGGCGTTTTCGATATTTAGAAAAATTCGAAATTATTTTAAGGGAAGAAATGGCGCGAAATAGCCGTTAAACCCAAAACTCAATTAATATTAATTAAACGATAATTTGTTTTAAATATTTTTATTATTTTAAAATCACATCAAAAACACAACAACTCATTTTAGTGTATTAATTAAATTAAATCAACGGACTTTCGGATTCTATTGTGTAACTTTTAACTCTTGAAAACCACAATGGAGGAAATCGATTTCCAATTAAGTCAAATGTATAATTACTTTCAACGCCGGTTTTATTTTTCGTAAATATTGAATATCTCGTCCAAATTAATTGGACGTGTCTCCTTTTGTGATGATTTTGTATTTTTAATTCCAAATGAAACGTTTGTTCAGACGATTGATTTTCTCTGTCATCTTTTCGGCGAGATCTCTTAAACGTTTTCGTTTCTTGACGATTCACGTAAATAGCTACAGTGTCGTCTTTTAATCGATAATGCCCAGTTAAAACTGAGCTTGTACCAGATTTTGGTTGTCGATTTTTTAATAAGGTGACACATGCAGATGGTTCATCTGGGGTTGTTAACATTAATACAATTCCTTCAGGGAAAAAACGTAAATATCGATAATAAGCAACTAAATGCCAGGGTCGATAGAATTGATCTTGAAAACTACTTTCACCATGTCGTATGTAAGTAGTTTTACTAATATAACAACCGTTGAAATATAATTTTGGTCGTTCGAGAAACATTTGTCTCCATGACAAATACGTTTTAGATAAATTACCGCAATTTAAACCCCAAGTTCTTTCACAAGCTGATTTCCATATTTCGGAATCTCGAGCACATACATAAAAGCCACGACAAACTTGAGAGAAAATCTCCAAAGAACGAATATCCAAATCAGAGCTGATTACCCAACGGAGAATGTATAAAATTATCTCTGGAGGTAAATAAGAAATATGGGTTTCTGTCGAATTAAATTTTGGAATACAAAGATAATTCGTTTTGTTTAATTTCTTTTGAATCGTTTGAAGTAAATCTCCTTTTACATTCGAATCGATTGAGTCATCATCACTTTCCGATTCGCTCAAATTACTTTCGGATTCATTTAAATCAGTAACGGGGAGTTGTTCTTTGGGTTTACGTTTTAATTCTTCTAAACGAAATTCAATGTCAGGTACTAATTGTACTGCTCTTCGATAAAATTGAATTGCTTCATATAATTTCCCTGATTTTTCAAGATCAACACCTTTTAAAAATAGATTTTTTGCCTAAAAAAAATAAAAAATTAAAAAATTTCACTTTAAATGTTTTTCTTTATTCGCTTTCTATATAAAATTGAAATTAAATAAGTGTTTTATCAAACTCTTTAAACATAACCTCAACTGTCATAAAACATAACCTCAACTGTCATTAAACATAACCTCAATTGTAACTAAACATAAAATCTTACTGTTAATTCTTGATCTTCTTCTTTACTTGTACTTTCAAATTTATTTTTATTTACAAAATTCTTTTTATTAGATATTTTTAGTTCATTTTTCCATTTCAATCTGAAATTTTCCAAAACCTCTTCATAATGATCTTTCGAGGAAGAAGGTTCGTCTTGTTCATCAGATGATTCGGAACTATCCAAACCGTTTCCTTGTACTAATCCAGATCCTGAACCTGAGTTCTTATTAAAAAATTATAATTAGAATTGCGTCGCAATAATATACGAAACATATGTAGATCGAATTAACGTGATATACCGTTTTAATTTTACTTAATTTTTATCGCAATACATACCATGCTTATAAAAACGGTCGTAAATAGTTAAGTTCACGGTCTGTGTAGCGTATAACGATACGAATTTGAGTGGATTTTGTGGAAAGGTCGGGGCAACCGTCCATGTTTTGCTAACGCGTACACGAAACGCTGAAAATCCTGTCAAATTTAAATTCTTCCATTTCACTCCAACTTATTATTTTAACGTATTTTTCATTTCTATTGTGTAATAAAAGTATTTTCGAGTTATTTCACAATTTATAATGAAAATTACAATTTAAATATTTATCACATTTCAAAATTTAAGTTGGTATTAACATGAAATAACAAATTATTTTGATTTTAATGGATTTTTTCGAAAATTTTTTAATATTTCAATAATATTAATCTTGTTTATAAACAAAGATATTAATAAACATTAAATTTATAAATTGTTTAAAATCGTACATTGTTCACACATATTATTAATTTGAACTGTCAATGTCAATGAACTGTCATGCTAAAATTATTATTAAATGAAAAACATTTTAAACATCAAATATATTTTAAACATTAAAGAACACTACATTTTCGTTTTGAGTTTATTTTAACAATTTCTTTTTAATTATTAAAAGTCATCCCGTAAGAAAGTTGCTCCATTAACGGTTTTATTTCATTTCGGAAGAGTTTGCTTTGAATGCCGTGGGTGATTTTTAAAATGTTGAAAGCTTTTCTTAAGAAATCAATCGCTGTTAAATCTTCGTTTAGTAAAGCACAAATCTTTGCTAGTTTCATGTATAACAGGCCAAGTAATGGGTTTAAATCGTCATAATAAAATCTAAAAAAACATGAATTAATAGAGTCAAAATTGGATTAAAAAAAACTTACAAATAACCATCCAGTAATTCAGTTCCAAGTTCTTTCGCTTCCTCCCAATGACAAAAGTCAATAGAACTTTCAAACGTTAAATCCAACACCTTTATGTGTAAAGTATTTAATTTATGAAGAATTTTATCTTGGCGTTTTAAACAAACTTTGCATAAATCATAATCTTAAAAAGAAATGTTAAGGGTTTCTTTATAAAAGATAATTTTAACCTAACCTAATTCCTTAACTGCTTTATTAAGGATACAAGCTACATTTTTCATTTTATCGATACAATCTTTACTATAATCGGTAACTTCTTTATATTCATCAACAAAGCTTTGCTCCGGAACTGTATGGCACTTATTGCATGTAAAACCTTCCTTGTAATTATACATATCGATGCAACCATCACAACTTTTTCGTTGACAAGCAGCTCCGTACATAAAATTTAAGTTCGTTTTATCTTCTATACATTTTGTACATCTACATAAAAAGTAATATTGTCGTTCTAATTCATTGCAACGATCTTGCGGAGTGTTTAAAACATCTATATAACTAATAAAAACCTAAAAAAATGTAATTTCAAAAAAAATAAATAAAATATAAATATATTTTTACTTTTGTCCAATCAACAACTTTTAAATCAACTAATGTACGTATAAATAAAGTGGTTCCTTCAAAAGTAGCCACTGCATTCGGTTTACATGAATGATCAATTACTGAAGCGCCTAAATACACTCCAACGCCAATTGATTTCAGTTCGGAATCACAAATATTAAAACTATTAATAACCATCTTAAAAAAAATAAATATTTAAATTAATTACAAATTGTTTACACTTTATTTTAATACCCTTCCGTAAATACCAATTAATTCAGCTGAATTTGGTAAGGATGTATCTTGTATAAATTCAAATAAAATAGCACATAATGTGGTGAAATGTTCCAATCGACGGTGGTCTAACTTCAAATCCGAATAATCTTTAAAATCATAATTATCAATTTCTACTAAAATATTAAAATCAAATATTTACGAGACATGAGATCCTTAAAAGTTCTAAATCTATCTCTAGTATAATATGATCGTACACCTTCACCCCCCTTATTAATTTTGTGAATAATCTTTGCAATAAGCCTTATAGCATCGGGAACAATCCTCGGAATAATCCGTTTTAATTTATCACATTCCATTTTATGTATACTCCAACTTTCTCTTTGACATCCTTTGCCACAATAATGTACATATTGGCATCCAGAACACTTCAACAATTGGCCCCTTTAAATAGAAATATGATATAAATAGTATCTGAGGATATTAATATTATGCTTTTATTCTAAATTTATAAATAAACTTACTTGGCAAAACAATGATCGCAGTGTTCAGTGCGATATTTCCCGCTTAGGACGTAAACGAACGGTTGCTCTTTTAAGAGGATTTCGCCGGCTTTTACATTCGTTGTTGGGAACATTGTTAATTTTGTGTGGGCGTTAATGCGCAAATGAACCGAATGAGACCGTTTTAACAAGATATGTTACGTAAAAGAAACTCAATTCAAATAGTTGCCAACAAATTAGCTTCGAAATAACGTATAATTATTTAATTTATTTTTAAATTTGTTTATACTATACAGCTGATTTAACCTAAAAACATCATGCGTCACCTGTCAAATTAGGATAATCAAACTTTTTTTTAAATTTTAAATTAATTATTATTTATTGTTTAATGTTAAAGCGTTAAAAAAGACTGAAATTTATCAAAAAATAAGTGTTGTATGTTAATCAATATTTTAATTATTAATAATTGTATAATAAAGATTCAAACATTAGATATTGTAAGGTTGGTAGTACTGATTATTAATTTTTAATTTTATTTTACTTATTTTCTTTATAACATTTAATTCGTTCTTTTTTCATTAATGTTCGTATGCAAAATGTTTTCTTTAGAAATTAACGGAAATAACTGCTGATAAACAAAATCTTAACTGAGCAAAAAATACCAAACGCATGAAAACAAGTACAATGATTCAAATATTCAAAAAAAGAGATAAGAAAGAACCAAATAACCAACTTAACTTATAAACCTACTTAACACCATGCTCAAACTAGTAACGAAGATTATTACAACCAAAATTAATTCCATCAGCAATCTTCTCTAGGTGCTCCATTATTTCTGGTTTGTCTTACAGCAAATTCAATCTCTTCTAGCGAAATATCTGAATTTCATCAGATTCTTGGATTGTAATGCCCATTTCCATTGACAATGGGGTAATAATCATAACTTCATACTCTTATATCGCCGACTTTACTTGATTCGTTTTTCTTATTAATTTTATAAATAAAAACGTTGTAATAAATAAAATGGTCATTAAAACAACGTTTTAACAAAATTGTTATTTATATATTCATCAGTGCAAAGTACTTACAACAAATTTAATGATTTTTATTTAAATACATAATATTTTGAAGTAATAATTTATAAATAAATGGATATAATAATTAAATTTTATTATATATTGATTTAAATACCACTCCTAAATAATAATAAAATTAATGTGGTTAAGACTAGAGCGTACTAGAACAAGATTATTTCAAAGACATATGTTTTTAAATCACACAGTAACTTACATAAAAAAATCTTATGACAAAAAAAAACAAAAATCCAAATATTGGATAGAATTGAAGAAATCGTCAACTTTAATTCTATTTCTTTAAATGCTGTAATTAAATCAATCAGTGACGATAATAAATGATGGCCTCGGGGTGTTTGGAACGGAAGGTGGATAATCGCTCGAAAAAAATCCTCGGAAATTTTGAGAACAGCTTTAAAAATAAAAATGTGATGTTTACAAAAATTATAAAAAATAATATTTAATAAGCTGTGATATTGTTACGTGAGGAAACTTTTTATTGCGCCGTTTCTAAACAATAATGATGATAAGGCTACATAAAAAATTGGTTAGTTAAAAAAAAATAATAATTATTATTATTACAATGAGTATAACGAGTTTTTAGCGTTATTTTTTTGAAAAAAGAAAAAAATTGCATTTGAAAATCAATAAATCAATAAAATCTAAAAAGGTCTAACAAAAAAAATCAAAAATAAATTACTACATCTAACTCCTAAATGGATATCACATCAGTATCGAATTCATTTCATTTATTTTCATGGTTTATTTAACTATCATTAGTTAGATTCGTTAAATTAAATTCAGTCTTTTAGTTGAAAAAAAAAAAAAAATCATTTCAAATGCAAATTTTAATCGATTTTCGTTTAATCTCAATTTTTGCGTTGTATTTAATCCACCGATGAAGCATCAACAGAGAGAAGCCGGTTAGTTTAAAAATGATACGCTGTTACTCAAAAACACGTAGTTCTCCACTAACCGTGCGTAAAGTTCCCTTCTCACTTTCGCCGTAAACTTGTTTACAAGGCACAAAGTCGCAGCACCCGCAAACACTAAATTGTATAGAAGTACTATTTTAAAATTTCCCAACCATTCTATGCTACCGAAATCACCCAACAAATCGAAATTTGTTATACCTAAAATTAAAATAATTATTTTTACTTCAAATTGATTAATTAATTAAAGTATTACCTAAAATTTTAGCAAGTAACGGCAAAGCTGAACTTAAAATCAGCACCAAACTGCAATTAGCTATAATTAAACTGAAGGGAGTGCTTCCTTTTCTGGGTCGAATCTTGGACATTGGCGGGGATGAATACAAACCTATTGATGACGTTAAGATTAAATATAAAATTAAAATGATTTCTAAAGCAGCTCCTAAAGGTCCAAGCATCGATAACGAACTTATTCCTAAAGTAAATTGCTACAAAAAAAATTATATTAACACCTCATCAATTTTTTATTTTTATTTCTTACTCTCGAGCTTAATGGTAAAGCTTTAATCCCAATTAATAATTCAACGCTATTTTGAAGTACAATCAAAACGGTGATTCCGGTTAATCCGAGTAACAATAACATCGCAACCGGATAAACCACGTTTCTACGTAACGAAGAAGTTTGTCGTTGTTTATCTAAGATTTTTCGTTTTGTCTCAACTTCCGTTAGGCGAACGCTTAATCCCGATTGAAGCTCGCCGTTTCTCAGTCTTAATAAAGTGTTGGGGAGATTGTATTCGTCCTGAACTGGCGGTTGAAAACCCAAAGACATTGGTGATGGGCTAACGTACGATTTCCCTGTATATTGAGCGTGTTTTAATCGGCGGCGTAATGATTCCTCTTCTAAAGCGCACGCAAAATATTCTTCGTTGATGTCCCGAAGAAATTTTGGTTTTATTAAAAATTTACCGACTATATCAAATAAACGGACAAATCCTAATGGTGTACAAACTATTAATAAAAATAAATAATTAATTGTGTGATAAAGGTTATCTTTTTCCTTACCTAATAACATTAACACACCAATGAATGATATGCAAGAATATAAAAATGGTAGATGATAGCTCCATAAATCTACAAAAAAAATTATTTGAAACTATTAATATTAATTAATGTTAATTACCTAGTAAAGTTTGAATGCTTGATTTGTCTTTGTCGATAATCGAAGAGATCACAAAGGTCAGTCCAAAAATGGCTAGGGCGAATAGAACCAGGACAACGAACGTCTCGTAAACCCTGGCTATCAAACGTTTTCGATGTCCAAAAAATCCTTCGGACTCGGTAAATAGATAAGCGAATGGTAAAAGGGCGAAAAGTGATATGAACGAAAATAGGAACACATAATTCCACAGTCCTATTAGAATGAAAAAAAAAATTATTATTGTATTGCATTAAAACTAGAATTAACTTTAAAATAGAATTTTTCTCTCTCAGACGAAAGTGAGGTTATATTTTCTGTCAAAATCTTTTGACTAATTTGAAGCAATAAAATGATCTTAAATATTATAAATAAACAGTTTAAATAACAAATAAAAATTTAATTAAGCTTTTTTATGTTAAATCTTTAAATTCGTAAGATAATGTAAAATTAAATAAATACGATTTAGTATGGTGGAGAACCACTAGATGGGGTGAATAACTTAAAAAAAACGGATTTAAGATTAAAAAAGAAAATTACAATATTTACTATTTTCTTTAAAAAGTATAATTAATACATTAAATAATTTAATTTATAAGATTTTTTAAAATAATAAAACGATTTTTTTACTTATATAAAACCACAATTTAAGTTGGTAGCAACGACATATGAAGGTTGATACCAACTGTTGATTTATAATTGAAACGCAAAATAACAGTGGAAATTTCTCGTTTTAATTACTTTTAACATAACTTTTCTTTGTACTTTATTAAGTCCGATAACTCTTTATTGTTATTACTTATTACACTTCATAAAGGTGATGTGTTAATCCAAATTATAACCTCAAAAATTCAACACTTTGACATATGTATACGTCAAAAATGTTAACAAATAGTATATTATTTTGTAGAATATTATCTAAATAAAATGAATAAGGATCTGATTAAAGCACAGTTATAGGTGCTCTCGGTTTACCTTTTCGAGAAATTTTATCAAGAATTTGTAGATCGCAATAACTGTAAAAATCATTTTTATGTTCTTTTAATAACAATCTTTAAAGTGACTGTTTTAGGTTGGTGTAATGTTCCTCTCTATCTGTCTCTATCTCACTAATTACGGACCTTGAACGTCATCAAAATGAAGCTAAGATGCGCACTTCGTCGCAAGTTTTTGGAAAACACGTAAGTTATTAGAAATGCAACTTCTGTAGCTACCAAGTCATCGATGCATGCAATGTTTTAACCCGTCAACTGCCTGTCTGAATATGAGTTACTAGAAAACACTAAAGCATAATTGATAAGATTCTGACTTACAGCGACAGTTCCAATTCTAATAGATCGGGATAGTTAATTAAATCAATTAAAATGAATTGAGGTTATGAAGAGCTTATAGAATAATCCCTTTTGCTTCTTACAATGAAAATTCAAATAAAAATAATTAATATTGCACAAATACGAAATATAATCTTATCTTTTTATTTTACTTTATTAGTATATGATACTCGTGGAGATTCTATCAGATTACACATTGCATCATTATTTCGACCTGAATAAATTTTATCTCACATTTGTAAAGAAAATAAACGTCTTTTCGAGAAAATCGAAAGTTGTACACATCTAACAACAATTTTGAAACGAAACCGTATTATTAGAGAGAAGTTTCCTATCTAAGTATCTAGTTTTAGCTTTCTCCTTCGGTCACGTTTCCGTGCGATAAATTCTTCACCGTTAAAATACATCTCTATTAAATTCATTTCCGGGAAAACGACGTTTTCGGCGCAACCCTAAAATTAAACAACCCACAAAATCTCTCTATTTCTATTTTCTTTGTGTGTAGTTACTCGAACTCTCAAAATATCCGTTTTGTAACAGTACGCGTACATAAATGAACGGGGAGGTCAGTAAACTCGAAATAAACGTGCATGGTCATTTAACTTTCGTGACAATAAAAATCAACAAACGCTATTATAAACAATTACGATTCAGGTGTTATTAATCCGGATAAAAAAACATTTTGTGTGTTATTAAAACAGCAATGAACCATCCCATCCTGTTGTAAATTTAAACCTAAATCGTTTTTATAATAAACCCACGCGTAGTAACAATCGTTTGTTTATGCGATATCGTCGCTTAAAGATAACGTTCCCTTTGTTTATGAAATGAAGTTGACTTTATTTAAATAATATTCGAAATCTACAAAATAACGTTTTTTTTGGTTAATAAATTTGACGTATATGTCAAAGTCAAATTTGAATTAAAACATTACTACCTTTATAAAGTGTAATAACAATAAAGAGTAATCGGACTTAATAAAGTACAAAGAAAAGTTATGTTAAAAGTAATTAAAACGAGAAATTTCCACTTTTATTTTGCGTTTCAATTATAAATCAGCAGTTGTTATCAACCTTCATATGTCATTTTTACCAACTTAAATTGTGGGTTTATATAAGTAAAAAAATCGTTTTATTAATTTAAAAAATCCTTATTAATTAAATTATTTAACGTGTTAATTTAATAACACTTCTAAAAAAATAGTAAAAGTTGTAATTTTCTTCTTTAATATTAAAAAAATCCTTTTTTTTTTAATTTACCCCATCTAGTGGTTCTCCACCATATTAAATCGTATTCACTTAATTTTACATTTTAAGAATTTAGAGATTTAACAGAAAAAAAAAAAAAAAGCTTAATTAAGTTTTTATTTGTTGTTTAAGCTATTTATTTATAATGATTGATTTTATAGCTTCAAATTAATCAAAAGATTTTGACAGAAATTATAACCTTACTTTTTTTTAATAATAACCTCACTTTTTATTTTTTTGATTTTTAATAATTGTGAAATGTTGAAGAAAAACATTCATTTCATTAAAGAATAAACTCACACTCTTAATGCACAAGTATTTTTAGAATCAAGGTCGGAGAGTGCTTAACCTGTGATTTATTGATAATCTAATTTCTACGATTTCTAATTTTTACTAAACACGAAAAATTTATTTAATTTTATCATTTGATTGTATTAATCTTTTCACTAACCTTGTACAAGTGAAATATTGAGCCACTTGACGTAATAACTGTTCGGGTAAATGAGTAGTACCTCATTTGAGATGATTGAAAAGGGCAAAAGTAGAACGGCCCCGATCGAAACAGCTAGGGAGAACGTGCACAACCAAGTGCTTATCCTATAAACCATCACCTCGTCCTCGTCCGTGCTGTAATAGTCTTCACGACCTCTTCTCTTGAACTTGCCCAGCAACGCAAAACTGGACAAGTATAAGAGAATGAATAACAGTAAAAATATCTGAAATAAAAAAAAAAAATTTAATTAATTCATTAATTATAAAAAGTTTCATAAAAAAGATAACATTTAAGTAATTAATTTTTTGTTAATAGAATTGTTTCTTAATATTTTGGAATTTATAATGTTGTAAGGTGATATATTTATATTAAGATTCAACAATGTGTTCAATCTTCACAATGCATTAATCACAAGTACTTTTTCTTTGACCTTGTTGAGGCTATTTCTTAACATGTTTATAAATTAAAATCAGTATTTACAACGGAAATCTCTCGTAACTGCGTATTATGAAGTTTAATCAAGTGAAAGAATTTTAACTATAGGCTTTCCACTTCATCTAAAACAAAAATCTAATAGACAATAGAAACGTTGGACTTTGACTTTGACCCAAATAGACCAACATTATTTTTATTTCGATTTAAATTTAGATTGAGATTAAACATTTTCATCCCAGGATTCGTTTTGTTTATTTCAAGCTTAAACACTTAATGTGGGGTATTTAAAATCGATAAAATCTTCTCTTCGCTGAAGCGTACTTCCTTTACGGACAATTTTATTGTTGCTGAAGGTTGAAATCGATGATGTAATTTCAATTTAAGACGTAAAATAACGTCTTGGCATTGTTTGGATGAAATTTATCTCGTGTCTGGCCTTCGTAGAGTGTTTTGGTGGCTCTAAAATTTACTAAGACGTCATTCATAAGATGAGAATGTGCCAACAAGATTACATTTTAATTTGATTAAAATTTCTTTGTATAATAGCTATTATAATTATGATTAAAGTTAATGATTTTAAAATTACGTGGCCTTATCCAAATGGTAATTTTTTTGAGTTGAATCATATCTTTATGATAAACGTCACTTTATGTTTTAACGTTTTAAAATTTTTTTTTAATAACTTACAATTTGTTCCCGAACATTATTATGGAATATCTGTTCCCTTATATCCGTCTCATCTTCAATTTCTTCCATCGTCCAACTTAACCGTCCCGTTGTAAGAGACAATTTGGGGCTTCGGAGGGCATTTTTGCAATAATTTAACGGCGCGCGCTCGCATTTTTCATTTTGACCCCCGTTCTTTTAACCGTTTTCACACAATAACGGACGCTTGCACTAAATAATTCAAAAAAGCGTCACAGTTAACCAACTACGCACCGTGAACTGACTACGACTAATTTGACTTTGACATAACGATATAGGAACATAACCAAACTTTTTTATTGTATTTATAGGCGTGAATGTAGTTGCGGAACAAAATTCAGCAACCAACATCGCAGTATAATTATGTTGGTTGTATTAATTTAAAATTTGTATCAAAATAAATAATAATCAGAAAATTTTTAAAAATTATTTTAATTAGTTTTTCCATCAATTAGTAGATGGCGTTTAAAAGAAATTTATGAATTAATTAAAATTAAAAGTTTGGATAATTAATATTAAGGTGATGAATAGAATTGAAAAAGAAATAAAAAGAAAACACCTAAAAAGTTTAATATAAACATTCTCTTATTCAAACCTATTCTTACATAATATACATAGTACAAAAAATTAATTATTTCCCCAATTAATGGGAAAAGAAAAGGAAACGTATTAAAATACTCTGTACAAAAACTATGCTACTGTACAATGATTGCTGTAAAAGCAAAATAAATAATGTTCTTACATCATTGAAACAATATACAATATATGACAAGGAAATTAACGCTTATAGTCATTGAAATGAATCGAGAAAAATGTACATGATAAAAGTGAAGGTAGAGAAAGAAAGGAATTTTTGGTGTGGACATGGGAAAGTCACGATTAAATCTAAAAGAGTACAATTAATAATTTCGCGTCGTTGTAAATACAAAGTCGAGATCATCTGATAAATAATCAATATTACAAATTGGCACTTTGAATGAAATAGCACTTTTTTTATAGAAAGTTTTCCTTCTCAGTTATTATTTTGTTGTGTTGCCGAAAGAACAATTAATTATTATCTTATATTTATATATATAATTTATATTTATATAAATTTTATTCGTATTGGACATTTCTTGCTGATTATTTGATAAACCCACGAAAAGAATACTGAATAGCGATTTTTGTCATTATTTTACAAAAATAACCACTGAGATTTCAGGGGGCTCAGATACACCGAGTTCAACAAGTCGAGTAGAATAGCTAATTACAACGTGCGGCCTCCAGCGGCCGCCCGTCACTACTAACAGGAAGGTTAAACCGTGCATATTCAGCATTTCGTTCAACTAAAAAACAAAACAAAAAAATAATTAAATCAATGTACAATTATGTACACGAACAGCGCCTAACGTGCTCTTTTCAAAAAAAAAATTCCGATCTCAATATTTTTTTTAATTAATTAATCACAATCACACGATAGAGAAAAAAAATTGTCCTTAGCTTTAATAATCCGTTTATTATTTTTTAACTATTAAACGTTTAAATCTTTTTTATTTTAATTAATAACTTTTTTCCATTAATAATTAATTTTACACGAGAGTCTACTATCACAAGTTTTAAACCTGCTCGCCATGCGAGTCCGTGGATTTTCCCGAATGTTCATCCGCGCACACACTATTTCCACCACTTCCATTACTCCTTTCCGTTTCCTTTTCCGTTTTGACTGTATTCGCGTGGTCATTAAGCACAGATGTTAAAACTGAAAGAGCATCTTTCACCGCATGATAAATAATATTCTTGATTTGTAATTTATCTTCATGGTTTGTGTGTGTATCAGATAAATCACGAAACTCTTGGGTCAAGTGAAAACATTGTGAAACATTTTCCGGAGACACAAAGTCTTCAGCCACTTTAATACAGTTATGAAGATTGCGTACTTGATGTGGAGCTCCCGCTGGAATAAAAACAGCATCACCCAAACATTGCACTATTGCATATCCTTCAACGCCATATTCCTTGTAAAGACGTTCACGTAACGGACCATCTAAATAGCAACTTTGATCGTGTATGGGGTCATGATTTGGTTCTAGACAACCGCCTTTTTCAACGACAACTTTATTTAAAAGATCCCGTATTTTATCGGCATCTCTCGCGTTATAAATATGCCACAAAGCACCGGGAAGTTCACCTTTATCTCTAACTCTTCTTCTTGTTAATATATCACACCCAGCTTCATCTATTGCTCGAAAAGCTTCTTTTATATGCTCATCACAATCGCCGTCTTTTGGAATACCAACATAAACCATCACATTGACAGCGTCTGAAATATCCAAATGAAGATTTGTCGTCCCTTTCGAAGGATGCAAAGCACTTCCGTAAGCGTTGTACATTTTCGGACCTAAATCCGGTCGTACAAAACACTCCGGTAAACGACCGGCTAAATTTAATCTTCCATTTCTGTGTGTGTACTCGGATAATGGCAAAACTTTCATTAAATCGGTGAATCGGCTAGGAAGCATATCTGAAAAATCTTCACCAGGAGGCCAATCTTTTAATTTTAATAACATCGGATTTCCCTTATCATCTTTTAATCGCCGAGTTAAATGTTCGAAACCTTCCCAAAACTTTCGCATCGGTTGATTCAAAACCAAGTTTCCCGTCAAACAATTAATCAAATCATTTTTGTCTTCGCCAAAGTCGCGAATAAAAGCTTCCGGTGTCCATAAATCTTTACTTAAATGTTTTGTTACATCAGAAACTAAAACTGGTTGACCTCGTTTCCATTGATCCTAAAATTAAATTAATTAATTTATTAATTAAAACAATTTTTTATTTATTTACCTGGAAAATTTTAGTATTTCCTTGATGTGTAGTATCATTTAATCTCAGCAACTTTCCATCACAAAGCCAACTATGCGGAATATCAGGATAAAGAAGTTTACTTTCGGTTAAAGTCATAATTCTTATAGGCAACATTCCGCGTATCCTGGCTAAGTAGTTGTCCTTCCTAACAAAGTGCTTCAATTCGATCTTAGTTTCTGGCGAAATAGTTTCCTCCTTCAATTTCGGAACACCATCTTCAACAACAGTCGAAATGATCTCCTCGAGAGTCGCATCGAATCGTCCAGTTTTCTTTAAAGTTTTCGCAGCCGAAACCGGGGACCCAGCTCGACTGCCATTGTGTTTATGAGAAGGCCGAATTAGAAGCTCCCGTAACGTTGAAAAACTACCGTCTTCCGAGTCGCTGGTGTCCTCGTTTTTCTTGTCTTCATTAGAAAGCGCTACATCTGCTAACCAACTTAACGAGTTCTTTTCATCTTTGACACTTGTTGTGTTTGCACCGTTTGCGAGTGGTTTAACATCCGATTCTTCTTTAATTTCTTTTTTGATGCCATTCTCGCCGGATAGAATACACTTAATCAGTTCTTTACGGGTACCGTTCGTTTTTGGATTAATTTCTTTACTTAACGGACATTCGCAGTGTTGTTCAACGTTCCAAAGTTCGCGCATTTCGTGAACTAAACGGCCTAACTTTGTGAGTGAATCCCCGGCTATTATTTGTGTTAACATTAATTTTTCTTGTTCGTGAGGTTGACGATTCGTACATAACAACCATGAGTAATCATCGCGATCTTTACCGGGTTCTCCCCAAATTTTAATCGTCTTGTTTTTTCTTCCCTAAACACACAAATTAACAATAAGATAATGATAAAATAAAAATTTAATTTAATTTACCTTGTAACAATCTAAACAAACTACGAAACCACATTTTCCACACGTCCAATGAATGTTAAAGAGTGTCGTTTCGCAAACATCGCACATTTCTCTTACTCCTTGAACAACTCTTTTCCAAGCGATTGTTTTTTCTAATAAAAAAAAATTGATTTAATGAGTTCTATTTTATTTTATGGGATTAAATTACCTTCAGACATATGTTCACCATGCGCATCCTTTTCTTGAGTTAACAAATTACAAAAATGATCTCCGACTTGCTTTAAAATAAATCTGGATGTTTCAAGATCTAAATCGGTGGGTGGTTTATCAGCCGATGGGAGCCATAATTTTAAATCATCCTAATTAAAAATAAAATATATTTGAGATTCTTAATTCATTTTATTTAATATTGTTTATTATTTACCTCTGAAGCATCTTTATGGGGATCCGAGAAGCCCGCGATAGCCAATTGTCCATTTTTAGTATATCGAAGTCGTCGGAAAGCATAAAATCGACAAAAAATATTTGGCATGTTTTTCGATCGTTGATTTGGCGTCCAACGACATTCTCGACATTTGGCTAATTTAGGCGCAACTTCGAAGCATGGTCCGTCCTGAAGAAAACTCTCCCCGGTTTTCTTCAGTTGCCCCACTGGTGGTTTGCGAAAGGGGTCGCGCTGGGGCAAAGCTTCCTCTTTGGATTTCTTCGTGCGCGGCTCCTCGCTCTTATCGTTTTTTGAAGTCTTGGGTCTTCTACCACGTTTTCGCGGTTCTTTGTCTTTAACGGCGGGTCCGGGAGTCTTTTTTGCGACCGGAGCAACGGTGGTGCTAGCTCCGGAATCGGAATCTTTTTCGCTACCACTCTCCTTCTCGCTGTCGCTACCGCTTTCGCTTTGAATCGGCGGATTACTAGTGCTGGTTGTGACTTTCCTTTTTTTATGTTCCTCGACTTTTTTCGCTGCCGTTCCGCCTTTTTTTCGTTTTACTTTTGGTGGTTTTCGTTTCGGCGGATCTTTCCTATTACGTTCCTGATCTGAACTGGAAGAATCGTCCGCTTTAGCGGCGTCTCCGTTCAATGAATTATCTTTATGCGATTTTCGGTTGTTGGTTTTCGCACCAAAGTGTTTCGTTTTATTTATACTATTTACAGCCATCGATCCAATGCTATGTAAAGACGTTACCGTTGTTGGTTCTTTTGGGACATTATTAGTAATGTTTATGGGTAATGTAACGCAACTTCCCGTTCCGGTTATTCCAGTTCGGTCGACAACATCTTCGCCCGTATGCCTTTGTAGCCACGCTTTCTTTAAGTGTCTAATTGGATGCGAACTGGTTGAAGTGCTCAAACTGGTTGTCGTAGTTACCGTGCTGGTGGTCGTACTACCAGTTGACGATACCGCTTTATTCGGACCGGGACTATTAGACTTCTCGGAGTCGGGGTTCACTATCTCCACAACTTTAATGGGGGTCGCACAACTGTTCAAAGCCACGTCAACGGGTGTAGTCGAGGGCGGAGGGGTAATGTTTTGCACAACTGTGGGACTAACCACCACTTCACAAGCATCCCGTGCCCCGGGAGATTTCTCACTAACAATTGAGATCACACTCACATCCGACGGAAGAGATTCCATGGGTACCGGTTGCCCTTGCATCATCGATGTAGGCGTCGTCCTTAGGGCAGCCGCGTTCACCACCGTCGTAATTGTCGTTGCCGCGTTCGCTATTAAAGAGCTCGGTTCCGACACTCGCGCTAGTTGAGGTTGTTGCGTTGATTGGTTAGCGTAGGGATGAGGGGGAGTCTCCACTCGACGCTTTTTCTCCAGACACATAGGTGCCGAAGCTGAACTCACCGGCGTTGCTTTTCTTTTAGGAGACGTTGCCGAATCGTATTTAGGTGTAACGCAAAAATCTAAGGGTTGTGTTTGAACTGAAGGAATTGATGGGATGTTTTGTGATGGATAAGTCACACCTAAGTAAAAAAATATATATTAGAATTATAATTAATTTTACTTAATTCAATCATAATTAATTAATTAATTACCTGGCATACTATACTGTTGATGACTTCGCGCTATTGGAGACGGAGCTGAAGCAGCGGTTGGAGGTGACGTACCATGTTGTATGCTTGGTTTAACCGCTAAACCGCCAGGTACGATTCCACCTGGATACATCCGATCGTACGTTGTAGGCAACCTCGAACTGTGAGCAGGTGGTGGTAGGACGTTCGTAGGTGGCGTATTTTGCGGAATCGGTGGATGGTATTGCGAAACTTGTTGGTACGGAGATGAAACGCTCGATGAAAGCGGTTTCGATGTTAATGGAAGCGGATTTACCACTCCAACCATTGGTTCACTATTTGGTCTGCTAACCGGCATTGATGTTTCAATCCCGGCGGAAGGTTTTCCGTAAATATGGTGAGGCGCGGGACTGCTAACTTTAGGCTTCATATTTGTAAGACTTGTTCCAGCGGCAATTGTATAATGTGAAATAGTAGTGGCCGGAGGGACGTAGGTGTAACTAACAGAATTGAGGGTTCCTTTGGTGATGGATTTTGAATTATAAAGAGACGAAATGTGGTTATCGTTTCGATACCTTAGTTCTGGAGAAGGATGTTGTTGGGAATGGGGATGATGAGGAGAGGGTTGTTGGGAACTTGTTCTACTATGATGAGTTTTTCCTAAGTTTTGGGCTTCGTGGTGATGTGGGCTAGGTGCGTGGGGATGCTGGACGTGGTGAGGGCTTTGCGTGGGACTTCTATAATCTTGAAGAGTGTACATACTAGGTTTATGTTGACTTGAACTCATATAATGGCTCATCAAGTCCGTTCGTAACTGCGGACTCTTCGAATGCGCTTGAGACATCCTGGATGTCACGTCGAGATGGTGCGGATTCTTTTCGTGTTTAACAATCACAGAATTCTTAGCTTCAATATGAATAGAAGGATTTTGTAGCAATTCCCGTTCTCGTTCCATGGATTTAATCATTACTTGCCCACCTGGTTGTCCACCTTTATGATGATCTTTTAACTTGGAAGGATCTTGAGGAAAAAAAGGCGGTTGATACGCGGGATACCCAAAAGCGTTTACTTCGGGGTTTAAATTATGCATCAACTTTTCGTTACTTTTGCTCCCGCTACCTAATCTTTCCCTGCTATGAGCAGGTGGAGGATAATCGGTTTTACTAGGAACACTCGAAGGTCTTTGAACCGTGTTGGTGTAATAGGTAGTCTTATCTCTACTGTCAGGTCGAGAGGCTGCCATTGCGCGTCTCTGTTGCTCCCGTTGATGGTGCTCTTGTTCGGCTCGTTTACGCTCCTCATCCGCGCTGGTCCCTCTCGGAGGTGGTAAACTGAACCCCGTCCAAGCGTTGGCAGCGTGTGGTTGCTTTTGCATCCTCCGAAGTGACTCTTCAAAGTGCTTCTGAACAGCTGCCTGCGCCTGTTGCTGTTCCTTCTCCTGTTTCTCGCGTTCCATCTTCTCCATCCGCTCTCTCTCTTGTCTTTCGCGCTCTCTTTGCTCTCTTTCCTTCTCTTTTTGCTTTTCTATCTCTTGACTTTGCCTGTAACAAAAACGTACTGCGTGTCTACGTTTCGGAACTAAAATAATTAATGACCAATTAATTCTATTTGTTCGTATTTATCAAGAACTCCATGATTGATTTTTGTACTAGTTCTATTACATCCGCAACAATCTTATCTGTCATAACAACAGGATTTATTACTCTTTTTGATAAGCGGAGAAAACACAGTCGTTATCTCGCCGTCGTGACATTTCTTAGAAATCACATGAGGCGACTGATTTCGTAATAAAATGTAGAAAAAAAAACCAACAACAACCAAAAAAAAACATTATCGAATTATTATTAAGCGGTGGTTGAGTAATGCGTATAAATTCATTAATGATTTAATTTATTGAATTTATTTAATTTACGATCAATATTTGTTTAAAAATAGTAACGAACACAATTGATCGTAAACAATGAAAACCGCGAACTTAATTATTAAACGATACGCTTTGTTACCTTGATTATTGATGGGAATTTCGCAGCGTCGACGTTAATGATATACACACGTCTCTCCTTGCGTAATAACTAATGTGTAACGCAATTAAAATTCTCAGATCGTATCATTGAATAGTTCGCCGCTTTTTCATTGTCTTTGCAACTATGTTCATGCAATATTCATGAACGTAGTTCCGTTTGTGGTAAATACCCATGCATTGTTTAAAAATGTAATAACATAATAATAAATGTAATAATATAAAATGTTTAACAACGTACCTCTGCCGTTCTTGTCTTTCTTGTCGATCTCTATCCTGTGCCAAGACCCTATCCCTCTCGAGTAATTCTTCGGCTGCGGACGACGTCTGCGGTGGCACCTGCGGTAATGGCAGGTGTCCAGGGATGTATTGTTTGCCCCAAAGAGCCGGTACCATTTCCGGGCGGAGGGTATAAAGAGCGGGCGGCGGTAAATGCGGATGGTGCGAGAGGTGCGGCGACATGAGGGCTGAGGGCGGGGGCGGTGGTACTGGTGGATAGAGCGTTGGGTGCGCCGCTGGCTGCGCTTGCTGGCCTGGCGGCTGTTGCTGGGACGGGTGCGACATGAGCAGCGTGTGGTGCTGGACGCTGTGTATGTGGCGGACGTGCGGCTCGGACTCCAACAGCAGGTTGGGGTCGCGCCACACACGTACCGCCGCGTCGATAGCCGCCGCGGACTGTGGGGCGGCGGCTCCGGGTCCTGGTCCTGGGCCCGGAGTGGAGGCGGTGACGCTTCCGCTGCCGCCGCCGACTACGACGCTGTACGGCGCGGGCGGCGTGTTGGTGCTCGACGGTACGAAGAGCGGCGAGCGCGTCTGCAGTGGTCGGACGCCAAGCGTCGCGACGCTCGCCGACTGTGGTCCGGCAACTAACTGTTGCTGCTGGTGCGAAGGCGGCGGCGGCGGTTCGTCTGATGAGCTCAGGGCGCTGGAACGTGACCCTGACCTCTCATCTCCACTGCCTGAACGTAATGAACTTACACCTAAAATCAAAAAAAGAAACAATTAACAAAAATAAATTAATGATAAAAAGCAATAAAACAATTTAAAGCAATTCTCAGCATAAAACTGACGAGATAAAGTATTATTACAGTCTAAACAAAAATATTTGGATATATGTATATATTGCGTACTACTCATTCTTTTGATAACCTTTTTACTATAAATAGAACTATTTGTTCATACTATAAACCATTGTAAATATAATCCAACTTTTTATTACACATACATTATACCAAGTAACTCACCGAATTTAAACAAATTAACAAAAAACATCCACACAACCTGAATAAACAAACTTTGAAACCTATTTAGCATAAATAACACGTCCGAAAAATAAATATCATTTCAAGGTCAACCCCAACCACATGTTTACACACCAAAGCAAACATAATAAGTTATTCATACGTCAAATCGTAATCTCGTCACATCTCGACAATTTTGTAACAAACTGGCTTTTAAAATTCATTGGCGAGATGCACGCGAGAGCGTTCGCCATTCCCGTAGAAGTAGGCCACGTCTACGCTCGAATTTACAGACTTTTTACGATTCGCGTTAACGTTTACGACCTACGTGACACGGCACGCACGTCAGCGATAAATCGAGCCTTAATAGCCGCTAAAATATAAACGCGAGCCATTAAAATAAAAGGTTATTATAACATCTGATCTAGACGGTAAAAAAATTGCATACAATAGAGTGAAGACGACGTTATTGATTCATTGATTCAGTTTAAAATGTCAAGGTAAATGAATTCCATTTGTATTTTAATTTAATTTTAATCGGGTTGAGGCAGGTCGAGAATATAAGAACATGTTTAAAAAAGTCTTGCAATAATGTAGTTTACCTGAGTCTGATCGATCATCGGGGAACCGTAGTAGCTGTCCATGGGCAGAGTCTGCGAGTTCCATCCTGCTGGTATTGAACGGCGAGGACGAGGAGAGAGGTCCCTCATCGTCACCGCGGAGGGGGCACTCGTCGATGATCTTCGGCGTGGCCGTAACTATCACGCAGTCGTCCTCCTCGCTGACCACTTCTGCAACTACCGTCTCTGATGGAGGCCTTTCACCACCGCCTCCTCTCGCTGACACCCGTTGTTCTTCGACACCGTTACCACCCTCCACATTGCACGTACCACTCACCACGACAACCACTTTTCGCACATCGCCGTCGTCATCATCGTCAGCGTCGTAATACTCTCCTCCTTTGGACGTCGGTTTTTTCGCCTCGTTCACTACTACTAATTCACCGACACCACTGCTAACGTCCTCTTCTTCAACAGTCGGCTCCTCCTCGTCGTCGTCTTCCTCTTCTTCCTCGGCCTGTTGCTCGCCGGCACTCTCCTCCTCTTCTAGAGACCGCCTGCAGACGGCCGAGAGTGCGCCATCGTTGAGGGCAGCGTTCTGCAGGCAGTCCTCGACCCGAACCTGAACCACCCGAAGTTTACTATTGGTCGCCTCCTCCAAAACCTTTTTCTTCGCGTTACCGCGATGATTCACCACGTTCCTTTTCCTCCCTTGTTTATTCTCTAAATCCTCCTTAACGTTCAGATAACCCGCGTGACGTTGTTTCGATGTCGACTCGTTTTCGCTGCTTTTTCTTTTTCGACCCGCTTTTGCGCTGGAGGAACCTGGAAAGATATTAAAAGATTTAGTTGGGTGAGTTTTCGTACGCGGAATCGATGTCATTGTTCGGGGAACTGGGCCGCAATTAACGACATCGCTTGCATAATGAACGAGGAACGCACACACTCGGAGGTCGATGGCCTCAGCACGTTAGGCTCCGCTACACGAACGAAGCGTTCTTTGTATAGCAAGAGAAACGATAGTTTATAACGTCTGTCTATGTTTGGCCTAGATCTCAAGGAATTACACTGACCGGAGTATTCAATATTTAATCGTTTCGATTTTAAAATTTGGATAACCAAACAAAGTTGAATTTTTTGTGTGAGGAATTCAGGTAGAAACTTGAACAATGCTTTGTAGAGCATCACCTGCTTTTAAGGATCTAAATCTAACTACCTGAGTGGGGTGGTTTAAGTTGATTCAGGTTCAAATATTTTAATTTTACAATTTCCACGAACCGCAATGATAATGATATGAATCGAATGATCCAACCAATAATAATTACACGTCCGATTCAAATGATTGCACTTAATCCGGTCGATCCAATTAGAGCATAGCGCTTTTCCTGGGACAATCGCGTCACCGCAGACGCAATTATCTCTTATGCCGTTAACCGCGTTTCTTTTTATTTCTATTCCTCCGCTTTTCCCATCATTTCCCACGGATTACGGCGCTCCTTTGAGCTTCCGTTCTTCGGCGACCAATCGGCCCAATTAGATAAGCTACAAGCAAGCTTCAACGTCATCTGGCCGCGCGTTTACCGTAAACCCGATCAGAGTAAACGGTGCGAATAAAACCGTCAATCCCATAACTAAAACTTATTGCCGATCAATAATGCGATCGAGCGAACGAACACAGTACACAAACGCGATGCGATTTATGACGGGATATTGCACTTTGAACGGAAATTGGGTCGACGCTAAATATAACAAAAAAGAGGCAACGAGCCAAGTGAAACACAGGAAGCAAGTTTTCCTCGTAAAATTCGACTGTTTAACTATCCGAAATTAGCGTAGGTGCTCAATTACATTATTGTCATAGGACTAATCAAATTAGGTAAAAGTGAATCATCAAAAGTTGATTCATATTATTTCAAAAGAAATTTTTAAACAATTCTAATATCAAAACATTTTTTTATGCAATTATACCGTGGGTAGTCACGAAATGTGACAACACCCATTGTTCACAACGAGAGGAACGTGGGACCGAATCGCGCGAGTTTCAAGGTGCCTATCCTTTCTTTATCCTTGATTCCTAACGGAGTAAAAGAGAGGAAAGCAAAAAAAAAGAGTCTCCATGCAATTACCGGCTTTAGAAAGCAACGGGGCGACTTTCACCGTTGCGCAACCGGTTGTGAACCCGGGGAAAGAAAGAGAGAGAAAGACGAAGGGGCACCCAGAAAGCCTGTAAATCATCGATCGGCGGAGAACCGCGGTGCGCGGTGCAGTGCAGGAAGCTCTATTTATAGAGGGACGTTAAGTGGTCACGCGAACTGGAAACACTCAACGTGTTTTCCCCGTTCGTTTGCGCCTCATCTCTTTGTGTGCGAGTGTTGTCTTTTTCCCCCTTGCGTCTCTATTTACGTCGTCGTCGTTTGCTTTAACGTGTGGGCAAAATTAAATGTCAGAAATAATCCATCGCGTTACCCAACAGTTTGGGTAACGGACTTTGTCACGTCGCAGACGTTGCTAAATAACCAGTTTCTATTTCTTTTGTGTAAAAATAACTTTAACAACAAGAAGCAAAAGAAACATCCTTTTTTAATGTCCTTTAAAATGGAATCGATTTTCTTGCCGTCAGAATAACGACAAAGAAACTTTTGAAGGAAAGCTAGGGGGAGAGAGAGAGTTGGGGAAGCGTCCGCAAACTTTTCGAATTTAAACTTGACGGCGCAGTGGAAAACTGAAGTTTAAAGGAGGGGTTTGAAATAAAACAACTTTTTTAATTAGAAAAATTACAGAGATTATGCAACGAGTTTTATAAAGTGAGTCACGATAACGAAGAAGAAAACGTCTCCATCTCAAGGTCATTCTTTTACATCGTTTTAGAATTGCATACGTTGCGGAACCGTAAAAGAAAGATTTGCTGTAGTAACAAGATCTATTTGCTGACGTTGGCAAAAACTGATTCAGCAAATAATAACCCCTGCCGTCGACGCTGTAGAATTATGTTTCCCCCCTCCCCCCAATTAAACGGATCTCAGAAAACAGCTGACCATTTTTTCCCCCTTTTTCTACCTGCTACTTCACCATGGGGGACGACTCCTACGTGTTTTCTTTGGTCATTGTTCGAACTGAATTACGACGAACTAGGGACGCGAGGGGGATTTGGGACGAGAGAGGAATCGAGGGACGAAAGAGACCACAATGGGCCTTTGTTCAAACATTTTGAACGATTTAAACCAACGTGACGATCTTAATATCGTCCTCGAATTCAATTTACGAGTGTAGAACGAAATAAGATGTAGAGGTCAAATAGAGGTCAGATAATTAATCGAATGGATATGTTTTGCACGCACATCGAATCAATGTAAATAAAACAATTTCCAGACGAGGAATCCAAAGGCCGATCGATAAAGCAACTATTTTCGTTCTCCCTTCAACGATGCAATTCCTATCGTGTTGCTATCTGAGTTCGATAACGAAGCTTGTTTACACTTTAGATTATTATTTTTGGTTTGCTTTCAAAAGGGGGAAATTAAAATACATCTATATATTTTTATAAAACTATTTTGATAACTTTAATTCAAATTATAATTTGTGACATTGAAAATATAATTTCTTGTTTTAGTTCTGTAACAATATCTCAAGAAAGAAGATCAAGCAGATTTGGAGACATTTATTATCGTCTGTTCCTCTTTGATGCCCGTAATAGGAAAGCTGTTGGGTACGGTTTCAAAGGAAATCCATACCAACCAATTTGATTTTTTGGCCTCAACATGGTACGTAAATACCAACGAGAGCAAATTCCTGATGTTTCCCAAGTACCCCACCATGAAACACGCTTCCACCAGAAGCGTCATAGTATGGGGGTCATCGAAACGACTCCCTTCGTCCCTATTCCGGCCAAAATGGACAGCCATGCGTACAAGGGCATTCTAAGAATTACAAGTTTTCATGGACACGCAAAAACATGGGTAGATGAAAAACTGTCATCGACAGCAAAGGATATCCCACTAAGTATTAAATTGGTGTTCACATAAAATTGTTACTGAGTACTCGAGTGCTCTGGTAGTCTGGTCAATCAAGTTATATTTCTTGGTCATTTGAAAAACAAATGCTTGTAACTAAATAGTGCAACTTGGTACACTTCCCAAGGTTACATTTTAGTCTACTGCCATAAAATTGCTTTATAGAAAAATTGAAAAATGATGCGTGTGGAACCTTTTCGACTCGGAAGAATTTCATGATTTTAATTCTGTTCCGCAAACCACGTAATCCTGAGAAGAACAACTATCCAACTTTCAATCGACGTTAGTACTTTCACGGCAAAAATTCTAGTTGAGTCATGGTTCATTCAATAAATTACATTACAAGGGATGATTGACATTGATGAAATTAAACTCAAAAATTTTGTCTTTCAAAACAATCGAACTTCTTGCAAATCATATCAAGAATTAAAACTCTTTACGCCGTTTTATCTTTGTGATATCTAATTTCATTAAGGTTTAGATAAGACAAGAATCCAGAAAGATTCTATGTAATATCTTAAAGCAGTCTTTCCATCGATCTGGCCCCGTTTCGAAAGCGAGTTTTAACGGGGAATGTTAATTACTCCATAGTGAAAACGTCTCGCAACGAGCCGCACGCCAGATGTGTTCGCTTTGTCGACGAATCTCCCGGTGTATTTATTCCCGTGTGGATTTCACGTCGGTTTTATTACGTCAAACATGAATTCCAAATTCTCAGAAATCCCCAGCGTCGGATGAATCTATTTCGGTTAAATATAGATACATGCCCTGTACCGCTTCCAAATAAATTAAACATCTGTTCTCTACACTATTTATTTATATTTACGCCGCAACGAATATTTATATTTAGCATCGACGTGCCAGCAAGAGGCCAGGAAAAAATATAGTAATAAGAAAAAAATGTTCTGAAAACAAACGATATCTGTCAATGACGAAAAACCGGTTTAAGTTGACTCAAGTCTGCGTAAATATTTAAAGCATTTTAAAGGAAGTAACCAGGAAATATCAGCTTTCTTTTTATTGATGTAACTTGTTATTGTAGAGTAAACAAAACGAGAATCGTTAACGCAACCAGGTCACGTGTTGACGGTTGTAGTTGGACAGTGGGCGCGGTTTTAACACCAATTCAAGGACGACCAGGATTTGTTGTCTTTTATTGATCCCCATCATCAAGAAATTCCAATGTAATTTATTTATTTATTGCCTTTTATTTATTTATGGTACGTGGTCGGTGAAAGCTTGGGTAATTGCTGTAGCGATTGTCTTGAGCCCATTAGCACATAAATGCGATTGCATCTCGGATAAATCGCTACGTGTTAAATTAATGGATTATTGTGTGCGCGAGCACAAGACTATTATGAATCACTTTGAGAACTCGATTCTATTCAACTAAAAGATAAGAAAGTTTTTTTAATGAAATCGAAATCATAAAAATATATATAAGAAAATTAGATTAATTTTTTTTCCTCATCTGTTCACCGAACCGTAAGTTTTAACGGCAACGTTCCGAGGAAAGTTGGCGAACGAACGTAACTGTAATGGGAGTTTTATTGAGAGAGGTCCATGAAGTTGCCACGACGCCCGACAGATGGCGCCAGCGGTGCTGGCGTCGCCATCCGTGCCGCATTGCAATGAAAGAGTACGAGAAAGAGAGAGGTTTCACAATTAGCGTTTAAATGGCGATTCAAGTCGACAAAAGTGGGTCGGAATGAAGAGGAATAACTCCGGGAATACCCCGGAAATACGAAAAAGGGACGCATCCTAGTATTCTCTGGTACGTTCGAACGCGTCCGGTCACGTTCCCGGCGCGAGAAG